GAGAATTAAGTAGTCTTTCTCCGATACTTCCGCAAGTCCTTCCTGCCAGATGTATTTACAGATAGCATCCTCCAGTTCGCTTCTAGTACATATGGGGTAACCGATCGCAAATCCTTCCTCGGCCATCTGCTGCCCCCATTCCTCTATCACGCCGACCGTGCAAACCAGGCATCGTGCCTTCGACGGCAACCTGACGCGTTGCTGTGCAGAAGCGGCCATCGGGCAGAAACTCGATGGAGGATATGAACGGAGCGGGATGTCACCTTCTCGCTTGAGGGTCGTGAAGCTTGAAGTTTGAGGCTTCGTCTACCGCCAATTTGGACGCTTATAAGGGGCCCACCGAACCTGATCCCATATGAGATTCGGGGAACGTGACACCAGGGGCACACGGACAGGACTCACGTTGTGTTTGCGTGGGCAAAGGGCTTTTGACGATGTTGGCAACCCGCGAAAGATGTATTCAGTCGGGAGAGCAGGAGACTGCAGGGCTATCAGAACAGATCGTGACACGAGTTAGACCTTTATTCACCATCATCGTGCGGGGTTCCCCTCCTCGTCAATCCTCTTCGCGCACATGGCCGCGCTGTTCGATAGACCTTGATCGGGACCCCCGATTCGTGCTTCAACAAGTAATCAAACCGCTTCTCGGTGATCAGTCTTGTATCTTTGGGGGGTTCGCGGCCACCCAACCATTCAGACGGTCATCCGCTCCAGGTCAAATACGACACGTACCTTCATGATGTGCAGCATGACACATCTTCCTATAGTGGACGTCCGAGAACTGCTCCAGCTCTCGGATCGAGGGTGGGTACCAGACGTCGACAAATCGCTCCGTCTCTTCATCCAAAGGGAGTTTGGGGGGCTTCATCCCTGGACCGACGAAAGCGAGGCGGCCTGTAAGCATGTAGATGTCTGGACGCGGGTCGCTCAGCAGGTGCCGGCAGGCGCTGCATCCCATTGGGAGAAACTGTGGGCTGTCGCGGTCGAGGAAGAGGTTGGAGCTGAAGTACCAATCGGCAGCGCAGAGTGGCCCAGTTGTCGAACTGTTTCTTCTGAAAGACCGTAAGCCATGACGCAGAGGTGGCCAATGGCTTCAAGCGTGAAGACGTAGCCGGCAGCGAACACCTGTGTGGGCCCAGGGGTAAGCCAGTTGGGACCAGCCGGGGCAGCAATCGTGGTGGCCATGCCGGTAGAAAGCGTCGATGTGGTGAGAAGGGAATGGCAGGGGTTCGTGATTCATGAATTTAACAGCGGGTGAGCGCGGCGCCCCAGAGTTTGCATACTCGCCGTTCCTTCTAGATCCGCACTTCAGGAGGAGCAAGTTCCGTGGTGAGATTGCCGCTTCCGCTCCTGCGCTCCTTCCCGTGCCCGTCTCCGCTCTCGTTGACGTTCCCGCTTCGCGAGAATGACGACGCATTTCTGGTTTCGAACTGGGCCTCCGTCATCTGGATCGCCGTCATGCGTGTGGGCAGCGAACACAGCGTCCGGATTCACAGAGAAGGGTGCGTACAGAGGGTGAATCCGAGAGTATCTGGCATCCCGTGATGCAGCCTGCTCAGTAGCCAGCGGGAGACTTTGAGATGCAGACACGGGCAGGCGGAGAGGAAGTTGCAAGGTTTTGATGCGCAGAGACAGCGGTGTACTGCCACCAGCCAATCACTGTCGTCACTGTGCGCCAGCCGGAGCGAAAACGCTACCGCTGATGGGAGGGGCTGAACACCTGTGCATCCTCCGCACCACACGTGACACGTACGCCGGACCTGCACCCAGTGCCCACGCTTCGAAGGACGCGCTCGCGACGCAGCAGACCGTGTCGCCGAGCATCCGCGAAGGGACTGTCTCGGCAAAACGGCCGCCCAGAACGTGATGGGTTTTACGCGTACCCGGACGTCCACCCGCGCCCGCGGAGGGTGCGCAACGGCCAGGGCTGGGAACCACTCTTTATGAAATGGGCAATTTCATCGCTTCAGTCTCGATCGTTTTACCAATATGGGAAAACCATATAAACATACTTAACACCCTGGGATCTCCCGGCCCAGTTACCGTGACCTTCCTATCCCCCCAACACGCCCTCATGCTAGCCCTCGACGACCCTCGCCCGTTCTCTATGCCCTTGGGCTCGGTTTCGTCGTTGCCTACGTCGTCCGATGGCGTTCAGACCCCGTCAGTCCCCATTTCAGTCCTCAGCGCACTCTGTCTGCTAACCGAATGTGCCCCAGCTTCATGCCATCCCTACCGTCGGCGGCCCGTCCCTCCCCATTCTCTCTCTCATCAGCGTGTACAACTTCATCTTTCGCGGACATGAGCTCATCATGGAGGGCTACCAGAAGGTATATCCCCACATCTCGTCAACTTCACTCAAGCTCATCACGCTCACCTTCGGACATGATAGTACTACGGCTCTGCGTTCAAGGTCGCCAGTCTTGACGGCTGGAACGTTGTCGTCAGTGGCCCGAAGCTCGTCGACGAGCTGCGCAAGCGCCCCGATGACGAGCTCAGCTTCCTAGAGGCCACAGAGGAGGTAAGCTGAATTCCAGCCTCTTGGCGTACTCCGCGACCCTTCCCGACCGACCCATCCTCAGTTCCTTCAGTTCACCCACACCTTGGGCAGACAATCCCTCGACGACTCCTTCCACATCGACATCATCCGAGACAAGCTCATGCGCACTCTCCCGGTCGTTCTCCCTGACGTGATCGACGAGTTGTCGTATGCCGTTCCGGACTACATTCCCACCGCTGGCGAAGGTACGTTTCGTCTGCCCACACTCCCAGGCGGAACGCTCAGTGTCGTCTTGTAGAATGGACGACTGTGCACGCCATGACCACCATGCAGAAAATTGTGGCGCGCATAAGCAACCGCGTTTTCGTAGGCATCCCGCTCTGTACGGCATGCTTCCAACCGCCCGAGTCCTCCCGCTCACTCACCCTGCGCAGGCCGCGACAAGAGCTACCTCAAGCTCGCGATCGACTTCACAACCGACGTTGTCAAAGACGTACCATCATCACTCTCTTCCCCCAATTCCTCCGCCCGTGAGTGCGTCAAGAAGCAACGTCGGTGTTCCCCGCGCCCCGTTACTCATTGAGTTTAGGCTAGTAGGCTCGTTGGTGTCCAGCGCCACGAAGAACGTCACTCGGACCGCCCAGTTTCTGCAGCCTCTTCTAGAAGAGCGCCGGGCGAAGATGGAAGAGTTGGCGACGGCTGGGAGGACAAGCCCGTAAGCACCAACCTTCTGTCTTCTCCGCAAGCCATCGGGCGCTGACTACCGACCGCCGCGCAGAACGACATGCTGCAATGGGTCATGGAGGCCGCGATCCCGCGCCGCGCCTCGGACGAGAACATCGCGGAGCGCATCCTGCTCACCAACTTCGCCGCGATCCACACTCGTCCATGGTGCGTACGCCCACCCGCTCGCGCTCCTCTGACGAGCGGCGCTGATCGCGTTTCGGGGCAGAGCATCACGCACGCGCTCTACTCCCTCGCGGCGTACCCGGAGTACATGCAGCCCCTCCGCGACGAGGTCGAGGCCGTCGTCGCCGCCGAGGGCTGGTCCAAGGCCGCGATGGGCAAGATGTGGAAGCTCGACAGCTTCCTGCGCGAGGCCCAGCGTTGCCACGGCATCGGCATCAGTGCGTCTGTCTCCGCCCCTCTCCTTGGCTCCCCGTCGAGCTGACCCCTCCCCCCTCCCCGCCCCCACAGTGTCCGTGACGCGCCTCGCGCTCAAGGACGTCACGCTCTCCGACGGCACCTTCCTCCCCACGGGCACCCTCTGCTCCGCCGCCTCCTGGGGCACGCACCACGACGCGCGCTCTACCCGGACCCGGACACCTTCGACCCGTTCCGGTACGCGAACATGCGCGGCGCCGACGGCGAGGGCACCAAGCACCAGTTCGTCAACACCTCGCTCGACTACATCGCCTTCGGGCACGGCAAGCACGCCTGGTACGTTCCGTCGGTCGCGCTCCGTGTGAGCCCGGCTGACGCGAGCCTCGCTCCCAGCCCGGGGCGGTTCTTCGCGCGAGCGAGCTCAAGTCGATGTTGGCGTTCATCGTCGCCAACTACGACCTCAAGCTCCCCGGCGACGGCAAGCGGCCGCGCAACGTTCACTTCGGACTTCTGTTGTCCCGACCCCAGGGCGAACTTGATGTTCAGGAAGAGGCAGACCGTCTCGGCTTGAATGGGAATTGTATTCATTGTACTTACTACATGGAACACCTTCTGGATGGACTGTCTTTTGTTGCAGTCGTGCGCTTGACGCTGCAGGATGCGAGCGAAAAAACGGATTCACGCACAGTTGTCGAGCAGAGTGGAGAGCGAGGAAAAATCGTACGTAGCGAGACACGATACAAGAGTGAACCTGGGCACATCACAGAAGCGTGCGTACAGCCAAAACGAGGAAACCCTTCGCCCGCGCCCCGCTGAACTCACTGCGTCACCCTTCCGCCCTTCTTCTCGACGCGCCACTCTTTGAAGATGCCATCCAGGCTTTTGTAGATCAGGTGGGAGGGCAGACTCCGGATGATCTCCCCACACGCTCCTCGACCTCGCTCTTGCCCTTGTCCCCGACGCCTTCTTCGCGTACTCGACGAGAGCCGGAAGATGGCGAGCACCGCGAGCGAGACGTGAGTCTGCTGTGCGCCGTGCGCCGACCCGGGTTCGAGCGCGGACAGGAGCGCGCCCGAGACCGAGGGCGGCGCGATGGGCGCGTTTTGGGTGAACGACGAGCGTTCACCGCGGACGAGGCGGAGGAGGATTTCAAGGATGTTGTCGGTCTCGACCATGTGCGTACGGAGGAAGCGCTGGCGTTCCGTCGGCTGGCCGACGTTGGAGTTGGCCGCCCATGATTCGAGGACGGTGAAGATGGTCGGAGCCTGGATGAGGGTGGCTTGTGAGTACTGCAGACTGGAACGGTGCGATGAGGTGACGCACCGGATCGGGATCTACGACTTCCGCTTTCTTCTCCCATCCGTCGGCGGCGTCGCCCGCGACCCAGAACATCCGCCCGAACATGCTTCGGAGCCATTCTTGTACATCACCCGTCTTCACCCATCGAGGCTCTGACAGCGGTTTCTCCTTGTCGAGGTAGAGGACCAACGTGACCTCCGATGGGATGCTGGCTTTCCAGAGCGGGGGCACGGTCGTATCACTTTCGAGTTGTTCCGAAAGCTCCAATGAAACATAGGTGCTTTCCTCAGAGCATCCTTCCATCTGGACGACATGATCAGTGAGTGTTTCCTCCCATGCGATCCGTGACAGGACACCTACCGCGATGCCCTTGAAACCACCACGCTCGTCGACCGCTAGTGACACAGTCACCTCGATGCGGCCTTCTGTCCTGAAGACCTTGAGGTTCGGTACAGCCTCTGCGTCGATGACGAGTCGCCTGGTCGCGCCGGCGTAGGATACGGACAAGCGGTTTGCGGATGGAACCTTCTCTCCCAGGAGGGTCGCAGTGGTGGGAGTGCCTTCAGCGGGGTCAGCGCTGTACTGGTCGACAGGTTGAGTGGCCTCGAAGCCCTCATCTTGCAGGTGCTCGCCGTCGAAAACAGTAGGCGTATAAGCGGAGTCTCGGCGGGTTCTTGAGGTGCGTCCGAAACTATGGGGCCAGAGACTCTGTAGCCTGAAGTGGGTGAGGTGCAGCCGTCGAGTCAGCAGCTGCGGGGGCCGCGCTCTCCGAACATGCCTCGGGAGGCGCAGAAGAGGGAGCGTCCAGAGGCTGAGGAATCTCTTGAGAAGGAAGAGGAGCAGAGGAAATCGGTTCCTGAGAAGTCTCGTTCGAGTCCGCTTGCGAGACGGCCGGGACAGCGATGCCTTCCAGAGGTTGCTGAGAGCCTGAAGGCACATCAGCCGCATGGCCATGGCCATTGACCAGAGGGGGGTTTTCAGGGGAATCATGGACCCCCTCAGGAGGGAAACTCTGGTAATGCTCGTCGTCAGGACCGACGTCCGAGCCCTGCGCGTCCTCGTCGCCCATTGCATGGTCACCGTCTCCTTGCGCATACTCATTGCCTTCAAACGATAAAAGAGCCAGATCAGTGGTGCGGATGACCATGCGCGCGGACGGGCAATCATCCGCGCATGCGCGAGCTCGACGAGGGACAGACGCTTACCATAATCCCCATCGGCATCCCCGTGCTGCACGAAGTTCTCGACTTCGCTGACATGCAGGTTTTCCCCGCCCTCGCCCTCCTCTTCGCCAATGGCAGCCATCAACCAATCGCCGTCACTCGCCGTTTCCGCGACACTGGGGGCAACGCTGTCTCGCCCAGCCCCATCATAGTCCGAACCATCCATCCCAGGCGGAGGAGGGGGTGCACCCCGACCGTCCTCGTAGTCCCCATCATCATCCTCGAGCTTCTTGCGCTTCCCTTTGCGAGCATTGGGAAGCGCGGCGGCATAGCTCGCCTGAGAAATGGGATGCGCGTCATCAGGAGTCACGGGCGTGTGGAAGTACATCCGGACCCTCGAACTCGGAGGAGGTGGGATGAGAGCCTCAAGCTCCGCCTTCACCGTAGACTCGTCCGAAGCAGGAGCAGGAGGAAGAGCAGGAGCAGAAGCGACGACCACCGCAGCGTCCGTGCCAATGCTTGAACCGTCAGCAATGGCTGGAGCGGTTCCCTCAGTGGACGGCGCAACGGCGGGTGTCTCGACAGGCTTGGCCTCCTCCTTGACCGCGGGTTCTGCAGCGTTGGGCAGCGAACCCCAAGTCCAAGAGAGTTCCGGGATCTTGAGCCCCACGATCTTAAAGTCCGTGAGCGTCCGCTTGTTTTCGTCTTTCTTACCGCCGCCACTGGTGAAGCTGCTTGATGCGCTGAAGCTGTTGTGCCCGCCGAGGGCTCCCGATTCGTGTCGGCCCCCCCGAGTCGAGTGCTGGTAGCCTTGTCCGCGTCCGCGTGATGTCGAGTAGTTCTGGTTCTGATTCTGGTGGTGGTAATTGCTCTGCTGGGGGTAATTCTGCTGGTAGTTCTGGTGCTGCTGATACCCGCCTTGGTTGTTGAAAGAACCACCACGCTGGGTGTTTCTTTGGAAACCGCCGCGAGTGGGACCTGAGCCACGGAAGCTACCGCCAACGTTTTGGTTACCGCCGCGCCCGCCCATGTTGTTGTTGTAGCTGCTGCTGCTGCCGCTGCCGCCGCGGCCTCCTCGGGTCGTGCCTCTGTTGTTCATCGGCCCTCCGCGCCCTCCTCTGTTCATCACGTTGTTACCGCGGCCGCTGTTGTTGTTGAAGCTTCCTCGGCCGCCCATCGGAGGACCTCCCCCCCTTCCACCGTACTGGCCCGGGGGCGGACCCGCGTTGAACATGCCCTGCTGCTGCATAGGAGGAGGCGGAGGAGGCTGGAACTGGGGCGGAGGCGGGACAGGGCCACGATGCTGCTGATTGGGGCCATCGAATCGCTGTCGCTTGGCGGGAGGAAACTGCTGAGGGGAGCCCATATGGGCATTGAAGGGCCGGTTGTTCTGACGCTGCTGCTGCTGTTGCTGAGGGAGGTACGGCTGGGGCTGGTACGGCTGTGGGGGCGCAGGCTGGTATGGCGTCGAGGGAATTGCCGGGGGATGGGCTGAGCGGCAGGCTGGGGGACATACGGCTGCTGATATGCCCCTGCCTGAGGCTGGTAGGGACTATATTGCGGCTGCTGTTGGGGAGGGGAGGAGGAGGTTGCACCACAGGAGGGGGGGTTGGTAGTGCTGCTGTTGGGGTTGCGCCCGCTGGTGCTGTTGATGTTGCCAGTTCGCGCCGTAACCGTAGTTTGCATACACTGAGATTGGTCTGCTGGGCGAGCGGCAGCGGCGGCAGCAGCAACAGCTTGCGCCTGTTGTGTTTGTGACGCGTTCCATTGGCGGCGTACGCGTTCGCGGCTCCGGCTTGCTGTTGTGCCGCCGCGGCAGCCCAATACGCTGAATAGTCCGGTTGTGTTGGCTGAGGGGGAGGGGGGCCTGGGGGTAGAGGAGGCTGAGCGGCGTAAGCAGGTGTCGCAAAAGGGTTCTTGTTCATGTCGAGAGTTGAGAGATGCGTCTAGGAGCGGAGATATTGACAGTATAAATGATGAGAGCACAGCGAGGCGTTTGAGAAATATTGAGGGATTACAGTAAGGAAGTTTTGCCGGCAGTGGGAAGGTGGATGACGGGGATGAGCAAAGCAGGCCTACACCGAGCGGAGCTGCCAGGCGCCCTCTGAGACGCGACTCGCTTTGGCCGATGACTCCAGATGGCCGCTTGTTCTCCTTCACTTGGCTAATGCTACACACCGGACGCATCGTGACAACAATTCTGGATGGCAACAACGATGATCGTAGAGATATGAAAAAGGTGCAGAACTAAGCACGACGACAAAAGCAATGTTGTCAAGAGTCCTCATCCTCTGCCTGCCGCTTCTTCTTTTCGATCTCTCCCGCCCGGCCTCGTCACCCTGCTCTTTCCTATGCTGCCGCTTCCGTTTCTCCTCAATTGTGGGTGCGACCTGCTCCTCGGGTGCAACAAATGCTTCGGCTCGTTTTGCACGCCGTTCTGCGGTAACCTCTTCTTGCTGAGTATGCTGTCAGTGATGATTTAGCGAGCGATATTGTGGGTATGGGTCTACCTTTTCCTTCCGCTTCTTCGCCTCTCTTGCCTCCTTCTCGTGCGCCTTGAGGAAGTACTCTCCGGATTCGAGTTGCAGATCGACCTGAAGCAGACGATGAGCTGAAGCCTCTCATGGATGCAGCGATCACTCACCTTCCGAGGTTGTTGCGGTGGAGGGAACGGCGTGTACACTTTCTTTGCCTTTTCCTTCTGCGCTTCTTGCCGCAGTGGCAAGCCGGCAGCCTGGCGCGCCTCGTTCTTCTCTTGAAGCTTTTCGTTCTTCCGAGCCGTCTTCTCCGAAGTTTTGATATGACGTTTGCGGAACTTGGGAAGGAACCGGTCCCAGGACTCCGTGGCGAGCTGTGGATCCTTCGCCAATTCACGCTTGATCATGAGCTCCTATAACAAACTATGAGAGTGCCAAGCGCAGATGGAAGAAGCAAACGCACCTTGATGCGGTATATTGGGTGGATGTTCTTCAAGCAGTCGAGGACAATCCCCCTGACTTCCTTCAGCCCTTTGAACGGCCCCATTACAGATACGGTGCTTCCTTGCACCAGAACATAGCACTGCGTGAGGAGCTCTATGGCCTGCAGAACGTAAGGTTGCGCATTGAAAGCGACCGAAGTACCGCACCTTTAGAGTACTACCGTCAGGCCCAATAATTCTCTGTCTCCGCTTGACGAAACGTTCCTTGTTGCGCACGATGTTCCCAATTTTGATGATGTCACAAGCAACATCGTCGTTCAAGATCTTCATGGCCTGTCCGACGGCAACTCCTCTGGCCAGGAGTTTAATCATGTCGCGAGCCTTGAGAATGATGTAGGGGTCGTATGTTTTTCGCGTTGTCTTCACGGACATAGAACCATGAATGAGATCCAGTGTGCATGCGATGCCCTGGGGAATGCATGAGCTAACATAGCGCATACACTTGGACAACGTACATGCGGGTCCAAAGCCTGCGTGACGGCACTCCATGCTTCTCGCAGGTACTTTTCTCGGTACTTGGGGAACAATGTGGCGAAGGAAGATTCCTCTGTGAAGGGTCCAGCTTTGTTGTCCGCAGACTGGAAGGGGTCGATCTTCCACTGCGAGCAGGGTCACAAACATGCGACTTGAAGCAATAGCAGAGCGCTCACACTTTGGAGGCACGCTGTAAGCCACAGAGCACAATAACGTGAACATTTGCTTACTGGTCAATGTCATCCGTGTCCCATGCTAATGGGGCGGATGAGCTGAGCGCCACAATGAAGGCAAGTGCATGAACATACGCTTGTCCTTTCTATGCCTCTTGTTCTTGTTGGCAATTGATGCAGTATCTTCCTCTTCAGACATTCCCGTCGTTTATTCGATGAAAGATAGCGGGTGAGTGTCAGTCGAGAAGTTAAAGTGGGGGTAAAGAGTCGAGCGTGGTGGCGTCGGAAAACCAGTCACCAGAAGCGCCCTTGTGCAGACGCCCAGAGCGAACGCGACTCGCGAGTCGGAGACCATGGCCGCGGCCAGGCCACCCGCATTTCTTCTTGCCCACCATGGATTTCTCAGAGGAATACTCCGCTGCCGTCTCCGAGCCTCCTCTCCCTTATGACGACCCCATTCCCGCCGAAGATGTCGCCCCAGCCACAATGGATTCCATAGACCCCACCGAAGCTGGTCCTTCCCTCGCCGACCGCATCGGTGCCACCAAAGTTTACCTCGTGTCCGACGCGTCGAAGTCAAAGGGCGGAAAGGTGCGCTCGAAACATATATACGCGAGGTGGGACGGCGAACCTGATCCGGTAGTCCTCGCCATCTCTCTCCTGGTCTTTCTCCCTCCCAACTCTGGCCGCATTCCCGCCGCAAGCGCAAGCGCGACGATGACGACGAAGGTCAAGCGGGCGACGTGGACATGGAAGAGCGCGGTGTGTGCAGCCCCTCGTTATGTCGTGCGCGTTCTGCTTACTTGACCTTCGTGTAGATGATTTGGTACGCGAGAACGCCATCCTTCTCCGAGGCACCCCGATCTCGCACCTGCCCACCTCGAACATCTTCGCGTACGTCTCCCACTTCGACGCGCACCTCCTCGGCCTCGAGTGGATCGACGACACCACCTGCGTCCTCGTTTTTGAGTCCAAGACCGATGCGCGCACTGCCTTTCGCGCCCTCCAGAAGTCCTCCACCGAGGACCCCTCCCCCATCGACGATATGGTCACCGCGAAGTCGGTCCCGATGGGCGTGTGGCCCGCGGAGCACCGCATCAAGGCGACGCTGCCCCAGGCTTCGGAAAGCCCGCTCAAGGAGACCGTGCGCATGCGCTGGGCGCGCCCCGAGGACGTGAAGAAGCGCGGCGCGAAGAAAGAGAGCCAGTTCTACAGGAAGTACGGCGAGCAGGCGGGCAAGACGTTCGACGAGGGCCCGTCGCTCCCTAAGCGTCGCCGACCCGCCAAGCGCGGCCCCGTTGTGGACGCGGACGAGCGCGCGGCGCTGGACGCGGAGCTCGACAGCTTCCTTGCTGAAGATGACGACGACAACGACAACGGAGGGCGCGACGCGCAATCGCTGGGTACTACGTCCAGGATGCGCTCAGATCACATGGGGAATGACGGCAGGTCGTTGTTGGAACGCACGTCCATAATGCGCGCGCACCCGGAGGAAGAACGCCCGACCGCGTCACTCCCACGCCGGGCAAGAGGGAGACGAGGGGCAGGAGATTGGTTTGGGGATTTGGAGAAAATGGAGCTGGGGGACCGGCTCGCGGACGCTGAGCCCGAAGGGCATTGGAGGGGTGGGCGACCTCGCGGCGGGCGAGACAGAGGAACGGGGCGGAGAGGACGAAGGCCACCACGCTCGAAGGTTACCCAGGAGGATCTCGATGCGGAATTGGACGCTTTCTTGAAGGGTGACTAGTCGTTTGAATTCCCGGTCTACCTTGGCCATTAATGTATAAAGTGTATGCCTAGATTAATTTGTATTGTACGGGCCGTCTTGTCGCTGGAATCCCATCTCCCTCTCTACAACTGTCACTGCATGGACGAAGAGCGAGTCGACTGTTGAGCCAGAGGAATGCGTGGCCAGCGCCAAGTGCACACCTGGGCACCCACTACTCGGGGGCCATAGTTTTGAGCTAGTGCACCCCGAATATCAGGCTCGTTGAGTAGTCTTCCAGCCGAAACAATGCGCACCTGGAGTCCGTGAATGCCCTGAATCTCTTCCTTCAACGTCTGATTCACTAGTCGCTGTTGCTTCACGAGGGGTAGGCCTTTGAAATGCTCGCTGGTAATCCTGATGTTATAGAACGTTCCGCATCCGCCTGTTTGATGCAAATCTGTTCTGAGGAACCCCTTCAGAACAGCGCGCGACTGGCGATGCTCACCGGACACGTCCTCCACATGCAGGTCGGAGGGCGCGAACTTCTCGGCGAGTTTCTGGTATATCACCTTTTCACCGTCCGTCGAGAGGTTGGGCTGCGCTACTGAATACAACCGTGCGAGAGTAGGCACGGTGACGAGCGGTCGCGATATTCGTCTGGCGAGCGCGAGTGCAGTAAACATGACGGAGAGAGGATCTGGACTCTGGAGGGACAGTGCAGGTGCCACGCGCGCCGAGAAACGCGGTATACCTGGTATGTAAGCGACGCGCCCGCCCGGCCCGGAGGATTTTGCAATTCCAATATTGGGATTCTGACACTCGATTCTTCATACGATCCCAGGGCGGACCACTTCATGATGCTAGTGCACAGACTCGCAACGTGCATGCTGAGGAGATGTTGCAGGTAACAGAAATAATAAAACACTAAGAGAGCAATACTACAGTCAGCGAATTGGGGGGAACGTCTTCCTTTGTTGCTCAATCACATTCATCAGTCGATGAGCCTGTGCACACGGACGTCAGTATGTATGTATCGCTGAGTTTTCGCTATGCGCACCGCGGCATCCTCTGGCGGTAACGCCCCCTTCGCCATGTTGTGCTTCCCGAACTTCAGCCTATGCCGGTGCCTCTGCGGGAGCTTTTCCGTGCCCTCCTGCGGCACGAGCAGCCGCTCGCATTCCTCCTGCGTCGCGACGTGGCCCTGCAGAAGCGAGAAGAACTTATGACGCAAGACGGTCTTGATGCACTCGAGCGCGTGCGTCGCGTACCACCCGTCGCGCTCGTTGCACGTCTCGCGCAGCGTCTCTTCATCCTCCGCCTCGATCATTTCCTTCAGCATCGGGTCCGTGATGTCGCACAGCTGGAACGCGGCCGTCTCGGACGTGGCCGAGAGACCGTCGAAGACGTGCGACCGTCGTTCGTCCATGCCGGAGAATCGGGCTTGCGCGGACTCGACGCGCTGCTCTTGCCGACGGGAGACGACAGAGGGTCGAACGATAGGGTGGTTGACGTTGCGGAAGTAAAGCCGTTGGTAGCTAGGCGATGTGGATTGTGAGCAAGCGCAGAACCATGCAGAAGGTGCGAAGACGTACAAACGAGCGTCTGGATCCTGACGAGGGTCGTAGCCAAGGCGAACGTACGTATCTCGCCAAGGACCATCTTCGAACACGTACGACACCAGAGGCAAAAGGTACTTGGAGCTAGAAGTAACGCTGTAGAGGGCTCGTCATACGACAGATCTAGACGGCTTACTTGATAATATCTCGAATCTCCATTGGAGTAAATTGATTAAAGACGGCCGCACGAGTCCAGACAGGGCGTTCTGTGAAAATCTGAGGTCTATAATGAGTGCTTATGTGGTTAAAATAAGAAGGTGAACGGACCTCTTCTAGCTTGTTCAAGATCTTCTTGTCGGCTGTATCACGCTGTTCTTCGACTGCATTCGATGGTTTGTCTGGGATCTGTACATTGCAATAAGTTCCCGGTGACCTCTGGTCGAGCGGGTCTCGCCTTACGTTCTTGTCGGAGTATGCGACAGAAATCGGCCCAAGGCCCTTCCAGCGCATACGGTTAATCAACCGTCTCTTCTCGACGCCAGTGTCGTCATCTACGACGATGGTTTCTACGGAGGCCGTGTTGGCTTTGTAGCTAAGTCTATGTCAGTATTTGTATCCATCCGCGGGATATTACACTCACCCATAGTTCTGAGGCACGCCTTGTCTGCTAAACAGTGGTGGAGGAAATAGTCGGAGATTGCTTCGTGTTTTTGTGGCAGAATCTGCATTCGGTGCTGCGAGCGTCCTTTCACCTTCTCCAAGTAGCTGGGGATCGATGGCCATTGCGTCTACGGTAGACTCCGCGACTGTGTCATCAATAGTGTAGTTCTCTGTCTCCGGTGCAATGTGATACTGGAGTATTCCCTCGACTATATGCGCGTGGGTTCAGTGTGTCCCTTACGCTCGCCATATGATAGTATCTTACCGTCCATAGTGTCCATTGACTGGCGCAACTTTGCGATAGGATCAGACATGTCTGGCCGGAACTGGAAGTCCGCCATGCCTGCATCCGCATCCTCATTCAGAAAAATTGTAGTCCTGCCTTTCTCAAGGCTCGCACGTACTTCTGAAGCGAGCGGTTTTCGGCACGACCCCGACCGCTTGGACGGTGTACTCTCCGACCGACCGACCCTCCTCACCACCCTCGCAACGTTTGCGTTTGCGCTTCACAACCTTCAGCACAATGTTGCAGGTAGGCACGACTTCTCCGGCGACGGGATGGGAGTACGGGTCGCCGGGTCGCAGGTGCAGCTCGAGCAACGCTTCGCCGCCGCGCGCAGGGCGGCGGAACGCGGTCTCGAGTGCAGAGGCGCCGCCGAGACGTCCTACAGCTTGAGGAACAGATGTTGAGCGAACGTAACCTGGGTACTCGATAGAGTAGAGATGTGCAGTAGGGAGTGGGTGCAAGCGCGCCGAAGGAGGCTGGGAAGGAGAACTTGAAGCGCGTGAGGGTCCTGTTTCCTGTGGAGGGAGAGTGGAGGGTCCTGCTTCAGGTTGCGTGTATTGTATATTCATGGAATGCCTATAGTGGGGTCGGAACTGGAAGGGCGAGGTAGGAAGGATACAAGGCTGAGCGCTGAGCGCTGAGGCTATTATTATTATTATTATTCTCATTCTATCCCTATGCGTCACATATTGTCGGAAAAAGGATTTCCGTCTTGCAAGGCGGCTATCTGGCAACGATATGGCAATTCAAGGCCACGGTCTTGATCGCGCATTGCAACAACCTTGCCACGCCCAGGTTCGACTGGGATCGATTGCAAGATGACGAACATCCTGCGACACCATATCAATCGGACCGATCCCCTTGCAACGGCACGGCTATAGTTGAACTCAACCTGCCCTGAAGTGCCTTCGCCTGTCAGAATTTCAAAGTTGAACTTTGCGTCTGAGACCAAATCGTGTCTCTCGCTCTCTCCTCCCATACTCTCTCTCTTCCAAACTCCCCTCTCAACGCTTACGAACATCGACCGTCCGTCGACAACACTTTATTCCCCACCAGTGCACCACACCTGCCCCGGAAATTATGTCGCTCGTCGTCTGATGTTGCTATTTGCCCGCCTGTTGAGTCCACACTTGTCCTCTGTCCCTCCTCCATTGCGTCTCTCCTCGTATCGACGTCAATCATGCCCTGCAACCCCTCCCTTGTGCTTTGCATCTGTGTCAGTTTCTCTCGGCCTCCCTGGTTACTCCCTGGTGCCGTTCATATCACACTGTTCACTGTCGGTCTGGGCTCTTGTCGCTCTCCACTGCCTCGTTCTCTTTCCTCAACGTCCTCGCCCTCATACCTCCCATTTCGTCGTCTCCGTTTCCCGTGTTCATGCTCGGTCTCTCGCCTGGACTCCCAGGATACTCTACTAGGTTTGCCAGGATCACCGTTGACACCGTCTGGTGCATATCATGTCGATCTTTGTGTAGTAGTTTAGTAAATGCCATTATTTGAGACCATTACAAGCGTGAATCAGTAAAAAGGACGACAGAAAAACGGGACTGCAAGACTGGAGCCCAAATTGCAAGGCGGGAACAGCCATTTAGCGCGCGGTCTTGCGATGACCTTGCCAGAGAAACTAGTCATCTGGCAGGAACATTTCCATTCGGATCAATCTTGGGACTATTGCAATGGCGTTGGAAGCGCTTGCAAGCCCGATTCGGTTTTTCCGACAATGCACGCTGAGCGCTGAGCGCTGAGGCCTGAGGCCTGAGGCCTTGAAACCGATCATGTGATCGTTTCTGGAGCCCAGACGCGTTCTGGTCGCTCCGGATGACCGTCTCGCCCTTGACCTCGACCTCGCTGCCTATGTATACGCTCTAACTGCACCGCGCCGCCAATCTGCCCGCACAACCTTTCTGCTTCTTCCATCGTCGCTAGGCTTTCATAGGAGGTCGACATGCTTGCGCGCGCACTCTTTGAGTGCCACAGCTTCTCGTTCGCGCATCTGTCGCGGCAAGCCTCGCGCCGACTCTTCCACCACAACCCGCTCAGGCCTTCGCCCTCAGCCCTCCGAGCAAGTGCACCATCACTCTCACAGGGGTTCTTAAAGCGATCCGCGCCATGGGCTTCAAGTAGCAGAAGCTTCACGCTCCGAGTCGCGGCACCCCGCCGTGCATTCGACCCCCGCTTCTTCTCATCGAATGCGGCGCAGTTCAGCACCGGCGAGCTCCCTGTACTCTCGCCGCCTGCGGTGGGAGGCTGGCTGCTCGCGTCTGCCGGCCTCGTATTCGCGGTCATCGTAGTCGGAGGGGTAACACGTTTGACCGAGTCCGGACTAAGCATTACGGAGTGGAAACCCATCACGGGCGTGCTGCCCCCGCTCGGCCGGGCGGACTGGGAGGAGGAGTTCAACAAATACAAGGCCACACCAGAGTTCAAGCTGTACGTCCTCCGCCTTCACTGCACTCCCTCTCCGCGTTTCCCCGACGTCGTGCGCCCGCGCCCCCGCTGACGCAGCGTGCCCGCGCCCGCTCGCAGACTGAACCACGCGATGACCATCGACGAGTTCAAGAACATCTTCTACATGGAGTGGGGCCACCGCGTCCTCGGCCGCATCATCGGCGTCGGCTTCGTCGTCCCGCTCGCCTACTTCGCCCTCCGCAAGCGCCTCACCGCGTCCCTCCCCCGCCAGCTCTTCGGCATGGCGCTCCTCATCGGCGCCCAGGGCGCGCTCGGCTGGTACATGGTCAAGTCCGGGCTCGAGGACGCGCTCATGGACACCCCGGGCGCCGTCCCGCGCGTGTCCCAGTACCGGCTCGCGGCCCACCTCGGCACCGCCCTCGTCCTCTACGCGGGCATGTTCGGCACCGGGCTCGCGGCCCTCATGGACTGGCGGTTCGCGCACCGCGGCGCGTGGTCGGGCACGCCGGACGGCGCGCGGTGGCAGGAGGTGCTCGCGAGCCCGCTCGTGCGCAGGTTCGGGGCGCGGGCGAAGGTCCTGACCGGCCTCGTCCTCATCACGGCTCTCTCCGGTGCGCACCATCCATCGTCTCCACGTGAAGCGCGCTGAGCGACCGCCCTGCGCCCCAGGCGCGTTCGTGGCGGGGCTCGACGCGGGGCTCCTGTACAACGAGTTCCCGCTCATGGGCGGAAGGCTCGCACCCCCGGCGGACGAGCTCTTCGACCCCGCGTACGCGAAGCGCGCGGACAAGTCCGACCTCTGGTGGCGCAGCATCTTCGAGAACCCGACGACGGTGCAGTTCGACCACCGCTGCCTGGTGAGCCCGCCCGCCCGCCCTCTCTCCCTCGCTACGTGCCCCCCACTGACGCGCCCGCGCAGGCGATCACGACGTACGTCGCGACCACCGCGCTCTACTGGACGACGCGCCGCCCGGCGCTGGCGGCGGCGCTGCCGCCGCTCACGAAGCGGATGATGGCCTCGGCGCTCGCGATGGTCAACGTGCAGGCGCTGCTCGGCATCTGCACCCTCCTCTACCTCGTCCCCGTCCCGCTCGCGGCCGCGCACCAGGCGGGCAGCGTCGCGCTCCTCACCACCGTCGTCCACCTGCTCGTGTCCCTCGGAGGCCCGGCGCCGCGGCACAGCGTGGCGGCAGGCGCTGCAGAAGGCGCAGAGTGCTTCCGCCGCTGTCCGAAGTAGTGGTTGCAGCCTGTCGTTCGCCCCGCGTTGCGCCGAGGACTTACTGTAGAGCTCCTAGTAATTGTAGATCCACGCACCCTCTGCTCAATAGCCACACCATCCACACACTGGAGCGCCGTCAGACAAAGTATCAACCCTGGGCAGAAACGAGCATGCAAGGGGAGGGGAGTCGCTCGCGCTCGTTTTCCGTAAACTCCCCGCTCCCCACCTCTGTCGGCATGGCTGTCGTACCACCGCTCCTGCTAGACCCATCAGGTGCACGTGGCGGGCTATGTCTTCACTCTCGAAGCCATCCCATCTCTGCGTCGCGACTCACGGCTTCTCAGAGGACGTCGGAGGAGTGCGGTCACTCCGCGCTGCCGACCGCTGCTTCAGACGCCATTTCTATCTCGAGCCCGCAGCTCCTCCCCCGGAAGGTGCGCCAATATGGTCACCATGGACGTACGTGCCGTACTCTTTGGTGAATGGTCATCTGAGCGGATTTGGCTCTCCGCAGAAGCGAGAGTAACGCATGAGCTGAAGGTGATCGAGTACCGTGTAAATCACGAACTAAGGGTCCCTGACCAAAAAAACGATCGATGGCGTCATGTGTGCGAAGAGGTTCGGAACCACGCGCGAACATGCTGAGAAATGTCGTAGTTGCATCCCTCTGTATATATCCTTTGGTACCCCCTCCGAGCCCACCCAAGAGCAGACTCTGTGGGCACCTTACGAGCTTCCAGACGGTGGCGGCGGACCCTCGAACTTCATGCATCACGATGACCCCGCTGCGAGGCAATGGCAGCAGCAGCGCCGACGTCGACCTTTCCCCCCAGACGTGCTTGTACCGTAGAGCCCCTCGTCGTTCGCAGTCCCGCGCACCCTCCCGCTCCATGGTCGCACTAATATTACACTGTGGTAGCGCCGCCAGACACGGTCGACACCACGCCGCCGCCGCTTTTCCCGTCCTCGAACTTCGTCCTCCCCCTCTCACTCGCCCATGTGCACGTCCTCGTCGCCCGCTGCCGCTGCGGGCGGAGCCGCCGCAGCCGCGCCGCAGCCGTCGGCGCAGGCTCGCCGGTGTCCTTCGGGATCATGCTCTGGAGGTAGACCTCGATGACCTCGCCCTCGAGGATGCGGAAGTCGCCGGCCGGGTTCACGTCCTTCTCGTGCGTGCCGACGGGGCCGATGATCCCGATGGAGGTGTTGTTGATCGTGAGCTCCTTGTCCTGCTGGAGCGTCTCGCGGAGCGCGTGGAGGCCGTGCCGGATGAGGTCCTCGAGCGAGCCTGCGGGGTCGGTGGAGTGTGAGCGGGACGCGGGGACGTGTGTGGCGTGGGGGAGGGGAGTCCATCAAACAGAAGATGGGACAGTAGAAGAAAGGACGGAAGACGAGGGGCAAAGAAAACAAGGCGGAAGGTAGGGGACGCTCACAGTCCGCGAACGACTCGTAGTGCTTCTCGAGGTACGTCTTCGCGCTCTGCGAGCGCGCGCCGATCGACATCGCGTAGTACTCGTACGAGTTGCCCGAGGGCGAGAACTCGTACAGGTGCGGGCCCTGCTTGTCCTGCCCGATCACGAGCAGGCCCACGCCGTACGGCCGCGGCCGTACTCCTGCGTGTTCACCTGCGCCTCTGCGGCCGGGCGCGATCGGTGAGCGGGGGTGTGCGCGCGCGGAAGGAGGTGGGGGGGACGTACTGTCGGCGATCGCGGACACGAGACGGTTTACGGGCGCGGGACGGTTGAAGAGCATGCGGGAGGACATGGCTTGTTGCCGCATGAAGTTGCTGCGATGGGGGTGAGGGACGAGGCGCACCGTGCACAGGAGAGCGGACGGACCTGAGGACACGGGCGTCGGAAGTCAGGCCGGCAATAGCGATCCCGACATGGTCATCTATTCGGTACATCTTCTGCTGGTACGAGGCGAGCTCGCCAAACGACCGCTAGGGACACGGTAGGACGGTGATCAGAATGCACAGAAGTCGATTTGAGGGTGTATGCGCACCTTGAGAGCAAGCAGGATCGCGTGTGTCTTGGATCGGAGGCCGACCGCGGCCGAACCCTGCTTTACGGCCTCCAAAGCATATTCGACTTGGTGAAGACGGCCTTGGGGAGAGAAGACGGTGTTATCGGAGTCGTAGGTGTTCCTGAACTACGACCAACAGTTAGCGGCAAGACAGACGGGCGTGAAGCACGCGTACCATGATGGAAGACGGGGGAGAGAGGCGGGATGGCTGAGCGCGGAGAGGCGTGCACGGGCACAGGTGACGCGTCGTGGGCGACGCGCAAGTTCTCCGCGTTTGGAAATCTAGGCGCCGCGACTTGACTCTTTTCGTCCACTCATCCATCGCATCGCCGGATGACGTCGACCGACCCGGCTCGCTTGCTGGTGTGCCTCATGTTGCTGTCGCCCACCTCGATGCACGGAAGAAGGGATCGCGCGCGGGATCGAGTCCAAGCGCACTGCGCAGACGCTCCATCTGCAGGCTAGATCCAGCCATCGCCCATGCGCCGATGCGAGCCTGCCTCCTCGCCGGCTGACTTACGAAGATACTTACAGTTCTGGCATGAATCCATCGTCATCATAATCCTCGCCGGCTGGCCGCGTCGTCCGACGAGCGTGGGCCCCATTTCCGGGGCGGCTGCGATGGGCTCGAGAATGACCGCCGCGCGCGATTCGGCCGCCCCGCTGGAGCGTGACGCAGAGTCGGTCGGTGAGCGAGTGCATCCCATCGCGCGGGGCTGCAGCTGCGAACGTGTCGTTCCGACACCTGCGTCCGAGAAAATGCTGCTGACAGCGCGACGGTCTGCGGAACGGCCGTGCGTCGGGGACCGCGAACGCGCACACACACCCTCCCACTCCACGATCTCGCCTTTCCCCTCGACGGTGCGCACAAGCTTGTCACGCGCGGTCAGCGTTCAAACATTCACCTGCGTCTGCAATAATGTAGCTGCGCCGTGCGCTCGGACGTCCAAACGTGGATCCTCTAACACAATCCTCGCATATCTTAACACCGGGCAGACCCGGTCCACGGCTTGAGCCCAGGAGCATCTTCAAGGAACCTTCGTACACGCTCCCCCCGCGGCGGGCCCCACAACTTCGCGCAGAGGTCCGCCCCGAGCACACGCTTTCCTCGCGCCCGCAGGCCACGGTGCGCACACGGGACCACGAACCACGTCGTGCGAGAAGCGTTCGGGCAAGCGATTACATTGCGGTGGACAATACGTCGCCGGCGAGTACGTACGGTGCGGTGCGGGCCCGTTCCCCCGTGTCCCGCGCGTCGTGTATGTGTCGCGGGGGAGGGCGGGGACAACGGCGCGGGATGCGGCGTACTCGCCGCTGCGAGCGTCCGCTGTGGGTGGTTCGGTACGGTATGGGACGGGTGCGGGGTACGTACGGTCGCGCGGGAGTATGCCTGCGATGGGGGCTGTAAGATATAGGACGGGGCGGGGGGCGGGGAATGGGCTGAGGCAGTGGCACTTATTCTCGCGGTATGGGGTTTACGTTTACAGTTGGGGCGGGGATGGGGACGGGGGCGAAGGAAAGGTTGGGAATGGAGCGGGACGTCGTCGTGCAAGTATTTGTACAGGTCGTAAGTCGTGAGACGAACGTCTATTGCCGTCGCGTAGTGGACGACAGGAGCGGGTCTATGAGGGGGATATGCTGACAACGTGATGCGTGACGACAAGGAAGCGATGATAGCAGCGAATATGATACTTGGGCCGATGTGCTGGGAGCGCAATGATGATGATGTGGGGCGACGACGATGAGAACAAACGTGGGCAGGACCGAGAGCATACATGTGATAAACAGATGCGCATGCAGGAGCCAAGGACAACGTTGATGAAAGAGATGCAGGGTGGAAGCATGCAAGAGTCGTGGACACGATGGGCGGGTAACTGTGGGGATGGTAGTATGGGTGCGGGGTGGGAATGCGGGTGGGGATGGCGTGCATGCGGAGGGGAAGAATGGGAACCACAACCAGAAACCGAGGGTAGAAAGATGGGTGATATACACTATGGGACAGGATGGTGATCGCCGTGTTCGCAAATGTGCGGGAGTGATGAAGTACCCTCCCAGTCGCCGGCGCACGGTGAGCGGCCCGAACGTTCATGGAGTAACCACCTTGTTGAAGGTAGGAACGTGAACGTCCTGGTCGACCATCGTGGTCTCTGACTCGCTTTCCAGCGGCCTCGCCAGGCGCTTGCGGTGCCGCTGTGAGACCAGGCGTACGTATGGGCATGAGTGTACATCATGACTCCAGAGGGGTATGTGACTAACCTGTTTTGTCGCCTCCACGCTGTCGCGCCTACGCTCGTCGCGTTCGAGCCCAATCGTGAGCGCAGCGAAGTCCATGAGCGCCTGCGCCTTCTCCTTCGCTAAGCTCTCCTCCGCTTGTGAAGCCACGCGCTCCTCGATGGACTCCGACGCGCTCAAGACCTTGCCGCGCGTGTCCCGTCCCCGCCTCCGATGCGACCCCTTCCCCACCCCGAACAAGCTACCTCCAGCGCGACTCAGGATTTCGGGGGCGGGGAGAAGGCCTCCCGACGAATCCTTCTTGCAGTGACGAGCCGCCCTGCCTGACTTCTCACTGTCTCCGTCAGACGAGTTTTGCGTAGAGCCTGGGATTGGTGGTAGTCGCAGAGGGGCGCTGACGATCCGATGAGCGCGGTTGGGGGGTCCGGCGTGGAATCGGCACTGCCGCCCATGGCGGCACGGTGCCGCTGGCGGTGGGCTTGAGAGGACGAGACAGGGTGGTGGCCCGGCATGCGGACGAGCGAACCTGCGGGGGTGGATATGACGCTGTTGAACAACGAGGTTCGTACGGGGGACCGCGATATAGGTGCCGTGGGCGCGAAGACTTCCGACTGTGTGCTCCACATGAAGGGTGACGACGTGCAGAGTTCGGTAAGGCTGTACTGTCGTCCGTGCCCAGATCCCTGCTTGGCGGTCGCAAAAGTGGGCGTGCGCTCTACGAGAGGCTTCGGAGGCTGATTCGCCTTCGCTTTGTTCTCCTTGCGCTTCTCATCGGAATTGCGGTGTTTACGTTTCGGTGACCCTGTCGTGGTGGGTGGGTTATCGGGATGAACGACCTGGCGACGGGAAGACAGAAGGACGTCTGATGCGGATGTGCAAGGGTCGAGTGCCCTCTCGAAGTTCCTCGAGCCGACCGGGATAGTGGGCGAGGCCGTCGCGCTAGAAGCTCGAGAACCCCGCGAACACGGGGACTCTGTGGTCACAGGGAATGGGTACTCCGAGGGCTCGGTCCGGGGTGCTCTGCCTTTGCCCTTGCTGGATCTAGACCTGGACGGAACCGCATCTTCCAATGATTCGTCTACCGACGAGAGAGACGTCGATGTTCCTGTTGATGTCCGAGAAAACAGGGTGGACGACGAGGCTGTGGAGAGGAAGCCAGAACTTGAACTTGAAGAGCTCGAGCCCAGCGCGTGCCTGCGTTGATGAAGGGGGGCGGAGGAGGAAGAGGCGTGGCCACTGCTGGGGTTGGATTCACTGGACCTACTGCTGCTCGAGTACCCAGCTCCGTGCGCGCGGTGTTCGTCGCTCAGGTGCCACGACATCTCCTTCTGGTATCCCCACATGGGCATCGTCGTGTACGAGGGAGTGATGAAGACGATGGGAGGAAAGATTGGTGGGTTGTTCAGTGTCGGCAGGGCGTCATGTACACTTACCGGAAGCTGGGTGGTAGGTGAGGGGGGAGAGTCTGGATCACTTTCCGCGGACTTGGAACTCGGGAAGTTCACGAACCGGCCGCCTTCATGTTGGGCCCCAAGAGACTGCGCGCATCAATGGCCCCGGACGAATGGCGAGTGAGTTGGGAAAAGGTGAGGGAGGCGCGGGAGCCATGTCTGGTGGGAAAGATGCTTGGGGACGATGCGGGGAGGAGGGGCAGGAGGGGATAGAATCGGCAGAATGCAGGCTCTGGGTATCGGCGAATTCCTCAGCGGCCTGGTCCTGTAGGCCGCGGAGGATGCGGGAAGAGGTGAAGACGAAGGAGGGGGTGGCATTGCCGGTGTTGTTGGTGTTGCCGGCAAAGGTGGAGGAGAGGATGGGTTTGCAGTCGTCGAGATTGATGAAGGACGGTGGTGGGGATTTGTTGGTGAGCGCTCGAGAGATGGGACTATGGAAGAGGCGGTTAGCAAGTGGGGCGGGGACGATAAGCGGGGTGGACTGACCTATCGGGAAGGACGGGGCGGGTGTGGTGGTGGGGCATTACTAGACGGGGGCGGGGGACATGGTGGACGGGCAGAGGCTCGTCGTGTGGCCGGAGGATTGGCGTATTCCTCATATACGCCGGTGTGGGGTAATGCAGCAAGGGATCGTGAAGGGGCCACATCCTCTCCCCATTGGCTCTCTCGTCCCCAGCCCTACGCTGGGGTTCCCCGCCCCTCGTCATTCCCGCCGGACGTGCACAAGCAACCTGAGCCTATCCACTGCGCGCGAGCTCCACGCAAGGGTTGGGCAGGCCATTCTCCTTCGCACGCGTTCAACTCCCCTGCTTATCGTCCTCGCTCGCGCTCCCACCCGCCCGCAGCCCGAAACCGACGCCGATCCCCAGCCGCGCTCCTAATCGCTCTCCGTCTCTATCGCCCACCACCACCGTTCGTCGCCTCCAGCCGCAGACCATGGCCCAACCGGTCACCCTGACCGTCCCGGCTCGAACAAGAAGATCACCGTCCCACTGGGCTCTTCATCAACAACGAGTTCGTGCCGTCCGTGGATTCAAAGGAGACGATCGAGTACGTCTGCCTCGCGCCTGCGTTCGCCGAGGCCGGCGGGCCTGCGCGCGGCACCGAAGCCTGCGCACCGCCGCGTGCTGCAGGCAGCTAAAGCCGCGCTAGGCATCTGGGCTCTATTTTGTTCGCGTGCTGACCGACTTCTAGCTGCATAAACCCTGCCACGGAAGACGTTATCTGCTCCGTCGTCGCAGGTGCGTCCGAGCCACTCGGCCTCTGTCCGACCTCCGCTTGCGCGCACGCAGGTCTTCAACCAGGCCCTTGCACGTCGATCGCGCGGTGGGCCCGCGATCGGGGCCGCGGATGCTTCCGCTCGCCCCGTCGCGGTCGGTCCTCGGGCTGCAGATGCTGACGTATGCGTCGCCTCGCGTTCTGGACAGGCTCCGTGAAGGACATCGACGTCGCCGTCGCCGCGGCGCGCAAGGCGTTCAAGACGACCTGGGGCAAGAACGTCACCGGCTTCGAGAGGGCGCGGCTGATCAACAAGCTCGCCGACCTCATCGAACGAGATGCGCAAGAACTCGCCGAGCTCGAACTCTCAACAACGGGAAGCCGGTCAAGATCGCCCGGTAAGCCGCGCGATCTCTGCCCTCGGGGCGTTGAACCAAGCCTCGCCGCCCAGCGACTTCGACATCGGCGACAGTGTCGCCTGCCTCCGCTACTACGCCGGCTGGGCGGATAAGATCCTTGGCCAGGTCCGTCGCGTTCCATACAGCCGACATGTGTGTAGTTTTCGCGGCCGGCGGCCGCTCCGCGCGAGCCGGAGTGTCTGGTCGCGAGGTTGCCCAAACAGGGTCGAGCCATGTGAAGGCGAGCTGACGATCGAGTGCCTCGCAGGCGATCGAGGTCGACAACAAGACCAAGTTCGCGTTCACCCGCCACGACCCGATCGGAGTCTGTGGCCAGATGTGCGTCGCGGATCCCTGCTTCGACAAGGCGTCAACTCACCTACGCTCCGCTCAGCATCCCATGGAACTACCCCATCAACATGTGGCACGTACCGTCGTTGCTCCTGCGCTAGGGCGTGTGCTAACTTGAGGCCCCCAGGTCGTGGAAGGTCGCCCCCGCTTTGGCGTGCGGGTGCACCATCGTCATGAAGCCCTCGGAAATTACGCCACTGACCGCGCTGGTGAGCCCTCTTCTATTCGTAGACTCCCGCCGGGGCGCGAAGTGCGTGGAGCCTAGGCGGCACATCGTGTTGTCGGTTTCGCCCATCGTCACATGTGCTCGTTGGGGCAGAACACCGGAATCGAGCGGCGGCGGCCCCCCTGTCGACAGTAAGCTTGCCCGTGGTGGGGCGGATGCGGCTTCGATGTCTGCCCGCTTGTACAGTACATCGTTCTGTGCATCGGCCGAGGTGGACGAACGTGTCGTCGTTGCAGCGTGCGCTTTGTCATCCTGTCGTCCGCCTTCCCTCCTTCGCTGCGCCCTGACATCGTCACCTCGCTGTTATCCTGATGTACTGATGTGCAAGCCCGCCGCAGAAATTGTCTGAGCTCATCGTCGAGGCTGGGTGCGTCATTCGCAGCGCGTCGCTGCCAAAGTACTGCTATATAATCTTCTCCTCTGTCGTCCGTTCAGCTTCCCGCCCGGCGTTGTCAACACGGTCCCGTCGCTCGGCCCCGTAGGTGGTCAGGCGTTGTCCGAGCACAGGGATGTCGACAAGGTCGCCTTCACCGGGAGCACCGTCACCGGCCGGAAGATCATGGAGGCCGCCGCGAAGAGCAACCTGAAGAAGGCGCGTCCCCTGCCATCCTGCTCACATCCCCATGCGCTCACGATGCGCTCACGTGCTCCCCCCGGATAGGTCAGCCTCGAGCTCGGGGGCAAGTCGCCCCAGATCATCTTCGAGTCGGCGGACCTGGACCAGGGTGCGTCTTACGAGATCGCGTGAGCCGTTTCCCACCGCTGATCTACGGCCCAACGCCCGCCGCCCGTGGACCTCGGCAGCCGCGAACTGGGTCGCCCTTGGGATCCTGTACAACACCGGCCAGGACTGCACCGCGGGCTCGCGGCTGTTCGTGCAGGAATCCATCTACGACAAGTTCCTCGACGTGCGTGACCTCGGGTGCAGAAGCCGCACCCTGTTGATGCCACGAGAACCCGACAGATTTGCGTCTCCAAATTCAAGCAGCACAAGATTGGCGACGGCTTCGACGACTCGAGTGCAGGCGGACCTGTGGTCAGTGCGCGCCCCCTCGCTTGGCGCTGCTCGTGCGTCAATGTCGTCGAGTCATCTAACGAACAAGACGACAGGTCTCCAAGATGCAATACGACAAGATTTTCTCGTACATCGACGCCGGCAAACAAGCAGGGGCCAAGTGTGTCCTCGGTGGAGAAAAGCGTGCTGGCAAGGGCTACTATGTCGACCCCACGGGTGCGCGCTCGGCGTTCGTCCTTAGGGAGACAAGAAATTTCTAACCGCTCGGCAAAACACCAGTGTTCGTCGACGTGACTCCTGACATGAAAATTGTGAGTTTCACATCCTCACACCCATCCGTTACGACTGTGCAGTGCTCGGGCTAATGCTGATATCTGCACCGCTTGCGCCGTTAAGGTTCGAGATGAGATCTTCGGTCCAGTGCTTTCGGTCGCAAAGTTCAAGACGGAGGAGGAGGCGATCGAGCTCGCCAATGACACCACCTACGGCCTCGGCGCCGGCCTGCATTCTAGTACGTGTGTCACACCGACTCGTGGGATTCCATCTAGCCGTCGTCGCTGCGCGGGATGTGCCCCTGCGGCCGTCACAATTTGTGGAGGATCCCGGATGCACATGCCCATCATCTGCACCGAGCCCGGATGGGAAGTCGGCGTGCACGCCGCCGGGGACGCACCACCGATCTCGGCCGGACGCGTGACTCCGTTCGTCGTTCTCACTGCTGACCATCGTGCATGTGTTTCTTTTTTTGCAGCGGACGCCAGCCAATGCATGCGCGTGTCGCAGGCTCTGGAGGCCGGCACGGTGAGTGGCGAGTTTGTTTCACCCCCTCCCACATCAATCTCGAGGAGGCTGGACACTCCGATGGCCCGTTCGGGGACACGACGCGGTCCAACAGTCGTGTCGCGACAAGGCGAGGCGAGCGCCTGTGGGATTCACGAACAATCTGCGCAGAGACGTCCGGTTGTTCCGAGCCGCAACGCTGATGACCGTCTTCGCCTTCTATCCCTCGCTGACGCCCGTCCGTCGCAGGTCTGGGTGAACCAGTACAACCTGCTCAACAACAACGTCCCCTTCGGCGGCAAGAAGCAGAGCGGCATCGGTGCGTGTGCCCTCTCTCGTTTCGTGGCCTCGCGCGCGTCCGGCTCTCGCGCGGATCGATGCGGGGCGTGGGGATCTGTCGGGACTTTCGCTGCCAAGGTGTTGGCATCGAAGGAAGGGCGGGATTGCTGGACGCGAGGCTGTGAAAAAGAACTGATGTTTGGCGACGGGTGCTAACGTTCTGCCTGCAATCGGCAGGTCGCGAGCTGGGCAGCTACGCCCTCGAGGAGTACACCTCCGTCAAGGCCGTCCACTGGAACTACGGCGAGAAGCTCGACTGGCCGCTGTGATCGACGGACCCGGCCGCCGGGTGAACGAAGACCGAGAAGATGACGAGCACCGTCATGGGCCGCATGTACGAATATTTTGTGTACCAAGTACGAACGGTGGACGGGAGAATTCGAGTCACATGCACCTTCGATTCGACCCGAGTAACCCCGCCGCGCGTTTGGATCTGGGCCCCCGTCGACGTCCTGTGCCGCACGCGACGGCAGCTCGTCGACGGGCGACCGGGCGCCGTCCGCGGCACCCGAGCCGGTACGGAAGCGGACGGCGAGTGCCGCGGCCCCTCTCAGACGAGCTTCGCTTGCAACTGCGGCCGCGATCGCGCGCGGTGGCGGCCGGTCGGAATCGACACTGCGTCGGCCGAGGAGGATGGGCGTGGGCGTGGGCGTGGGCGTGGCGCGCACTCGATGAAACCGAGAGCGTAGGGGCATGCCGTTCGTGGGGGTTCTGCGCTCGCGAACGGGCTCGACACGGCACGGACGGACTGTGCGCCCTTGTCCACACGAGTCGCGCGCCCCCCGCGCGACTGCGAATCAGAGATTGCGTGCCGCCCGTCAAACGTTCGAAGCCTGCCCGCAACCTGAGCGAGCGGGGCTCGTGCGTTGTACCCGGGGCTTCTCGCTTCTCGCCATCGTGACCGTTGTTGGAGCTGTGGAATCGACGCTGCTACGAGGCAGGCGCGCGCACGCGCTCGCCCGGTTCCGAGCCACAAGTGCGGCCGCGGCGGTGGGACCAGCGCGATCGGAAATGCGCTGCTCGGTTTTTTCACCGCCGCTTTTGTGCTCGAGTAAACGGGTCCAGTAGGAAGGTCTTGGGCCCCGTTCTGCTCTGTCCAACATACTTACTCGATCCCTGAGGGCGGTTTTCCCCCGAGTTCGCCCGACGGGGTCGCTCCCTGGGCACTTGCGGTACCCACGGCGCATCTGAGTCGCATCTGCGACCCACCGCCGCATGACAAGACGCCGCGCGACAAGCGTACGCAACCGAGCACGCCCGGTCCTGCGGCGCGCGGGGGTAGACAAGCCCTGCCGCCGGCTCTGGGGGTCCTGAGTAAGCCTGGGCAAGGAACGGCGGGACTGAGAAAGCGTCGCCGGAGGGGGCCGGGCTTTGCTTCGGGCGCGGCACGTGCAGGCCGTCGCGGAGGGTGGGTGGTTCACAGGGTCCGCGCTTCGCGTCCGCGCGGCTCGTGAGCTTCGCACAGATATGTCTGGACGGTTGGTCACGATCGGAGGGGATTCAGGATCCGGGAAACGAGGGTTTACAAGGGCCCGGAGTCCGCACGCAACGTAGTTCCATTCAGAAAACTTGAAGACAGTAAGCACGTTCGAAAGCGCGCGGCGTCTGCCGCCGCCTTACCAATTCAGCCGTCTCCCAGTGCTTTGTGTGCAGCGTACGGCTGTGCGAAGCATGAAACGCGTCGAGCCCCATATGTAGCGGGTCCAAGAAGTTTTTCTGGGACAAAGATTGGATGAAGATTGACGGGCTCGCGTGCAGACGCGCGGCGCGGAGCAAAGTTCGCGGCCGCGCCGCGCAACTGAGACTTCGCGCGGCGGTGGGGTGTGTGCGGGCCTGCGCAGGCCGCACGCGCTCCACGTACGGCGTGCAACGCCAATTGCATTTCCGGCGGAGGCCGCGAAGAAGGCTCGCGCAGATGGCCAGAGCGCGGGAGCGGAGCTGGAGGAAGGGACGGAGCGCGTGCTTAGCGAGGGCGATCTGCGCGCGCCGACGCGACATGAGAACAACGTCGTTGGCGGGGGTCGTAGAGCCAGGTGCGGTGGGCTGCGAGGTGGGAGACCCGGGTGCGTGGTTGTTGGCTACTCCAAAGGAACGCGCTCAGGACGGGAAGGCAAATACTGTATACGCAGTTTAAGAACCGCACGAACTTAGCCGCAGGCCGGGGTTCGGCAATCGGGCCTCACCTCGCTCCACATGCGCACATTGCACAGCTGAGCGACCTGCACAGCTGGGCGACGGCATAATTGCCCGCGAGCTGGCCGAACGAGCTCCGGCCGGCCCCGGTGCGCGCTAGAGACGCTCAGACGTCGGCGTCGGCGCGGCGACGATCAGCAGCACGCGCGCACGAATTTGCCTCTGTCGCCTTGCTCACCTGTCGCCCTGGTGGTTTGTCCGCCGTAGGCCGAGGTGTGTGTGCGACTGTGTGCATGGCCGGCGCGGCGCAGGGTATCCCCCGACGCGCCCACGCGTGCTCCTGCAGGCTTCTCGCCCGCCTTCTCGGACAGGCGTTCTGTTCGGAGGTGGGCGCGAACCGTCGTTTCGCGAGCCGCGCGCCCCGTGTACTCGTGCGGCCGCATGCACGAAGTTGACTGGACATGTGAAATATATACGTGAGCGCGGGGCGCGGCATCTAATATAGAGATACAGGACATAAGCAGGCGCGGGATACAGAGACAGCAGAGAGACGGGATGGAGAACAAAGGCGGAGATGTGATGATGGGGGAAGTAAGGTGCCCGAGGCGCATGTGTTAGTAGTAAGTAGTAGGGGCGGCGAGATAAATATATGCTACAGATGCTGAGGCACCACATCCGAGGCGGAGGTCGGTTTTGTGGCAGCGAGAACGAAGGGAAATGCAAGAGACGAGAGCAAAGTCGGAAACGGGTTTGAGGCGAAACAGTATTAGCCCGGCGTGACGGGAAGGCGGGAATGTGGTGTAGGTGCGCGTGCCAGTATTCGGATTAGTTGTGTCCACCATAGCCGCCATTGTGACCGCCCTGCGAGTCCGGTCAGTGCTCGGAGTCGACAGCGCACTGAAGGGCAAACAGACTCACGGCGTGGCCCGAGCTCGCCGCCCACTGGGCCGCATACTCGGCCGGGATCACCTGGCCGGTCGCAGGGTCGATGTACTGCTGCGAGCCATACTGCCCGTATCCCAAGGAGCTAAGTGACCGGGCGAAACCGACGTCAGCACGCACCCTCCCGGTCCTCGCCCGCGCACGCACCTCGCCTGCTCCCCCGGCATGCCCTGGAAGTGGAGGTAGTGCGTGTCCGCGAACCCGCCGCCGCCCGCCGCCGCCGCCGCCGCCGCCGCGAACGCCGCCGGGTCGCCCGCGATGCCCTGCGCCTGCGCGAGCGCGTACATCTGTTGCTGCTGCTGGGCGAGTTGGGCGGCCTGGTGCTGCTGGAGCTGCTGCTGGGCGTACGCCTGGCCCTGGCCCTGCGCCGGGGGGTACGCCGCCATCCCGGCGTACTGCGCGTTCGACGACGACCCCGCGTACGGCGACGTCGAGCCGCCCTGGGCCGCGCCGTACGCCGCGCTCGCGCCCGAGGGGTAGCCGTGCTGGGGGTAGCCGACCGAGGCGCTGTGCCCGTGCCCGTGTCCGAGCGCCTGCGCGTACGCCTGTGCGTGCATCTGGCTCTGGCTCTGGCCGTGGCCGTGGCCGTGGGGGTGGTGGTGGCCGTGGTGCGCGCCCGCGACGGGCGTGCCGGAGCGGGAGATCGAGTCCGCGCCGCGGGAGGCGTCCGCGATCGGGACGTAGACGCACTCGATGCTCTTCTTCGTGCAGCGCTCGCAGCGGGGCGCGCCGCCGGAGCACTGGCGGGGCCGCGTCGAACGGGTGGGTCGGTGCGCGGGCGTGCAGAGGGCGGATGAAGGCGGGGAGGACGAGGTGTGATCAGCGCCTGACGACAGGGGACGGTGGCGGTACGGAACTGGAGGCGGAAGCTCACCTTGACTTGGCGCCGGCGGCACTCGGTGCACGCGATCGCGGTCCGCTTCGTGCGCACGATGGGCTGCAGCAGCGCGGGGTCGAACGCGGGGCGCGGGGCGGATGCTGGTGGGACGGAGGGGGAGGCGCGAGGTCAGCGGGGGTCGCTGCGGGCGGCAGGCGAAGGCGCGTACACATTGCGGAGCGAGACGCGAGAAACGAGGTCCACTAGGGCGCGAGCAGGGACAGTGGGGGCGGCGGGGACGGGAGCGGGGCCGAGGTCGGCGAAGACAAGAAGACAAGAGAAGACAAGAAAGGCGTCGAGAGACTGACCGGGCGACGGGCGGAGAGTGCTGGGGAGGGAGCGGGGGCGTCGCGCGGTTTTATACGCGCGTGCGCGTCGAGCGACGGGCGCGCGCATGGGGCGCAGAGGACGAAGACTGGACGGGGGCCCACGGACGACGCGGTGCGCGCGGGTCAGTAGGCGGCACGGGGTGGGCGATCTGCATCTGGAGACGGGCGCGCGGGGGACTGGCCGGGAATGGGCATCGGAGCCCAGGAAGGCGAGCTGAGAGCTGTGCCGCACCGTGCTTCACGCTCAAGGACGCTGGCGGGCGAGTCGACGGACGTTGGCTCGAGTCTGTTTTCGATCGGCGATGGGCAGGGCATCGCAGACAGTCGCGTGTGAGCTCCCATCCCGCGTCTGCACTCGCCCGCCATCTCCGCGAGGGGCCGCTCGTCCTGACTGATAATCAGCTTTGTGGGCGGTCCAGATCGGTCGCACAGGTGAGCAGCGAGCAGCGAGCACCAAGCCTCCTCTGCGTGGGAGCGGATGATGGCTTGTTGCGACGCTGCGACGCCCCCGGGGCCACTGCCCACTACCCCAACGCCCGCCCCGCCAAAGCATGCGTCCAGCCTCCACGGCGGTCCGCGCGACGCGCGTTGCGAATACCGCCAGGCCGGTGAACGGCGTGGTCCCGCGTCCGAGCACGCTCGTTGCTCGCACCAACGCCGAGCGCGCACCACAGTGGGTTCCTGGCGTCTCTGATACGACTCCGGTTTACCACCAATATCCCGCTGCTTCAACACAGAACGCGCTCCAAGCCATTCGGCCCCCTCAACACCGCCTTGTTGTACTAGCAGCCGGGATCAAGAACCAGCTCACCGTCGAGAGACGTCATCCAGCGCGGAACTTGGTCCAGAAACAGATCCCGCGTTCGATAGCCTACAATGCGCAGCAAATACACGAGTCGCAGTCCGTCACATCGCAAGGTAGTCTCGTACCTCCTCTTCCGTCAGCTTCCGGAATGTCGGTTTTACCCGCCCCGTCCCCTCGATCTTTCCCGCAGCAAGGTCCGCATCGCTAGGAACTGTGACCACTCCGATCTCAATCGTCTTCTCCGTCATGTGGCCCTCGAAGCCTTCCTTGAGCGTGAGGAGCGCCGTGTGGATGGCGTCTTCGAGGCTAATGTCGTCGTTGTACCTGCGGTACGCGAACGGAGGTGAGGCGGCGGGCGTAAGAGGAGTCCGATCAGTATACGAAATACGACCAGACAAGGCAAGTCGAAGCACGATACGCACCGCTTCTCCAAAAACGTCTTCGCGTTCACCATGTTCTTGCCAATCGCGCTCGCCTTCCAGGCCCAGAACGAACCCGAGGGGTCGACTTGGTACAGACTTGGCCCCCGTGTGATATCCCAGCCCGCGACAAGCAGTGAAACCCCATATGGGCGCACACCTCTGTTCCACCGCCAGTAATCGTATCAGCTCCTCGGGGGCGTGGGCCTCTCCTTGTGCTGGAAAGGGGATGGGTCGTGGACGCACCCTGATTGTGTGGCCTGCTGGAAGATATTCGCGATCTCCTGGGTGAGGACCTTTGTGGGCGGGTACTCGCCATAGATCTTCCAGTACGCCTGCGCGCTCTTGCGCGCCTTGGCGACGAGGACGCGGAAGTCGGGGCCCATGCCCGAGTAGACGATGCCGATGTTCGGGCAGACGATGGACACCTTTTCGATCATCGAGTCGTCGATGAGCAGGGAGGACGACTTCTTCTCGGTGGCGATCACGATCCCATTGGACGCTGGGGAGTCGGTGCGGTGAGCCCTCGCCCGCGGCGTGCGCAGGAGCGTGGGCGGCGGGACGCACCCTTGATTCCCAGAGAGGTGGTGCCCGAGGAGACGGCCGCGAGGGCGTGCTCGATCTGGACGAGCTTGCCGCTTGGGGAGAAGACGGTGAGGGAGTAGCTGCCAAGTGCGCACGAGATGTCAGCGGGGCGGGAGCGATGCGAGCGGGGAACGCACCTGTACGCGCCGCCGTCTGCTGTGGCCATATGGGAAGCTGTCGGGGGATAGCACGGGGCGATGTGGAGGAGGAAGGGTGCGAAGGTGCGGAGGTCTGCAAACCGAGCTCTGGACGCGTAATGCGGTCGGAACGCGCGTCGTGCATCCCTGCACGTGCCCACAGTCCACATCGAGACCGGCGCTACATCGGATCCGCGTGGCGCCTGCTCACGCCCCGGGCTGAGCGTGCGCTCCACGTGGGTTTCTGGAGCGCCCGTCTGTCTTCCGTCCTCCAACCCGACCAAGATGTTTCGTCATTGACTCTGTGCTTCTCAAACCTGTGAGACGACTTCACGGATGGAAGCTGATCTGTTCAACCCAAAGCATAGTAATAAGCTGTCATCCCCAGACACACGGCGCCGATATCGAGAACAAGGCCAACTATCGTGTGCGCACCCAGGGGCCAGCACCGTCCACATCCACACATGGTGCGGGGCCCGCGGACCTCCAGACCACAACGCTGTGTAACCACCGAACCTTGGCTCTGCGAAACCCCGGTCTTCGGTTAATTTACTTCTATAGCATCCGTGTTTCACACATTGTTTTAGCATATACATCACGGCTCTGCAGCCTGTGTCAACATCCCGAGGCAAACAGACCCTCGCATCTTGATGTCCTGACTGGGCTTTGGGCCACAACAATTCGGTTCAAGCAGCTCTTGTTAGAACCACTACCGGTACAACACGCGATAGACCACATCATCATACACAACTCAAAGTTACATGTGCACTACGACCCGCTACTATTCCGCAACATTTTAGTCCACCTTGAGCGGAGTGGTCCTCAGGTAGGGCTGCGACGGCAAATATGAACGCGCGGAGACATCTGGACGACGACGGACAGACCTTGTGGATGGTGAACTCTGGGAACAGCGTCTTCGCCTCCTCATTCGAGACGGACGGGTGCACGATCACGTCGTCGCCGACCTTCCAGTTCACCGGCGTTGTCACCCGGTACTTGTCACCGGTCTGGAGCGCTGCACACATCCATGTCAGCACACGCTGCGCATCGCAGATGCAAGGACGGATGACGGTCGCGGGACGCACAGTCGACGACACTGCACACGTGGGCACGCAGCCGGCGGGACACGGACGATCAGCGACGCGAGCGAAAGGCCGGGGGAGCGGTGCGGAAGGGGCGCACCGGATGATCTCGTCAAAGTTGCGCCCGGTAGAGGCGGGGTAGGAGAGCGTGAGGCGGACGACCTTCTTCGGGTCGATGATGAAGACGGTACGGATCTGCGGGGGCGCGACGCGCGCGGGATCGTTCGCGTCAGCCATCGTGGGCGGCAGCTCCGGGCGCGCTCGCGGCGCGGTATGGGGCAGTCCACAGCGAGGAGACGCACCGTGAAGGGGAGGCCCTTGTTGTCGCGGTTCGTCGCGTCCTGGAAGTCGAGCATGTCATAGAGCGTAGAGATCTTGCGGTCCTCGTCCGCAATCTGCAAAGAGGGCAGTGTAGTTGAGGACAATGCAGCAGTAATGTGAAATGGCGCAGCACGCACGATGGGGAACTGGACATTCGTGGGGCCGTAGCGCGCGCCCCACTCGTTGATGTCCTCGACCCACTTCTCGTGGTCGGAGAGGCCGTTGGCGGAGATACCGATCAGCTTGACGTTGCGCTTTTCAAAGTCAGGCGCCCTGCACAGGTGTGAACTGATCAGCCACGGCAGGGGACCCATGATATGTTACAGATGGACGCTCACCTCCGCGCCACCTCTGCGAGCTCGGTCGTGCAGACGGGGGTGAAGTCACCGGGGTGCGAGAAGAGGATGGCCTGTGCGTCGAGGTGCGAAGCAGTGAGGGACTGGGGCGCGGTGGGCGCAGGCGATGTGGCTCACCCAGCTGTTGCCGATCCACTCGTGGAACTTGATGTCCCCCTTCGTGGTCTGCGCCTCAAAGTCGGGCGCGATGTCTCCGAGGCGAATACCCATGGCAGCGGTTAGATGGGGTTGCGATGAGGGGTGAGGTGAGGTTGAGTTTGGAGGGGCTGTATCAGCTGTGAACTTGCTGTCACTTTATATCCGGCCCAGCCAAGGCAGAGGGGCGTCCAGGATGTGTGATAATCGCGCCTTCCGTTCGCACGCCCTGCCAAATGCCAATTGGACATCAAATGCCACTCAAATGCCAATTGGACACCAAAGGCCACGATGGCGAATATCCTACTCAAAGCGCGCAATGGTGGTGAATTCGGGGTAGCCCACGATAACGATCGCCACTTGGTCCAGTGCGCCAGGCGGTGGGTAGGCTCGTGGCTTTCGCCCGGCAGAAATCTCGGGAGATGCGAACGTGCGCAGATCTCCCTTAATGAAGCCGAAATGACGCGATGTCAATGCGCGCCACGGTCACGGGACTGCCGTGGCAGCGCGCCCCTACATGCCCAGGATGAAATTTCGGGAAGCGTGTCACCGCAATCCGCGCAAGCATTCCAAGGCATCAAAATACAATGTACAATATCTGCGATGGCGCGAGAACACAAGGACCTACATATTACACTAGTAGTACGCGATGGCATGCAAGATGTTGTGCGGATGCTTCTCTTGGTGGTTCTGCAAGATGGCACTCATCTCGTCGTCCACGTCTTTTGCATTTTCAATCTGTAGGCTCCCGATCGTACACATAATCCATTAGCGGGGCGCATCGAAAAAGGACTCACCGCCGTGGCCAAATCGACCATAGCCTTGCCCGCAATATGCGCCTCCTCGTGATTATCCTTGATTTCTATGTTGATAACGTGCACAGGCTTGTTGAAGTCCCCGCCTCTCGTCAGGAGATCTGGGTGACAGTCAACACTCGCTCCTGAAAATGCGATTGCTGGAACCACTACTCACCATCGCATACTGCGTCAAAGCACCGCTCCTCGCAAGTAATCACTATGTCTGCCACCGTCTTGGTCTCCTGCCATCTTTCCGGGGCTCCCTTGAGGCGTCTGTTCCTGTCCAGCATCTGAAGCAGTCCATTTGCCGTGTACCTTGCGCACAGTCAGCCAGACGAACCTGGGTCCCGAAGAATAAGCACTCACAAGCGAGCGTCTTGGGCGCGTAGCTGCTCATAAATGTCATTATAAGGCGTGCCGAATGGGTATATGTTGGGTTTGTCAATCGCGGGACCGGGCAGCCGCACTGCGGAGCCGGTCCCTGAGGATATCACACGAAAGCCTGCTTTACTAACCGCACCCACGTTCGTGAATCCCGCGGATAAGGGCAGTGCCGAAGAGCCACTTACGCGAGCACGAAGTGGCCTTCCATTGAGCGGTTCTGGGGGCGCGCTTCGGGATTGGAGGTGGATCGCGAGGGGGGAGGGGACACACCTGGTTGCTTGCGCACACTACACAAAACAGAGGTCGCTGCTTGAACGCGACGGCAATCTCAGGCTGAGGTGGGGATGGCGCTTGAGCTTCTTGTGAGAGCTGTTGAATGGAAATGTCGTGGCTGGGATATTGTGGTGGAGTTGCGTTAGGGTACGCGGGGTAGTTGGGCGGACCAGGAGGACCTGACGACGAGTAGCCTTGGGAGGACGATGATTGCCGGGGTGGTGTTTGCGCGTAACCTTGATGCGGGAGAGTTTGGTGGGGGAGGGCTGAGGGAGGGGGGCCAGTCGGTGCGGAGGATTGCGACCTTTGCTGCAAGCGGGGGTCCTGACGAGAGAGACGAGGGTCGCGCGCTCTCCTGGGATCCATGGTGCGCTAAAGCCTGACAAGATGCGCGTCAGCGCGCTTTCCCTAGGCCGAAGCTCGCGACGATCCGCCTCAGCAGTATCTTGAACATTGCGAGTCGTCTCCTCGACCCCGCCAGCCGAAGCTTATGCTGGTCGAGTATCCGTTTCCACTCTGAAGTCATCGTAGGCGATCGCGCGACAAGGGGGCTTACCTGAATTAGGAGCTGAGTGAGGGGCAGAAGCGGAATGAGAAGGTAGTTGAAGCAGGTGGAGGTGAAGCAGGCGGTGGTGGCAGAGACTTGCGTCTCACGGCCGCGAAATGAGCACTAGGCGCGCGCCACGCTTTGCCTTGGGCGTCTTTTTGACTGCTCTTTCGGGGTGCTGAGATACTATCCCTCCTGTTGTTTCCCACTTGAAGCCTTCCAACTGTGGTACAGTGCAGAAATTTCACATACGAGTTGGCAGGTTGGTATGAACACTGTCGCGCAGATCCAGCGACGAAAGTGTCATGGTGCCGAGAACCATTTACACATAGCCAACGCATGTTACTGGTGTACTGAGGTACTATCTAACTTCCAAGCATCCTTGCGACTGTGCGACAGACATTAGTACGTTGCAGGAACAGATCACCCTCGCTATTCAAACACGACTCCCTCGTCCCAGGGCGTGCAGCATCTCAGTACTCTGGTGTCTCTTGTCGCGAATCTGCTGCGAGCTGGACTTACGGGGTTGTTGCTCGGCTCAGTCGAAGACGTCCGGGTCTCTGGTATTGATGATGATGGGATATACATACGTGAGTATTTACTCTCGCGATTTCCCTTAGCAATTGTAGACTAACTTCTTCATGGAAACCAGCATGTGCAAGTGTTGACTTGAACTTTTGCCCGAACAGCCTGGATTCGCTCTATTTTTTCGAATACAGGTAAAAGTACAATGCGCGCTTCCCCCCATAGGACCAATACTACTATCCGCTGTCGAAGACCTATAACCGCACGTCTACTCCACGCGCTCACCGAGAATCTCGCTTGAGAGTTTGGAGCAAAGGTCCCAGAAATTGTTGGCAAGTTCTCGATCCTGGGCTTGCTTACTCTCTGTGTCCGGTTTTCCGTACGGCTCCGTGAAATACTTGCCCTGACGTCAAGTAAGCCGCAGCTCTTATCTGTTCGATGATCCACCGATGCTTACCTGATAGTCCCTCCAATTGTCATGGTTGATGTTCGACCAGGTCGCGGCCCACAGGCTCGCCTCGGCGCCCTCCTCTGCGCTCTTGCCTCCCATCCGGCTGAGCTTTTCAACGATCTTCCCGAGGGCGCCGTATGACTCGACCCACGCTTTCTGTACTTCGGTGTCAACCACGCCGGGATGGACGGAGATAGCGAGTATGGGCTTCTTAACGTCCGTCAGCTTCCGACGAACGAGCTCCTGGGCGAAGAGGATGAAGCCCAACTTGGTGCGCCCGTAGCTGCAACATGGATCCGTCAGACAGCCTCTGGACATAGCCGGCTTCACCACTCACAGCTGCGCACCATCGCCTTGCTCGTTGATCTCCGCCTTCGACGCAAACTTGGTGTTCATGGGGGAGATCCTGTGCATCTCCGAACTCTGCAAGACGATTCGCACGGAAGCCGGCGTGGCATCGGAAGCTGTCCTCTTCATCACCTCGAGCAGCCGGAGGACCATGACCCAATGCGAAAGGTTGTTAACCTGCATACGCGCAGTTAGGTCATCGAGGCAGACCAATGTAGATTCAACGGCTCACCTCGAAGTGCCTCTCGATCCCATCCTCTGTCAACCCATATGGCGCCTGCCCGATCCCCGCGTTGGCTATCAAGATGTCCAGACGACCCTCCTGCCGGGCGAACTTCTTCGACCAGTCGTCCACACTGCGCAGCTGGCTCATGTCGAGCTGGTGGTACACCACCGAACCGTGCGAGCCGCTCTTCTTCAGCTCCTCATTGATCTCCTTCTCCGCTTGCTGCCCGTGCTCGGCGTTGGCGGAGACGAAGTGAACCGTCGCGTTTTTCTTCGCGAGCGCGGCGACGTCCCAGTAACCGATGCCGGCGGACCCCCCGGTGACGAGCGCGACGCGACCCGATAGGTCCGGGATCTGGTCGGGCTTGTGGCGCTTGCTGAGGAGCGTCGCGGGGTTCAAGGTTTCGGGGATCATGGAGGTCATCAGGTTGCGACGATATTTGGGGACGTTGGCGAAGAGGCAGGAACGGGTTGAAGGCAGGAGTGGGTGGGCTCTTATGAACAGGAGGGATTGCATGGCACGTTGCTTTGAGACGGTGTTTCTCGCGCGTTCTTATGAAGTCACCCTGGGGTTGGCTATGACGCGCAAGTGCTCTTCATCGGAGCCATGAATCGCAGGCGACGAGAAATTCTGAGCGTAACCCACTCGATTAGGCTCGGACGGGCTCTCCAAACCTAGTCGTTTGAATTTGTACTCGCACCCATGTCTAGACGTGGAGGTCCTCAGACATATGTCCTAAGTGAGGAGCAACTGAAAGTGTTCGATTGTGAATTGTAATACAGTCAATACTATTCAAGAAGTTATCAATATATCGGCCGACTAGCTCAGTTGGTTAGAGCGTGGTGCTAATAACGCCAAGGTCGTCGGTTCGACCCCGGCGTTGGCCAATAATTTTTTTTACTCATCATTCCTGATGTATGAATAGTTTTCAAAGACGTCCAGGGTTGATGTAGTAACGATATCTGCCATCAATCATAGTCATGCACAGTGCACACGTGTTGCTGAATTACAGCCAGTTAGCCGGCTGTTGCCGAGACACGTACTGTACAGTTTCTCAGCCACCAAACTCTCCGATTCACACGCCATCTCAGACCTGGACACCGGCGCTAAGGGAAACAGTCTCAGCATCCTCAAGACTCCATCCGACGTCGCCATGTCCAAGTCCAAGAAGTGAGTAAATGCGGCCATGGGAGATTTTCGGCATCACTAAAAATCGTACGCTACAGCCACACTGCCCACAACCAGAGCCGCAAGGCTCACCGTAATGGTATCAAGACGCCCCAAAGCCACAGGACGCGGTCTATGAAGGGTGTAAGTAGCTACACGGCGCATCGTGACATCGTACTAATTGCATGTTTCCCCCAGGTTGACCCCAAGGTGCGCTGAGATTATGGGTCATTTCGTGTAGAGATTCTGAAGGTCGCGACTATCTCAGTTCCGCCGCAACGCCAAGTACGCGCTTGTCGGTTCGGTGAGTTTCCCCACGTCTCCTTTCATGCGCTCCACCCTCTTATCCCACCCGTTCGCGATGCAGAGAAAAGCCCGCTTGGAGGCGAAGGAGTCATAGTCCACTCGCCCCTGCACCCCACACGACCTTGCCCACGCTCTGTACCTTGAGGACGGAGAGCTGGCCCGTTTCGCGCGCAAGGCGACGTCGATACATGTAAAACACCACCTCGATCATGCTGTGTATGCACCCGCCGCTATGCATAGGACCTACTGAGCACAAATGCAAAACCACAGAAACATTCGAATCGTAGCGCATGTGACACCTCGAAGCAGACTGCGAAGCGAGCGTGAAGGTATCGTGCATGCACACGGCATCTAACTTGACGGCTCGGAATCGGTGTGGTCTCTTGTTCTTTGCTTACCCCCGATGTGTCCAAGCCTACGGTTGATGGGAGTACTGTGTACACCTTGGGGCAGTAAGCTTCACTTTCTAAGTCTGGGACACCCGTACCACTTGGGCGCACACTGGTGCGTGCACGCCGCACGCGCCTGTTCCATGTCCCGTGCGACGCGCAGTTCACGTTCATGCAGGCCGCCCACGGATTGTGCAAATAGTGTGACCGACCCCACCGACGGCAGTTCAAAGCACTGCACCCATTTTTGGATTGTCTACATTCTAACCCGATCCTGCCACCCGTTGAGCGCAAACGGTCGGACTGACTTGATCGCGCCTTGCATAACTTCGAGAGTCTTTGGCCCCACCGGCTCGGAATGTTTATTTTCCCTGTACATGTGGCAGTAGGATCTCTGCCGAGTGCGATATGTGCCTGACGTAACAAGCGTTTGGGACGAAACGGGATAGCTTCAGTGTGAAGCTTTGAGGCATATGCGAGAAGGTGCTTTTGATGGAAGTGAACGGCGCGGCACGACGGCCGCAGCAAGACGTCAATATTTCAGGCTGGGGGGCTCCACTAGTGTCTGCTCCGCAAGTGCTATGCCTACACCGGAGGCGGAGAGGAACGCTTGGCTGGGCAGGCGGGGAGAAGCGCCGGTGGACGTGGGTGACAGGGGATGACGTATCTGGGTTGCATGACGCCATGGAGCCCCGCCTGCCTTCAAATCATGGCCGACCGAGCGTGTTCCAGCCTCCCCTTCCCGTCCCGCCTCCCCCTTCCTCTGCCCGCCGCTGCCCGCCCACCGCCCGCCGCCCCCCGTCGCAGCCATGCCCTCCACCGGCGTCGTCGACGCGTTCAAGAGTGCGTCCTTCATCGCCTTTCTCCGTCTTTCTCCGCCTTTCTCTCACACACCTTACCGCTCCGCCATCAGATCTCATTCGCCATGGAAAGAATCACCATTCTGCCGCGAGGCCGCAGGATGACGCCGCGCACCAGGCTCCCCACTCTTCTGCACAGAGCCAACAGTCCCGCGCCGCCGAACAGCAGAGTCGCCAACAACGCGAATCTCGCGACATGCAGCAACAGCAGGCCGCCAAGGGCTCGCCCAAGTACAAGGAGCACATAGAGCAAATCGTGCAGGAGGAGCGCGAGGCCAAGGGCAAGCTACCCGTCTACAAGGGTCTCGAGCACTACAAGCTGTTGGAGAAGATGGGCGAGTAAGTCGTCACTCTTCATATCCGGCTTTCTCCTTCCTCCCCTGTGGTTACGCCTATGGCATCGTTTCTACTCTGCGCTACGAGTCTCACTCGTCGTGTGCTTTGCACCCACCCCGCGCCCCCCATTCCCCGTACCCCGCATCTCGAGTCCCGAAGGGGTGCTTGACCCTTTGGCGCCTGACAATTTACCCGAGGACCGCGGCTATGATTCGCGCCATCGACTTGTCCAGGGACTGATTCACCACCCAGTGGTGCCTTTTCCAACGTATATAAAGCCATCGATCTCCGATCCGGCCAGAAAATCGCAGGTAAGCGCATCAGATCATCTTCATGCCTCCTCTGGACCCACCTCCGATGTAGTCAAGGTCGTGCGCAAGTATGAGCTTAGTGCGTCGCAGGTTAGTGTTTCCTCCACTGTCATCCCCCATTTCATTCATTATGCACCGCGTATCCCGTGCCGCGTCCCTAGGCCGGCGAGAAGCACCTCAACCGCGAGTTTAAGAAGAAACCGCGGGTTACTGAGGTGCACCCTACCATCGTGACGTTCTCCCATGGCTAACCACCCTTTCACAAATTAGAGGGCAAATATACTCAAAGGTTGTAGCTATCTATACGTTACTTTGTAGATATACTAACACAGTTACAGAGGTCCAGATCATGCGCGGCATCAACCATCCATCAATAGTGAAGCTTCAGGCGTTCTTCGAGTCACCAGAGCACTATTTCCTCGTACTAGAACGTGAGCCGAGATGACGTCGTTCATGTCGTCGATGCGAACCTTACCGTGTTCACAGTTATGGAAGGCGGCGAGCTCTTCCATCAAATTGTCAAGCTCACGTATTTCAGCGAGAACCTCGCGCGACATGTCATCTTGCAGGTTGCTCAGGGCATTCGCCACCTTCACGAGGAGCGCGGTGTCGTCCATCGAGATATCAAGCCAGAGAACTTGCTCTTCGAGCGGATACCTTTCGTCCCGTCGAAGAATCCCGCCCCGAAGCAGTTCGAGGAGGACAAAGAAGACGAAGGCGAATTTATCCCAGGCGTCGGTGGCGGTGGCATCGGCAAAGTGAAGATTGCTGACTTCGGTCTCAGTAAAGTGGTTTGGGACGAGCAGACGATGACCCCTTGTGGCACTGTTGGCTACACGGCACCGGAGATCGTCAAGGATGAGCGTTACAGCAAATCCATCGACATGTGGGCGCTGGGATGCGTTCTGTACACCCTGTTGTGCGGATTCCCTCCATTCTACGACGAGAGCATCAACGTTCTCACAGAGAAGGTCGCACGGGGATACTACACTTTCCTGAGCCCATGGTGGGATAACATCAGTCCGACGGGTAAGCCATTTATTTTGGCCCGACCACCGTTGCTCATGTCACGCAGCCAAGGATCTCATAACGCATCTGCTCTGCGTCGACCCTGCTCAGCGATTCACCATCGACGAGTTCCTTGCTCACCCATGGATAACGGCACAACCGGAAGTCCCGCAGGCCACGCCCCTCCATAGCGCACACCGCGCGCTCGACTCCCCCCTTCTCGCCGAGGCACGAGGAGGCGCCCGTGAGGCGCGGTCACCCGGAATCGCCACGCTTAAGGAGGCGTTTGACATCACTTATGCCGTCCATCGCATGGAGGAGGAGGGTGCGAGGAGACGCGCACAGAAGGGTGGTGCAAACCGTGGCTTCCTCCAGAACCTCAACGAGAGCGACGAGGAAGAAGAGAAGATCGTGTCAAAGGTCCCTCCACCAGGTGCCGGCGCGCAGGTTGCGGCGAAACGAGCAGTGCAGCCAAGTGCGTACGACGGCCGCGCAGGTCAGCGCGATAGGGGAAAGAAAGCCGGTGGCCCTAGGACGTTCGAGCTCGACATGGATGGCGCGACGCTGCTCGGCAGGAGACACAAACGTGCTTTCAATGGCGGTGTCTCCAACCCGCTACTAGCCGGGAGCCCACTGAAGATGACACCCCAGGACCGTCCTATTGAAGTGCCCCTTTCGCCCATGAGAGTGGACTAGTTCGTCTTGCCTTTGTCTTCGCCGTCGCTCGCTCTCCGGACCTTGTCGCCCCGTTCGTCATCCGCACCCGTCGCATACATGGCTCGTCCCCGTTGTCGCCTCCGCGTCTCCTCACGGTCTGCGGCTTTAGACAGGCCTTGCTCGCACGATCTACGCACCGGCGAGCTTGCTCCCGCCTCCCACTCCTTGTACGAGTATATCACTTGGTCGTTGTGTAATTTATTACTGTAAACTCCTGCCCTGCCCACACCCCACGCGCTTTCGCTGTCCGCTGCACCCGCCTGTGTCCATCAATACATGTACGATGCTTTTCGTTTTCTCCCTCCACTCTCGTACGATACGTTTGGTGCATCTTGTCAACACACTCGAGCACACACATCTTCGTAGTAGTTACCCTCCCCGTTCGCATGTCATGTGAGTTGACGTACACGAATCAGCCACATATCCATCGGAAACACTGCTGCAGCGATGCCGGCATGCTGGAAGACGAGTTCGGACTAGGGCAGTTCGACCGATGGGTTACATTACGCAGTGAGCGAGTGACAATCAATCCAGGTATAATAAGTACAGGCAGGTAGATATGGTATAAAGACAGCACAGCAGGTCGTCTATGTGTAAAGTCGATGTATAGGCGATTCAAGTGCTAGGAATTCGACTCCGGGGTGACAGCGTACGGATGAGAGGGATGCTGTGAGGGGAGGCGGATGACGTGGGAGGGAGACGGAAGGTAGGAACGTCGGGGGTGGGAACCTCAGTCGTCGTCACTGTCGTCGCTGGTCGACGACTCGTCCTCGTCCTCGTCGCTGCTCAAACGCCCGTCGCCCAGGAGCGCGCGCATGCTGAGGGGCCCCGCGTCTGGGTCCGCGGGGACGATCGGCTCCGGCTCTTGATCTGAGTCCTCGTCTCCGACCGCGGCCGCGAGCCAGTCGTCCCCGAGGTCCTCCAGCAACTCCTCCTCGGGCGCGGGGAACGCCGCGTACGGATCCTCGGGCTCGGGCTCGGGCATGGGAGGGAGCGGGTAATCGTCGATCTCCTCCATGACCATAGACGGGCGGGGCTCGGCCGGCTCGACCTCGTCCCATTCGTCGGCGTCGTCCGAGTCGTCCGCCGCGATGACCGGGGGTGCTTCCACCGGCGGGGGCACGGGCGGCGCGGCGGAGATGGGTGCGGGAAAGGATAAGGCAGAGGTGGAAGGTGCTGGCGCTGGCGCGGGGGCGGGGGTAGCACCTGGGAGCGAGATGAAGTCGGACGCGCCGGGGAGATAGATCTTGGCGGGTTTCGGCGGTGGGCTTGGGGGCCGTTCCTTCTTCTGCACCTTGGCCTTCTTGATGGGTGCACGACGCACATCGGGCTCTTCCGGCGGCGCCTCGCGTTTATTCGCGGCCTTGGAGGTAGAGGCAGCGGGCTTGGACGGAAGGGACGGAATAGGTGTAGAGGCAGGGGCAGGGGCAGGCGGAGTGGGTGTGGGCGCAGGTGCAGGTGCTGAGGCCTTTGCGCGTGGTCGCGGTACTGGTTTCGTAGGAGCAGATTTGGACGTGGAAGGCACAGGGGACGCCTTGCTCGAGACTACGCTCTTTATTGGAAGTGCGGGTTTTGACGGGGCAGGTGTAGGGGTTGGCGTGGGCTTCGCCGTGGCGGGCGGAGGTTGCGCCTTGGGAGGTACCTTGGGCTTCTTAGGCATAAACATCGTTTTGAGCGGGGGTTTTGAGACCTTATGCTCGGGGATCTCCCCTTCGCTTTCCTCTTCTTCTTGCTTCTGGGCAGAAACATTGCGGGACGAGACGGCTGGCCGAGGGGGAGCGGCTGTGAAGAACGTTGAACGGAGCGCGCGCGATGCAGGCGATCGGAGGGACGTACGGGACGCGGCTTTGCGCGGCGCGCGCGCCGGAGGGTGGTCATGAACCATGGTGAACATCGTGTCGAGCTTCTCGAGCGTGCACCTCTGGGGTCCGTCCGGTCAGTATAGTGGCGCCTCGAGCGGCGTGGGCACGAGACGCACTCCGGTGTCCTCGTCGTATATCAGCACGCACTCGTACTCGGACGCCGAGGTGGCCTGCCCAATGAACCTGGCCGGCTCGTCGTCGCCCTGGGTGGTGTTGGACGAAGGTGAGATGAGCGGCAGGTGAGGGATGCTCACAGGCTATGACGTACCTTGGTGGTCGGGCGCGACATGCGGACATCGACCTTACCCCTGTCCTCGACGACCTCGATGGACCCGGGCTTCTCAGTGTCGATGGATTCCGGGCGGAAGTTGTCTGAGGCATCTTGAGCCGACGGGTCGGCACTGGCTGGACGAGCAGACGAGAGGGAACACTCACACCGGACGGAATAAAACTCTCGATCGTGCTTGCTGGTCGCGGGGGCGCCTTTGCGTGCTTTGAGCGCACGCGAGAGCGAAGGGCCGAGATCGACTTCGTGACGGCCTGCGGGTACGGGGAAAAACTCCGCGGAGGTCGCCATGGGGGAGGACACAAGGGAGGAGGTGGAAGGGAGGAGACAAGGTGCAGCGGACCGGCCGTGGCACCCGTCTTCTTTGCCTGGCCACCGGCAACCGCGGCTCCAACAATAGCATCTCTAGAGCCCGTACTGATGTAATTACTACCACATGCCTTATTTGTATGGCCGACTAGCTCAGTTGGTTAGAGCGTGGTGCTAATAACGCCAAGGTCGTCGGTTCGACCCCGGCGTTGGCCAGTGTTTTTGATGCCCTCTCCGAATATCTTCGTAGTCATCTTGCGCTCATCGGTCTTATACGAAACACTTCTGTCCATCCTCTACACTCCGTTCCAATCAGCTCACACTGCTATTCTCTGACAACAGTTGTGGACTTGAGAACAGCAGTCCCACACTCTGCAACTCTGTCACTGCCAGCGAGTCTGTGTTGCTTACCGATGAGCACACACCAAGCACTCAGGTGAAGGTATTCGGCGGTAAGGAGCACGCTACTTTGCACAAGTAGGACGTACAAAATCGACCAGCAACCCTAACAGTATCGTCGACAAAGCGATCGAGAGCGGCCAAACGCGAAGGGAACGAAGCAGTCGTGTGAAAAAAGCAACCGGTACGTGAATGCCTGTAGTGTATATCAAGTGTCCTCAGATTGGTATCGTGCCCTGTCCATGGAGGGTTAACGAGTCCGCGCGAGTCCGTCGGTACAGCATCTCCCCTCCCTACAAAAGCGGACCTGGCGTCGTCCGCTTTCAGCGGCCGCGGCGCAGCGCAGCGCGATGTGTGAGCGGCTCGGCTCTCTCGCCGGGAACGGACCCCTCAGTTCCCGGTGGAGACGGCGACCGCGGCGGCGGCGGACGAGCTCGCGGAGGAGCTGGCAGAGCCCGTGGCGGACGCCGAGGCTGATGCGGAGTCGGTGGCGGAGCCCGTCGCGCTCGCGGCGGTGGAGATGGCGGACTTGGGGACGTCGGCCTGCCAGCCGTCGATGGAGATGGCGCCCATGTTGCCGGTCTGGGTGTTGCGGGTGCCGGGGGAGCTGACGACGGTGTTGTCGCTCTCCTTCACGCTGGAGTTGTTGCTGTCAGAGGAGGATGACGAGGAGGAAGAGGACGATGACGATGACGAGCCAGAGGTCGAGGTGGCACTGTCGCTGCTCGAGGTTGAGGACGCAGCGGAAGAGTCGGTGGAAGAGGAGCTGTCAGAGGAGGACGAGCTGTTGGACGAGCTGTCGGAGGAAGACGAGTTGGAGCTCGAGGAGTCGCAGCTCGAGGAGTTGCAGCCCGAGGACGAGCTGCCGGTCATCATCGACGAGTCGGCAGAGTTGGTCGAGCTCGCGGAGTCGGTCATCATGCCCTCGCTGGAAGTGACGGTGGAGGACGCAGAGGCGATGATCGAGCTCGCCATGTCGGGAGAGATGGTCGTGGTCGACGTCTGCGCGTTCTTGTTCGCGCTGCCCGCGGCGAGCACGAGCTGGCCGATCTCCTGCTTGACGGTGTCGATGAACGCCATCACGGGACCGGCGACGACGGCCTGGCCAGCGCGGTTGACAGGGTCGCCGTTGAGGGCCTGCATGTCGGGGGTGATGAAGACCGCGACGGGGCCGTCGAGGTTGTCGGGGACGACACACTGGTCGATGGGGAGCGAGATCGTCATAGGCATACCGCCGATGAGCATCTGGCAGAACATGCCGTCGGTAGAGCCGTTGAGCGCGGGGGACGTGAACTCGAGCTTCGTGCCGGTCGTGACAGCGGTGTTCGTGATCGTGAGGGGCTGGTTTGAGGCACCGACACCGAGGTCGCAGCCGGAGATGAACGCGCCGGCGATGGCGAGGACCTCGTTCGGAAGGAGGCCGATGTCGAACGCAGAGGGGATCGAAGCACCGTTGTTGAGCACGTTCAGGATCGTCTGATGGCGCGCCTCGGTGGTGAGGATGGAGCCCGCAGCGGTGAGGATGGTCGGGTCGCCAATAAGATGGGCCGCGCCGAGGTAGGCCCCCACCCCAACGTTCTCCACCACACGGGCGGTTGCGGCCATCGTCGGGACGTCGTTCAATGCGTTACCGAAGTTGAAGCTGCAGTTCGAGATGGGCTTGTCGCCAAGCGACGCGATAACCGACTGGAGCAGAGAATTGGCACGGCGCACAAGACGGGAGGAGACAGAGCATGACGCACCTCGAGCGCAGTCTGGTGGGTGGCCTCATCCCCTGGATCTGCTTGAACTGCTCGATGGGGAGCTGGGCGTCGACGAAACCGGCGGCAGTGAAGTCGCTGTCCTGGAACTTTTGCAGTGCCTGCTGGTAGAACTGCGACTCGAACTGCTCAAGGACGTCCGCGAACTCTGGGAAGCGAGAGCATGTCCGATCAGCGGGCGAATGGATCAGCCGAAGAAAATCTGAACGCACTGAGGACGACGAGGTCGGTGGCCTTGTCGCGGCGGATGGGGGCACCGAGGACGATGATGGGTGCCGCAAGGGCAAGGAGGGTGGCGAGGGAGGCATTACGAAAGGACCGAGTTGCTTACTGCCGGAGTTGAAAGCCTGCTGGAGGACTGGTAGGGCGAAGCCGAAACGAATGGAAGTGGTCCAGGGGCGCTACCGGGCAGCCCGAAGTGACTGGAGAGAAGGTGAGCAGGACGAAGGAGAGAAGAGAGAGGCGACGGACCTTAGGCACCGAAAAAAGGGAGGAGAAGGGGAAGGGGAGGGGGGGTGCAGTGCGCGACGGACGGCAGGCCCTTTTCAGAGCGCGGCGGTGATTCGTCGCAGGCGTACCTCCCATACCGCATTCCTGGCTCGGGGAAACCGGCAGATTGCTTATCCCCATAACAACCGCGTTCAGTACCGCACACCCCTCCGCCCGCTGCTGCACCTCCTCCTGCCGGCCTGTGGCCACCCATCCGGCCCGCGCGGCGCCATGCTCGATCTGCGTGGTCCGACGGTGCAGGCGTCGCAGGCAGCGGCGCACCCGTTCTGCAGAGAGCCCGCTGGCCGTGGACTGCCTGGGCGATGGCGGTCTGACATATCAGTGTCGGAGTGATTGCACCAATGAGGAGGCGCGCGAAATGGGACGGCGCGGTGCGAATTACCAGACCCACGGCCGCGGTCCGTTGATCACCACCGCCAGCCACTGCCAGTCCGTCGCGCACTCTGCCTCAGCCACGTCCAAGAGCACCAGGTGTTGGTCTGCCTTTCGCAGCGCCCTCAGCAGTCCATCTCCCCCCACACATCGCCGCAGAAGTCCATCATTTAGACTGTCGCCATTTATTAATAGCTTCGTCAGAGATGCTAATCTTGGGTGATCGTGGCGGGCTAACACCTCCCAGATTTACATACAATCAATGCCGCGCGACGGCGACGGCGATGGCGGCAAGCCCGAGCACTTTCTCGTGCCCCGCTCCCCGCGCTCGCCGCGCCAGGAGCAGCAGCGCGTGGGCGGCACGCCGACACACGTCAACGCGCTTCCGGTCTCTCGTTCCGCTCCGGGATGGCAAGCATGATCGCCCACTCCGGAGGGCGCGAGGGGTTGCAAGGGGTGCCTGGCGCGCCGGCCGAGCCCAAGCGTGGGAGCGCCGGCCGCCATCATGATGTCTTCGCATTCAAGGACGCTTTGCGCGAGCAGGCACAGTCCATCTGGTGGTGCGGTCGCGCATTATGTGCGTGATGGCGGGTGGGGCGCAGATGTGGGTGCTGAAGGTTAGGCGCGTGTACGGACACTCCTCGTTCGGCGACAGCGGCCTGCGGCGAGCAGAACGGGCAAACCGGTGATCACGGGCGGCATATTTCTTGACGAACAAGTCTACAGCTGCTGTATCGGCGGGGGCGTGCTTCTCATTGGCCGCCCCGCGCGCGGCAAAGTTTACCGAACAGCCGCCCTCCCGAGGCCCCCGAGATGCCCGTGCGCCGAGGACCTCACATATCTTCCTCGACGAGCCAGCGGGAAACCATGGCGAGCGCCTCGGCGGGCTTGTCATATGGGACGTGCAGCCGGGGAAAAACCAGCGTCAGTACAGCGGCCCGTCGCTTCGACGCTAGAAGGAAGCACTCATCATATGGCCCGCTCCGTATATCGTCGCGAAGGTGAGGAGGCCGGACGTCTTGACCTCACCCACGGTGCGCCCGTCGACGGCCCAGTCGCGGAACGCGTTCGCGCGGTACCTTTCCGCCCCGCCCCACTCCATCTCCTCCAGCCAGAGCCGGCTCGCGACCCAGTTGCACTGCCAGTCGTACGTGCCCGAGTAGATGAGCACCCGGACGCCGCGGTCGAGGAGCGCGGCGATGTAGTTCTGCGACATCGTCGTCCGGTCCAGGCGCCCGCTGAAGGCGCTGCCGAGCTCCCCGTTGCAGGAGGTGAAGTTGCCCGGGCTCTCGACGCCGAGCAAAGAGCGGACTGAAGGCTGGTTCAGGTAGTCGGTGATCGCTCCAGATTCGGCGTAGCAGAGGTCTCCGATGCAGTCCTGTGGAGGCCCAGCCGTTATGAGCTGTGGTAGGCTGAAACAGTTTGAAACGCCACAACCTTGGAGATATCATAGACGTTTCGGCCTGCAAGTTCACTGATCATTGAGTGCCCCACAGGCCACTGAGGTCATAGCCTCTTGGGAGCATCACTCACCGCTGTGCGCGTACGTGCCACTCACGACCTCCTGGCAAAAGCTGAGGGCTGCGCGGCAGTTGATCTCATCATGCACCTCCACACAACTGGCCTGCATCGCTTTCTCACACCGCGTCAGCTTGGCAAACCGTCAGTCAGAATCAATGCAGTGTTGATGATATCACTCACCGCCGTCTTTTGCTGCACGCAGACGCTAATCGACTGGAACGGCACTGGGAGCGCGGCCGTTGCGCACTCCATCTCGTGTCTGCCGCGGTAGATCCTGTGATGATCCCGGGTGCATTAGCACAGCCGCCCTACGAGCGCGTGTGCTCGCTAGTACGTACTTGGTGTAGTCGACGACGCCATTACCAATCAGGATGCTTGTCAGGTTGAGGGTGTCGCGCCCAGCTTGTATCGCAATTTGGTTTTGATCATAGACGTAGCTCCCGAACGACGGCAGATAGCGTCCCTGTAGGAGGTGGAGATGTCGGTGAGGCGGCGCCAAGAGGATACAGACGCAGAGTGCGAACACCGTAGGATTCGCCGGCAAGGTGGAGCGGGCGTCCCTTGAACTGTGAGAACGTCTCGAAGAAGATCGTGAGGAAGGCATGGACGTTCTTGGCCGCGTCTTCAGTCGTCTCGATGGTCTCTCCGAATTCCGCGTAAGAGAACCCGACGTTGACTCTATGAACAGAGGTCACAAAGAACACGCATAAAGTCCACCGTCCGACTCACGGCTGGTCAGGAAGAAGATGTTCGTTTCGGAGTTCCAAGAGTATGGGTTCCAGGTGGTCCATTGCTCGACTCGTTTTTCATGTCGATACTGCAGGGGCCTTTGAAGGCTCATCAGCTTACTGAGAGACAGAACCACGGGATGTTTCATACCGAGCTCCATGAGCAACCCAGAGAAGACGAGCACCCGGGACCTGATAAATTGGTCAGCACTCCGGACGAGCCAATGGTTTGCTGGTACCTCCGTTGATCCACATCATCACGTCATCTGAACGAGCAGGTTAGTATTGAGCGACCCTCAAAGACCATATATTTCACCGTTGTCCGGATCACGTCGACTCTCAAAGAAGTAGAAGAACATGTGTTTGGCGCCATAGTCGACGTCAAGGTAACCTGTGTACACGCTGCATCGGTGTAAGTTGGACGAACAACGCGTAGACAAGACGAGGTTCGGACTCACTTGACAGTGGAATCGCAGAAATCGGACTTCTTGACCCTGACCTGGTGCGCAGGGAACTGGGGATGCGCCAAGGCGACAAAGTCGCTCGTAGAGGTCACGGACGCGAGGGACGCGTCGCGACCACGGACGCATTCACGTCAACGGCTTGAGACAGGCTGTTGCCACCATGACGGAGGTCAAATGCGACTTGCTGTACGCTAGCGTACGCCCCAGCATACGCAAGAGCGGCGCCGCACACAAGTGCCCTGAGTGCGTACATGATGGGAGCGGAGAAGCGAGGCGCGAGCGGAAACTCCCACCAGTGAATCCACCTAGCTAGACGCCGAGACGTGTGACCACATACAAGTCGCGAGCTTCCCCGAGCCCATATACGCGCTCGCAGGCGGGAGCCTGGCCACTGACGCAACCACAGACACAGTTCAGCGAACCCGGAAATGCCGCCCACAAACTCGATGCTCGTTGAAACGTGCTCAGTCAGTGTTCACGTGGGGTGGTGGTGGCCAAAAGCAGCAAGAGGTGCCAATTCACGGAGACTTGAGTCAGCTGTACGGCGCCTACCACGCGCCAGGGGCATCTCGCTGCCGGCTAAACGCGACCATAAATAAGGTTCAGGCGCGTCTTGTCGCGTCGCGTCCCGCGGGAGCCACGCAAAACTTGTCCACCTTCCCCTCTCTACCTGCGCCCCTACCGCGCGTCTGCCCCCTTGCCCACACTCAACCGCAGAAGACGGTGTCCACCATGCGTGTCACGCGAGGCCGCGCCAAAGCTACCCAGTCGGCGTCAACCACCCCTCCACCGTCGCTTGGAGTCGCCAATGTTCAGCGCAGGGGGCGTCAACACGCTCTACTCCGGATACCTCTGCGATCGACGAAGACGAGGTGGTTGCTCTCCCCAAGAAAACCGCAAAGGGCCCTACTGCCTCCAAAAGCAAAGGCAAGAAGCGTGCGTTGGAGACCGAGTCTGAGGGGGAGACTGTGCCGACTTCGAGAGCGGCCAAGCGGCGTGCTGGGAACCGGTCGCGTACATCGAAATCCTTCGAGGAAGCTTTCTCAGGTACGCAACCTTTCGAAGGGGTTTTGTGTCACACCAACGTATTGCACAGCTATCTGTTGCCGAGACGGTGTCCTCAGGACTAGGCGTTCGAGTAGGAAGATCTCGCCAACCATCATCCCTGATTCCGAGGAGGAAGACCTCTTGCTCATGGAGTCCGACCCTAGTGAATCTGAGTTTGAGCCTGAGGATGGGAGCGACGTAGAGCAATTCGACACTTCAGATGAAGAGACCATGGTCCAGGAGGCCCTCCTGCAATCTGTCAACGCCGCTCGCGAAGAGGCTGACCGCCGTGCAGGTGTGTCTAGCACGGTGCTGGCTCTTCTAGGGCCGGCCACCCGTCAACAGTGCCGCAGCGAAGAGGGCTGCCGCAGCAGAGAGACGGCTCGCGAAGGCGTGTGCGCATGACGGGAACTACGCCTCCACAGGAGAGGACATCTTGTCTCTCTCGGACGACGACGACTCAGCCGAAGAACCCCTCTCGAACAAGGGCAAGGGTAAAGGCAAGCCAAAGGTGAAGGCAATGACCATCCAAGACCTCCGGAATGCCAGGAAAGAGGCAAGGGCAACACGCGCCGGTGGTCGCAATGCGAAGGAAGAGAGAGCGTTGCGGAAACAGCTGGGACGGAAGCTCACTTATGTGAGTCGCGTCGGCTCGAGCCACACAACAAACGTATTCACTCTTTTGCAGGCGGAGAAAGCCACCATCGCCCTTCAGAAGAACCATCCGGAATTGAAGGATGTCTGGGGTGATTTGGAGAGACACGTCAAGATCGTCGAACCAAAGCGAGGCGAGCAACCCGCCGATCTCAAAGTCCAACTCCTACCGTTCCAGCTAGAGAGTTTGTCGTGGTTCAAGGAGCAAGAAGCAGGTCCTTGGAGTGGCGGAATGCTTGCAGTGCGTACTGGTCCCTCGTCACTATGGCGGCTCAGCTGACGCATGTATCTCTTAGGATGAGATGGGGTCAGTTACTTGGTCTCGTGCTCTCGTGCTGTGACTGACATCGGTTTAGTATGGGCAAGACCATTCAGATGATTGCACTCCTACTTTCCGATTTCGGATCGAGACCGAATCTAGTCGTAGCGTAAGTTACCTGCGCATTGAAATCAATCATCCACTGACGTCTGTGCAGGCCCACTGTTGCCATTATGCAATGGAGAAACGAAATCGAAACGCATACAGCAAGCAAGTTGAAGGCGCTCGTCTGGCACGGTTCATCGCGCGAGTCAAGCGTTAAAGAGCTGCAGAAGTACGACGTGGTACGTTCTGTGCTGTCAGTTAAATCTGCGTCTGTGCTTACCGCGATACTTTCTAGGTCCTCACTTCCTTTGCTGTTCTGGAGAGTTGTTTCCGGAAAGAACACAGCGGCTTCAAGCGCAAGGGTGTGATCGTCAAGGAGAAGTCCCCTCTTCACCTCATCAATTGGCATAGAGTCATTGTGGGTATTTGCACCCATGGACACGAGATTGAACAATGCTGAAGGTCGTTTAGTTGGATGAAGCCCATAACATCAAAGAGCGACAGACGAACACAGCGAAAGCTACTTTCGAGCTCAAGGCCAAGTATCGTTGGTGTCTTTCGGGCACTCCGCTTCAGAATCGTGTCGGCGAGCTCTACAGTCTAGTTCGTTTCCTTGGCGGAGACCCGTTCTCATATTACTTTTGTGAGTCGTTGTGCGCTAGTAGAGCAGTACGTCGGCTGATCTTTCATCAGGCAAGATGTGTGACTGCAAGTCTCTTCACTGGGTGTTCACAGACAAGAAGACCTGTGATGGTGCGTTCGTTTTCTTGGATCTACCCGCTTCGTGTCGACTTATCCGTATATAGACTGCGGCCATAGCCCTATGCAGCATGTACGTGTCTGACATGAGATCCGCAAATCTTGTCCTGACCCCTGTGCAGACATGTTTCTGGAACAACGAGATTTTGACCCCCATCCAGAAGAACGGCATGCAGGGACCTGGTGCCGCCGCCTTCAAGAAACTGAGGATTCTCCTCGATCGGATGATGCTGCGTCGCACCAAAGTAAGCTTCTTGAATTTTCCTTGAACCTTTGCGCAAATAGGTTCAAATGACATTTTCCAGATCCAACGAGCAGACGATCTCGGACTTCCGCCGCGAACAGTCATCATCAAACGCGAGTACTTCAGTCCTGAGGAGAAGGAGCTCTACAATTCTCTGTTCACGGACGCGAAAAGGCAGTTCACGACCTACATAGATTCTGGGACGATCTTGAACAGTATGTCTTCCACACTCTTCTAGGGTGTGCCGACTGACCTAGCTTCTAGACTACTCCAACATCTTCAGTCTGCTCACCCGCATGCGGCAGATGGCTTGCCATCCCGATCTCGTTCTGAAGAGCAAAAACAACGCTGGTGTGTTTGCAACCGACGAAGACGGAGAGGGCACCGTCTGCCGTCTCTGCAACGAGTTCGCCGAAGACGCCATCCAGGCCAAGTGCAGGCACATCTTCGACCGCGAGTGTATCAAACAGTACTTGGAGGCTTCTGTCGAAGTGACGGTTCGCATCCTCAATCCACCACTGCTGAATCGATCGCTTACGGGTTACCCGCAGCCTGCATGCCCTGTCTGTCACGTTCCGCTTACGATCGACCTCGAGGCCCCCGCGCTAGAGCTCGGTGAAACCGAGACCTTGAAGGTCCGCCAGGGTATACTTGGTCGCCTCGACCTCAACACTTGGCGGTCCTCGACGAAGATCGAGGCTCTGGTTGAGGAGCTGAGCAATTTGCGGCGGGAGGATGCTACCACGAAGAGCATCGTGTTCAGCCAGTTCGTCAACTTCTTGGACCTAATCGCGTACAGGCTGCAGAGGGCCGGCTTTGTTGTGAGTTCAGCCCCTCGTTCGCGCATGAGCACCAGCATCTGAACCATGAATAGGTTTGCCGTCTGGAAGGTACCATGAGCCCCCAAGCTCGCGACGCTACCATCAAGTACTTCAGTAAGCAGCCCAAGCCTGCGTACTCTTGCGCTTCACACGCTCATAATTGTCCACAGTGAACAACGTTCATGTCACCGTCTTCCTCGTCAGTTTGAAGGCCGGTGGTGTCGCCCTCAACTTGACGGAGGCTTCTCGGGTATATCTCATGGACAGCTGGTGGAACCCTGCTGTAGAGTTTCGTCAGTGTCTCTTCCCCTTTTTTCGGGAAAAATCTCTGATGCTTGGTAACGCAGAGGCCATGGATCGTATACACCGTCTGGGCCAGCACCGCCCCGTCAAGGCCATCAAGTTGGTCGTCGAGGACAGCATCGAGAGCCGTATCATCCAGCTGCAGGAAAAGAAGGCTGCGATGGTTGATGCTACGCTTTCTGCTGACGACTCGGTAAGCAACTTCTCCGTTTCAATCAGCTAACATCTTCTGACGACTGTCTAGGCCATGGGTCGATTGACGCCTGAGGATGTAAGCACTGCCTCATGCCTTGGTATACAATCACGTCGCTGACGGTTCCTTTTCAGCTCGGTTTCCTCTTCAGACTCTAGATTCGCATGACCTTGAACAATGCGCTCGCCTTCGTTAGATGGACACTCCCCTCCGTCTCGACTCCGTTATGGTTATGTTCCTATAGTATGCCACCGTTTTTCTCCCCATGGCTCCCTCCCCTGGTATTTTTACTCTGTACTGTTTCATAATCCGTGTCGGAAAACCCGCCTAATCGTGCTGTGCTGTCGTATCGCTGAGTTCGCTTTCTTTCTTGGGTCCCATTTCTTGCACCTTCTAGCCTATTGTACACTCAGCTTGACCCCGGACGTCAATCGAATCCCGCCGTGTTGCTTCCAGAAAAGCAGGGCCGCCCCCGCATACTATGCGTAATTGTACAAGTATAAGAAAGGTCCCAAAGGCCAGCGGTCAGCTGTCCGGTCCGAGCTCCAAGCCGTACGACGGTCATAGGCGAGCGTTATGTGGCATCTTCTTGATGACCTGACGCACGCCGAGGTCGCCCATGACGTCCTCGGACCCTCCAAGGATCGCATCGTACGGCGAGGTGCGGTGGAACTGCGCGTCGTGTCAGCGATTGCGCAGTCTGACGGGAGAAGGGGTACAGTACGTTTTCAATGAACTTGCCCATGCCGGACGCGGTGATGCCGCGTCCACCAAAGATGAGCGTCGCGTCCTCGGCGCTCTCGCGGCCGGAGCGGGTGACGTACCTGCGACGAGGGGACGGCCGGTGAGCGCAGCAAGGATTCAAGAGCCCAAGAGGACGTACTGCTTCAGGAGCGCGATTGTCCCCGCGATCTTGTCCGACTGCTCGTTGTACGACATCTGCAGGCGGAACGCAACCGTCAGTCAGCCCCCGCCAACCGGGAGCACAGGGCAGACAGGGAAGGCGCGCACGTGGTTCATCTGGTGCGTGACGAACTCGAGCCAGTTCTGGCCGGTCTCGACGCGCGCGATCATCGCCGCGAGCCGCGCGCGGACGACGGGCTGGGCGTGCAGCGGGCGGCCGAACGCGGACCGCTGCGCGACCCACTTGAGGCACTCCTCGACGACGCGGCGCTGGCCGGCGAGCGCGGTGCAGACGATCATCCAGCGCTCGTGGTTGAAGTTCGAGAGCACGACCTGCATGCCGCGGCCGACGGGGCCGAGGGTGTGCGCGACGGGCGCGCGCGCGCGGTCGAAGGTGACGTACGCGGTGCCCGCGGTGGACGAGTACGCGGTCTTGATCGGCTTCGTCGAGACGGCGTCCTGGCGCGCGACGAGGACGACGACGTAGCCGTTGGCGCTGTTGCAGGCGACGGAGAAGTAGTCGGCGAACGTGCCGTTCGTGATCCACCTGTGGGGAGGGGAACGGAGGGCGTCAGCGGGTGGGTCGAGGGGAGGGGGGAGGAAGAACGCGCTTCTTGGTGCCGGTGATGACCCATTCGTCGCCCTCGCGCTCGGCCCAGGTCTGCAGGCCGCCGACGTCGCTGCCGGCGAAGGCCTCGCTGATGGCGAGGCAGATGAACTTCTTGCCGCCGAGGACCTCGGGGACGACCCGCGCCTTGAGCTCGGGCGAGCCGAAGTTGAGCACGGGCGGGAGGCCGATGACCTGGCCCGCGAAGTAGCCGTCGACGTACCCGCGCGTGCCGAGCCGTCCGATCTCGAAGTTGAGGATCAGCTGCAGACGGACGTCGGTGAGCACGCGTGCGCAGACGGCACGGTCGACGCGCCTCACCTCGTGGAAGTGGTCGTACTCCTCGGGGGTCACGACGCCGCCCATGAGCGTGCGGCCTTGGAGGTGCTTACCGGGGCCTATCCGCATCGCCGGGATGTTCATCTCGCTGCCGACGCCCGACGCCGTGCCCGATTCAACAGCCGGTCTGCAGAAGCAGGGAGTGAGGGGCACTCACCACGACTTGTCGATGACCTCCTGCGACAGCCGCTTGCCGCTGTCCTCGCACTTGAGCGCGTCTGGCTGGACGACTCCTCGAAGAACTGCGCGCGGCCTCCTGGAAGCGGCGGTGGCTCGCGGTGTAGTACGGGCTCTGGAAGCCCTTCGCGAGCCAGGCGGGCTCCGCGTAGGGCACCTCGGAGAACGCGCCGGGCGCGGGGGGCGCGACGAGCTCCGTCTGGCCGGCGACGGTGCCGATCTGGAGGCGGGCGTACTGCGGGCGGAGGAGGACCTCGTGCCGGTGGAGGCCGAAGAAGGCCTCCGTCGCGTCCTTGCCCGCTGGACGGACGCGGGGTGGGGTGAGGAGCGGGCGGGTGGGGGATCGGGGAGGGGCGTACCGACGGTCTTGTTGACGAGGACGCCTGCGCCGCCGGGGTGGAGGTTGGCGAACTTGGAGAGGTCGTAGACCTTGGCGTCGACGATGATCCACTGCGAAAGAGTTCAGAGAGCGGAGGGGGCACTCGTGAGGGGTGCACGTACCAAGTCGCCTGGCTTGTTGTGCTGGAACACCGGCAGAGGGTGAGACACGACGCGCGGGAGTCAGCAGGACGCAGGAGACGCACCAGAGCGACTTGCTCGACAGTATAAGTCTTGGAAGACATGTTTGCGGTTGAAGCTGGAGAAGGAGAGGAAGAGGACGAGGGGAGGTAAGTAGTACTTGGCTGGTGTCTCAGTCCGGCACCCGGGAAGCCGGAGCGCGACTGTGCGGGGAAACGGCTCCGAAAGACGCGGAGTCCGAGGCCCCTGATTCTCCTCGCGCATCCACCCACCAATCACACGCTGCGCATTCCGCGCCTGCCGTGTCGGTCGCCAAGTTTGGTTGACCAGGTTGTTGACCCAGGCCCGAGCACCTGTACCTCACATCAATCAGGCCAGCTACGATGTCGTGGTGAGGATATGACATATGCTCAGAAGGGGGAGTTGGCTTGAAAATGTGGCCTTCATATGTTTTTGTGCAGACGTTCTATCACTTTACATCTTGTTGCATTACATTTATATGTATATGGAGAGCTCAGATCGTCGTTTTGGTGCTTATCGGTGAAGGATTAAAAACAGGAAATGGTATTCTATGACATAGAGTATAGCGAGATAGCATGTGCTCCAATTATTATTCTGAAAGGTGAAATAGAACGGGGTGTTCTTCTACTCAACGATGCAGCCGGCCTGATTGATGTGAGGTACAGGTGCCGCCGACCGTTAGACAGACGCGGCCAATCCAGACAGGCAGATCTAACAGAAATAAGATCACGAGGGAGGGGAGCTAATTATCGCCGTCGACAGACTCAGGGGTTACGCAGCGCTGGGGGACGTATGCCTCATCTTCGTCGCCATACTCACCGCGTGTAGCTGAGAGCTCTCGTGTGGTGAAGGCGCGGGCCTCCTTTACGATACGGTCAAACCGCTTGACGAGCCCGGGGTCATTCATCATCTCGTCCGCAACCTTGCTGCTCCACCATGTCGTCCTAGTCTGGGCTTGGATCTTGGAGAACGGACCCTGCTTTGTAGTGGCCTTCTTGGAGTCGCGCGCCTTCTTCTTTGCAGCCTTCTTGGAGGCGGCGGGTCGGGCTTCTTTGCATCGGAGGCTTGCTCGGCCGTCTTGCTGCGCTGGTACTTGAAGGTGCGCTCCACCTGAATGGAGCACGTCAGGTTTATTCAGGAGTGGAGGGCCGCTTCGTAACTCACTGCAGTGATGGCAAGCGCCACAGCGCCGCGTGGGTAAAACTGAGCGCGGTCGTCGACCAGTCCCTGAACGGAGCGGACGTGATGGGCAATGACGGGGAGAACGTAGGGCGTTCGTAGCCACCCGGTTGCCTTCAACGGCTCGAAGGGGGTCAAAATGCAGTACGCAGCAGCAAAGGAGCGTGCGTACATCGGCGTTGGGGTAGCGATACAACGCCGCCCCACCACGGGAAATGGCGGCCGCAGCCCATTCCTGGGTAGAGAGAACTGCCCTCCCAGGCTCGGTATTCAGCTGCCGTTTGGCGTCCTCGGCGTCGAAGGCCTGATTGGCGACATCCTGGAACTTGTGGCGCCAATCATAGAGTCCTCTCTGGCGGATCTGGGGATAAACAGTTCTGAGAGACAGGTTGAAAGCGGAAAGGAAGGCTTACGGCGATGAAGATTTTGTCGTACACCGTCAAGGCTGGCTGGCCGTTATTAGGGCAAACCTCATCCACGATCTGCTGGATGACCTGCAGTGGGCCCAGCATGACGTCGCTAGTGGGGCCAGGGTACCGAGTCGTCCAAGGGTCGGGAAGATCGCCGTTGAGTCGGATGAACTTCTTGACGATGAGGGTGATGTGGGGCTGAATCCACGCCGGTAGTGTGCGGATGGCAGACGAAGTAGCCTGAGGATCCTGGCTGCCGTTGTCGGATGCGTTGCCGTCGTGCTCGAGGGCAGGAGTAGCGACAGAGACCTGCTCCGTGCCGAGGGAGCGTGCATCTGCAAGTTGGGGCCTCGTCTCAGCACGAGCAGATGCGGCAGCTCGTGCTGGGGCGACCATGGCTGCGGCATTCTCGGTCGTCTTCTTCCGTATCGCAGCCGGGGGCTCTTCACCTGCACCGCCATCCTCGCTCTCTGCCCCACCGTCCTCATATCCATCGTCGCTTTCTAGCGGGGTTCGAGCACGTTGCTGTACGATCCAAGCCCGCAGGTCCCAGTACACCGCCAATTTAGATCAGCCAGGAGATATCGCACCATCAACACGACGTCGTACGCACCGCCTTCCGTTTGGGAGCAGGGATCTCATCCTGGTCAGCAACAGCCTTGTCAGCCTCTGCCGCCGCAGCCTGTGCACGGGCCTGGCGTTTCTTATCAGCGGGTTACTTCTCGCTGCAAAACAGGTGCTTGGGCGTGAGACGCACCATCTGTCGCTTCGAGGGAGAGGCGACGTTCTCGCCCTCCTCGCCTTCTTCCGACGTGTGATCGGCAATGGCGGCTGCCTTCGCTCGACCGTTGCCCTTGGACTGCGCCGTTCACGCACGTTGGTTCTTCTCACCCTGACAAAGGGGCGTGTGACACGCACCTTCCTGCACCCGGAATGGGGGGCCTCGCTCTTGTCCATCACAATATCTTCGACGGCTTCCCGACTACCGTTGCTGCAGTCAGAGTCTGTAGTGCGCTGCCGAGAAGGTGCGGGTCGAACGGGGACGGGTGGAAGGTCATCAACCGGCATGCTCACCCTCATGCGTCTTCTCGGTTGAATTGGGGCGACGTCCATGTCAATATCCTCGCCATCGCCCCTTTGCGCGCGAGCTTCCGTTCGCTGCACTGCCCGAGATGCAATGGACCTGCCCTTGGGGGCAAACGGCGGTTAGTGGGCGTTACGTCCGGTGTAACAGAATTTGGAACGCACTGTACGCTCAAGAGCGGGTGCCTCTGCCTCGTCGTCGTCGTCGTCCTCCTGCGCTCGCTCTGAGCCTCCCGCGCTGCCCTCGTGATCCTCACATGCTTCGCCGCTCTGAGGCCCCTCATCTGCAGGCGTGGATCAGCCTCTCAAAGGCTCTGAAACAAACTGATTGATGCATTACCCAACTCATCCATCTCCCGCCGCACTTTACGGGAGTGTTCACGCTGATCCATGTCGACCTGAGTGAGACCAGCGGCGTCCGCCGCCTTTTTCTTCGCCATGCTCTCTTCCGGGTCTTCTTGAGCCGGGCAGTCTGCGCTGCCTTCTCCCCTGGGTCCAGAACTAGCCCAGCGTCCGTTGCGGGATGGCGGGAATTGTTGCGGACCCGGGCGGTACTTCCCTTGGGAGCCTTCTGGAGATAGCGGCGTGGGATCGTGGTTGGAAATGCAATGCAAAGAAGTAGGGATGGAATACACACCGCAGCAGCTGGCGTGGTTGATGCATTGGCTTGCAATGTGCTGGCGGCCTGGCTGTCGCCGGCTCTTGTGCGCTGGGCGGGTATCGCGGCGGCGGATGCCGTGCGGCTCCTTTTGTTTGGCCCTGCTGACCCCCGAGACTGCGAGAACGCCTTGGGTGGCGAGGGGCTCCGAGTCCGTTTCTCAGTGGTCGGGCGTTGCATGGTGGGGAGGAGGATACAAGGCGAGATGGGGTTGAGTGGACGAGGCAGTGGCACGTCACTCTCTAACGCCCGACTGCCAGACCAACCAGACCCAACCGCGCTCTTGGCACTCCCCTTCCTTCTGCTGCTGCTGCTCTTCGTGCTCATGCTCGTGCTCGTACCTTTTCTTACCCTCTTCCTGCACGCCCTACTACACACACTACATAAGTAGCTGGTGTCTCAGTCCGGCACCCGGGAGCCGGAAGGCGACTGTGCGGGGAAACGGCTCCGAAAGACGCGGAGTCCGAGGCCCCTGATTCTCCTCCGTGCATCCACCAATCACACGCTGCGCATTTCGCGCCGCGCCGTCGGTCGCCCAGTTTGGTTGACCGGGTTGTCGACGCAGGCGCAAGCAAAAATCGTGTCGAATCCGCGCTGAGCGAAGCAACTGCGCACTGGGTGCAAGGTGCACATCGAATCCGTCATAGGAGATGCGCATCCGCCATGCGCAGACTGACCCATCGCTGATGCCACAGGCAGCGCTTTGGTTCCGCCGTCGACGGTGAGTATATGAACACAATGTCGTCGACGAACCCAGAAGACGCGATACATCTCAAATGGATGCAGGCCGCGATGGACATGGTACGTGGGCTCCTGATGCGCACCTACAACTCGCCGTTGACATCGAACAGGCCGAAGAGGCGTTGGCGGCGCAAGAGGTCCCGGTGGGCTGCGTCTTCGTCCGCGACGACAGAGCCATCGCCAAGGCGCGCAACAGGACAAACCAACTCCGGAACGTACGTGCGCCCCTGCGTCGCTGCGTCGCTCCTCTGATAAATCTATCGGGGTGTAGGCCACCCGCCACGCAGAGCTCGAGGCGATCGACGAGATCCTCGCCGACAAGCAGCTCACCCCAACCGCCACCCCGCACCCGCTCGCCGCGACGACGCTCTACGTGACCGTCGAGCCGTGCATCATGTGCGCGTCCGCGCTGCGGCAGATGGGCATCAAGGAGGTCTTCTACGGCTGCGGCAACGACCGCTTCGGCGGGTGCGGGAGCGTCCTGGGGGTCAACCGCGCGTGCGTCCCGTCTCGTCCTTGGTCCCGGTGTGCGTGTGCGTCGCGGCCGACGGGTGTCTGCAGGCTTCCGCATCCGGCACACGCGGGGTACGAAGCCCACGGAGGGTACATGCACGACGAAGCGATCATGGTTCTTCGACGGTTCTATATCACCGAGAACGCCAACGGTGCGCACCTGGCTCCGCATGTGGGCCAGTGTGGGCAGCTTCGAGACTCATTCGTGTCCACAGCTCCAGTCCCCAAGTCGAAAGCTAACCGCGTGCTCAAGACGGAGATCGCCGCTCGGGCATCCCTGAAACCGGAGCTTCGTGAATGAAAAGGTCACGGACATACTTGCCGCTGCCACGAGCGCGAGCATTTCGGCTGGCAGTCTGTGTGAAGGCTGGAACGGGTTTCACGTAGAGTGCGGGTGGCACGCTGTCCGTCGCTTGACAGGGGGTGTAATCATTATCCAGGGATATTATACACTAGGCATGTGTGAACTATACAATACGTGAAGAGATCCGTCTATGTGGAAGAGCAGAGCAATGATAGTGTATGGGACTGCAGTGAAGAACGGAGCACGATAGCAAAGCAGGAACTCGAGTGCACCTCACAAAGAGTCATGTTTTTTCGTTCACGTGCCAACGCTGTTGAACGGAGGAGCCACGCGAGGTTCTCGTACACAACGAAGGTGACGCACGTCCCGGGTAGGACGCGCACGAGGTTTATGCCGAGGCCGCGGTAGAAGCCACGCACACCCTCCTCTGCCCACGTCTTTTGACGCAGACACGGATTTAGGGTACAAATGCGACATGGCGTTGTTCTAGAACCGTCACATCGCGTGCTCAGTACCAAGACCCTGGAAAACAGAAGGACAGACAGACCTGAATGCGGGAACGAACGACCTGATATGGGTATGTGGATGCAAGCGCGAAGAGCTTGCTTGCCCCAGACATGAGGTGTATGCCGTATTGGACTGCGCGAAGGCAGTATCGCCGGATGTGTTCATCAGGAAAGCACACTGTGGGCAGGGCACGCGCGACTCACCAGCTTATCGTCGTTCGCGGTGTACTCCTTCCCTGCCTTCGCGAACTGCCGCTTCTTCCGCTCGAAGCCCCACCGCTTCAACTCTTCATACGCCATGAATTGGATCGCGCCATTGCTGACGCCGAAGAGGGCGAGCGTGGTGCCGCGGTACAGTCCGGCAATTCCCTCCGCGCTGTATGTGGAACGCAGGCCGTCTGCGAGGGTCCGCGTATATGGGCGGGCATCAGGAAGGGTGGCCACAGAGGACAGGCGGGAGAGAAGACGCTCACGCCAGAGACTGCGGTACGCGGTCGGGTCGCCCCTCTGGGTGGTGAACATGCGGACCTTGACGACCCAGATGGGTTCGTCATTATCGCGGTCACGGCACCTGTCGCGGAGGTGGTGTCAGTTGGACGGATGGAGGGGACGGGAGAAGGCACGCGGACTCGCTTGTGCGGAATACAAGAGGTACGCCCCCGCTGACAGCTTGACGTTCGGGTCGCCGCCGGTGGCACGCTGCTTAAGGGAGTGGTAGCTTTACGAGAGGGAACGTAAATGAGCTCAAGGGTGCGTGCGTGGGCGCGGACATTTGGGGTGCATGCAGGAGGAAACGGGCGCTCACAAGAGGAAGTAGAGACCCCAGCTGGACGCATTTCCGGCGATGTTGGAGCCCACGCCTCGGTAGAGGCCAGTCCAGCCGTCGCGAGCGCGGATGTCCTCGAGCCCGTTCCAGATAGCGCGACCGACGCCACCTTGAGGCTTGTCGGTCGCTACCTGGAACTTGACCTTGAGGAGGTCGAGTGGGTGCATGCACAGCACCGCGACAACACCTGCGCCGATTCCCGAGAACGCATGGTCCTGTGGGCGGAAGAGTGGGCGTGTCAGAGTCGAAGGTGGGCGCAAGGATGGGTGGGGGACACGTACGAGGGAAGAGGTGGGGAAGAAGCTGGGCGGCGAGGATGCTTTGGACATGCGAGACAGCCCGGGGTCCGCTGGGGCGGAGGGGCGGGGCGGGGAGAACGGCGGACGGGTGGACGGCGAGTGAGCAGAGGCAGTCGACTCGACTCACCCTCTGCCGGCCGAACGAGAAATTGTGACGTGAGCGGGGCTTCGGGCGTCTAGCATTGAGATAAGATAAACGCCGGGGGTGGCAGACGAATGCCAGCACTGCCAGTGCGGTCAGACGTTAGCGCGTTAGCAGTCGGATTGAGCTCCCCCGCCACGGGTACGTACGGTGCTTCGCCCACTGCCCTGCCCCGCACACACGGAGCGGACATGGAGGTGCCCACATCGATGGCCCACGACCGCCGTCTTCCGGGAACGCGCCTCGCCACGGTCACGCTGACCCTCTCTCGCCCACAGACTGTCCCGCCTTCCCCGCCCGTGCCAATCGATTATTCCGCGATTCGACCCCGCGATCCGCCACCACCGCCCCCACCTCGTCCGCGTGGCAAATGCGCGCCCTCGGCACACATATAAGGCCCCGTCCTTCCGCCTCCTTCGCTCTCTGCCGCCTCCGCTCCCTCCACCGCCACCTTCACTCTTCTCCACCGCGCCATGCCTGCCGTGCCCACAGCATGGGCCCCGAATCGCTACCCGCCCGCCCACCGCTCGGACCACGTCGATGTCTACCAGAGCGAGAAGCGCGGCGACGTCCGCATCCACGACCCTACCAGTGGCTCGAGGAGAACAGCTCTGACACCGACGCTTGGACAACCGCACAGGAGGCCTTCACCCGCGAGTATCTCGACAAGAACCCCGAGCGCCAGGAGCTCGAGGACGAGATCCGCAACAACTTGAACTACGCAAAGGTACTGCCGTCCCTCTGAGCGCCCACCCAGCGGAGCTGACGATATCTTGCCACAGTTCTCCGCCCGGCGTTCAAGGACGACGGCCGGTGGTACTGGTACTACAACAGTGGCCTCCAGGCACAGTCCGGTCAGTGCTCCCGGGACATTCCTCGGGATGACATCGCTGACGTGCTTTGACTGCGGCAGTCCTCTACCGCTCCAAGGATAGCACTCTGCCCGACTTCTCCAGTGGCTCCGATGGAAAGGCGAGGTTTTCTTCGACGTATATCCTCTTTCCTTGGAAACCGTATATGAGGTGTGCTGATTGGAAACGCGCTTACAGCCTAACCTGCTGTCCACCGACGGCACTGCGGCGCTCGCCACCACCGCATTCTCCCGCTCGGGCGATTACTGGGCTTACGGAATCTCCCAGTCGGTCAGTAGTGTGTCACGCAAGACTTTTTAGCACGCACTGAATGTTGACCAGGGTAGCGATTTCTTCAACATCTACGTGCGGCCAACGTCGGAGCCCCTGGCTTCGCTCGAGGACTCGCGCCCGTCTCACGACGACAAGCGGCTTCCCGACGAGCTCCGCCATGTGAAGTTTTCTGGCATTACGTGGACACACGACAACAAGGGATTCTTCTACCAAGTACGTTTTTCTCACCGCTCTCAGGAGAGCACATGCTACGCATTCATATAGCGCTATGCGGCACCTCCAGAGAAAGGCAGTGTCGGTATTGAGACCAAGAGCGACAAAGACGCGATGTTGTACTACCACAAGGTAGGCACCCCCAGTGTCGTCATACTTTTTCTTCAATTGGCGACGGGGGTATGTATCTGATTCCCTGTCCTTACAGCGGAGGATGTGCTGATTTACAAGGACCCATCAAACCCGACATGGATGTGGGGCACTGAAATCACAGAGGTTGACGGACGCTACCTCATCCTTACCATCAGTCGGGACACAGGACGGGTGAGCACGCCTAAGTTTTGTCGCAGCTATCAGAGCTTATGCTCACGTGATGCATGGCAGAAATACCTCGTCTGGGTTGCCGATCTCGAGAAGAGCCCACTGGGACCTGACCTGCAATGGGACAAGCTCGTCAACGACTGGGAAGCAGAATACCAGTAGTGAGTGAGAAGTTCCCAGGGCATGCCTGCTGTGAATTCGCGACGTCACCTCACGTAAACCACTTTACAGCATCGCAAACGATGGAACAAAGTTCTATTTCGTCACCAACAAGGATGCTCCCCGATACAAGCTTTTGTCTGTTGACCTCGCAGACCCTCCGGAGAAACGCGCCTGGACAGAGGTCATCCCGAAAGCGATGCTATAATTGAAAGCTGTTTGGTCGTGAATGGCGACTACGCTGTTATCGTCTACAAACGAAACGTAAGGACATCATCTTACATCTTTTGTCGAAACATATCTCACGCTAGTACGCCGTGCCAGGTCATGGACGAGATCCACCTCTACGAGCTCTCCACCGGCAAGCACCTCGAACGCATTGCCCTGATCGTGGGCTCTGCCGAGGTTCACGGCCGGCGTCCCAGTCCTGGTGGTTCACCACCCTCTCCGGCTTCACGAACCCAGGGATCGTTGGCCGGTACGACTTTAAGGTCGCAGATGTCGCGCAGCGCTACAGCGTCTACCGCCAGGCGGTCGTACCTGGGATCAACTCAGACGAATTCACGGCGGAACAGGTGTGGTACACGAGCAAGGACGGCACCCGCGTGCCCATGTTCATCGTCCGCCACCGGGACACGCCGCGGGACGGGACCGCGGCGGCGCTCCAGTACGGCTACGGCGGGTTCAGCTACGCGATAGGCCCAAGCTTCAGCTCGTCAATCCTGACGTGGGTGCAGAAGTACGGACCGTTTACGCGGTCGCGAATATCCGCGGCGGGGGCGAGTTTGGAGACGAGTGGCATTTGGCGGGGACGAAGAGCGGAAGGTGCGTAGGTAGGAATGCAGAGGGAGAGGATTCTGAAGCTGATGGCATGTGCAGCACAACTGCTTCGACGACTTCATCGCGGCTCGTAAGTCGTCCCAATGTTACTCATCGTGTGGCTTGGAGAGCTGACCCGTCACAGGCAATACCTCGTCGACAATAAGTACGCCGCGCCCGGAAAGATCGCAATGAACGGCGGTTCGAACGGAGGTATGTGCCATCGGATGGCTGAACGACGAACTGAGCTGACCTTTTTGCTCCATCGCACGCTAGGTCTCCTTGTCGCGGCGTGCGTGAACCGTGCGGCAGAAGGGCTCATCGGCGCTGCGGTCGCAGATGTAGGCGTGCTGGACATGCTGAAGGTGAGCAAAGTACGGTCTCTGGAAAGGACTCCTGCTCAATCAAATGCATCATTCGCGCCTTGGGGTGACAGTTCGCAGACTTCACAATCGGTGAGCATCGATGAGAACAGTCGTCTGGATTGCCCATGCTGACTTGGGCGGCAGGACGGGCATGGACGTCGGATTACGGTGACCCGCACGACCCGCACGACTTTGACTTCATCTACCCCATCTCCCCTCTGCACAACATTCCGACAGACAGGGTCCTCCCTCCGCTCATGCTGACCACTGCGGACCGTGTGTACTTTGCTTTGTTTGAATCGGGCCTGGCTCACGAGCACTCGTGCAGACGACGACCGCGTCGTGCCTGCGCACTCGTTCAAGCACGCGGCGACACTGCAGCACATGCTCCCGCACAACCCAAACCCGCTCATCATCCGGATCGACAAGAACGCGGGCCACGGCGCGGGCAAGTCGACGCAGAAGCGGTGCGTGAGGCTGTCCGTGTTCGGCGCGCGGGCGGGGTGTGCTGACGTGCTGGCGCAGGATCCAAGAGTCCGCGGACAGATACGGGTTCATCGTACAGTCTCTCGGCTTGAAGCCTCGAAGTGCATAGATCCACCTGAAAGCGTCTCTATTTCTGGACTTCACCGGGCCGGTCACGGACCATGTATCTGGACTAACGTACTCGGACGTAGAGGACCACATCATGGCACTGATAGCTCTCATCAATCATCACTGGATTCGTGCGAGGATACTGTTGCAGTTGCGGTGGATGGTTCGCGAGCTGACTGGCGGTGGGCAGAACAGCCTCCACTCGAGAATTTAGGGCAGTACTGACATCGAGAAGATGGCTACATGATATGTGCTCTCACGGGCCGTCGGTGAATGCCTGAGTTGGCTCGGCTTCGCCGCCCTCGTGAGTGGGGCATGCGAATGCCCCTCGGCGCTCGCCTCGGTGGTATAAAAGCGTGGCATCGGGCGACGAGCAGCGGCCCTTTGACTGCTGACGGTTCAGACTCGTAGCATTCCACATCAATGGCCAAGTTCTCGGTGGCAATAGTGTATGTACCCTTCCAGCACTTCCTGCCACGCATCTAGCTTATGGTTGACTGTTTCCAGAGGCGCTGGGCTCACTGGTCTGGCGTTCGCACAGGCCCTGGCCGCGCTGGCACCCGACGTGGAGGTCACGCTCTACGAGGGCACGACGCAGCTCGAGCAGATCGGCGCGGGGATCGGCATCCAGGCGCGCTCGTGGACGATCATGCAGAGCATCGGGCTCGCGGACAGGCTGCTCAAGATCGCGGGGAACGGCAGGAAGACGAGTGCGTCGCCTCACCACTCCCCAGGTGCGCCAGTGGCAGGTGCTGACCGCGCGCGTTCGTCGTCTGGCAGCGCTCACGACCGTGCTGCGCAAGTCAGACCAGGCGGTCGGCATCGAGCTCGACAAGATCGAACAAGTCGGTACGTCCGTCCGTTCTGCGCGCCGAGTCGCGACTGTACGTGGTTCCCGACGCCCGAGCGCCCCTGACGCGCACGCCGCCAGACCGGAACTTCTCGTTCTACCGCGCGGACCTGCAGCGCGCGATGGTCGACCACCTCGCCGCGCACGGGCGCGCGGTGCGCCTCGGGAAGCGCCTCGTGTCGTACGCCGACGCGGCGACGGTGACTGGCGACGACGTGGGCGGGTCGAGCTGCGCTTCGCGGACGGCGCGACGGCGGCGTGCGACGCGCTCGTCGGCGCGGACGGGATCCGGTCGGCGGTGCGCGCGGGGATGTACGGGGCGCTCGCGCGGCGGCGCGCGACGCCAGGCGGGCGGAGGAGGCGGGGCGGATGGAGGGGTGCGTCGCGCCGGTGTTTTCGGGGGAGGTCGTGTTTCGGTGTTTGGTGCGCACGGAGGGGCTGTCGGAGGAGGCGGCGGGGCTGCCGGTGTTCAGCGACCCGACGATGTATTTGGTGCGTCGCGGTCTACCGTCTTTTTCTGGGAGGACGGTTGATGAGAGGGGCGTCGGGCAGTATTGCGGGAAGAACAAGGTAGGAGGTTGTAGTGCAAGGGACTCCTGGACTGAAGTCGCCATTGTCGTGTCCTCATAGCATTTGATCACGTACCCAATCTCACTGGGCAAGATCATCAACGTCGGCGCAGGCGTAACTTTGCCAGGGACGAAAGGACAGCATACGAAGGGCCGTGGTCGCGCCGGGCAAGCAGAGAGGAGATTGTGAAGCATTACGAAGGATGGGAACCGGTTGTTCAGCAAGTGCTCAAGGTAGGATTTGTCACTCCTCGACCAGGCTTTTACTTGTAGCTCACGCGCGAGCAGTACATTGACGGAGGACTCATGTGGTCTATCGGTATCGTCAGAGACCTGCCGACCTTCGTGCACGATAGGGTCGCTCTTGTGGGAGATGCTGTACGTCGCCCCTTCGACCACACGGCGACAAACTCATACTAGTGCACATTCAGGCGCACGCTATGGGGCATCATCTTGGTTCGGGAGCCGGTCAAGGATTCGAGGCGAGCCGCGAATGAGGCCCACCTTGGGCATTTCGTGCTGACGGATCTCGCCAGGACGCGTTCTTGCTCGCGAAGTTCCTCGGGCACAGCGCGGTGACGAGGGCGAACCTGCACGTCGCGCTGCAGACGTACGACGCGGTCCGGCGGCCGTTCTCGCAGCGCGTCGCCGCGCTGTCCGCACGGGGCTCGGAGCTGCACCACTTCAACGGACCGGACTTTGCGGATCTCACGGAGGAGAGTAGCTCGCGTGGAGAGGGGTTCCCACCGAGCGGGAGGAACTGGGGAGGATGCTCGACGAGCTGCGCGACTGGCGCGACGCCAGCACGGACATCTTGGAGGAAACTGTCGAGGCGGAAAAGATTTTGGAACGTGCTCTTGCGGAATGGGAGCGTTCGCTTCGCCTGCTATGATTTTACTTCTGAGATTCTGAGTGTTTCGATACTGCTACTCTGCCACGCTGTACGCATAGCACTTCAAGTTACACGAGGAACGCTGCTCAGAAAACGTGTTTGGATCCATGGGCGTCATCCGGCGTCGGAGGGTTTTTTTCGCGATATGGTAGACCGAGTTGATTTCAAAGCATGCCTTGCGTCCCAGCGAGATCATGCATCCTCAACCGAGACCACTCGGCGCCTACGGCATTGACGATTCTAACGGGCCGCCAGTCACGCGACACAATGGGCGCTATGCAACACGCTGTGAAGTTGCCTCCTCCACATCCTCCTTGAACTGCTGCACGCATAGATCCCCCACCATGAGCTTCGTGCTTCTGCAGCCAGAAGGTACGCAGGAGTGCTTTTGAGGCCTACCGCTCTGCTGAGGCACGCACAGAGCGTCCACATGCGTCGCGTCATTGCAACGCTCCCTCGTCCACCGACCGGCCGCGCTCACCCCGCGCACTCACAACCCATCGCCCGCCGGACCCTCCATGCCTCCGCGAGCCTCCAGCACCGGTACCGCCCCGACCTCTCCGTCTCGCTCAACAGCGCGGAGGAAACGGACAAGCAGACGGAAGGCGACAAGGCACCGAAGATGCCCAAGGGCCCCCCGCCGCGCAACGAGGCGATCGACATCGCGGTGAAGCGCAAGCCCGTGCGGCTCGTCGACCCAGAGACGGGGGCGCTCCTGCCCCCCGCACCGCTCGAGGACGTGCTGGAGCGCGTGGACCGCAAGACGCAGCACCTCGAGCTCGTCGAGCTCGAGCCGGCGCCGGTCGTGCGCATCGTCAACCAGAAGGCCGCGTACGGACGGACGCGCGAGCGGCGCGTGGGGAAGGCGCTGGGGCGCAAGGCGGAGGAGAAGGAGCTGCAGCTGACGTGGAGCGCGGCGCCGGGGGACATCGAGGTCAAGCTGAAGAAGGCGCACGCGGACCTCGCGGACGGCTGCCGCGTCACGCTCGTGTTTGCGCCGAAGAAGGGCAAGTGGACGGACATGTCGCGGACGGAGCAGGAGGAGATCGTGGAGGGCGCGGTGAAACAGCTGGAGGACGTCGCGAAGGAGTGGAAGCCGCGGCAGCGGCAGGGGTACGCAATGGCCGCTTTCCTGGAGAGCTTGCGGGGGCGGAAGCAAGTGCTGGACTTGGAGTGGGCACACGAGGGCAAGGACGGCTGGGACGGCCTCCACTTGGTGGAGTCCGCGCTGCGTAAAGGTGCGCGTGTCGAAGCCGTGTTCCAGCTTCCCTCCCCTCCAAAGAAGGGAGCATCTACCCTTGCAGACCCTCGCGCGGTTGACCCGGCGGAAGTACAGGACCGTTTCGACAAGACGATAGCCCGTTTGTTGGAGCTCGGCAGCGAATTCCGCCCACGGGATACCCATCGAAGTGCCGTTACGGTCTACCTCGAAGGCAACCGAGCAACCTGATCATGCATGCTTACAGTATGTATATCCGCCCGACTACTGCTTACCGTAGCTAGACAATACATACTACTACATTTCGTTCGTGGCAAGGGTTGACATCAAGGCCTCGCATCGATGGCGGGAGGAAAGTATTTGCCGTATCGTGCTCACTACCAAGCTCTCTGTTAGTCCTATGGCCCCATGAACACCGGTACCTCCACACCCCTCTTCGCATGTTCAAGCTGCTGGAGCACCGGAGAAGGCCGCCCCCCATCGTCGGCTCGCACCTGTTTTTCATACCCGCACGTAGCCGTCGTGGTCCTTCGTGGTCGCGCCGTCACTTCGCGCGGCGGCGGCGAGGACGGCTTTGAGTTCGAGACGGTGGACTGCTCGACGTGCGGCAGCTCGCGCGCGCGCGATGTCGACCATACCACACACATGTACCGAGTACCTCCGGTTCGTCCACCGCGCCTTCGGGATGCTCGTATGCGAAGACGACGCTCTCCATTGCTACGTGATACTCTATGTACGAACACGCTGTATGTTATGCCTACCATAGGGCTCCGCCCTCAAGGACAATACACGAGGATCCAAAAAAGAAAAGAAAAAAGAACCTGGATCTGGTGTACCAGCGGCTGGCCAGTCGGTGCCTATGAACACCATGGAGTCGCATGCGAGGAGACCGTGTGTTTGTCGCGCGCCGCTGCTCACGGGTGCCGGTACGACGGGGCTCTTTGAGCGGATTGAGCGTTGGGGGCATTAGTGGCACCTAGTGAACAGGGATCGGTGTGGGGATCCCCTCGACTGGACGAGGGCGATTGACGCTGGCTAGTCGCGGATGCGGCGGATACGCGGAGGCTGATACTTACGATGTATACGCGGAGGCTGATACGATGGATATGCGGAGGCTGATACGACGGATACGCGGAAACAGACGGATGCGCGGACGCGAGAGAGTGAGTTGGGGGAAGCAAACTGAACATTGCCTGTGCTCGCGAGCTACTATTATACATGTGCCGCTACTACAGTCATTGACCGGTCCCTGAGACACCCAATTCTTTATAAATGATGCTGTGACCGTCGAAGGTCGTATGCCTCTGAAATTTGGCACATGGTAGGAGATGTGGTAGATGTACCTACATGAATATTTTGGATTCCATAGGTGTTCAGCATCGTGCAGGAACTGAGACCTGACATGAGACTGAGAATACGGAGATACCACTCCTTGAGACACCCTAATCGGGTTAACTCTCACGACGGCGCCAACATGTATCGATCCCCGGGTGTGTCACTATCTGTCGAGCTCTCCACACTGTCCTCATGTTGTCCTCACTGCTGATTTCGTCCTCTCTGTCCCCCTGACCTCCGTATACTGAGTTATTGAGTAGGGCCAACGATGAGAGCAAGGCAACACAAGCACTCTGAAGACGCGTCGCAGCGCGATCAGGCGCGTCGCGTCTAATGTGTATCACATAATCGCATTTGTTGTCATGAAGGCGCCCGTTGGCCCCGGTTGGGCGCTCGCATCGTCACCGGTCATCCGGGATCCATGAAGAGACATCGCACAGCCTCTAAAGTAAACGAGAGAGAACACATAGCTATTCATATGAGAATACTGACGCTACCGGGGGGCACTATTTTCATGTTGCCTTGCAATTTATATTTTACATTTCATTACTGCGGTGAAATCAGACATACTGGGTTGCGGCGACATGAAAAGCCCTCCTCATCTGCGCGATTGCCTCTTTCAAACTAGTGCCACTTTTTACCCATACAATGGACATTTTATAGAGAATTTAAAACGCCTCTGCAAAGAGGAAAAGGGGACTGTCTCAAGGAGTGGTGGTGTCTCAAGGACCGGTCAATGACTGTACTTCACGCTCTGTGACCGCGCGGCGCGGACTGCTCGGTCACGTGTCTGGGTTCTGTCGTATGCGCGCTCCAAAGTGCCCGCGCGCGCCCAGCGCAGCGGGGACTCCTACATCGGCACCAGCCAGCGGACGATGGTCAAGACGTGAGGGGGAGGGGGTTGGTTGGCGGAGAAACAAATTTGCATAGCACGGATGACAAAAACAAGCTGAACAACATGTATGATCGATGGCGATGACATTCAGCGGAAAGAATTTGTGTTGAGATCGAAGCCTTTGATGAAAGGGTCACCAAAGAGCCTTCTCGCAGCGGGTCGCCAGTCTGGGTCCAGCGTCAGCATCCGGCGCAGAAGCGCGTCCACCTCATCGAGCGTCGTGCCAGTCAATCCGGCTTTGGCGAGACGATGGCGGAGAGGGGAAAGGGGGGTTCGTTTTGCCCCGTCAAGAAGCTTTAGCATACCTATCCAGGGGCCAATATTGTCAATGAGTGAACGATGCAGCGGCTGTCAGCGATGCAACACCCACCATTGGCATTGAAGAATTTATCTCTCAGCGGACTGTTCGCGAGAACCTCCCCAGAGAACGGACCGAGCACGTCGATCATTTGCGCAAGATGCTCGCTGTCGGTCGCATCGTCCTCGTCTTTACCTGGATGAAAGAGTGATTCGTGGAGAAGAAGTTCTGCAGTCTGGACAAGCGATCAGGAGGGATTGCACGCGACACGCTATTTTGCCACCCACCAAGCATCCAAGTGCCCAAACGTCGATGGGTTGGCCCCAGCGATGCCCCAGTATGATCTCCGGTGCACGTAGCATCCTGGGCATGGCCCGCAGGCCGGTGGTATTCGTAGACGCGCGGATCGCTATCGCATTATTGGTCAGTCAAGTAACCATGCAGAATGTTTCTCACCCACCGCTGCTGAAGTCGCCTAGCTTGAGGAAGATTCTGTGCACATCGTGGTCGTTCCCAATCGGAGGATAAGGCTGCGACTTGACGCAAGTGATCGGATCCGGGCTGTGCTCAGGGAAAATGCGTGGAGGGAGACTCTCCGCTGGCACTTCCTCCAAGTACCTCTTTAGATCAGGGATGGATGTGGCGAACAAAGGTACGCTGATGTTGTCGGCCTTGACATCTGCGAATAACCAGGATTACAAGGCAATTTCAGAGAGTAATCATGGCCAACGCACCTCCATGGATATAGCCTAATTCGTGCACACACCCGAGGGCGAAGCACATCTGCATGAGGACACGTCGTACGAGCATTACATCGCGGCTGGGGTCGACCGTCCGGAATGTGCGCCGCACGTTGTGCACCGTGGTCGACATCGGCAGCATGATAGAGAATGCATGAATACCGTGTCGGCTCTGATGGGCACCCCAATCAGCCATAGCGATAATGTGGTCCGAGCCAATAATGTACCCCTCCTCTCTCGGGTTAGAATGATGGTTGATCTCGTTCAACAGAGGCATTTGACAGGTAGTTTTGCCGAATTCGAGCTCGGAGGCGTGAGCGGTCAGGACCTTGGCCACGAGAAGCCTCCCAAGCTCTAGAGTGGAATGTCTGGAAACCGTTGTTCCCCCGTCAGCAGAGACTAGAGCGATATGAGTATCACGCACTTTGAAGCCACCCGCTCCACCAGCCAGATGTTAGACTCGGCTCCCCAGCCGAGCTTTCGGATAATTCTGTATTGCGCGTGCATACCGACGAGACATTCTCCAAGCTGTAAAGGTGCATAGCCGGGGGTTTCTCCAAGTTTATACGGCTTCCAGACGGGCTCCTCGTGCGCCCACAGGCGATTGTCCCAGTTCTGAGCACGCGAAACGTCGTCAGAAGGCTTGAGGAGCTCGGTGGCGGTGGCGTGAGAGCCGCCACTGAAGGCGTAGTGAGAGCCCGCGAGCCGCGAAAGGGCGTTCAAATGTTTCCGGAGAGACGGACGGGACATAGGTGGGAAGGTTGAGGTCGAGGATGATCTTCCCGGCGAAAGTCCTCCAATATAAGTACTATGGCGGAGTCGCCACGTGTGCAGGCTGACAGCGCTTCTTCAGGCGCTTCCCGTTTGGGCGACGATGCTGCCAGGACGAGTCAAGTACTCAGGCCCACTGGGCCCAACAGGGCCCTCGCTGGTAACACGGCTTGAACACGGCCGTGTACAACGTCACACGGCCGGGCAGGTGCGTTGTGCCGCCATTTTGGTCTGCTCATTGTGCGGCCAAAGCCGGAGGGCAGCACCGAGACACCCCCTTCGGATGGGAAACAATACCAGTCTGAGAGCATGTTGCGGTGGTGATCTTCTGGAAGGGCCGGCTTGGGGCTGATACGCATGTGTGCACTCCTGGAACAAACTATGTGGGTTGTTCCAGAAGCGCGCTAAGCATCCCATTTCTACTGGGTACCGTGGATCGCAGACGCTTTTGACGTATCTGTTCCCAGGAGACCGAGTGAAGACCTCCGGGTCGACACTCGTGATGCCCAAATCTGGCGAAGAGCCCTTGTCTTGGATCCTTGACTCATCACGGCTCGCTAGAAGTCTGTAGAAGACGTGATGTGTGCTTTTGTGTGCCGACATCTCGCCACATCATTGTGGGTACATGTGAGCAGCTGTAGCAGGATGCCGTTGGTGACACAAGTCCTACGCTTCTAGCGGATTCTTTTCGGCGTGAATAGCCCCCAGGGCTTCCACGCCACTACGATACCAATTCGGCCGTGCATCCACGTTGGCTGCTTCTTCGACCGCGAAAGGGGGTCGTGGTGTCTAGACCGTAACGATGTAAGGCTACTTCTGGTCCACGGTAGCTGTGTCCGCACTTTCCGTGTTGGAGTTCGGCGCCAGAGGTGCAACCTCGGGCCGCTTGCTTGGGTAATTGTGTAGCTATAGTGCTCGCCACCGCCTGTACCGTACGCTACGCGTTTGCTCCTATCCACCACCATCTCCCGCGCATCCGCCGTCCGTCCGCCTGTCCCCGGTGCCCAGAGGAGCCCAAGCGCGACGCCCTCACCCTCCGACCTGTCCCGATCGCGTCCTACGACCCCGAAATCCCACATTCCGAACACAGATGCGTCAGCGGTCCGCCACGCGCTGTGCAGTGCAGTCCTCATGTGGACTGGGATATGTCTTCCTCACTGGCGAATGTTGTTCTGGTGCGCACACCGTCCTCGTCTCATCAGAAGCTGCAAGAGACGTAGTCTGACTAGTGGTAAACCAGAATGGTAGGGTGTGCCACCGCAGACCACGCGGCGGTTCAGATTAAGATTGGACGAGCCGTGTATAAAGGCCACGACGGAACTCATAGTACAGCATCGAGTCTCGACACCCACCGCGCTCATCTTTCAACACCTCATCACTCTCGCCTTCATCGTCATGTTCACTGCGCTTGTCACTCGCTGGGGCGATAATCTTAACAAAACCATCCTGTCTTGCGTTACTAAGAGGTCGATCATCACTATCGCCGAATCTGTTCAGCCCGATAAGTATTATCTCAAGCAGCCTGAGGTCCGACTACTCATCGGAATGGAGCTCAGAGACTACTTGCGAGGGGAGAAAAATCTCGATCCTGACAAATACAACGCAGTACTTTGGTGAGCCGTTTTACACGATCACTTGATCTCGAAGCTCAAACCATGTCCCAGTTCGCATGCGCACGAAGGGAGCTGGCTGAATAATCCTCACGCCGATGAACGTCTCCATGTTACGTTTATGCTTCAAGATATCGAATCAAAAGAGTGGATCGAGAACACGTACAAGATCGGCGATGAAGAACGCAAGTCTAAACGCTGGCATCTTCCGCTCGACTACCCTTCACTTGAAATTATGAAGGCCCGCGCCCAGACGATATGGGCTTACAGCGAGAGCCTCATTCCCGAAGGCAGTGAGCGTCCTATCGGGATGCCTTATGTCAAGGATTTGGAGGCGTCTCCGGCTCCGAACTATCACGTGCCGCCCGAGGGGTGGGAGGCTGGCAGTTCACGGCAAGCGAAGTGATGTGAGTGATCTTGTATTTACAAACATAACATTGCGCTGAGTTCACCTACACAGGTTGGCGCATTGATAGTCGCGTCCAACGCCCTTCGTTAGAACTCGCAGTCGGTGCCTGGTGCGTTCGCGTTCGATCAAATCAAGTTATGGGTTTTGTATGTGGAAGGTCTGCTTAGGGGAGACAAGATATGGCTGCGGTTTCTGCGCTTCCAATCTGTTGTACAATCATTCGGAGTGTCTTTTGTCGAAAGAAGCGGCAAAGAAGAGTTTTTGTGAATACAACCATGATCTGTCTTATGTGCGAGAGTGTCTGCGCGACAATTTTCTGACTCGTCGCCATCTGCCCGATGCGCAAGAAAACACGAAGTGTAAAATGATACACGCGCGATTCGTGGTTGCAAGTCGGCAACTCTTGGTGACTCGGGTGCACAGGATCACGAAAATGTCCACCTCTTTTGAAAAACAGAACGATGTTCGCATGTGTGGAGGGACTAATCGCTTGCACGTGTAGGCACCAGTCGTTGATGGCAGTAGAGGAGGAAGGGTAGACAGGGTTCATGGAGGTAGGGATAGAGGAAGCATGAAGACGCTGGTTTTGAGGCGAGATGCAAGGCCAGAGCCGTATGTGCTAAAGAGCGGAAAGGATAAACGTGACGCGGCAGCAAGGGAGGTATCCGGAGCATGACGGATCATAGCAGCCCCGAGTCCGGCGAGAACTTCGGATCTCCGGTGTGTTTTACGACCCACTATACAGCATGTCATGGTAGTCTCCGGTCTTCGTAGCCAGACGCAAAGTTCTTCCTTCGCCTAGCCAACCACATGGGCATTTTCCTCCGTACCGGCAACCCCTTCGACTTCACCGTCGGAATAAACCACTTCTCTGGCGCTCTCCTGCTTTTCCTGGGAAGCTCAGGGAACACGGGGGGCCGCACCGGCCTCTCCCTCCCGCGTCGTACTCCGTGGCGTTTATAGGCCACGAGCAGCCGCGGGTACGCCCGAGGTACGTCGTACCCGTGTGTGGCCATGGAGCGCACGAGCAGCCGCATCATCGAATAGTCCGCAGCATTCCATCCGAAGCCGTTCGCGTCGCTGCCGCGCGAAGCGACGACGCGACCACCACAGCGATGGCGACGTATCGATGGTGTGAACAGCCGCCACGCCACGTTGAAGAACCGTGCGTCAGGTTTGAGCGCGGGCCACGGCCGCGGCGGGTGCGGCGGCAGGCGCGGCCAGATCTTGTCCGGCTTGGTGATCTGGACCTCTAAATGCTTGCGCCCGCCGGAGAGCATCGAGCGCACGAGGAGCCGCGCGTTGTGCCGGCTCGTACGCCGCTTCGAGGGCCTCCAGGCGTTGGACGCCAGGGACTCGCCGACCAGGTGGACGTACTGGGAGTAGCCGAGCTCCTCGGGGCGGGCCTGGGGCTGCCAGCCTTCGAGAAGGAGGTCGGTTCCGGCGTGCTGGTGGCGGCGCTTGGGGTGAGGGACGCAACCGCGCGCGAGTGCGATGTAGCCTTGTAGAAGGGAGGTGTACGCCGCGGCGGGGAGAGTCCAGCTGCGGTGACCCTGTTCGCGGAAGGTCGGTATGCGACTGGCCATCTGGGCTTTCTGAGCGAGGATGAAGACGCGCTCGGCGAGTCCGATCTCGCCAGCTTTGCATAGCGCGTTGACGAGTACCGCGAAGACGTGAGGCCCGTGTTTGGCGGCATTGCGGAGGGCTTTTCTGTAGTGCAGCTTCCTGGGCGGTTGACCATTGAATCCGGGATGGGCAGGATGGTTGACGATTTGCAGCTCGGGGAGAATGCTGAACAGGGATGAGGCGACACTGTCGCACTTCCCAGTGTTCACCAGATGGGCGATATAGGAGGTGAGCGTATGTCGAGAGGGTTTCATGGGGTCCGATGGAGTGGCAAATCCTGCGGGTAGATCGAGGCTTTGCATCTGGGAAGGAGCGAGATTCGCCACGCTTCCTCTGGGGTCCACGGAGCCACGGATTGGCGTAATGAGGGCTGAGCCATCGGCGTCGCGAACGACGATTGACTCGTCAACAAGCTCCGACTCGGGATTGACTGTTTGGGGAGGCTGCGCAACGGGACTCTCGGTGCCATGAACACCAAGGCGGAGTGCCTTCAACGCAACTTCACTGATGTGCGAGTTCCGCATCAGTGTACCGGACCGTAACAAGATGTTGAATGTCACGATGTCGGGAGCCACTGGAGGGTCCCTTTTGACGCACATGTGCTGCAAGACGCTAGAGGCCATAGTAGAGGAATGACAGTGCCGTAGGCTGTAGTGAAGGAGAGCGTTGTACGACCTCCGTGACAGACGTACCCTACTTGGCATGTGGTCTTCTTCGAGAGAGTCGATGATCCGCTTGACGACGGCGTGAAAGTAGGTGTAAGCGTGAATCCGCACAGGTTGGCCATCTCTCCATATACAAACGTGATGCGTTGTCTTCGGACATGCGTACATTGTGCTGATGAGCCCGGATATTCGATGTGTCTTCAGCTGTCCGGTATCCAGCAGCATCGCAAACAAAGCTAGGCTCTGCATCGCCGTGCCCAGCTCTGAACTGATGCCACTCTTCGCTGTGGAGGAAAAGACGGTTTCGATGCGTTCTAGGATCTTGCCCATGAGACGGGGGTCTGGGTAGGGATATGGGGCGTTCGGGACAGTGAAACGGGTAGGTCGCGAGAGACCAATCTGCTCGTAGGTGACCCATTCCGCTGGCGGCTCTTGGACAGCCTCTTGCGCTCGGTGCAGCTCCCAGTCTTTGAGAACCATGACGAAGAGGAGCGAGCCCACGATGAGTTCGCCTTGCATTAGCAGAGTTGCGAAGATATTGCGGTACATGCGCTGCGTGCGTTGATGCCCGAAAGTGCGAGCGTGCTGAAGCAGCTCCATGGCGGCGCGAGTCTGGGGAATACGAACATCCTCGATTCGTAACTTGAGGATATCAGTCGCTAGATCTTGACGACGAGGGAGGACGCGAGCGAAAGGTCCGAATTTGGGGAGATAAGAGGTGTGTGTCAAGTGCGTGATGGTTTCTAATGTTTGGGAGCGAATGGGGATGCCAGCTTGCACCATGAGGCTGGCATAGATGGTGGCTTTTTTGACGAAGCCCCCTCGAAGAAGACCGTGGAGGAAAGCATGCGAGACAAGTCGAGGGGAAACGGGCTGACCGAATTCTACGGGCCTGAATCGTCTCGATGGACTATTGCGAAGCTTGGGGCTGTCTGTGGACTTGAGGATGGAGTCGCAGGCAGAGTTGACCAGGTAGAGCGCGTCTATGTAATCACCCTCCTTGGCACAGAGACGCACGACTTGAGCAGCGACACGAGAAGCTTGATTTGAGGTGAGTTGTTGAGCAGAAGGGAAGACGGGATGATGGGTGGGCACGGGGGGAGGTTCGTTATGGTAAGATGCCAGGGCGGCGGACGCGAAGGCTCGAAAGCGGGACGTCGGAGCCTCGCACGAAGTCGTACAACGGCCAGCGCGCGCTAGTAAAAGCGACTTGCAGGATATTCGCCTCGTCCATGCGTTGTTGTGGGGGCGAATTTGGCGCACGAGAACGCTGGCCGTCGTCGACCAGTTACATGGCATGTGTCTCGCATACTGAGGATGTACTGGAGTGAGGGACACCGTCACAATTGGATATATACGACGCACCAGGGCAGTGCGTCAGCTCCAAGACGCGGACGCCGTCTCCGCTAGATGCTGCGAGCGCGAAGGGGGAGGAGGAGCTCGAGGAGAAAGGCCAAGACGCGGACACCGACTGAGGAGGCCCGCTCGCCAGCCGGAACGCAGCCAGGCTCGCCGAGACACAGGTTGGCGCTTGAGTCCGCGTCTAACACTCGGTAAGTAAGTCCTATTAAGCTACCTTACAAGCCCATAAACCAGTTCAAACCGGCCCGACAGAGTGCGAGTTGGTCTGACACTCTCTGACACTGTCCTGTTATTTGCACGTCTCCCCTCCCCACTGGGCCGCAGGCGTCGACCAGACCTCCTCGCATCCCTGCGCTTTCTAAATACCCTCTTGCTCATACCATGAGCCATCACCACGGTGGGCATCGTAGCCGGAAGCATCCCAAAGGTAAAGTCCACTCGAGTTAGTGAAGGTCACAGTGCATAGACATACACGCGTGCAGATGACTACCAACGCCATGACTACTTCGAGACACCAGACCAGAAGCTACGGAAGAGTATTGTGAGCTTTGGAGAAGTGGTGCGTACCTTCTTTCGCGTATTTTACTCGCGCTTTACACTGTGGCTGCCGCCACCAGGATCCACTCCAAGAGCTCCCCCGCCTCGTGAAACAGATTGTTGAGCACGAACCTGCAAATGTACCCATCGTCGCTGAGGGTCTCCGCATAGGGTATGCTCATTTATTTCACCGCCCTTTCTTCATTGCTCATTGAGCCACAGTGTGACCGAGCAGCCCTTCAAAATCCCTTACTATGCAGCTTTGCTTCGCCTTCTCTTCGACCAACCTGCTGTCGAGAGCTCCGCAACGTCATTCGGAAAGCAAGTGTTTGAAGACTTCTGGAAGGGGTTTCAAACATTCCTCGACAAGCAAGCATGGCGAGAGACCAGACTCTGTGTTCGTCTGTGGGTCTACGTGTCGGAACCATCGTGCTAATGCGCAGCCATCGACTATCAGGTTCAATTCTTCGCGCACCTGACTATCGCTCGCGTCATCTCTGTCCCTACTCTCTACTCGCTTCTCAAGTCCTTCGCCGACGTGCATTTAGAGATCAACACGTCTCAAGGGCGGGCGACCAAAGCGTTACTGTGTGCAGCGGAGGGGCTCGTTATCGTGAGTGTGGATCTTTTCAATGCATTACCTGGCATTCAACTGTGGTGCGAAGGCCGGCGCTGTCATCAAGCAAGAGTCGTCATCTCCCGAGGAAGCTTCATCAAAAGTCGCCCAAATCATCGACGCGCTGAAATCTCATATCGACGCTACACAAGACTCGAAATTCCTGGTTCAACCGCTTGTCCAGTTGCATTCGACAAATTTTGTTCTTGAGAATGCCGATGAGGTATTGTATTGAACCAGTAGCATATGGACTGAGCTGACGTATCGACAGTGGCTGGACTGCGCACTTGCTGCCCTGCAGACTTTGGATGGTCAAGACTTCGCTCAAACAGCGGAATGTGTGCCTCAGCCGTACATGGAATCTCCTCCTTTTGCGGACACTCCGTATGATCTGCCGCTCGTGCTCGTACCTCCTGAAGTCGAAGAAGAAACGTTGACCACCGACACTGGGGAGGACGCCATAGTCAAAAAGGAAGAGTGGCCAAGATGCTACGTTCGCTTGTTCGACGACGACGTGAGCCGGATCTTCTTCTTAACCACTATTTACTAACCTTTCTTCAGATTACACCAGACCCCACTTCTCCAGCGGGATTTATTCTCCGTTCAAATATACTCGACATCGTTGACATCTTCGAGGTCAATCGCAAGGAGTGCGCTCGCTTGCTGCTAGAGTATCCGAAGTGGACGGTTCCTGGTACCTTCGTTGCACGTTCAGGTGCTCCACCGCAGCCTACCGTTGAAGGCAGAAATTGGCTCCTCGACAACACGCTGATTGAGGTAACTGCTATGGTGCAGCGTTTTGCTTAACTTTTCTGATTGACATTAACAGACAATACTCGGAAGCAATTTCGTTCTTCCAGAATCAAATCACAAGTCAGTGTACTACATTGCACTGATAACTGAGCTATGCAAGACTTCACCACAGACCGTGGGTCCTGCCGTTGGCAAGTCGGTCAGAAGGCTTTTCTCGCTCCTCGCAGATGGTCTCGATGTCGAGGTTGCGCATCGCTACGCCGAATGGTTTTCCGTGCATCTTAGCAATTTCGGGTTTTCTTGGCCATGGAAGGAATGGTGCGTTGCCCTGCTTCTTGTTCCCCCCGACACGACCACTCATTTTACCTGCAGGGAACCCGATCTTTCTCTTGTGCCCCAACATCCCAAGCGCACTTTCATGCGTAAAGTCGTTGAGCTCGAGATACGGCTTTCGTACCATGACCGTGTCTCGCGTGGACTCCCGGAGTCTATGGTGGCAGCAGACGCCCAGGTCATCTCTGTGGAGGCTCCTGGCCCTGAGTTCGAGTTTGAAGACGCCGGTAAGCAACGATGGCCCGTTGTTCCGCAAATGGATGATAACCTGTCTTTTTAGAGCACCCAGACTACGAAGCGGCGCAAAGTGTTCTCAATCTCCTCCGTGGACGAGCAAAACCTGACGACGTCATGGCGCACCTCGAAACCCTGCGCAACGGTCTCACCGAGACCGTCGAGCCGGACGTCAATGTCGACTCCCTCCTGCGCTCCATTGCCGTCCAGTCGCTGTTGTCGATCGGCTCGCGCTCCTTCTCTCACTTCCTCAACGCCATCGAGCGCTATCTCCCCCTCCTCCGCAACCTCGCCGTCGGCGCGATCTCGACGGCTCCCGCGAATCCGACTACAGATGCGGTCGTCGAGGCGCGCACGGACATCATGAGCGCGGTCGCGACCGTCTGGCGGCGGAGTCGGCACCAGGTGCTGATCGTGTTCGACAAACTGATGCAGTACCAGATCGTCGAGCCCTCCAACGTCGTCGTCTGGTCGTTCGCGCACTGCACGGCTGCAACCGACGGCGTACGCAAGCAGACGTTCAACGCGTTCCAGTGGAACGTGCTCAGGAGCGCGCTCGACAAGGCGAACGGGCGTGTGATGGTCCAGCGCAGGAAGATTGCCGCGCTCAGGCGCGAGGCGGATGACAAGGCGGCGCGGGCGATTGCGGGGGAAAACGCGGCAATGGAGGTAGACACGGAGCCTCAGCCAGGTTGGTCCGTTCCTCTGGCGAATGCCCGTTTTGCGTGCTAACTTCTGGTATCAGACGCGGAAGTGGCGGCTGCGCCTGCTGGAGAGTCCCCCCAGCTCACTACTGCGGTCAACGCGTTCAAAGTCCTCAGCACCGAACAAAAAATGGCCCTCTCCAAAGCGTTCGAAGGTTTCATCGGATGCCTGGCGGTCGATGACATCAGCCCTGCTGTCGGCGAAGTGATCACCGAGCACTCGTGGCACAACCGCGCAAACTGGGAGAACGACGCTTGGGAGACCTGGGAGACCTGGGGCTGGTACCGTCATTGGAGCCGCACTGTAAGTGCTAGTATCCTGGTTCTCGTCGTATCGCTGACTGGCAACCAGTTCTCGCCTTACCTGAGGAACTATGTGGAGACTTTCGAGAGCCTGGCGATGACAAAAATTACCGCCAGTGGTCCTGTCGCCGACATGTTCCGCCAGACGTGGAGCATCGCTTCCGGCCAAATGGCTTGAACGTACGCGATAGCTTCTGTGGTGCTCGCACCGCATGAGCCCCTGGCCATGTATCGTAATTGTATTGTCCTGCATCTATACCGTAACCTGTGATGCCTTTTTCTTATCCAGTATCAGCGACGGCGACGATGTAGACGATGGCCTCCTTGACGCAGAATGGTAGGCGTCCTCGTTTGATGGGTGGTGCAACTCCTGAACGGCAGCGAATTCACAGCGCACGTCACCCAACGTGCTGTCAAGTCTGTGCGGGCGTATTTCAAATAAACAGCTGGACCCACCATGGTCTTGACGGTCGTCGATGTTGATCCGCTCTCTGCTTCCGAGTACAGCTGGTCGAACTTTTATTATAAGCGCCCGAAGTCTCTCCACACAGGAAACGGGCTTCAAGACTTCAAACCTGACTGCAACGATCGGGTACACGCGAATGAGTTGGGCGACTGGGCGGACGTAGACGTCCGGTTTCGAGAAAGCAGGGTGGCGATTGTTTAAAGGGTACGGTCTAGCTGTCTGTGAATGTGTTGACGGTGTCTACCAGTCAGCATCTATTCGACACGGTTGCCTTTGTCTTTAGTTTATCGCGTCAGCACCTTTATAACAGACTTCAATGTCACTACATAGGTGGCTTGTCTCTTGAACTGGTTTCGAACACGACCTATCCTATCGTCAAATCCTTGCAGCACTCGTTGATGCAACGTCCGGTCTATTCTGCGCAGTATCACGGGCACACGCCCGTATACACGATAGATACAACAAGCTAAGTAACAATGCAGGATCTGCTGTGCGTGGGCTCAACAATCAAGAAGAAGACAACCCTCAGCACCCCTGCCGCAATGCGTTCCCTCCGTAAATGTCTGTTTGAGTCCCCCAAGCTCAGAAACTGAAACTACGCCCCTCCCACCTCTCCACGCGGCCTTCGTCAACTCTCCTCCTGAGATTGCCTATAACCCTCTCTCTCCCCTCAACCCATCGCTTCCGCCCCTCCTCCACCCCGCCCTCCTTCAAACCCTCCTCCCATCCCTTCTCTCCAGCTATCATCACCTCGAGCTCCAGAATTGCCCGCCTCAGCGGCGATATGCACAGCCCGTCCTTATAGCACGTCCCCAGCCTGGAGCAGATCGACCTTGCGGAGAAGGAGGTGGAGATTCTAGTGATCGTAGCGTCCCGGAGGTTCTTCCACGACGCGACGAGGTGGATGTGCATGCGCCTCAGCCTAGGCAGGTGTTCGACGACCAGGCTGTTCTCCTCCCAATCCTTGATCCGCGTCACAGCGTGCTTCTCCGACGGGTCCGCCGCGATGGAAGAGCCCGTGCCGCGGCTGAAGAGGTGCCGCATGATTTCGGCTCGTGTTGGAGACGACGGCGTGGCTGCGTACGCGGTGCTCGAGACGGGGCCCCTGTCGGCGATGGGGGGCGGTCCTTCCGGGTCGCGGTGTGCTGCGAGGTGCCACACCGACCGTGCAAACCAACCGTCGCTGTAGGTGCCTTGGACGGACGCCTGGTGCATATTGTGCACAACTGCCATCGCCGCGACGAACTGCAAAAGCGATACGGGCTGTCCGTGTGGGGCCCTCACGCTGGATCGGAGCACTCTACAGTGGATATCGTGTGGGCGGTAGCTTGCATCTCGAACCTTGACCTGGTCGCCCTCCATCAAGTGAGGGGGGCCGAGGTCTTGGTTGGGAATGATCACCGTGCTGGGAAGGAGGGGTCGGAGCTCGATGGAGCCCACAGGTATGAGGGAGGATGGGGCTAATAGACGGGCCGTCCACGAAAAACGACTGCGGTATGTGGGTTGAACATGGTTGAGAGGAAGCGACACATGTGCGACGATGTACTCCTCGAGGGTGTGATCGTCGTGACAAAGATCAAGCTGGCTGACGAGACAGTTGTAGAGCCGGTCCCGAACGTAGCCTCCGTATCTGGTCATGTCTGTTGAGAGCATGGTTTCCAAGAAGCTGTCGGGAAGCCCAATGGGCCCCTTTTTAGATGGGTAGAACTGCCTCGGACAGACGAAAATGACGGTCGGAAGCTGTAACGCTGGGACAGTGGGAGGTGGAGGCTCTCTCCAGTCGTAGAGCAGCTGGCGCATGTGAAGAGGCACAAAGGGGATCATGGGGAGGAGGCGGAAGAGGAGGGACGAAAGAGAGAGGAGATTGGTACTGCAAATGCTGAATGGGAGCGTTTACATCATTAAGTACTGTGACGTCGTTCCCGCGTCTCGACTCTCAGCGATCTCCGTGTCGTCTCGCACAGGACCGGACACAGCAGGACGTACAGTACGATATTTGAGATCCGGCAGGTGAGTTGTATACTTTGGGTAGGACGATGTCAGATCACCCAGAGGGAGCGTAGATGCCAGCGGAGGCGACCGGACGAAACACGATTCGGGCTCGAGGGATCGCCCGCCGCCAGGTCAGATGGGAGCTGATGGGAGAGTAGCCAAGGCCCAACACTGAACGCTGGTCACAATGGCGAGCGTGGGCTGCAACAGGCCGTCCGGACCGTCGGCTGTTGAACGAGGCCTGACGACGGTGGCGACATCACCCACATCTCTTGCCTCCAACGATGACCCCTCTCCTCACCCTCCCTGACGATGCGCTTCTGGTTATTTTCTCGCACATATCAGGGAAAGATGCCTTCCACATGTCCTGTTGCTCCCTCCAAGCCTACGAACTCGCCTATCCCAGAGCCTTCGTCGAGGTTCCTTTCACAACAAGGCCTCTGGATGTCTCGCTCATCGTTCAGACACCTCCACGACCCAAACATCCTAGTAGAATCCCTCCGTTTAACCGTATGAAGGCTCTTCGCAAGCTACAATTGGAAAGGGTTCGCAAAGTCAAACGCGTTGGTCGACTAACAGAATTGCTTCAATCGGCCGAGTTTTTGCGCGATCTCTCGCTCCGCGAAGTGGAATTCCTGCTCTCCACGGACGGCCGCTTCCGTTCGACGCTCATCGGGCTGGATAACCTGGTTCATTTGGATCTCGGCGGGGTTGGTCAGCAGGTGTTGTCTCAATTGCGGTATTTCCAAGGCAAGAATCTACGCACCTTGGCCCTTCAATACAGCTCCCTGGAAGCGAAGACCTCTTCCAGTCCACACGCGCGAAAGACAGTGGCCGATGCATTGTCTGCGCTCCCTGTTCTTCCAGTCCTCCAAACGCTTCACCTCACGGATTTCCAAGAGGCCGAGGAAGGGCCCACTGGCCAACCCACCAATTTCTCGTCGCTGGTACCCTCCCTACCCTCCCTCCGCCGCCTCGTACTCGAGACCGATGCTCGCTCTTCCTACCGGTTCCCATGCAGCATCTTGCCCTCTCTCCCTCATCTGTCCACGTACGAGTACATACTACAGGATGGCTACTACCCACCGGAATCGTGGGGTTCGATTTTTGAGGAGAGCACGCCATGGCCTTCTCTCCAAGAACTCCATATCCCCTACTGTATCATTACGCACCCCAACATCAGCGTCGAGGACAAATTTCGCGTTCACCATCTTCGACTTATCGAAGACGTCAAGGTAACCGTATTCCACGAGGACTTTCGCCCCGACCAAGGTGAACGAATACTCTCCATCCTCAAGAATTTCCACCCGGCTGTGCTGAGTATCCACGCATCCATGGACCGGCTCTACACAGGGCAAGCTCCGATGACGCCTAACCCCAGAGCCGACACTGTCGCCTCATTCTGGCCCGAGCTGCCTGTGGCTGCCCCTCGGCTGCGTTCATTGCACTTCCACCTCCATCACACCGATTACCTGAGCTATTATACCTTAAGGGTGAGTGCACTCACCCAGCTACATGTGACAGCCCGTGTTGACATTGGTGTTCTAAGCCCCAACTGCCGCTCGCCCTCTCCCCACTCCACGTCGTCCACCTCACCATCGACCTCCCGCACTGGGACGGCGACAGGTGGCGCGACATGTGGAGCGCCGCAACCCTCCTTCAGATGTTCAGAAGGCCCTTATACGCCCGCGCCGGGAACAGGCACCGTCCGAGGAGCAGCGTCAAAGACAGGTGGTCGAAAGACCGGCAGCGGGCGCGGTTCATCGAAGACCTCCCGCGCCTGGTCGTGGACGCGGTCCCGACGCTGCGCGTGTTCGCCCTGGGGGACTGTGGGCCCCCACGGCGCGAGATCGCCATGTGGGACCGTGGGCCCCCGCGGCACGAGCCGGGCTGGGACGTGGACCTCGACGCCGTGGGTCTGCCGCTTCCGCCGGGCGGGACGATCACGGGGCCATACGCGACCGCCGCGGAATCCACGCGGAGGAAGCGGTGGTGGTGGATCCAGGGGGAGGGGGAAGGGAGGGAGATGGTGGAGATTTGGGCCGAAGATGGGGAGAGGGCGCGCGATATTGTAGAGAGTGAGGGTTTTGACGCGGAGACGAGCTTGGAGGGTGAGTGGCCCCGCCGGTCGTGGGGCATGCTGGCGCGAGCTGATCTCGTCCGTCGTCTGCGTAGGGTTCTTTTCCGAGAAGTGCCGGTACGATCCCTGAAGTTTGCGGCCGTCGAGCTGAGTGCGACACGCCTGAACGGTGACGAAGGCTCTAGTACAGTATTAGTGTGTATAAATGCCGTGTATCTGTACATCCCACAGGTCCATCGCAATCCTCGGAAAGTCTACATCATGTCGTGAACATTATAAACCGCACATCAATCCTTCTTCGTCTTCGCCGCCTTCGCCCTCCGCGACGCCGCGTACCCCATTGTGCCGAGGAAAACTAGCGCAGCGCCCGCCCACATCGTTGGGGCGTGCACGGCACCCGTCCCGGCGCCGTTGAAGAATGTGGCGGAGAGAACTATGGAGAGCGTCTTGCGGACGACGAGCACAAGCGTGACCGTGAGGCTGGACACCCGCGCCGTCAGCCGATTCACGCCGGCGCTGCAGACGACCGCCGTCACCGTCGTGAGCGCGAGCGCGACCCACCCGCTCTGCACGGAAAGCGCCACGGCGAGCGGCACGGGCTTCGACAGCCCGAACGGCGGGTGCAGCGTGAAGTCGGAGGCGGAGGCTAACGCAGCGGGGAGGTGCGCAGAGAGCGCGGCGGGGAGTGCGAGAGGGAGCGGGCGTGCTTGCGTGGCGAGGTCTTGGCGGGCGTAGTAGAAGGTGGGCAGGGAGAGGAAGTGGAGGTAGAACAGGCTCTCCTGCCATGCCGCGGGCCCGTCCTCCTTCGCCCGCTGCTTCGCGTGCGCTGGGGCGTGTCCGTTTGTCGCAGCGCCGCTTGCGCGCGTGCGCGTGGAGTTGTCCTCCTTCTCGCGCGTGGCGGCGGCGGCGGGTGGAGGGAGCGCGTACGTCGCGTTGATCCAGTCCTGGGTGAGCGCCAGCGCACCGCCGAGGACCAGCGCCAGCGCGAGGAGCGCGATGCCAGTCGTGTGCTGCCCTGCGGGAGCGGGAGCGGAAGCGGCGCCGTTCGCGCGCGGCTCGAGGCCTGACGCGGAGAGCGTGGTGAGCACGACGCCGGCGCTCACGAGGAGCACGGAGAACACCTCGGCGGCGGTGTATCTGGCGTGGCGCGCGCGAGGGGAGGAGGTCAGTATGCGGCGTTCGAGGGCGTCTCTACATACACAGCCGGCGGCGGCAGGCGGGGAGACGGGAAGGCGAGAGGAGACAGGAAGCCAGCTGGGAGAAGAAACGCACCTCTTCCTGCCAATGGCCCAGCCCATGAGCATGCTGACACCAAGCCCGCCGGAGCGGAGGATGATGTGGACGGGCATAGGGATCGCGTACGCGAATGCGGCGTTGTTGAGGCGCGAGACGGTGGAGAAGAGCGCGACCTGCACGAGGTACGGCGCGAGCGGGACGCGGCGCCGCCGCAGCCACGGCAGCTTGATCTTGCGCGCGAAGGGCGGCGGGCGGAGGACGACCATGGCGGGGAGCATGACGAGCGCGGTGAACGCGAACTGGGCGAAGGTGATGAGGCGCGGGTGAGCTGCTCGAGCGTGAGCGCATTACTGGGGGAGACTAGAGTGGGTCAGCATTGGCACTGATACGGGGCAGCGAAGGGGGTGGGGGCACACGAGCAGCAATATGTGGAAAACGACGGTATGCACCTGCAGCAGCCGCCAAAGATGAGGGAGAGCGTCGTCGTCCAGTCGGCGGCGGCGGAGAGGGCAAGGCGTGCGACGGGGCTCATGTCGCTGTGCTAGTAGGGGTAAGAAAGAGGAGAGAGATGGAAGGGGCACCGCCTTGCACCTGCGCCGAGGCGGGCGCAAGAGTCAAGCAGCGGGTTGCTCGAGACGCGATCGGGGAAGCCGTGCAGCTGGTGGCGGCTCGGCGGATGCATATGGATGGCCTCGAACTTTGCCTGCGCGTGTTATGCACAGGACAGACGCGTGACGTCACGCGTCGTACACGCAATTGGGTAGTCTCTTGGTAGTCTCGACCCCGAGGCCAACCTTCTAACGAAGCACGCAAGGTAGATCTTCAGTCACCGTCAAGTTCAGTGCATCGCGTCAGCACCCTTGTAACGGACTTCAAATCACTACACAGGGGGCTTATACTCATGAATTGGTTTCGAACACGGCTCAAGTATCCTATTGTTGATGCAACGTCCGGCTTATTCTGTACGATACCACAGGCATGCGTATACATACGCGATGTGATCGCGGGGTACAGCAAGCAAACGGGATCTACTGTATGCGGACGCAACGATCAAAAAGACAGATAACCCTCAGCGTCTCTGTCGCAATGCGTTCCCTCCGTGAATCTTTAAACACCCCAATCAGGTTTCTCCCACTCCTCCACGCAGCCTTCTTCAAGTCTCCTCCTGAGAGTGGCTATGACCCTCTCTCTCGCCTCAACCCATCGCTTCCGCGCCTCCTCCACCCCGCCCTCCTTCAAACCCGCCTCCCATGCTTTCTCTCCCGCTATCAACACTTCGAGCTCCAGGGTCGCCCGGCGTAGCGGCGATATGCACATCCCGTCTTTATAGCACGTCTCCAACCTATAGAAGACGGACCTTGTGGGGAAGGGCGTGACCGTGGCATCCCGGAGGTTCTTCCACGACGCGACGAGGTGGATGTGCATGCGCCTCAGCCTGGGCAGGTGTTCGACGACCAGGCTGTTCTCCTCCCAATCCTTGATCCGCGTCGCAGCGTGCTTCCCCGACATGGAAGAACCGGTACCGGGGCTGAAGAGGTGGCGCATGATTTCGGCTCGTGTTGGAGACGACGGCGCGGCCGCGTACGCGGTGCTCGAGACGGGCCCTGTCGGCGATGGGGGGTGGCCCTTCCGGGTCGCGGTGTGCTGCGAGGTGCCACACCGAGCGTGCAAACCAACCGTCGCTGTAGGTGCCTTGGACGGACTCTTGGTGCATGTTTTGCACAACTGCCATCGCCGCGACGAGCTGCAAAAGCGATACGGGCTGTCCGTGTGGGGCCCTCACGCTGGATCGGAGCACTCTACAGTGGATCGTGTGGGCGGTAGCTTGCACCTCGAACCTTGACCTGGTCGTCTCCCACATCAGGTGAAGGGGACCGAGGTTTTGATTGGGAATGATCACCGTGCTGGGAAGGAGGGGTCGGAGCTCGATGTAGCCCATAGGTATGAGGGGTGAAGGGGTTAATAGGCGGGCCGTCCACGGGAAATTGCTGTGGAATGCGGATGGGACATGCTCGAGAGCAACCGACACATGTGCGATGATGTACTCCTCGAGGGTGTGATCGTCGTGACAAAGATCAAGCTGGGTGACGAGAGAGTTGTACGGCTGGTCTCGAACCCAGAGTCCGTATGGGGATTCGTTTGTGGAGAAAATGACTCCCAAGAAGCTGTGGGGAAGCCCTGTCGGCTGCTTAGGTATGGGATGGGCATTGATGCGGTATGGCAATTGTAACTCTGGAATGGGAGGTGGAAGCGTTCTCCAGTCGTCTAGCAGCTGGCGCAGCTGAGGGGGCGTAAGGGAGATCATGGGAGAGGCAGGAGGCGATGAACAAAGAGAGCGAGGAGATTGGCACTGTGACGTCATCCCCGCGTCTCAGCGATCTCGCACAGGAGGACCTGCAGGCAGGACGACATCCGAGATCCGGCAGGTGAAAGTGTTGCAAAAGATTATTTTCCGTCACACCAAATTATCGCTGCCCCCATGTTGTCTATTACGCAACGGCAGGATCAGAACATATCGACGTCCACAGTGCGTAACGGAAGCATAACATGCTGCGCTTACAGGCCGGCCTTCTGAAATTCCAGCTGCGTTGTCTCGTCGATCGCGCACGGCGTGTGACCGGACCCAAGCGGCAACGGGCCGGTCTCGAAGACGCCAGACATGTACGAGGCCAGAGAACGGATGTTGTAGTCTCGTGAAAGCACCAGATTGTCGCGAGTGCCGTGGTACCAGCTCTGGGTAGAGGCGCCTGTGGAGGACGGTTGTAGACGCGGCCGGTTCGGGCAGCGGCTTCGCACGGGGGGCTGGGGGCGTCGCCTGTCGCTGGCGGGAGCTGGACGACTTTCCGCCTTGTCTCCAGCTCCGGCAAACACTCGTGCAGGCCCTGCCCCGCCCGGCCGTCGTCGTCCTCGTTTAGACTCTGCCCGGCGCTGTCCGGCCACGCCCGTCCGCATATCGTCGCCTCGCCCACGGTTCTCGGCCCCTGCGCCCCGCCTCCGCCGTCAAACGATCTTTCGCCTCCCGCATCCTGCCTGCCCGGCCCCGCCGTCCGCCGTACAGCCGCGAGAACGAGTCTGCCACGCTGCCACGGATGATTCATCTCGATCACAATCACCCCGCCTCGATTCCCGGCCCTGCCAACCCACAAAACCTCGCCCTCTCGTCCCCCCACGCCGATCAGCACCGAATCCCGTCCTGGTCCTCCCCCTCCCGTGACGCCAGGCCGTTCCTTCCGGACTCCCAGGGACATCCTTTTCTGACAACTCCCACCCCGGACCCAAACCCCAACCCCGACACAAGTGCAGACCCTGCCCCCGACGCCTCTGCCGACGCCCCCGCCCCCGCCCCCGCCCTCGACGCTGACGAGCCCCCCGTGCCCCAGCAGTCGTCTCCCGACCACCCAGGGGGCCCCTCCCCGCCTGCAGACAGCTCCTCCTCGCTCACGCCCCCTCCGGATGCGACCACACCCCACCGCTCCATGGACGCCCCCGAAGACCGTCCAGGCTCCTCTCGCGCGCCATCCGACGCGCCCCCTGCCCCGAGCCTTCTACCGATCCCTCCGCGGCAGAGGATGTCGCGGACAAGACCTCCCGCCAGTCCACGCCCCTCAGCGACCTCTCTTCCCCACCCGAGACCGCCCCCGACGAGAACGACACCCCGAATGGCGCGCCGGAGAGCGTCGCGAGCGACGCCGGCGTGGCCGACGCGAAGTATGGTGCGCACCTCTGCTCGTTCTTCCCGCGTGTCGCCTCTGACCTGCGCCCCGCTCCAGCTGCGAAGGACGGCGCCAGCTCACCGGCGCGCGCGGCGTTTGCTACCGTGAAGCCCGAACCGATGAGCAACCACCAGAGGCACGCTGGCGAAGGCCCGCTCGTCCCCAAAAGAGAGCCGTCCTTGGATGGTATGCTGTCTGGTTCGCCTTTTTGCATGTCGGTTCTCCAGGAAAGGCCGCGAAGCCTGACCCGAAGGTGGTGGCGATATTGGAGCTTAACTCCTTGTTGTTGGGGTGAGCCGACTTTTGCAACTTGTGGTGGCGCATTCACCGACGTTGTGTAGCGTCACGATGGAGATGCAAATGCGAGGAGTGACCATGACGGATGCTACCTTTCACCAGTACGTTCGACTTCATTTTTCCTCGCGTGGATGCGAGCCTGAACTATGCACAGGTATTCATCGCGTCTGCAGTCGAATCTCACATGGCTTGCCGCCGCCGCCGATGAGACCCATAAAACTGTACGTGTTCTCTTTTTTACCTCCCATTTCCTTCTCAAGGTCTCCCCATTCGTTAGAATCCCCTTTCTGCATCTACCCCCGTCCTACAACCTCCACCCATCGTTGAGCACGCCGACATGGAGCGCATTGTCAAGTTGTATCGCGAGCTGCCTACCGTCTTCGCCAAGGAAATCGCTCGCCGGACAGCTGCCAGTGAAACCTTCAATGGCAATGCGAAGCGGGAGAGGCCCGACGAGAACGTGCTGGACCGTCAGGCCAGCATACACAAGCGTCGCGACACCGGAGAGTCAAAACATTTCGCCACCCCAGGTGCCGGCCCGTCCACGCCTATCCCTCCCTCGCAGCCGATGTTGCAGATGGGGAATGTCGCCGGCATGCGCATGGGCAGTCCATCCATGCCGCCCCCTCCCGTACCATCAAGCGTGGTGGGCCCCGACGCGCAATGGCCGCCGCCGCCCGGGCACGGCAGGCGCAGATGCGTCAAGCCATGGCCGCGCAACAGGGGGGGATGTTGGGCGCCAGATGTCCCCGCCGTCAAACATGAACCCGGGCATGAATCCTGGCATGAACTCCGGGATGGCGATGCCAAGTCTAGGAGACCAGCCTGGCATGGCGATGCAAAACCCGGGCCAAAATCCGATGGTGCAGCAGTTCTTCCAGATATTGAACACGCCAAACCATCCGTTCCTGCAGCTGCTGATACAGCAAATCCCGAACTTTCAGTCATTACCAATGCAGGAAAAGCTCCAGAAGATGCACATGGCGCAGGTGAGCTTTTAATTCCACCAAGCCTGTCAAGCATGCATTGACAGTTTACGCTTTCCGTAGCACATGATCCGGCAACAGCGATCTGCGTCGCAGGGTCAAGGCAGCGGTTCCATGGGCAATTTCCCAATGCAAGGTGGCATGTCGAATCAGAACATGGGAGATCCTCGCGGATGTCACCAGTCTCCCAATCACCGATGCAGCAGTCTTTCCCACAAGGCAGCGGTCATCCAACGACCCACGATCGATGATGACACCCCAGCAACAGCAGATGCTGCAGCAAATGAACCCACAACAACGCCAGCTCTTCCTCTTGCAACAGCAATGATGCGTGGAGGTGGTCCTGGCGCAGGCTCGGCAGGACCTGGTGGTGGGGGTGGGGCATGAACCCAATGACGAACCAGCAGATGATGCAAGAGCGGATGCGTATCGAGCAGCAGCGGATGCAGGCGCAAGTTGCCAGTGCTGGTGTCGGCTCTCCCGTCAACCCGATGGGCTCCCCGATGGTAGACGGCGGCCCGCAGTTCCCGGCCTTGCGCTCGAACCCGGGTCTGCCTGGGATCGCCCGCTCAACACGCACGCCCTCCGACTCGGGCCCCTCTCCCGTCTCTTCCCAGCGCATGTCAATGTCCGGCCACAGCCCCGACGAGCAGCGGGCGCTCATGATGCAGCAGCAGGCCGCCGCACAACAGCGCGGCATGAACGCGCAGATGGGTATGGGAGGTGGTATGGGCGGGGGCATGGGCGGTGGCTTGGGAGGCGGTATGGGAGGTGGCATGGGTGGCGGCATGGGTGGTGGGAGCTACGCTCAGATGCAGCAAATGCAGCAAATGGGCATGGGCTCGCCACCTGGCTCCGCAGGGGGTATGATGTCCGCGTCAGGTGCCGGTGGGGGTGCGATGTGGGGTGGAGGCCCCTCGGGGGCGGGTGGGCCGTTCATGGCGCCGTCGCCATCAGGCAGCCAGCACGACGGCATGACGCCTGGGCGCGGGTCGAGCGCGACCCCGGGGCCAGGAATGGTGACACCGTCAGGCGACCCTACCGGGCTCGGCGGCGACCTCGACTTTTTCAACTGGCAATGAGCCGCCTCTGCGCTCTCGCCGTTGGGCTACTCGCTGCGCCCCGTTCCCACCCGCTTCTGCCACTTGCTCTGTCTGGCGGTCGCGTATCTAGCTGCTCTGGAACTATCTGCTCTTTTATTCCATCCTCCCCGCCCTTGCTCCCTACTCCCAAACGGCCGCTCTGTTGACGCTTGCTGTCCACGTTATCTTGTATACTTTGGCTTTGTCCTCGTCGTTCTCCCGTGTGTACATAATCACATCTCTCGCCCCGTCCGCCGTACGTACTCTCCTCACTCTATAAGTAGTCTTCCGTCTCTGTATATCGTAAAGGGCCCGCTTATATCTGCCGCACCTCTCCCCCGAGCCCTGCCCTATCACTATCGATATATGCGCGCTGTTGTACGATGCTGCCCGTTCGAACGAGCCGCAAGCACTTGACGATGGTTGCCGACCGTCGCATCCTTGCGCTGCGGTGAGGCAGCGGTAGGAGCTAGGGTGGCGTGGAATCACTCCAATCAAGAGTTTGGCAGCGCATAGTGAACGTTTGAACAGCGACGGCCATGGGAGTCGCAACGTGTTGATTCGGGCTTCTTCCTGTTGGCAGATCGTAGCAGAGGTGAGGTGACAAGGACCGCATGGCCGCCAGATCACCGAGCACACGTCGCAGGATGAGGACTTTTTTCGGTGGGACGACGGGGCCGCAGGGGACCTCAGTCCCTCACGAGTTGCATGCTCGCTCCGATGGGCCACGGAAAGACCCACACATTCACTCGTGCCTTGGCGGCGACGTGCGGATAGCGTGTGTGGGGACGTTGAGGTGACTCGACTCTCACCAATTGCTCCCCGAGAACCGAGAGCCGCCGAATGCACTGATTTCGAAAGTCATGAATCAACAAAGCAGTCCTTGCCTCGATCGATTCTCTACACTGAGCGCGGTGTCGCCGCTACACAGCCTCCGAGGGGCGGAAGGGCCTCCCTCGCACCCTGCATCCTTATATATCATGCCTTCCCCGACGCCCGGCGCTGCATAGTCTCACTCGCCCCGCTGGTGCCGCCTCTACTCTCTCCTAGGCTCCGTGTGCTGCTGCTGCGCATTCCCGGACTGGACCTATACTTGCTCCCCTCGAGGCACACGTCTAAACCCCAAGGTCCCCCCTGCTTCAATCCCTCATACTCAGCCCACTCGCCGACGGATCAACTTGGTAATCCACAGGAGCCCGCACGATGGTGTTCGCCAGGATGACCCCCGCGGACAAGGACACGTTCTTCGCGCTCCTCGACGAGTTGAGTGCCTCGCCCGTGCCCGGTCCGCGCCCCTCTTACAACTGTCCCTCCCTGCCCCGCGCCTTCCTCATCCTCGTCCTCCCCCTCTGCTCCTTTCCCCGGTGCGTAGATACTTCGCCTCGCGCCCCGACATGTTCGCGAGTGCGGGTGCGGGTGCGAGCGTAGGCACGACAGCGACGAAGGCCGCCGCCGCCTCCGCCGTCGCCCATGCCTTCTCCTCCGGCGCCGTGCCCCCAATCCCGGCCACGAGCGGCTGGAAGCGACCCGACGCCGTGCGTACCCATCTCCATCATCCTCTCCACGTCGTTACCGACCGCCCGTCGCACGTCCCCAGACCGCTGCGGCGGAGATCTCGAACTCGGTGGGGCGCGTCGCGGCGGCGCAGGCGGCGCTGCGGGCGAGCCATGTGCCGTCGGTCGAGGTGCCGCCGTCGCCCGCGCCGTCCGTGGGGGGTACCCGCGCCCCCGCCGCGGCCCGCGCCGCGCCAGGCGTCGTCAGACGGCGAGCCCGCAGAGACGGCGAAGCTCATGCAGGGCCGGGTGAGTCTCCCTTCTCCACCCGCGTCTCCATCCCCCCGCCGTCCTCAGCTCCATCTGACCGTCGGGCTCCCGCGCGCAGAAGTTCGGGGACGTCGACATGAGCTCTGGCAAGAACATGTTCGCCTCGATCCGGGGCTCGACCGCCGCGAAGCACGCGCCGCCCGCGCAGGTCGCGCCGCCGACCGCGCCCGCGTTCCAGCGGCGGAACGACTTCGCGCCGCCACCACGGCGCGTGGCGTCGACGAGCTCGACGTCGAGCGCGAGCGCGACGCCCCCGCCCCCGCCGCGCCGGCAGACGGCGACGCCGCCGGCGGAGGAGAGTGGGGAGTGGGTCGAGGCGCTGTACGACTACAGCAGCGCGGACCCGGGCGACCTGGACATCGCCGAGGGCCAGCGGATCCTCGTCGTCGAGCGGACGACGGACGACTGGTGGGTGCTCGTGTCGCGGTGCGGGCGTGGCGAGGCTCTGACGCGGCGTTTTTTGTCCCTTTTGTCAGGTGGACCGGGGAGCTCAACGGCCAGCGTGGGCTCATCCCTGCGGCGTACGTGAAGGTGCTCTAGAGGTTTTTGTTTCAAAATCTGCGCGCATTCTGGGCCTTGGGACGCTGTCGTGGAATCGATACCTGGTGCGGTTTGTCTGATGTTTTCTGCGAGCGTCTGTTCCATCATATGTATCACAACAGGACATATTCTATACCCTATAGTCTCCCATCGATGGGCGATTGTCATATGCTGGAGAGACGCAAGGGATATGACTCTTGTTGCGCTGGCAGACAACTCGCAGGAGTGGGATTCGAACTCGGGCTGGCTGGCTGTATGCACAACAGGGGCGGTCGTTCGTCTCCCGGCCGCGGCTGACCCTCCCCACCCAGCGTCGGTCGTCAGCCATTCGCCCTGCGCGATATAAACCACTCTCAGCGGTCGTTCTCCCGCCGCCTGTGGTACCATTGCTCGCTCTGCTCCTGCTGTTTTCACGCCGTCTGCGACGCTTTGCTCTGTGCCCGCCCTCCCGCGCCCCCGCCCAGCTCTTCACGCCGTCACTCTTCCTCGCCAGGCTCAGCTGCGTGTGCGCGTGTGTGCTTGTTTGGCCGGTTGTTCGCCCGCCCGCCTCCTGCCACTATAAAACCCCGCCCGCTCCGTGGGTGTCACGCCGCCCGTCTTTTCTTCTTCTTTCTTTGCTTTCGCCCTAGACGGGCAACACATCCCCCGCTAAAATCCCCACATTCACTCCCCCATCCCGCCCCTGCTCCAGCCCTTCCCTCGCCCCATCCCCATCCCCATCCCCTTCCTCTTCCCCGCCCGTTTCTGCCCATCATGGTCGCGGCCAACGACGCCCGCCACCCGTGGTCCCTCCTCCCCCGCAGCCTGCACCACCCCGGCCTCGTCCAGCTCGTCGGCCAACCGGTGTCGTACGACATGATCCAGTACATCGCCCTCCAGACCACCCGCGTCATCAGGCTATCGGACGAGCCCGAGCCGATCCTCCCTAGCCCGCCCATCACGCCCGACCGGGAAACACCGGGCAGCGAGCTCGACGCGTCCCCGCTCCCGAGCCTCCAGGACTTCATCATCTTCATCTGTCAGAGCTCCCACGTCCAGGTCCCGACGCTCCTCACGACGCTTGTCTACCTCGAGCGCCTCCGGACCAAGCTGCCCAAGATGGCCAAAGGTGCGTTCTCTTCTCCCTATATGCACCCTTCCATTCCTCCTTGGTCTTGGTCCCGTCTCTTCCTCCCTGCTCACTCCGTACATCGTAGGGATGCCGTGCACCCGTCATCGCGTCTTCCTCGCGACGCTCATCGTGGCCGCCAAGTACCTGAACGACTCGTCGCCGAAGAACAAGAACTGGGTCAACTACGCCCGCCTGTTCGAGCTCGCGGAAGTGAACCTGATGGAGAAGCAGCTCCTCTTCCTCCTCAACTACGACCTCCGCTTCGATGAGGACGAGGCGCTCGAGTTCTTCGCCCCCTTCCTCGCCGAGACCAGCCCGACGCCCGCGTCTGCGCCCGCGTCAGACCCGACGGGAGCCGAGTCGGCCGCGAAGGACAAGGAGGCCCGCGCCACGGCGGTCACGCGCGCGAAAGCACGCGTCCAGGCGCGCATCTCTGTCCCGCCCACGAACGACAACGGTGCGAGCTCGCTCCCGTCGCCCGAGGGCAGCAGCGCAGGGGGCGAAGACGCACGGAGCTTCGCGACCCGCATCGCGTCGCAGTACCTGTCGGTCCCCTCTGTCGGCCGCGAGCACGTCGACGGACAGCTGCCACCGATGCTCTCGCGGCGCACGTCGTCGAGCGCGCTCAGTACGCGGAGCACGACGCAGAGCTCGGACTCGGGGTACAGCTCGACGTCGCCGTCGTCGCTCGCGTCCTCAGACGACGGGGCGGAGATCGCCGAGTTCGAGGTGGACGAGCATGACGTCAGCTGCCACGACCACGACCACGGGGACGAGGACGACAAGCCGCGCAAGCTCGACATCTCGGGCTCCGCCGCGACGTTCATGTTCAGGAACAGACAGGGCCGCAAGCCGTCCTCCGCTTCGACCTGCACTGTCAAGGGCGACGACCCCGTCGCGTCCGCCGCCGACAGCATCCAGCGTCTCGCGATCCACGACCCGCTCAGCAGCCCTGTCCGCTCGGACAGCTCGGACATGTCCTCCTCCAATCCATCGTCGCCTTACCAGGAAGTCAACGACCCTCTGGTTCGCACCCGTCTAGGTGCTGGGCGCGGGGCTCCTCGCGACCTTCCCCTCCTCGTGACGCCATCGGCGACGATGCCTGCGATCTCCAAGTCGTCCACGCCCGGGTTCTTCAGCCGCGTGTGGGCCGCGACGAAGGGTCAAGCTACCGACAAGGACGGTGTGGACCAAGAGGCTCCCATCAGTGGCAGCGCGTTCCGTCGACTGGCGCACTCGCGGTCTGCGCTCTTCCGGAGCCAGCAGCAGCAGCAGCAGCAGCAGCAGCAGCAGCAGCAGCAAGCACAGCTCGACGTCTGATGGCCCCCGCACACACAACGACTATGATGACTCGAAACGGCCTCTCTCCTCCTCTCTCCGACCTTTCTCGCCCCTGCCCTTGTCGCGCCCCCACTTTGTTTAATGTTCGCGCAGACCAGGCCTCACGGACCTCTTTCGGTTTGTTCTTATTGCCCCATCTCTATTCCGTCTTCCCTTTCGTCGCATGCTGGACAGCCTACCCCCTTTGCTTCTCCGGTGCCCTGCGCGCCGCACACCTTTACTTCCCCGCGCGCTCTTCGCCTTCTTCTGCGCGCGCCGGGACCCCCCTTTGGTTGCACCCCCCGCACATACCTACACTACACCCTCCCTTGCACGGACTCCGTCGGAGCGTGGCCTAATACCTGCTGTAGCCATAGCGTCTTACCTCTGTACGAAGGTGGATAGTACCCACACAGGTCGACGATACCCTGCCGTCCCGGCGCCCAAACGGCGTCGCATGTATCTGTAGTCCGCCGCATGCAACACACACACCCTTGTTCCGATGCCTCGTATTTCGTGTAGACATGCGTGTGCACTCGATTGGCGCCGTTGTGTAGACGACGCGTGACGTCACGCGTCTGTCGTGTGCATGACACGCGCAGGCAACGTTCGAGGCCATCCGAGCCGCCACCAGGGTTTCCCCGATCGCGTCTCGAGCAACCCGCTGCTTGACTCCTGCGCCCGCCTCGGCGCAGGTGCAAGGCGGCGGTGCTCCGTCCATCCCTCCTCTTTCTCCTACCACCATCACCCCACATCCAGCGCAGCGACATGAGCCTCCTCGCCCATCTCGCCCTCTCCGCCGCCGTCGACTGGACGACGACGCTCTCCCTCATTTTTGGTGGCTGCTGCAGGTGCGCACCCCGCCCCGTCCTCGTTTTTCACGTATTTCTGGTCGTGTGCTCCCACCCCCTTCGCTGCCCCGTATCCGTGCCAGTCCTGATCAGCTCTCCCCCAGTAATGCGCTCACGCTCGAGCAGCTCACCCGCGCCCACCCGCGCGCCGGCGCCCTCATCACCTTCGCCCAATTCGCGTTCACCGCGCTCGTCATGCTCCCCACCATGGTCGCCCTCCGCCCGCTGCCCTTCGCACGCAAGATCAAGCTGCCGTGGCTGCGGCGGCGCCGCGTCCCGCTCGCGCCGTACCTCGTGCAGGTCGCGCTCTTCTCCACCGTCTCGCGCCTCAACAACGCCGCGTTCGCGTACGCGATCCCCATGCCCGTCCACATCATCTTCCGCTCCGGCGGGCTCGGCGTCAGCATGCTCATGGGTTGGGCCATTGGTGGGAAGAGGTGCGTTTCTTCCTCTCCCCCCTCTCCCCTCGCCTTCCTGTCTCCCTGCCGCCCGTCGGCTGTGTGGAGACGCCCTCGAACGCTTCTCCATCGATGGCCGCACGCTGACCTCCTCCCCCTCGCGCGCGCCACGCCAGATACACCGCCGCCGAGGTGTTCTCCGTGCTCCTAGTGAGCGCCGGCGTCGTGCTCACCACGTTGTCCGCGTCAAGCCCTAAGCCGCGCGCGAACGCCGCCGCTTCCGCTCCCATTCTCGCTCCCGCAGGGCAGTACGCGACTGGCATCGCGCTCCTCGCGCTCGCGCTGGTCCTAGGCGGTGCGCTGGGGCTCACCCAGGACTGGATCAACGCAACGTACGTGCGCCCGCCGCCCGCCGCCGCCGCCGCCGCCGCCACGCGCGAGAAGGAGGACAACTCCGCGCACGCGAACGGGCACGCGAGCGGCGCCGCGACGAACGGAGACGCCCCAGCGCACGCAAAGCCGCGGGCGAAGGAGGACGGGCCCGCGGCGTGGCAGGAGAGCCTGTTCTACCTCCACTTCCTCTCCCTGCCCACCTTCTACTTCGCCCGACACGACCTCGCCACGCAAGCCCGCGCGCTCGCCGCGAGCGCGCCCCTCGCAATCCCTCTCGCAATCCCCGCCGCGCTCTCCGCGCACCTCCCCGCTGCGTTCGCCTCCGCCTCCGACTTCACGCTGTACCCGCCGTTCGGGCTGTCGAAGCCCGTGCCGTTGGCAGTGGCGCTTTCCGTGCCGAGCGGATGGGTCGCGCTCGCCCTCACGACGGTGACGGCGGTCGTCTGCAGCGCCGGCGTGAATCGGCTGACGGCGCGGGTGTCCAGCCTGACCGTCACGCTCGTGCTCGTCGTCCGCAAGGCGCTCTCCATGGTGCTCTCCGTCGCATTCTTCAACGGCGCCGGGGCGGGTGCCGTGCACGCCCCGACGATGTGGGCAGGCGCTGCGCTAGTTTTCCTCGGCACAATGGGGTACGCGGCGTCGCGGAGGGCGAAGGCGGCGAAGACGAAGAAGGATTGATGTGCGGTTTATAATATTCACGACATGATGTAGACTTTCCGAGGACTGCGATGGACCTGTGGGATGTACAGATACACGGCATTTATACACACTACTACTGTACTTGAGCCTTCGTCACCGTTCAGGGGTGTTGCACTCAGCTTGATGACCGCAAACTTCAGGGATCGTACCGGCACTTCTCGGAAAAGAACCCTACGCAGACGACGGACGAGATCAGCTCACGCCAGCATGCCCCACGACCGGCGGGTCCACTCACCCTCCAAGCTCGTCTCCGCGTCAAAACCCTCACTCTCTACAATATCGCGCGCCCTCTCCCCATCTTCGGCCCAAATCTCCACCATCTCCCTCCTTTCCCCCTCCCCCTGGATCCACCACCACCGCTTCCTCCGCGTGGCTTCTGCGGTTGTTGCATTTGGCTCCGTGTTCGTTTCGTTTGGCGGAAGCGGTAGACCCACGGCGTCGAGCTCCACGTCCCAGCCCGGCTCACGCCGCGGGGGCCCACAGTCCTCCATGGCGATCTCGCGCCGCGGGGGCCCACAGTCACCCAGGGCGAACACGCGCAGCGTCGGGATCACGTCCACGACCAGGCGCAGGAGGTCTTCGATGAACCGCGCCCGCTGCCGGTCTTTCGACCGCGTGTCTTTGACGCTGCTCCTCGGACGGTCCCTGTTCCCGGCGCGGGCGTATGAGGACCTTCCGAACATCCGAAGGCCGTTTTCGTCGCGCCACCTGTCGCCGTCCCAGTGCGGGAGGTCGATGGTGAGGTGGACGAGGCGGAGCGGGGAGAGGGCGAGCGGCAGTTGGGGCTTAGAACGCCAATGTCAACACGGGCTGTCGCTTGCAGCTGGGTGAGTGCACTCACCCTCAAGGTACGATAGCTCACGTAGTCGGTGTGATCAAGATGGAAGTGCAACGAACGCAGCCGAGGGGCAGCCACAGGCAGCTCGGGCCAGAATGAGATGGGAGTGTCGGCTCTGGGGTTAGGCGTCATCGGAGCTTGCCCTGTAACCAGCCGGTACATGGATGCGTGGATACTCAGCACAGCCGGGTGGAAATTCTTGAGGATGGAGAGTATTCGTTCACAAATCACTCCGTTGGGGCGAAAGTCCTCGTGGAATACCACTACCTTGGTGTCTTCGATAAGTCGAAGATGGTGAACGCGAAATTTGTCCTCGATGCCGATGTTGGGGTACGTGATGATACAGTAGGGGATATGGAGTTCTTGGAGAGAAGGCCATGGCGTGCTCTCCTCAAAAATCGAACCCCACGATTCCGGTGGGTACATGGCACGCTGTAGTATGTACTCGTACGTGGACAGATGAGGGAGAGAGGGCAAGATGCTACATGGGAACCGGTAGAAAGAGTGAGCGTCGGTCTTGAGTACGAGGCGGCGGAGGGAGGGTACCAGCGACGAGAAATTGGTGGGTTGGCCAGTGGGCCCTTCCTCGGCCTCTTGGAAATCCGTGAGGTGAAGCGTTTGGAGGACTGGAAGGACAGGGAGCGCAGACAATGCATCGACCGCCGTCTTTCGCACGTGTGGACTGTAATAGGCCCCGCATTGAAGGGCCAAGGTCCGGAGATTCTTGCCTTGGAAATACCGCAATTGAGACAACACCTGCTGACCAACCCCGCCGAGATCCAAATGAACCAGGTTATCCAGCCCGATGAGCGTCGAACGGAAGCGGGCGTCCGCGGAGAGCAGGAATTCCACTTCGGAGAGCGAGAGATCGCGCAAAAACTCGGCCGATTGAAGCAATTCTGTTAGTCGACCAACCCGTTTGACCTCGAGAACCCCTCACACTTGTAGCTTGCGAAGAGTCTTCATGCGGTTAAACGGAGGAATCCTACTAGGATGCTTTGGTCGTGGAGGTGTCTGAATGATGAGCGAGACATCCAGAGGCCTTGTTGTGGAAGGAACTTCGACGAAGGCTCTGGGATAGGCGAGTTCGTAGGCCTCTAGGGAGCAACAGGCCATGTGGAAAGCATCTGTGCCCGTTAGATACGAGAAAATAACCAGAAGCACATCGTCAGGGAGGGTGAGGAGAGGGGTCATCGTTGGAGGCAAGAGATGTGGGTGACGTCGCCACCGTCGTCAGGCCTCGTTCAACAGCCGACGGTCCGGACGGCCTGTTACAGCCCTGGCCCTGGCCCGACCGTACATACCGTCGCCCTCCGCGCTGTTCTCCCAGACTCGCATGCTAGACAAAGTCGTCTTCTTCATGCTGTTTGGGACGGTTGGTGGCTCGTAGAGCGACGAGGGCACCCGAGAGCCACCCACGCTCGCCATTGCGACCAGCGTTCAGTGTTGGCTACTCCCCCATCCGACATGGCGGCGAGCGATCCCTCGAGCCCGAATCGTGTTTCGTCCGGTCGCCTCCGCTGGCATCTACGTTCCGTCTGGGTGATCTAACATCGTCCTACCCAAAGTATACAACTTACCTGCCGGGTCTCAAACATCGTACCGTACGTCCTGCTGTGTCCGGTCCTGTGCGAGACGACACGGAGATCGCTGAGACGCGGGAACGACGTCACAGTACTTAATGATGTAAATGCTCCCATTCAGCATTTGCAGTACCAATCTCCTCTCTCTTTCGTCCCTCCTCTTCTGCCTCCTCCCCATGATCCCCCTTGCGCCTCCTCACGTGCGCCAGCTGCTCCACGACTGGAGAGAGCCTCCACTTCCCACTGCCCCGGCATTACAACTTCCGACCGTCATTTTCGTCTGTCCGAGGCAGTTCTACGATCGCTGAGACGCAGGAATGACGTCACAGTGCCAATCTCCTCGCTCTCTTTCGTTCATCGCCTCCTGCCTCTTCCCATGATCTCCCTTACGCCCCATCACCTGCGCCAGCTGCTAGACGACTGGAGAACGCTTCCACCTCCCATTCCAGAGTTACAACTGCCACACCGCATTAATGCCCATCCCATACCTAAGCAGCCGACAGGGCTTCCCCACAGCTTCTTGGGAGTCATTTTCTCCACAAACGAATCCCCATACGGACTCTGGGTTCGAGACCAGCTGTACAACTCTCTCGTCACCCAGCTTGATCTTTGTCACAACGATCACACCCTCGAGGAGTACATCGTCGCACATGTGTCGGTTGCTCTCAAGGATCTCCCACCCGCATTCCACAGTAATTTCCCGTGGACGGCCCGCCTATTAACCCCTTCACCCCTCATACCTATGGGCTACATCGAGCTCCGACCCCTCCTTCCCAGCACGATGATCATTCCCAATCACGACCCCGGTCCCCTTCACCTGATGGGAGACGACCAGGTCAAGGTTCGAGGTGCAAGCTACCGCCCACACGATGGCCACTGTAGAGTTCTCCGATCCAGCGTGAGGGCCCCACACGGACAGCCCGTATCGCTTTTGCAGCTCGTCGCGGCGATGGCAGTTGTGCACAACATGCACCAAGCGTCCGTCCAAGGCACCTATAGCGACGGTTGGTTTGCACGCTCGGTGTGGCACCTCGCAGCACACCGCGACCCGGAAGGGCCACCCCCATCGCCGACAGGGGCCCCGTCTCGAGTACCGCGTACGCGGCCGCGCCGTCGTCTCCAACACGAGCCGAAATCATGCGGCACCTCTTCAGCCCCGGCACCGGCTCATCGATCGCGGCGGTTCCGTCGGAGAAGCACGCTGCGACGCAGTCCAAGGATTGGGAGGAGAACAGCCTGGTCGTCGAACACCTGCCCAGGCTTAGGCGCATGCACATCCACCTCGTCGCGTTGTGGAAGAACCTCCGGGACGCTACGGTCACGTCCTTCCCCACAAGGTCCGTCTTCTATAGGTTGGAGACGTGCTATAAGGACGGGATGTGCATATCGCCGCTACGCCGGGCGACTCTGGAGCTGGAGGTGTTGATAGCGGGAGAGAAAGCATGGGAGGCGGGTTTGAAGGAGGGCGGAGTGGAGGAGGCGCGGAAGCGATGGGTTGAGGCAAGAGAGAGGGTCATAGCCACTCTCAGGAGGAGACTTGAAGAAGGCTGCGTGGAGGAGTGGGAGAAACTTGATTGGGGAGTTTAAACAGACATTCACGGAGGGAACGCACTGCGACAGAGATGCTGAGGGTTGTGACCGTTGCGTTCGCACACAGCAGGTCCCGTTTGCTTGCTGTATCCCGCGATCATATTGCGTATATGTACGCATGTATGTGGTAGTGCGCAGAATAAGCCGGACGTTGCATCAACGAGTGCCGCAAGGTTTTGACGATAGGATAGGCCGTGTTCGAAACCAGTTCATGAGTATAAGCCCCCTGTATAGTGCACATTGAAAGTCCGTTATAAGGGCGCTGACGCGATACATTGAAGACCAAGACAACGCGCCGAACAGAAGCGGACTGGCAGACACTGTCAACATATATTCACAAACAGCTCAGGCATCAAGACGTACCCTCTAAACCACCGTCACATCGAACAATCACCACCCTGCTTCCTCTAAACTTGAATGCCAGAACATTCACGTCTGCTGAGGTGCCCAAATTATCTGCGTGTGCCCGGTCGTTGCAGGTTCGAAGGCTATGCACTTGACGCCCGTTTTCTGTGCGGAGAGATGTCGGGGCGCCTGTATTGAAAGTCCGACCGGCTGTCCCCGGAAGCAGAGAGCTTAGCCTGGCGCAGGAGGGCCCATCGCAGCAACATCGACGGCCGTCAAGACCATGGTGAGTACAACTGTTCGATCGAAATGCGGCCGCACAGACCTGGCAGCATGTTGAGTGATGTGTGCTGTGGACTCGCTGCTGTTCAGGAGTTGCATGGGCCTGGATGGCACTTTTGAGTCTGGATGACACGAGCGAGCGCTGATTACTTTCTCTGTTTTCAGGCCAAGGCTAAGGCAGCAGCACCCACATCATCCAGCGGCGGCAAGTCTGCTAAGAAGAAGAAGTGGTCCAAGGGCAAAGTCAAGGACAAGGCGCAGCACGCCGTCGTTCTCGACAAGCCGACCTACGACCGTATCCTCAAGGAGGTCCCGACCTTCCGCTTCATCTCGCAGAGCATCCTCATCGAGCGTCTGAAGGTCAATGGGAGTCTCGCGCGAGTGGCGATTAGGCACCTGGAGAGGGAGGGGCAGATCAAGCGGATCGTCCACCACAGCGGCCAGTTGATCTACAGTGCGTACCGTCGTCCATTGTGCATTTTCCTGCATGGCGCTAACGGTCATCCGGTTGTTCAGCGCGGTCAACTGGTGGATCTGACTAGACGTACACCGTCGTTGGCTCTCGCAGGTTTCGCTTTCGTCGCATGCATGCACGCACGCATATGTATTACAGCACCACACAAAACATGCCATGCCATGCCCAACCCCTGTAACGTCGTCGTGTGAGAATAGAGTGAGATGAGGACAATGAGCGCGCGATCGAAAGTGTTTTCCGAGTGTTTCCCCGGGGACGGCGTCTGGGACGGGGGACAAAGAGCGTTCGCTGATGCACATGTTCGGCTACAGGTGGCGGCCCGGAAATGAGGGCGGGAATGCGGACCATCGATCGTGGATAGCGTCCGGGATCCTTCCGGGCGGCTCGCTGCGGCAGAGGCGACGACGAGGAAAAGGCCGCAAACAACGTCGAGGTCGCGAGGCTGCAGACGGACGGTCTGCACGCGCTTTGTTCTGAGCGCGATGCCGAGGCAGCCGGGGCCGGGCGCGGGCGATGGGCTATTGTGCCACTTGGGCCGCCATGATGGGTCACGGTGGGCGGCAGACAACGGTCCGTTGTTCGAAGTCGCTTAGCCCGCCCCGCACCCGTTGTGGTCGAGGAAGGGTGCACCGCAGAAGCCCTGTTTGAGGGCGCGTGGGCACGCGTGTTCGTCGCGCCGCGGCCGCTGCCCCCGTCCCCGGGCAGGGTATAAAGCGAAGGGCTGCACACCTGCAGTCGCCCACCGACCGCCTCCCAAGCGTGCGCCACTCGCAACTTCCTCTTGACCAGCTGCCCTTGCCTCGCGCCTCGGCTCACCGCAGCTCCCCGCCCCCCTTCTCGCCCCCCCCTCCTGGATATCCGGTCCACCACGCGTTTTCCTATAAAGCCGTCCACTCCCCTCCTCCCTCAACTCAACGCACACACCATGTCCTACTCCGCCACATCCTCCACCTCCGAATACTCTTCGCCCGCCGACTTCTGCGTCGCCCGTGAATCACGCCCTACCACTGTCGACCCCGCGAGCCTTCTTCCTTGGGACGAGCGCGATCGCGACATCGACGCGCTCGTGCGCATGGGATTGTCAGAGTACCTGATTGGTGCGTGACGACCGCGACTCTCAGTGGCGCGCCCACTCATCCCGCCCCGCACCCCGCGCAGACTACTTTATTGATGTATTGACCACTGCGGTGGCGGACGGAACTTGCCACCTCCCCGGAGCCCGGAGCGCGCTTGCGTGGAAGACCTACGGCCTCATGCAATACGTCCATGACCTCTTCAGACGGAAGGTCACGGTCACCGGCGTGGACAGCAACAACAAGCCGTGGACAGAAGACGTGCGCTGGGTGCAGCCGGTGACGATCCTCGTCGCCATCGCCTTTCTCCGCCGGATGCAGGTCAAGTCAGACGGCGGCGGCGCGCTCTTATGCGAGCGTCTCTCGTTTGGAGTTATGTCCATCGCGTCCAAGGTGCGTGCAGAGTGGTTTATGAAAGAGCGAGACGCTGACGAGCGACGGTTCCAGGCGCACTACGAGGGCGGATACAAGATGAAGGCCCTAGTTGCGATGATAAATGGCTCCGATCGCCCCGGTGCAACGCCCCTTTTCGGACAACACCTGGAGTGCAAGCAAGGGCTCAAGATGGAGCAGGACGCCCTTGAGATGCTGGATTACGTCGTGAGCATCCAGAACGAGGACCTCAAGGCCCAATACGCCGAGATATGCCAGCGCCAGTCCAACCACCGCACGGACAAGCGCGCGCGGGGCATGGGTGAGCCGCGGATGGAGGCGGACGTCTTTGCGATGCTCAGCAACGACGCGCGCGTCCGTCGGAGGAGTTTGAAGCGTCGAGAAAGGACCTACACTGGAACCTCGATGTGGACGAGGACTCCCGCCGCGGCAAATCGCTTCTCTTCCCCGCTGTCTCGACTCCTGAGCCCGTTGCTCGTATCATCACCCTCAAGGATCTGCCTGTTCTGGAGAAGAAGCGACTCGAGGAAGTTGAAGAACTTTTCTTCTTCGAGAAGGCGAAGGACGGGGCCAACGAGCTGGAGCTCCAGTACCCAGACGACGAGCTCGCTGGCTATGAGGATGAGGACGAGGACGAGGATATGGACCTCGGGGTTGACGAAGACGACTACTACTCTACCTCGGACAGCTCGCCCGAGAGCGGACACCTCCCCACCCCCGAGCACCGCCTTCCCCACGTCCACTCGCACGGCCACCACCTCCCCGTCCCCGCCTCAGCACCGAGCCACCGCATTTCGGCGAGCTACGCGCAGGTCGTCGCAGGCTCGTATGCGCACTCCCCACCCGCGCCCCTTCCTCCCGTGCGCGAGCTCCCGCCCCCCTTTCGGATATCCCCGGCGCTGGCGTCTCAGGACCGGTCGCACCCCGCGTACGCGGTGCAGGCCAAGTACCTCGCAATGGCGTCCCCAGCGCATGCGGCGCACGACCCCATCCGGAGCAGCTTCTACGCGCGGGAGAACACGATTCCTACCTCAGTGCCGCGCGCAGCTTCGTGCCCGCGCCGTGCGACGAGATGGAGCGGCGGTACCAGCACGGGTGGAAGGCGGCGATGCCGGCGCAGTCGGCGTGGGGCGCGTTCAACCTCTTCACACCGACGAAGACGTGGGGGAGGCCGGCGGCGGCCTGCCGGTGAGCCGGCGCGCACTTTCACGGTGACCTTGGCGTCGACCTCGACTGCAGGGCTGCGGCTGCGGCTGCAGTCTGCGGCAGGCACTCGAAGCACGAAGTAAGACCCATGCGGGAGCATGGGGTCGAGGTTGCTGCAGCGCGAACGCAGACTGCAGCGGCGCTGGCCTTCGAAAGGCCTGCATGATACCCCTCAAGTCCTCGCTCTCCCATCCATCTCACACACAAGGACCAAACCAGTCGTTGCGCGGCGTGCGGGAATCGGATCTGCCGAGAGCAGCATCCGAGCGAGAACCCTCGCCGCGCGGACATCCTCTTCTTTCCTCTCTCATCCCACCTCTCTCCTCTCCTCCCACCTCTCTTCCCCACCTCTCTTCTCCCGACCGTCCCCACTTCTCTGCCCACCTCATCGCCATCTCCAGTTCCGTCTTCTCATCCTCTCTCACCCCGTCTCCTCCCCTGCCCTCTACACCCTCTTGCGCAGCCCGTCGGACTGCGGTTCTCTAGTGTCGCTTCTAGTTCTGGCCTCGGACCCCACACTCGCATCCCGCGCCGCTCAACATGCCCATAGCACGTCCGGCCTGGCGATGTAAAGATACATTCCTGTAATCGCCTCTGCGTCTGTTGTCGCTTTGTGTCGTCGTCGTCGTCGTCGTGACGAAGTAGTCTCGATCGTTGTAGTTCCTCAGTGTTGTAGTCTCGCCGCTCGTCGGCCGGAGCAGAACGCCAATCTAGCATCGCACCCGAGATCCATGAAGGTCTCGGATGCGTCCTGCCTCCTCTTGTGAACGCGGCCGCCAGTGGGTCGGTGAGGGGCCTCCCTGGTCTTCTACCTCTCTGCCTAGGCTCGCTCGGTGAGCGTCGTGCGCCTAAGTCTGTCGTGTCTCTAAGTGGGACGTTATATACATATTCTGACCAGCCTGTCGCATGGAAATAGTACGGATGACCAGGGGACGACACTGAGCGCCTCAATGTGTAAACAGGGTAGTCTTAGTGAGCTACACTTGTTGTGTGATTTGGGCGGACCACGACAGCATCACACGGACGAATCAGGAGACTGTTTCGGGTGTTGGTACATTGACTAGTCTAGGTATGCGTTCAGCGCCGCCTCTGACACGACAGGGCACGACGTCTAGTTGTTCGCCTCTTCCATCTCCTTCCGCCACCGACGCTGGAGCTCGATCGCCTCGAGGAAAATCTTGTACTTCGCCTGCAGCAGCTTCTTCTCCTTCGGGCTCGCCGCGGGTTCGACCATCGTCCCCGCCGGCGTCATCTCGACCTGCGCATGCGAGAGTTCATAAGCGACGCCCGCAAACGCGACACAGAGCACACACGCACCATGATCTCCCACAGCGCCTGGCCGCGCTTCTCGCGCGCGAGGAGCTCGGTGTGGCCCGCCGCCTCCGCGGCGAAGCGGCCGAGCATCGCGGCGCCGAGGACGACGGCGGCGCCCGAGTTCTCGGGGAGCACGACGGGGATGGCGCACGTGTTGGCGAAGAGCTGCATGAGCATCGCGTTCTTGGCCTGCCCGCCGGACATGTAGATCGAGCGGACCTCGTGGCCCTTGGCGTTCATCTGGTCGACAATGTGCCGCGTCTGGAGCGCGATCGCCTCGAGCGTCACGTTGAACTTGCGGGCGAGGTCGGAGAGCGTGGAGTCCTGCGAGGCGAGGCGCGCGGTCAGCGGTCAGCTCGGCCGAAGCTGGCTGGGCGAGGGACGGACTTACGAGTTTCATGCCGACGATGGACCCGGTCATGCGTGGGTCTGCAAGGGGGAGCGGTTTCCTGGAGGAGGATGAGGACATGGCGCGACAGGGGTAAGAAAGCGCGTACCGTGCAGGTCAGGGTAGAAATGAAGGTCTTTGGTGAGCTCCGTCAGGTTCTCTGCCTCGACTTCCGAACGCAACCGCTCGAGCTCGTCGTGAAGAACTACGAGTTACTCTATCATGAATACGAAAGCACAAATGATCAAGAGTTGGGCGTACCATCGTGAATGTTCGTCTTACGTTCCGCTGCTACCTCCTTGAGTCTAGGGTATGCAGCGTGCGTGGTAATCATGAAGTCTATTAGCTGGAAGACGGGTGTGAATGCCCGCAATTCGCCTCATCATGTGTGCGACCTCACCTGTCCGGTGGACGACTGTCCACCCTCGTTCATCCACCACCCAGGGAACACGACATCCTTATACGGCCCCAAACGCCATTGACGAAGACGCCCTCAGGACTCTGCGCGGTCATTCAGCATCGCGCCTCTCGCGAGAGTGCGTTCTATGCATACCTGCACGATGTGACATGTGCTCGTACCTGCGACGGCCGCGAGCCTGTGCCTCGACTCGTCCACGGTGGGCACGACGTCGGACAGCGCCCGTTGACCTTGTACCGCGCGGCGACGGTGCCCAGCCAGCCGGCGTAGCTGCACAACATGAGCAGGGCGTCGAGCTCGCGTCATTAGGCACCACTCACGCGTCAATGACTCCACTGCCGACAGGCGTGCCCTCGACGAGCCCCATTTCCTCCGCGGCGCGCCTGCTGAGGCCCTTGCCGATGGGCATGCCGGCGGTGAGGACCTCCTCGTGCCCGAGTTGGTTGAACCCGTTCTCGACGAATTCGCCGAGCCCGATCTTCTCGAAGAACTCAGGCTGCCAGCCGTCCTTGGTCGGGACGTACGAGCACTTGCACGCGATGGAGCAGCACGAGCGGTTACTGGTGTCAGTCGCGCGGTAGGTGAGGAAATCGGGGAGGTCGAAGAACTGGCAGCGCTTGAAGAGCTCCGGCTTCATATGGCGCTTCAGCCAGAGAGTTTTGGGGATCTCCATCTCGAGCTGCTCTCGGGGTCAGAGAGGGCACGACGCATGCGCGAGCGGACTCACGCTCATCGTACCGCCGACATAGTCGAGGACGACCGAGCCGGTGCTGTTAATGAGCTCGGCCTCCTTTTCCGCACGATGGTCCGCCCATAAGATGATGTTACGCTCGCCGCTCTGTCCGAGGTCTGCGCCTTTGGTGACGATGACGGGATCGCCGTTCATGTCCGAGACCGCGAGAGAGCAGGTCGCGTCGAAGCCCAGGCCCTTCACCTCCGATGGGGAGACCTTGGCCTCCTCCAGGCAGGCCTTGATGCACTTGCACATGCCCGCCCAGATGTTGGTGGTCGATTGCTCGAAGATACGGTGATCCTCTGGATCGCGCCAGGTGATCGTCTCCTCCGTGCGGGAGGCGACGAGGGTGCCGTCGAGCTTGACGAGCCCCGCACGGACTGAGCCGGTGCCGACGTCGATGCCAATGTAGTACGGGCCTTGGGACATGGTGGTGGGGAGACTAGCGGCGGGGAGCTCACACCTGCTCACACCATGGTGCAAAGAGAGCTCCGGCCCCCGCCCCCCAAGACGTCACCTGGCCGGCCATCCGGCACAGCGCCCTCAACGTTCAACCGGGGTTGCCCTTGGCTGACTAATGACTTCCAGCACACGGATATTCGTGTTCGTGCATCAAAGGGCATGTGGTCATGATGCATATGCAATGGGCTGCATACATAGCTTTTGTAACAACGTGCAAGGGAGGCAGAGCAGCATACAAACACAACACGTCAATCCCAACGTCAGGCCACTCAAACCTCCTTGACCTTGACCGTACCACGCAGCAGACCAGTCTGGAAACACACAGATGAGTGCAGGTCGAAGCGCATGCATACAAAGTGGACGTACCCGGCGCGCAGCAATGAGACCGACTTTCTGACCGGGGACCGCAGAGCGGGCGATCGTCGACGCCTTACCGATGTGCTGGTGGTTACCACCACCGTGAGGGTGATCAACCGGGTTCATAGCAACACCACGAGTACGAGGCCAGCTGCGAGGATGTCAGCACTGGGCATACAAACAACTTGATGTATACGCACTTGTAGCGCTTGGCCTTGTATTTGTGGAATGCCCGGCCGGCCTTGAGCAGGGGCTTGTCGATACGGCCACCACCCGCGACGATACCAACGGTCGCACGGCAGCTACCGGAGACGGTCTTCTTCGAGCCGGAAGGAAGGCGGATACGAGTCTTGTTCTCGTCGGGGGAGTGACCGATGACGGTCGCGTAGTTGCCGGAGGTGCGGGCGAGTGCGCCACGGTCACCGACCTTCTCCTCGACGTTGCAGACGATGGTACCCTCAGGGCATTGGGAGACGGGGAGGACGTTGCCGACGGTGAGCTGTGCCTTCTTTCCGCAGTAGACGAAGGCACCAGTGTGGAGGCCCTCAGTCGCAACGAAAGTTTCCTTGCGGAGCTTGTAGCGGTAGGGGTCACGGAAGACGACGCGGGCAAGAGGAGCACCACTGAAAAGCAGTTCGGGAATAGGCGAGGGGAATGCGTGTGGATGGTACGCACCGACCAGCGTCGTGGATGATCTCCTTCACGATACCCTTAACGTAGCCATTGCGTTCCGCGAAGTCGAGGGGGCGGAACTGGGCAGGCGACTTGTTGTGATGGGTGTGGGATTTGAACTGAAGAACAGAAATCAGCCAGTGTCAACGGTACAAGATACAAAACGGACGTACGATAGCGTGCGACCGCCTTTGTGCCCGAATAACCCTACCCATGTCGATTCTGTGATGCGGAGATGTAAGTAATGGCAGGAAGAGCACAGAAGAGCAACAGGTGGAGAGGCATCATCCAGATGTCGCCCGGACCATCCATCCATTTCCGCACGGATTTGGTCCGCAATTTCAGTCCAGAGCAGGAAGACGACATCCAGAGAGGCTTCCGGAAGGCTGCATGGGGATCTGGAGGAGCGTACTCACAGTCTTGCTGGTCGGCGATGTTGACTGTGTCGTCGGCGGGCGTTGGTGCAAGTCCCGTTGAGGCGTCCGCAAGATGCCGAGCGGCCACTGAAGATAGACGCCTGAGGCCGCCCCCAGGTTCTGGCGCTTCTTGTTATGACGCGCGCTTTAACAGGCTTTACCTAAGCTCTCTTCTGCTTATGCATACGGCCCTTTAGACACCCTGGAAGCGGGCTGAAAGTTTTTAAACTTGGTACGCTGGGTTGTATTAAGCTTATTTGGAGCGAGCAGACGTGGTAGTCGGTGAATGCAGGCCGCAATGTCCGGCCCGTGCGTATGTAGGGCACGTGACTTTGATGCATCCTTCGCGCCTCCACGTAGCTGAGCCTGTTCAGTTGGTAACTACTAAGTTCACATCCTTCCTTCATGAACCGCTGGCTCCTTTTTCTTCTCCCATTACACGTTCTCGCCAGCAAGGACAGGCCTCATGGTGTCTCTCCTGAACTAGCGGCCCGTTACGTCCCCATCAAGCAGGGCTCCTCGCAAGCGTGGCAATGCTTGGATGGGTCTAAGTCGATCGACTGGTCTGTGGTGAACGACGATTTCTGCGACTGTCCAGACGGCAGTGATGAGCCTGGTATGTACCGGAATCACTTTCTGTCACACCTCTGCTCATTCGCGTCAAGGCACAAGCGCGTGTCCCAACTCGTCATTCTACTGTGTGAACGAGGGCCACATTGGATCGTATATTTCAAGTACTCGGGTGAACGACGGGCTTTGTGGTGAGTCAATTGGCTTTATAACCCCCAAGCACCACCCCGATGCCCTTCGTAGAGGCCGAGTGCTGTGATGGCTCCGACGAGCCTTCCGGTGTCTGCACGAATGCGTGCAAGGAAGTGGGCGAGGCATACCGGGAACGAGTCAAGGCCGAGAACAAGCTCCGCAAGACCGTAAGCGGTCACGTTACCATTTCATCAATGCGGCATACTCATGGCACATACAGGGCTCCAAGATCCGCTCTTCTTATATCTCGTTCGCACAAAAGGAGAAGAAGCGTTTGGAGGACGAAATCGCGAAGGCAGAGCAAGATATTGCTATACAGGAGAAAGAGGCAGCGCACCTGAAAGGTATGTTTCCCCCATCTGTGCGCCTTCATTATCCTCACAATGCGTGAAAGACATCATGGAGAGGACCGAGTCTCTGTCGGAAGCAGCGCTCGAAGAGAAGAAGGGATCTCGTGAGTACTGCCAATATATCTCGAAACACATTTACCTACGTCCTGGAACAGCCCTGTATCAGTCGTTCATGGAGCATGTCATGGCGCTTCGCTCCTTGCAACGCGAGCACCAGAAGCACCTTGAGCGCGAAAAGGCCCTCGGCCAGATACTAGACAGTCTCCGTACCGGCTACAACCCGAACTACCAGGACATGGCCGTTCTGGAGGCCGTACGTGGATGGGAGCACCTTGCTGCCCTGCCACACATCAACGACGTTGGCAAGGACGGTGACGACGACTCGGAGCTTGGCTCAGACGAGCCGGCCCAGGAGGTCGAGGAGGAGGTCGAGGAGGGCATGTGGTCCGCGTCGCAGCTCGAGCATCAGCTGGACGACCTGCTTGAGACTGACTATGAGGGCCTTCTACTGGAGCACGACAAGTTTGTCGGAGCACCCGCCTCCGCAGCGTCGCTATGTGAGTGAGTCGCGCACAACACCTTCAATTTTGATGCCGAACGTTTTTCAGTGCACAACCCTTCCGCCTACCTGCCCGATGCTCTTGTCCCTTCGTTTGAAGCTTTCCGCGACAAGATCATGCCTTGGCTCACAGCGTTTGGGCTTGCCTCCCCCGTAGCTGACACGGACGGCGCCGGTGAGCAAATATTGGTGTTTCTTCTCGCCATCACTGAATGTTGTCATTAGATACCTCCAAGGCACAGAAGGCAGTGACCGATGCCGAGAACGAGCTCTACAAGATCCGCCGCGAGAGGGATACCAGTGCCCAGGCACTTGACCGCCTCTTCGATCCCGAATGGTTCGGCGCCGAGGGCGAGTGGAAGAAGCTCGAGGGCACATGCATTGAGAAGGAAGTTGGAGAGTACGTGTCGTATGGCTTCCTTCCATTCAGCGTCCAACCCCTAATGCCATTTTGTTCGCAGCTACGCATACGAGGTCTGTCTCTTTGATGAAGCTCGCCAACGACCCCTTCGTGGTGGTCAAACCTTCAGCCTCGGGTGAGTGACCCTCATCCAGCACATCAATTGACGCCTTCTGACCTTTTGCTAGTAAATTCTCGAGCTGGAATGATGCCGACGGCATTGAGAAGGGAACGCCCGGCTACTACAAGAGGATGAAGTATACTCACGGCGCCAAGTGCTGGAATGGGCCTCAACGCAGCGTGACGGTCCGTTTATGCGTTCGTGTCATCGTGTGCTGTTCACTGATCAGCACTTTATAGCTCGACATGAGCTGTGGCCTGGAGAACGTTGTCTTGGCCGTCTCGGAGCCAGAGAAGTGCGAGTACGAGTTCAAGGTCACAAGTCCTGCGCTATGTCTTCCGCTGTCTGCCTCTGGAGGCAAGAAGGAGGAGCTGTAGTCAACATCATTCATAAATCACGCCCAAGCATATTGTTATTACGTCAGCCCCTGCGGCTCAATGCTGTGCAGGTCACCGGATTGGATGGTTCGGATCCTGTTTCGTCACTGCCTGTAGGACTCTTGGGTTTGAAAGTATGGCCTGCAAAGGTAGCTCTATCTTTGAAGCAAGAATGTTTCTGCTGCTCAACTTATGGCAATGGTTGGATTAGTACTGGCTGGCATGAGGTACTGACTGCCACCCATCATGGATCACAATTCACCACTGTTTTTATAAGAATGGGCCTCATGTGTAACAGGACCAGGCATACAACCAGTTCAAGACTTCAAGTGGAGCTTTGGATGTGCCTGCAGACACAACTCAGCAATGTCAGTTCTGAGTCTCCAAGTTAGAGACACTGCAAGTGAAATGTGCTACCACTATGTGACTAGCAGAGGGGTCTCTATCTTTATAACAAAGTTGCAAATGCCTTTACTAGTACCCACTGGCATGTTAGCAACTATCCACAAGTACAGTCTGTAATATGTAGACCTATCTGTGATGGTATGCAAAGGAGCCCAAAGCCCAAGTGGTAGAGTTATAGAGGTCACAGACATTTGACGTCTGAAAAGAGCCCCACTTATTGGCATACAAGAGATGTTGATGTGGAAAGTGTGCATATTCCAGGTGTAGTATATGAGCACCAATGGCACATGTATGTCCATGGTTGTTATTCACCACTATGACACAACTTTTTTTTTGTCATCCTCGTTTAACGCCCTGGAGGGCAGAGCCCTATGGTAGGCATACAGTACACAAGCTAAATCTACGCGATCAGAGTGGGTTTTCAACACGGGGGGAAAGCGTCAGCTACACAAATGCCCCGGAGGGTGAGAATGACACAACATATCAGTGCTTTAGTACTTGCTTTGAGCTTGATCTAGAGAACATCCAAATAGAACAAAAAGGGTCAAGTGGTGGTACTGTGTAGTGAATTGCAAATTCCAAGTAAATGATGACAGATCAGTGACAGTCTGTGGGAAAAACTATCCCAGAATGGCAAGTTCCTGCAGTGGCATGACGAAGATCAGCCAAATAGTACCAAATATCTAGTCACTTCTGGTGCTCTTATGCTAGCTTCCTCTCTCACTTACTCTTTGCTTAGACCCCCACCCCCTGCCTTCCTCCTCCTTTTAGACATCCCCTCTATTTCATTGAGTGCCACATCACTTGTCCCTGCCTAATTGTGAGTCTAATCATCATTAATGTCTTTATGTTAGCTCTTTTAGAACACCTTATACTCATCTCTGCAGTAGTAGTAGAGAGACACCGTCTGGTGTCCTTGCTATCAAGCCTGCCCCAAATACCTCATATCTACTGTGTCTCCACATCCCTCCTTGGTAACATCTGCTTGACAGGAAGATCAGGTGTTCAAAGTACAGTTATTTGTTTCTGTTGTATTGGATGCATATAGCTGATGTCATTCCTAGCAGCATTAGAATGCCTCAAACTAGGTATGAAGTATCTTGTGCATTTTACTTTGACTACTGTCTCACATGGGTGCACAAGTCTGCTACAATACCAGTGCCAGAACAAACACATTAGCCGTGCCTCAACAGGCTCAGACATACCCTCCTGGGCAACTTTATCAACTAAAGGTGCTTCAGATAATGAAGATGAGCTGGCAACAAACTGCACTACACCAGAGCCACCGGAGGCGCCCATACCCAAAGTGCGCAGTTTGTCCACATCAGTGATGGCGCTAATACGGTGTTCCTCATCTGTCACTGCAGACCACAGCCACACCCCCAAGAAAGAAGGCACGTGTGCAAGACGACACGGAGCGGGTGTTTACACCAATGAAATCCCCCTGCAAGTTCCAGCGCACGGAGACGCCGATCAGGCCTTCACCTTCGAACAACGCGCTCGCACATCCCACTACACCCAAGCCTACTCAAGCCTTGCGCACCAGAGCTCGCCCGCCCATCACAGAAGCCTCGACTGCCGCGGAGTGGAAAAGGGTGGACGACGGGCTCAACACGCACGTTGCCCCGTTTCGTGTCCTCCCCCAGTACGCACAACGGCCGCGCGATGACGATCGCGCGCGGTCAGGCTGGTCGGCGCCATTGGAGCCCCACAGCGGTGAAGGGGAAGGGCCGCGCAGCGCAGGGATGGACGACGGATCGGTGGTCGAACGTGGGCGAGTTCAAGGCGCGGCTCGACGCGTGGTACGGGCCTGGGGACATCGACCGTGGGCGGGGAAGCGCGCCGAGGAACGTGACGGTGAGTGTCCAGTGCGGCGCCGCGGCGCATTGGGGGGTCCGTGCTGCGCCTGCGCGGCCGGGGTGAAGCAGAGAAGATCTCCCGGGGCGGACGCGGCGGCGGGCGGCGGGCGTGAAGCTTGCATGTTCGCGGCGAGCTTGCTGACGCTTTGGGTGATCGTCGTGCAGGGCCTCGGGAAGCGGCGACGCTCGCCATCCGACGCGTCTGGGCATGTGATGACTGGCCCGGCTGACGAACCCGCTTCGGGGAGCAGGGCTGGGCGTTCAAACCCGGAAGGGAGCGAGGATGACATGGACGGGGCGACACATAGGACGAGTGGGAAAGCAACGCCCACAGGTTAGATGTGCGGGCGTGGAACAGTCGGTGGACCTCTTACTATTAGTAGGTAGCTGTGGATCGTGTGTTCCTGGAAACGCTTGGGGCGAGCTTCACAGCATCGTGCATCGTGCTCTGTACTTCCAGGCCGCGGGGATGCACGCACGCCTGGACTGCGCGTTCATCCATAGTTGATCTTCAGATAGAGTACATGATCTGCGCTCGCCGGGCCACGGTATACGGCGTAGTGTGTCGCCCGAGTGGCATTACTGCGCCCGATCGCGGAGAGAGAATTACCACAGGATGACCAAGAGCGTGCGCGGTGAATGGATGAGGAGCGACAAAGCAGGGCCGCGCGGTGAGACGGCACGCGAGGTCGTCCGAGCCACCGCGTGCGAGTGCGGAAGAAAACAAGGCAGTGGCACAGTCCACAGGTAGCGCGCGTGACCCAACCGTGACGGATGACGGTGGCGCTGGGCGGGGCCCTGCGACTTGTTTTCTGCGGTCATCACGTCCTCCGCTCCGAGCCCCCTTCCATCATTGCTTGCAGCGTTCTGCTATCTCTCCGCCTCTGAACATGCTCGCCCTTGCTCCACAGCCAATGCACGCACCCGTAGATGTCCCTCCCCATAGAACCCAGCCGCCAACGCCAGGCTCGTCAACACGGTCCACATTCCGCAAAGTCACCCCCTCATACCCCTTTTCCTCCTCCGTTGCTGGTCATTCCGTGCACTCTGGCCCCTCCATAACCCACACGGTACCCCCAGAGCCCTCTTCCTCCCGTCGCGCCACGCCACAGCGAACGGCCTCCTTCAGTGTCTCTGCGCGCCCATCCGTATATGATGGCCACGAGGACGATCCTTCGACCCCTCCGGGCTCCGAACCCGAGGACAACGAGGCCGAGCCCTCTCTTGCACCCTCACCTGCTGCTGTTGATATTCATGCGTATGACTCGAGTACCCTCCTCCGCCTCCTCGCGTCCACGTTGACCGAAATCGCGTCGATGAACACGGACCGCGACCACGCGGATCCTTTCCTTTCCTCCCCACACCAACACGGTGGCCCCGCAGAGCCGCATCCACCCATATGGCGGACATTAACCGCCGCCTCCCGCCATGCTCTGTCCACCGCCTCCTCTCTGTCCTTCCATGCGCGCAATGTTCCCACAATCGCCCTCGAGGCCTACCTCACCCGTATCCAGAAGTACTGCCCAGCCAGCAACGAGGTGTTCCTCTCCCTGCTTGTGTACTTCGACAGGATGATGAAGCTCGCGAAGGAGACGTGTGGGAAGGTGTTTGCAATCGACATGTACAATGTGCACCGGCTGGTCATTGCCGGTGTGACTGTGGCGAGCAAATTCTTCAGCGATGTGTTCTACACGAACTCACGCTACGCTAAGGTGTGTCCCGCTGTCTTATCACCCTGGATGCAAATGCTTAAGACGGTTACCTGTGCTCTAAGGTCGGCGGATTGCCTTTGACGGAGCTGAACCAGCTCGAGCTTCAGTTCCTACTCCTGAACGACTTCCACCTAATGATTTCCCAAGAGGAGATGCAGTTCTATGCGACGAAGCTGGTACAGCAATCGCAAGTACCTTCTGGCGTCTCCTTGATCCCTTTCCTCCCCGAAATCTCCCCCTCCACTCCTCACGATCCCCGCCAATCTCCCATCGGGCCTTTGAAGTATTTCCAGGCCGTCGACCGATACCTCGCCCACCTACGCGCGCGCGTGCATCCAACACATGCCGAACACATCTCACTCTCCCACCCGCCGTCCTACACTCCATCACACTCGCGACCATCGTCGGAATACCGGAGGTCGGCAAGTTCATACTCGACGTCTTCCGCCTCCGATTCTCTCACAGAAGGCGACACGGAGACAGAGTTTGACGGCGAGACGGACGACGAGCCGACGATTCGAGCTCCACATTCCTCGGCGTCTGCGAGCGATGCGGACTCAATATGTACCGACGACAGCCAGAGCGAGATGGGAGAGGATGCATATCACGCGAACGGGGCGCGGGGTTACCACCACCGGGCAATGAGCCCTTGAGCTCGGACACTCGACAGCCGGGCTGTTCTCGACAGGGACCATGGTCGGTCGTCCAGTGCGTGGTAGACGTCCCGGCATGCTGGGACGGCGCTGTACGCGATGCATATCTTAGTACGTATAGGACTTGCAGTTGCTCTGTCAGCCTCACAATGATCGTGTATATACACTTCGTAATAACGTGTCTGGGGTTTCTTTTCTGGTCTACAATCACAGTGTACAGCTCTCTTCATACGCTTACCTCTTCATGCACAAGATATATCATATTTGCAGTCACCAAACATTAGACGTTCCTTGCCTCGTCATGTGGACCGTGACTCGCGCGGCGCAAGTCGCCTAGGAGGGTCGGTGACGCCTGCACGGTTGTGCGGCAAATACTGTCGAGGTGGGCGACACAGCCGGCTGAGCGGGAGGGGCTCGCTTTGGATGATCAGTAGAACGTGACGCTCTCCCGCAGAGCGCGCGTGGCCGTCCACGCGCCACGCCACCGTCGCCGTGCTTTGTTCGAGCCTGCCGCAGCCTCCCGCCAGTCCCGCTGTGACGCCGACGGGAAGCCATGCAGCAGCCCAAGAGAAACGACGCCATGGACGTCGACGACGCCGCCCCCGCCGCAGGCCACGCGTCAGCTCCTCCTCGGCGTCGGGGCCCCGAGCTCGCGCGTTCTCCGTCCCCGGCACGGCGCGGGAGCAACCCCCCAAGCACCACGTCGGCTATGTGTACTCGAGCAAGATGATGACCCACAGCTGCCTCCGCGGGCACCCTGAGCAGCCCGCGCGGATATCCAGGATCTTCGACATCCTCACCGAGAACGGCTGCTTCCAGCGCATGCGCGAGCTCCCCATCCGCCCCGTGCACCGTGAAGAGGCCCTCCTCGTGCACAGCCAGGCCTTGTGGGACAAGGTCCTCGCCTCCACTGTGAGTGCCTGTGGGCCTGGTCCACGAGTCTGAACTGATTCCGTGCTTACACAGCCCTGACAGAGCAGGACATCGTCGACTCGGAGGCGTACTACAACGACCTCTCACTCTATGTCCATCCGTCGACACCTTACGCCGCTAGGCTGAGCGCGGGTGGAGTGATCGAGGCCGCTCTCGCCGTTGCGAAGGGAGAGGTCAAGAAGGCCTTCGCGATTGTCCGGCCCCCCGGTCATCATGCCGAGCCCGACGAGCACATGGGCTTCTGTCTATTCAACAACGTCTCTATCGCCACCAAGGTGGTTCAGGTCAAGACATCGACGAAGAAGATCTTGATCCTTGACTGGTGAGGTAGTCCACACGTAGGCATCCCGGTTGTTATTGACGCACCTCCAGGGACGTTCATCACGGTAGTGCATTTCGATCGCCTGTGCTGCAGAGTTCTCATGCTACACAGGCAATGGCACGCAGCGTGCCTTCTGGGACGATCCAAGTGTGCTTTACGTATCCCTACACCGATACGAAGGCGGCTACTTTTACCCTAACGGCCCCTTCGGAAGTCTCACATCAGTCGGAGAAGGCGCCGGGACTGGCTAGTAGGGAGTCTTGCGCTGGATTCCTTCTGCTCGTTAACCACTTCGTTACAGCTCTGTAAACATCCCGTGGCCAGAGGCGGGGATGGGCGACGCGGACTACCTCCTCGCATTTCAGAAGATCATCATGCCGATTGCGCTAGAGTTCGCCCCCGAGCTCGTCATCAGTGTGTATCCCTTTCCGTGCCGCAGCCAGCGAGCTCGCTGATGCGTCGATACAGTCTCGGCCGGCTTTGATGCTGCGGAAGGCGACGACCTCGGCGAATGCCACGTCTCCCCTGCGGGTTTTGCGCACATGACCCACATGCTGTGTTCGCTGGCGGGCGGCAGGGTCGTCGTCGCCCTCGAGGTGGAGGTTTTGTGTTCGGCCGTAGTCGTCTCTCTGCTGATTATGACCGCCGGGACAGGGAGGCTACTGCCTCGACGCCATCGCGGCTTCGGCACTGGCGGTGACGAACGTCATCCTCGGGGAAGTGCCGCCGATGTTGCCGCCGATGACGGCATCGGAAGCGGCTACTGAGACGATCTGGCAGGTGGCGATGGAGCAGAGCAAGTATTGGAAGAACCTCGATCCGAAGTCGTGCGAGCCTATCGAGGGTCAGTAGCCTCGCCTGTTCTGTTGGCACGAACGTGTTCACAGAAGTATTCGCAGAGATGGAACCCATCGCCATATCGGTACCCGGTGAGTGCGAAGTAGCGGAAGAAGTGGGCGACGATTGACATGCGTGTCTAGAACTCTTGAAAGCCCATCGAGCAGACTACTTGTTCAAGACACACGGGATGGTTGAGCTGCCACTGCTGAACCCGGCACTCACCGAGCGGTACAGCGCTCAAGTAGCGTGCACGTCAGTAGACTTCTCGTTCCGTAGAGTGCCGCCCTCCTGCTTACGGGGATGCCTTACAGCCCTGATATCATGGGTAAGGACAAAGACACCCTGTTGGTCTTCGTCCATGAATTGTAAGTCATTGAAACTCGCTTCAGGCCGTCCATCTCATCAAGTTCTCTGTCACAGCGGAAACTTGCGCATCGAGCTCGACTCCGTGACGCACTGTGACGTTCGCCAAGAGCATTCTTACCTGGTACGCGCTCTTTCCTGCCGGCAGTGGCAGATGTTGATCGCGCGCAGGTCGACTGCTCTAAAGAGCTGATCACTTGGGCCAAGTCGAAGAAGTACTCCATTTTGGACGTGAACGTCCACCCGAAGCCGTATGCAAAGACGAGGGTACGTCGGCGAGTGACCGCCTCGCTCTCAATACGAGCTCATCCACTCATCTCGTGCAGCTCAAGAGCGGCAGCGATGATTACGCTGGGGCGGTCTTGGTCTACCTGTGGGACAACTACATCTCGTGCGTACACTCCGGACAACTTCGACACGAAAATGGCACTGAGGCGGCCACTTCCGGCTACGCAGGCTCACTAGTGCGCCCAAAGTGGTCCTCGTCGGGCATGGGCCCGGCTGTGCGGCCCTGATCAACATGATGCAGCAGCGGGGTATGTCACGCGCTTTAAAGAAGTCTTTGCGCATGCTCATAGAGGGGTTTGTAGCTGTGGGGGTCCTGAAGTCGGTCGTGACCGTCGTCAGCGTCGCTAGCAACCACGAAACTCCGCCTACTCCGCGGGACATCCCAAAGCTTCGAGAGTGGTACTACGAGGTACGATTGCAGACCGCTTTTGGTGCTCTGCGGTGTCTCAATGATGAGGGCTCGCTACTGTCAGAACTCTCTGTTGGTGGTACCAAACACGCACCACATTCTCAACTCCGTGAGGCTGATGAAGAGATATGGGAAGATCGTATTCGTAGGTATGTGCTTCAGTGCTCTATCACTGTATCGTGAACACTTCATTGATGCTTTCACGTCGGTAGGGGAGGAAAAGCCGATCAAGCTCATGATGGCAGCCTTGAGCGGGATCCAGGGCTGGGTGGAGAGGAAGTTGGAGGACTACAAGCGGCCAGAGTGACGTGCGAGCCTGAATCCCGAAACTTGAATTCGTGTTATCGCTCTCGTTTGCTGTCGGGCTTTCATATTGATTGTACAACTTCCGTCTCTCGCACGCATGAAGATCGCTTAGGGATATATATATATATGTCAGGGACTCTGACTCGGAGGGAGAGCGCGCTATCACGTAGTATACGCCTAAAGAAATCAGCTACTAGTACTCGTCGTCCTCGGTCAAAACCTTCAGACGCCACTCTTTGTCATCGTCCTCGGGCTCTTCGAGAGCCCAGAGGGCATCTTCGTCTTGGTCACTGTTCATTTTTGCGTGATCTGCGTTGCCGTTGACAGCTTCCCCCACGATCTCGGTCTCGATATCGACGTGATCTTCTTCCTCAAGCATCTTGCGACGAGCTATCTCCGCTTCGTCCTCCTACGACCGATCGAGTGAGCTAGAGGAAACGTCCGAGGAGGTAGAACTGACAATATCAAACTCGTCCTCGCGCTCCTCATAATCGACGTTCTCGTCCACCTCTGTGAAACCGCCGGCGAACGCACCCCATCGCTCTGTCGTCGGGGTGTGCCAGATGAAGATGTTGCCTTGATTGGTGACCGAGGCGATGACGGGCTTGCTGGGGTGCCACTTCAGCAGATGAGCAAATGGTCAGCGGCATCCCTCTCGTGAATGACAGACGAGGACTGACGTGGACGTATGTCAACAGTTCGCGACCGCCATCCAAGGTGTTCGCGAGGAGGCCTTCTCGCGCCAGTTCCCAGATGTAAATCTTGTGGGACGCGTCGTCGGCAGCGCCTGGGCACAACAGATCAGCTCCCGTGGTACCGCATTTGTGAACCGCATACCTCCTGCCAGCCATTGTCCGTCAGGGCTGTAGCACATCGCATGCCAGGACACCTTGCTGATGGGGTCGTGGAAGCGCAGGCTGGGTTCAAGCTCGGACTCGATGTAGTCGTCGGTGGTGGGAGTGGGATAGAGCGGGAGGCTCAGCTGTCGCAATACACGGTCGGACGAGTTCGTCGCCAATCTCCTGTGCTGGCGAACGTATGAGCACCACACGCCGAGTCGGTTTGCGGACTACGTACCTCCCCGAGGGCGTGAACTCGAAGCCTCGAAATGTCACACCCGCACCTAGACCCGCAACTTTATGACGAGCTACGATCTAGTGGTATATTTGGTAAATCGTCAGCGCAACAATCCGAGAAAGCTTACCGTTTTTGTGCGTGTGTTGAATACGAGAATGTGCCCTTGCGTCGTGCCGGCAAATATGTGCCTTCCTGAAGGGTCGAACCTGGCCGTGGTAACGCCGACCCTAGAACATAACTTGAATGATGGACAAACGGTCTCCTGAAGGATACACATACCTCCACTCCTCATCTTCCTGATACTCGCAAAGTTCGTATCGCCCTTTATACTCCTTGCGCAGGTCCACCAGAAACGCTTCGTAGCTATTCAGCACGACAAGAATTATCTTGCTTCAGGAGCGTGAGCGAGCTTCAAGATGCGGGCGTGGAACAGGAACATACCTGTTTTTCGGATGGAAAGACGCAGAGAGCACGACGACGTCAAACCGGATGGTAGCTTGGCGGCGCGGAGGGTCGGTTTCCGAGGCAAGGTCCCAAATGATCACATTCCAGTCCTTGGAGGAGGTCAGAACATATCGCGAGTTCTTTGACCAGCTAGGGGATGGATGAGAACTCACGACACCGCACCGAGGCTGAGGCCGACGCACTCTACGCTTGTGATACCCTTGACATGCCCCTCCAGCCACCGCACCGGGCCTTTGGTGTCCAAGTCCCAGATGACGGCGAGACCGTCGTTTCTTCCTGCTGCAACGAATCTTCCCGAGCTGTCGAAACGCGCTATTGTCGCTAGAGCTTCCAGTGATGTCTGTATTGCAGTGGGATACGGTGAGGAAGAGAATATGTCTAGGTGCCGCGGTTAGTGCGGAGATTGCGACACCCGGGGCGTTACATACTGGTGATTGTTCTGTTCATGATACACCGCTCCTATGCGCAGAAGTGAGGCGGAAGAGATACGGCGAGAGCGAGACAGTGGAGGGAGGAGAACGCAGACGCTGCACCCTCGGTCCTGAGGAACGCGTTAGCGTTCGGGGTGTAAATGCCCACGAATCTTGAACAGGTTTACAAACGAGGCCATTATAAACGCGTTTATTAACGTATATATAAACCGGTTTATAAACGATGATGGGCGCTTCATCAATCTACGCGCGAAAAGTCTCATGAGATGAGCACATCAGCTGTGGTGACGCTCCGCGAGCCCTCAAGGCCTCAGCGCTGGATGACGGTGCCTCTGTACGCAATTTCTGAGTGCCAGGAATCGGCGCATCCGCGTGATGGTCGAGTATCTTGACGTTCACCAGTGTGTCACCCTCCACCCGGCACTCCCGAGCATCGATGGTGCGCGCATTCTGGGACGAAGGCTTCTCGTGTGAGATCAGCGACTGATCAGTCGACAACGCCGGCATTCTCAACTAGTACAACGTCGCTCAGTATCATGTCTTCCGTCTGTTCGAGATCGCAGTGATCAGTGCAAGCGATCTCCGTGCTACAGTGAGCCCCATACCTCGCCGTAGGACTGTGAGGAGGTAGTGAGGTTGTCAATCCACTTCTCGAGAGTTGCATCAGACGTCCGATCGTCCACGAGGAGCACCTTAGTGATGGCACTGGCCACAGCTGTAAGTCCTTGCCTGCGTGCTGTGAACCGGACGGGGCAAGGACCGGACCGACGTCCTCCGGGGGCCAGCACGACCTCGAGATCGCGATTGAGGAGAGAAGCATAGGAGCCGAGGTCTTCAAGGATCTCGAGGTCGCAATTCCAGCTCCGGAAGTCGCAAGTGGGCGTAGCGGAGTCGGCGATAGGAATAGTTGACGAGAGAGCATCTAGGCATATGCGGAGAGTGTTCAGCCGCAGAAGGAGAGTATTCAGCCGCAGAAGGAGAGTGTTGGGGAGTGACACAGAAGGGGGCATCGTAATGCGTGGGGGCAAGCGGAAAGACAAAAACCCGACTCACTTATGAAACCGCATATTCTGGCGTGTCTGACTATCCTGACTCAGATCCAGATGTTCTCAGCGACATCCAAAACCATTCGAGACTGGCTAGTGGTCCAATGCATGGCCGAGCGGACGTTGGACCGAGCGAGCACGCCCCAGACAGGACCATGGGCTGCTCGGGGAACACCTGGTCAGTAGAATTGTTGAGCCAAGTGCATACGAAGTCAAAAAAGCAACACACTACCAGTGAAACAGATCATCGCCGCGGCAGAGTAGCCCGATTTTGGTCCAGTTGTAGCCATTAGTGAGGGTCGAGGGTCGCAAGGGGGGCGATAAAGAGGGCGAGAGCGTAGCGCGACACGTCGCGATGATGGTAGAGCCTGCTGGGCACGAACGGTGGCAAGGAGCAAGGAACGGTCAAGGGAGGATTCTGGACGCCGCGCTCACGTCGCGGGCGCGTCCATGCTGACGTCATCCCATGGGGCGCCTGTACCCAGGTTCCCGTTTACAAACATATAGAAACGGCTGCTCTAAGAGGCCTATCACACACACGTTTTCAAACGTCGTTAACAAACCGTTAATGAAATGTTGTTAAAGTTCTTTTAAATAAACCCCGAACACTAGAACGCGTCTTAAGTTGCCGTTTTGCGCCACAGACGCGTTCTTGTTCTCTGACCTTCTGTTATCTCTCGCAATCATCGGAACATTATGGCCACAAATGACGATGAAGATATCTCTCCCGCCGACCTCCAGGTCCCGGTCCAATTCGCCAACTACGACGACCTGACCGAGGCGGACATGGTCATCAGGTTGGAAGAGTGGAAACAAAAGGCTTGCCATGTTCTGATCGGCCTAAGTGAGCGAGTACGCTTGCAGCAAGACGGCTTGGACTCCTCAGAACACGCCAGAGTGATCTACACGGTTGCTGCGTTTTACGGCGACGGTCCATGGGTTCTAGCTGCGTCTCGAGAAGCAGCTAAAGGTATGTTCTCCCTCCTGAAGGTTGATCGTGCGCACGCTGGAACATGGCCCCTTAGAGATATTGTCGTGCAAGGTGATGTCACCGACACCGGAAACTATAGACCGCGTCCTCTCAGAACACATCAAGCCTGTGTTTCGAGCCAACCCGCATCCATCCCTCAATGTCGAGACTGGTCGCAAGCTTCCCCAAGACGCTGGCGGTCCTATGGGATTCCTCGACTATCTCGAGGGTCAGGTGTGGAAATCATACCCGGCTATCGCAAATGTCATTTCTTGGTGCCTATTGCAGACCGATGTACGTCTGCTAGTCTCGACTTCAGCGCGCCCTTCGTAATCAATACCCCAGCAAGGTGCAATCGACAAGCTGTGGCATCTCTTCATCCCCCCGATAATGACATTCCTCGACGATCATGTTGCCAAGTACAAGTTACAAGGCGTACGGCTCGCTGCTCAGTTGCTAGATGTGGCCCCACCGGATCTCCTGCGGCGTACGGGGATCGATATTCTCCTCCGCAACGTACGTACCACCCGAGGGTTCCAATGTGATATTATGACCACTCACCTTCCCCTCCAGTCCTTCAAGACGGCTCTGACGTTCCTACACAACCCCGAAACTCCACAGTTGATCCGTGCCACAGTGCGAGCGTATCTTAGGCTCACCGCACTCACAACTGCCAACGGATCTGAGGCTCGCTTCGAACATCTAAGTTCTCTTTTGGGCGACAGTATCATGGGGAACGTGTGGGTTCATGCCGCAAGGGATCCTGACTCGTTGCAGGCCTCCGTTGAGGTGCTCCCAGAAATCATTGGCTTCCTGGGGATCGGAACGTCACGGTACCTGAAGGCAAGACACTGTATCCGTTCATGTCATGCTCTTGCTCACGTTTCGGCAGGGCCTTATTCCTCAACTCGTCTACACAATCACCCCGTCCGCCGAGAATGGGGCTCAGGTGATATACAAGCTATCATCCTTGACAGCCCTCGGCGCAGTTATGGACGCATGCGCTCCTCGGATACGTAGATGGAAATCCGTCATATTAGATGGTCTCCTCCGATGTTGGGTCGAGTTGGCGGAGCAAGGCCCGAAGGAGACTGGCGCGTAACCGTTCACATAGCTGTCTGATGTGTACTGACTATCTGCCCATAGACCAGGACTTGATCCTAAGAGCCAAGCTGCAAGACGTTTTTGAGCAATTTGTTACCTGCTTGCGATCATCTAGTCCGGCCGACGATCTCTCTGTAAGCTCACGTGCCTGTGGTTGTCCTCCTTGTTTGACAAAGCTCGTAGGATGATTTTGCCCGACTAACGTCTCTGGACCCCGTGTTGTTCAAACCTCTACTAGAGGCCATCGTATAGGCGTCCCGTAGAGCGATGAACGACATGGAAGGTTAGTCTCCGAAATCTTCACGCTCACAAATTACTGAAGTAACTTGCTGCAAATGTAGGAGTTGTTGCACTCGGCGTCAGACACTATCATACCTACTAGAACGCGCTATAGCCGCTAACACAGGCCCCGCGCGACGTGCACCAGTGTCCTCGAGCCTGTTGAAGGCCTGGCCCCTGTCTGTGTGCTGGTTCGCGGTGCATCGTTTATTGGCTAGTTTCCCATCGCGCGGGCGCGGTCCTCGGTTGGGCGCACACAGAGGCTCACGTGCCGCACCCTTCTTCGAGAAAGGTCACTGACTCCTGAGAGCTCGATGGGATGCACGAAGGGCGGTTGACCGGGATGGTGAGAGACTATGTTATTTCTTGGTGGACTTTTTCCCTCCATCACCGCTAGTGTGTAGGATATGCATGCCACGTCCGATGATGACGATATCAACAGACCGAAGGACAGGACATACTCGCATGGGCCACTATTCGAGAAGAAGAAGACAGGGGATAGGAGGTAGGCACAGAGCCAGACGCCACAGCGCAGCATTCGTTGCCTCTCACCTCGACCGCCATCATGGGCCAGAGGCACCAAGTCTACCTCATCGCTCGTGTACGCCCCCACGGCGCTCCAGCCGGCCACCCTGGCAATCGTCGTTGCATTGCCGGCTTCCACCACCAATGGTGCTATGGCTCCATCCCGCTCGGTGCTACCCGTCGCTTCCTAGATCTCCTTCGCCAGCCCCAGAATGCCGCCATAGTACTCGCCGAAATTCGCAACCTTGACGGCAAGTATGGTTCCAGCGTCGCGATCCCTCCCACGATCCCAGGCGTTCCGTGTCCTTACACCACCGCCCTCCTCGGCGTTGCGTGGACGACCAATCTCGAAGAGGATGCACAAGACGGCTACTATACAAGCAAATCCTCCCTGCCGTTTGACTGTGTGCCCGCTTCAGATAGCTGCTGGGCCACTCGTGAGTAGAATACTCTTTGCTGTCTCGGCGACGAACTAGATAATAAACCATATTGCGAAGGAAATGACGACGGTATCACCATTATTGATGTCACCGATCCCCAAACTCCGGAGTTTTGTCTCATTACGGACTCCACGCTACTCGACGCCCATGCATACATCTGTCGGTACTACGAAGACATCCCCAAACCAACAGAAGACACAATCGATCATGACGGGCCTGGGCCCGGTTCAGGCGAGTGCTCAACACTGCGCAAATCGCGGGCAGATCTGACAAACGTCTACAGGCTCGGATGATATGTTCGACTGGCGTATTCGAAATCGTGTGCGATCTTTGTGCACCATTCCGCTCATTCCATGCAGCCACCTACGAGAGGCATGGCCGCATGTACGCTTCGACGACCCTCCGGCCCGGCAAGTCCAGTCGTCATCCCGTACCGACTCGCATACTTACTCTGCCTGCTTCTCTGATTGCGCGCCAAGCGGTGGAAACCGGATGTCTTGACGACCTCGTTCAACTCAGCCGTTTACCAGAGGGGGCCTTACAGGTCAGGAGCGCCATCGGAGGTTTCATGCACTACCCAGACAATGCGATGGACCTTCTTGAAGAGGTCTTGCGGGAGACGCACAGGAAGCACCGAAGCTTCATCGACTTGTCTGATATCCAGCTCTCTCTCGAGCAGATCCTCCAGGTTCTATCTGGATGGGACGCGGAGGTCAACTGGCTCAACCTCTCTGGCAACACCGTCATCAGCGTAGGCGACATCATTCCAATCTTAGCTGCCGTGCCTCGCATCCGACTACTCCATCTTGTGGGTTGTTCGTCTGTCGAAGATGTTCCGCTCCTCGCTCTCCTTCAAAACTACCCTCCGGAGCTACGCTGTCTCGAGGGTATCATTCATCCAGCTCTACTGAAGATCGAACGGATGCAGCCACCGGATATGAAACCGTTCCCCTCTGCCTTCACCTTCGTCCACTTCCACGAAGGCTACTCGTATTACCTGTCAGATGTGGATAGACGAGTCGAGGCTCACTCGACCTACTCGTCCCTAGCGCTATTCACTCCCGCTCAAATCATCCAATCCATCTCAGACGTACTCCCGTCTCTCACCCATGATGCAAGATCCTCAGAGAAGCACATCGTCACTCCTGAGGCCACGGTATTCTTTGGGTGTGCCGCTCTCCACGGATGCACTCGGGAGCTCGACCAACCTTGGAGGATGCGCACCGTAGCCAGCATACCCTTCACGACATCGGGAGTCCCGCGCGACGCGAACGTGCTCTGGGTTTTCTTCTTCGATCTGAATCGCGGATGGGCATTCCTTCGTCTGACGCCGCGCAGGCGGAGGGACGGGGCGCGGGGCGCAGGGAAGAAGACGTCGATAACACGGCCACCGACCGGGATGGCATCCAGATACCTCTCGCCGTGGTGTACGAGGCCGAGGTCCACCATCTGCAGGGATTCTTGGAATCGATGGCGCAAGAAGGACGGCCTATGCCGACTCAGGCCGTGGTCGAGCGGCTGCAAGGCATGCTCGACGTGAAGGCATCCTCGGAATCAATGGTGCGAGGAGGACGACGCAAGGCCGCGGTCGAGCAGGCACAGGTCTTGCTCGACACGAAAAATGCTGCCCGCGTCTTGTTCCCCTTCCTGCCGAACATTAGCGCCGATGAGCTCGAGAAGTAAACAGATGCAAGTTAGATACAGTGTTATACGAGTAGTCGTAGCAGAGAGCAGAATCAATCGTTAGAGAGTGTAAGCAGCATGAGTGCTGATTACAGCTGTTCCAACATCGATAGGCCGTTTCTCGGGCGGCGAACACAGAGAGTTTTGTTTACATTTGGAGCGGGCCAAACAGACGGAGCGCGCGCGCGTGGCATCCCACCCTGCCTGGCCCGGTCATCGGCGTCTTATAATCAACATTCGCTGTGCGCGTCCGCACTATGTAGACATCTGAGTTGGAAGATGTGCATAGAGGCACACACAGACGAATGAACAAGGTACGCGCGACCGAGAGAGGATACAAGTTGTATGGACAGCGGACGGCTCTTCACGCGCACGCGAGCATCAGAGTACAGACCTTCTGGACTCTGCACAGTGCAACTGTGATACTAGTGAGCTTTCTCGGTGTTTTATATGTGTAAGTATGGTAGTCCAATATTCTCACCCTATCGCTCAGCCTCAGTCAACACGCTCTAAGTAGTGGCTACGGGATCTAGGCAGCGCGGGATGCCACGCGTGCGCGCTCCGTTTGTTTGGCCCGCTCCAAATGTAAACAAAACTCGCTGTGTTCGCCGCCCGAGAAACGGCCTATCGATGTTGGAACAGCTGTAAGGCGGCCCGGTACGTGCCGTGATGTCGAGCCTGCCTCTCGGATCCCCTAGATCCTCCTAGATCCTCCTAGATCTGCTGATGACATGTCTCCCGACGTCTTTGTGGACGCGACTGAGCCGACGCTTGCGCACACTCCCGACACGGGTGATGCAAGGGATGGGGTCGCGCGTCCATCGCTCTCCCACAAGAGGACAAACTTCCCACCCAGGTCGGGATCGAAGAAAGGATCCGCGGTGGATATAAACTCGTCGCTGTATGCGCATCCCGGCCCTTGCCTTGCCTTCCCCCTTCCCCCCTCGCCCGTCATGGAACGGAGACACCAAGCTTTCCTCATCGCTCGCGTACGCCCCCACGGCGCTCCGGCCGGCCACCCTGGCAATCGCCGCTGCATAGCTGCCATCCACCACGAATGGTGCTATGGCTCCCTCCCTCTCACCGCTACCCGCCGCTTCATCGACCTCGTTCGCCAACCCATGAATGCGGCTGCCGTGCTCTCTGAGATCCGCAGCCTGGAAGGCAAGTACGGCCCTTTCGGTAACAGAGAGCCCACAATTCCCGAAATCCCATGCCCATACACGACCTCTCTGTTCGCCACCGCCTGGACGACCAACCTCGAGCCAGATGACAGGGGCCGCACCTATTCCACCGGGTTCATCCCTCTCGAAGCCTACACGGGATGCTGGGATGACGGTGCGTGTCCACCCCTGCGTCGTCCGCATTGCTGTGCACCTGATGCCAATACATATTCCCGCCAAAGAAAACAACGAAGGTATCACTGTCATCGACGTTACCGATCCCAACAATCCAGATCATTGTTTTATGAGGCATGAAGCAGTTCTTGATGCCTATGGGTATCTCGGCTGCTACGCGGACGACGTCACTGACGAGAAGCCCAAGCCCGGCTCAGGTGGGTGTTCGGCATCGTTTCCAAATACCGGGCTCAAGACTAATGGCATCTTGCGATACAGACGTCAATGTATTGCGGGCATTACACAAGGTGCCACTCATCCCATGCGACCATCTGCGGGAGGCATGGCCGCGCGAACGCTTCTCGGACCCTCCTGCCTCGCGAGACCAGGTTGCGGGAAACGTTCCACCGTCTGAGTCCGGTGCTGGTGACTCACACACTCTCGCCGCGCGCAAAGCGGTGGAAACCGGGTGTATCGATGACCTCGTTCAGCTTAGTCGTCTTCCAGACGGGGCTCGGCACGTCAAGGACGCCATCGGCGGGTTTGTTCCCTACCCAGGCAACGCTATGGACCTTCTCGAAGAGGTCTTGCGGGAGACGCACGGGAAGCACCCGAACTTCGTCGACTTGTCTGGCATCCAGCTCTCTCGCGAGCAAATTCTCCGGGTGCTCTCTGACACGGAGGTCAACTGGCTGGATCTCTCTAACAACGCTGTCATCGTCGCAGACGACATCGTCCCAATCCTCGCCGCCGCGCCCCGCACTCGGGTGCTCAACCTCATCGGCTGCTCGTCTGTCGAAGACGCCCCCCTTCTCTCCCTCGTCCGCGACTATCCTCCAGAGCTGAAGACCCTCGAGGGCATTCTCCATCCAGCCCTCCTCGACATCCGGAGGCCGCGGCCGAACGCGAACACGCCACGCCCCTCCGCGTTCACCCTCATCGACGTGTGCACGATGGGAAAACACTGCGCACACGCGTTCTCCTCCCTCGCGCTCTTCACTCCGGCGCAGGTCGTGCAGTTCCTCTCGGACCTGCTCCCGGTGTTCTCGGTCAAAACCGGGGCGCTCGGCAGGATGTTCGCCTTCACGATGGGCCAGGACCACACCGCGCCGGCAGCCATGCAGGGCGGCGCGCGGCGCGGCCCCGACGAGCCCTGGCGCGCGCGCACCGTCGTGAACGTGCCGCTCGAGACGAGCGGGGTACCCCGCGACACGAAGGCGCTCTGGGTGTTCTACTTCCACCCGGGTGCCGGCTGGGCGTTCCTCCGTCTGACGCCGCGTGGGGGCGGCGGTGCCGGAGCGACGAGAAGGAGGGGGTCGACGGCTCGGCGCCCCTCGTCGATGTGTACCAGGCCGAAGTGCACCATCTGAAGGGCTTTTTGGAGTGCATGGCACAGGAAGGACGGCCGCTGCCGACGAGGCCGCGGTCGAGCGGCTGCAGGGCCTGCTTGATGTGAAGGACGGTGACCGCGCTATGTTCCCGTTCCTGCCGAATCTGAGCGTGGACAAGCTCGAGAATCAGAGAGATCGCAGGAACAGGTTCTTTTGGGGATAGAGTAGCGTCTATGTGAGAAGCGTGTACGAGTAGCCGTGGTGTCATGTCCTATCAACCTCGCCAGATTGCATGCAGCTACCAGCCTGGACTGTTGTGCCTGGTCGCATGTGGTTGCAAAATGACACACATGCACGAGTTCTCTTGTGTGTTAAGGCCAGAGTCTTATACTTATACGCAAGCTGACAACCACAACGAAGTAACTACACGGCGTACACGTGCCTAAAGATCGACAAGGAACTATATTAGTGCGCTGTATCCAAGACGGAGCCAGAAGGGAGTGAATAACAGTCGCTACGTTTTCGTTATGACTGAGTCGAAGCAAAATGCGAGCCCTCACTAGGTTTCACTCGCGCTGACTGCCCGAACGCGATTTCGGTATTTTGACTCCGATGCATCTCTTCCAGAGCCTGACAACCAAGGCCTACGGTGACTTCGTCGGTGAAGCGACACGTCATAGCCGGAGAAGCACGTACCGCTACGGCTGCCCTCGTCTTAGGCGTGGCCATCCCCACGTTGACGGCTCCCATGTAGGTGTCGTCGCCCACGACGGGATAGTCTAGCTCGAACGACGACACTCATTGTCCGGGTCTTCTTCGCAACGAGAGGCCAGCGGACGCTAGCAGCCGGGACGGTACGCTGTAAGGAATGCTGTTGAGACAATGTGTTGGTATGCACTCACCAAACGAACGGGCTCCGGCTCCTCGATGATCGTCTCCAGCCCAGACCTGTAGTCCACCGTGTGCTGCGGTAGAAGCAAGACGAATGAGTGAACGTTGAGACACGTTGGACTGCACGACGTACCATTAGCGCGTCATCGCGCTCGTGGCTACGGCGCATTGCGGTGGGGTATGGGTGAAATCTTCCGGCATGCGACGAACGGTAGGACGGGAGGCGGGAAGGGTCCATGGGCCAGGGCATTGTTGAAGGAGCGGGCGATACGGTACGGGCTGAAGGCGTTGTATTGACTAAGAGAAGCGGCGGGTGGACGAAGACCAAAAGAACGAGGGTAGTTGCCAGCAGCGGAGGGTAGAGGGGCGGGGGGCTGAGGCGAAGAGCGAGGGCCGACGGGGGAGTGCCATTATATGAAAAGACCGGGAGAAGAGCTGGACGACAGAGGTGCCGCGGAACAGTTCTGACCCTGAGGGCGCGCAGCTCTCTATGGCTCGCGAAGTGCCGCGAGAGTAAATGGCCGCGCTAGAGGCCGTCATTGTCACCCCACCATCTCGCCTCGCGCGCCCCCTGGATAGCTCGGCTTCTGCAACTGTTGACAGCCTGCCGCGCCCTCTGATTCCCCAACAAGGCGGGCCAGCTCATTCGTCTGTGCAACCAGAAGTCGCCGGTCGTCACCCGTGCCGAAGCGCAATGCATGTCGGACAGGCGAAGACTTCAGGGAGAACGACTCTAGTGGGGGAGGGACGTCTCAGAGGTCTACACCAGGGTCGATCTTGTGTTCAGCTAAATTACACAAGTGAGTAGATTGAGCACAGTATGAAGGGCGAGGCGGGAAATGAAGGAGTCAGGACTGATACTCGTGCACTCTGGACACGCAACGCAGGTAAAATGCTTTCAAAATAGCTTTAGAATCCCCGTGCAGTGGGACCACCGTCTCGCTCCGCAACAAATTGACTTCATTCGTCCCCAAGATCTGCGTGAGCATGCGTTGAACGCCGCCCTCATCCTCTGGGCGATGGGGAGGGCGTTACACCATGCGTGACGAGGTCACAGGCGCCTCTGAACTGAAGCGACAAGCAGCCGCCGAGGTGAGCCAACACTCCAACCACTAGCCACATCACCGGCGGTAGTCTCTGACCATTAGTTGTGCTGGCCTGACTGTCAAGTGAACGCAAAAGGATGCCTCAAGCCCCAAGGATCAAGGCGTGTGTGCCCAAGGAGAGCCCAACGGCCACCTCGTCTAGAGAACAACATTCGTCCACTTTGAAGCGATGGAGCATACACATCGGCTTCGACAGCGCGTGCCCGATTCCAACACGAAGTCGCCAAGTGTGCTTGAAAATGTCTCCAGCAACAGGTGTGAACTCACCGAAAGATCATGAACCGCTTCAAGGTTGTGGCGATTCTACTGCAACGGACAATCCGTTCAGTAAACAGCACATCGCCTGATGTACGTTTTCATCTGTGTATCGGCTGACGAAAGAGGCTTAAGGACCGGCTGAGAGACGTCGCATTTGCTTGGCTACGGCCGATCAGTTGCGCCGTCTTCAGACCGAGCACCTTCACCAGAAACTGTTGAGATGAACCACCCGAGACATGACCGGGACCCTTCGAGCTTCGAAGACGTCGCAGTGCCAGTGCCGCTATTATTGACCTGTTATCGCAGGCAGTACTCTTGTTGAGCGGTGGGCGTGATTGACCGCTACTCCCCGGCTGGGCTCGACGAAGGGCCAGTTTGCGATTGGCGTCCGAGGGGATGAGGCATCGTGCAAGCAAAGTGGCCAGTAAAGGAGCGGCAACGGTGGGGATGGTGGGAGGAATGAACTCGAAGCACAGGACAAAAGCGGCGCGGACTCGGATGCGTCTGTCCAAGTTCAACTCCGCGGCGGCCCGGCTCGATCGCTGAGACCGACCACCAACGGCTCCGTGCAACGACGTAGCTCGTTTCCCACTACCTGGATCGACCATCGGGCTCTCCGTCCTTTCACCCTATTTTGCTTGCATCTCCATGCGACTCGGCTCAATGGGCCTCAAGGCCTCAAAGTCCACCTCCACACTATTCATCTCAGACCAACCACGCGGCTCAGTCGCGGCCTCCCTGATTGTCAAGTTTCTGTCAAAGGTCAACATTTTAACGACTACGTTACAATGCCCTACTCCTCAAGCTTCATGAACGGTGGTTGTCGGTATAGACCGACGACGAGGCTCAATCCCATCCGGACTGGAGCGGCGACCCCGTTCACCACTTGCACCACAGACGCGTTCCTGTCCTTGGCCACTATAACCTGGCTGCTTCTTCCACGCAATCTCTTCCCTTGGCCGCCACACACAAGATCATGACACACTTGACGATTTTCTCTCGACAGTCGGCGGAATTCGCCATGTCATGACCGATGGTGGACCGCCTGGCACAGCGGAGCCAGTAGGGATGGTATGCTATATCTGGCTTGGGAGTTGAAGAGGTCTTAAACCCGGGGACACGCGTCGGAGTGGTTGCTGCGTTCATGGATCAAGCGGCTGAAGGTGTGTTTTCCTTCAAAGGGTGATCGCGCGCACGCTGGAACACGGACTCCCAGGCACCCTCGACTATCTTGACGACTATCTTGGTGCAGACCGACGCAAGTATGCATGCCCTGACTTCTCTGCGCCCTCGCAAGCTCCAGCAGCGCGCTGCCGACAAGGGATATATTCGTCGGGTGGCAGCTTTCCTCGGCTACCACATCACCAAGCTCAAGGCATGCAGGCTTGCGGCTTGACGACTCGACGCGGACATCTCCAGATCTAACCTGGCATATGGGTTGTCAGAATGTACGCATTCGAGGCCTCCAATCCTATACTTTACGATTCTAACGCGATCTGCTAGTACATCCAGAGGGCAACCGCGTCATGGAGTGCTTTCGGGAGTAATTTGCCTCTTGGGGACAGGTATAACATCCTCTCCGTGTCAATTTCGCTCTCTCGCTGACGTTCCATTAGGGCCCTATCCCTCGACTCGGACTCGTGCACACGGTCACATTCCCCGCGATTTCTTCCACACATAACACATTTGAGCGCAATCATGGACGCGCGGGTCCCTTGTATACCCTAATTGGTCTTCAAGACATCGGGTGCGTCGTTACTTACGCACTAGTCTGACGTGTACCAAACTTGTTAAAAGCAGCGTCAAGAGGTTCATCACAACAATTCTAGGGACAAAGGACATCGACCTCTTCCAGCAGGCACGCCTTTTGGGTGAATTTTCCGTCGGGGTGAAGTGCTTCTCTGCGATGGTCAAGGAAGAGAAGTTTGACCACCTTGGTCCTTCTGAAGTTAGCGCCGCTCCTCTGCGCTGGGGTCATCTATGTATTATATAGTCGTCAATTGCATTCGACCGTCTGGCTCTGACTCAAGTGCTCGTCGCTCGATTCAACGTTCAACACTCTAGGGGTACCCGATCTCCGGAGCTGAGATAGAAACCAGTTCCGTGTCTTACGAAGGGGAGACCAAGAAGGGTGCGTGCCCCTCAACGTCGGTGTTCTAACTATTGTCGTTTACTCCCTCGTTCAACTTCCATGTAGTCATCGCTGCCGCAACGAAGCTCAATATTGCCATCAACGTAGTGACTACTCGTTAGTCGCTTGTTGCCAGGTTCTACCTCTTTTCTCAGAGTCTTGATCCTTGTCAGTCCCCTCGGCCATGTCCTGGTAGCATCAAGTCCATCAGTGACGTCCTCAGTACACCGTCTATTCCCTACGATGCTCTCGACGTGGGGGCTCATCTACTGTGCAGCCGTGTTGACAACCTTCGATCGTCTCAGGGAGGAGGTTGGTATCATCCACGAACGCTGCCCAGACGACTATGAACATGACGTCCATGCTACCTATAGAACGTCGAGCACAACTAGATCCTCATCGAAGCCTTGGTGGCCATAGCCGCCAAAGAGGGGTGCACCCCTACGCAGCTGCCTGGGTGGGGTCGCTCGGTGCCAGGATCATCCCGCTCCTCGGATCTTCGTACGTTTCTTTGGGACTTCTGTCTTTTGGGGCAGCTCTTCTCACTGTGTCGCAGGAGGAAAGAGCGTACGCTCGAGAACCTGAGCGCGACCAAGGTGAACATGGCCGTGGGGGACGTTGGGGAGATCCTCGCGAAGCACCCTGTGCGCGGACACAGGTATCTCGGCCAGAGCGTCGATGTACGATTGTGGGGATGAATATGTTATGTTAAGATAATCGGTGTTCCATTGACCCGTACTTCCGATTACATCAGTTCCGTCGTGTAGGTTCCAGATGAGGAGAGTCCAGCTTCCTAGCATCTCGATATCATGCGAAGCCTATTCCTCCTTGCCAAACATACAGATCAGAATATATATCCTAGCAGAGTAGAACACTAAAAATAGGTCAATTTCCTGGTGAATACCTGATGCAGTGACTGTCAAGACTCACCAGCGATCGAGAGTCGAGGACAACACGTGCTACCACAGATTCCGTTCGGATCTCCGCCCTCCAAACGCGCCGGAGGAACGAGCACTCCTTCTGAATCTTCTCAAAACGTTCCAACGCCTGCTTGGCGGTGGGCCGCCGTCGCGGGTTGGGATGGATCATGGAAGCCATCAGCGGCTCGATCATATCCACGTTCCGGTATTTCTGTGAATCGCAGTCAGAGCTTCGCCAGACACGCTCTCTGGGCGATGGCGAGGTCTTACGTAATGCAACCTCGTCCGAATCATGTTCCCTAGAATGAAAACGTCCGCTTTGAAGGGGTCGTACGGAACGTCGTCGGACAGTTCCGGGAGCTCTTGGTCTAGGCCGTCCATCCCAGTCACAAGCCTGTTCTGCTCGTCGGGGGCGAACCGAGTTGAGATGCCGAAGTCCGTGAAGTAATAGGTAGCGCCGACTTGCGACCGTTGTGAGTAAGGCGCGAACCGTGAAACATTATCAGGGAGCGTTATGAGCGTCACAGGGTGGAAGCCTTGCGTATACATGGCAGTGGCATCGAACATGAGGTTCTTGTAGGCGCAATCCCTGTTGGAAGCGTTACTAGGACATTCAGGCTAGTATGAATGAATGCCGACCTGTGAGCAATATTATGAGAATGCAAGAAAACCAGTCCCTGCTCGAGATCTGCTTAGCGAAAGGAGAGGCATCGTCATTGTCCCACTTACTCGCAGAAGTTGGCCGATACAGTCGAGGATGCTGCCGACAGTATCGAAAAGCGGGTCGTTAATGTGTCGGAGATAAGGCATCACCAGGAAAGAGACCGCCGGGTCCTCCTCGTCGACAATGACGTCCAGGATGGGGACACAGTGGTTGTTGGGGTCTTGGCGCAGGGGCTCGGACGACAGATATGTCGCGAGCTTGACTTCCTCCGACTCCGTCTTCACCTTCTTGAATATGACCAAGGCTCTGTCTGAGATGCGGCGAGCATCCATGAGCCCTGGGACCCACACCTGATGATATGTGTTAGTGACTGGCTGAAGCGGGGGCGCGAAGAACTCACATGCCAGGATATATGATCCTCCGCGTCCATGGGACTTATAGAGAGATCATATTTCCACGAGGGGACCCAGTCGGGCTTGAACCGCGGGCGAAGGACATAGCCATAGGATTTAAAGAGTGCGTAGCGGTTGGTCCAGTATAGCTCGAGATCGGTCCGTATCTCAAAGACAGAGTAGTCGACATTAGGATAGCGTGACATACTAAAGCTGCATGATACGGGCGGGGTACTGCCGCTGGGGAGAGTGCACCAGAGGAGGGTTGACGAGGGTGCACGACAGGATGTGCGGAAGCACGAGGCGGGGGAGGAGGCGTGAGAGTAAGCGCGTTGGCGCCCGTGTACGGCATGAATACAAGGCACGAACGACCCGACCGACGGCCGTCAATGCTCCCCAACCTCAAAGTTCTCGTCCGGACGCCTCCTGAGCAATCATTCACCTTTGGCGGTGACGACGGCGCACCTGTTCCCAGCGTGGAACAATAACGGCTTGACAGCCCAACAACAACTGGCGCTCTGGCACGCACCCGATGTCATCCATCCCACAATACCGTCGCTCCAAGTGTACGGCAATGTCACGTAAATACTCTTCGTTCCTGCTGCCTGTCCACGGTCAGTGAATCATACCGTTCCCTTCTCGACTTAGAGTGAATGTGTATCCGTCTAGTTCACCGCCCCGCGCGCTTTCGTCAACACTCGTCAAAGTGGGTGCCATGAGAGACAAGGCACGATGACAGACGTCACCGGGTCTGGGTGCGACGTAAAGCCCTGTTGTCTGGACTGATCGCGAAGGAGCTGTTCGGAACCGTACTCCAAGGATATACATTGCCTGAGAGTCCTCGAGTTCTAATCATGTCCTCATGGCGATTCAGCATCCACGCGAACGGCACGTATATCAATGCGGGCCCAAGCCACGGTTCTCGCCAGTGCAACTCCCTTCCTCCATCCACATACCGGTCCCCTTGCGAGCGAGGGCTACTGGTACTATTCAGGTAACGAGGGGCATACCGCAATTCCCTCGGACTGGTGGGCTAACATAGTATTTGCCTACAGTTACATCCCACATTATTTTTCTTTGACGCTGCAGGTACGGGGGATCATTGCGTTCGTGTGTTTACTCGTCTGACCAGCCCCTATTAAGTGTAAGTTGTATGTGATGTATGCTTGGTGGCTGGTGCCAGTCTGACGGAGTTATAGCGAGACCATGCCGCCTCACTTCCTTCCGAACTCCGGATCCACTGTCGTTTCTGCCCTCTTGCAGTCAAGCCAGGTTGTATCGACTACAACCTCCGCTCTCCTTGCGTCGGGCACTCTGGCATCCCTCGCGGGATCAGCGCCTTCATCGGCCGTTCAAGCTATCGAGACCGACCTCAGCTTGTCGCTTAGCTCCTTCAATCTCGTCAAACTGATGCTCGGGCTGGCTGGGAGCACCACCGTATACTATGCATTGTCGTTCGCCTTTCCCAGACATGCCCCTCCGTCCGAACAGCGCATCAAGAAGCTCGAATCGATCGTCAAGTACTGGCAGAACTGGGTGATTGCCACCGAGGCCGACGCTCAATTGATGGAGGAGATACGGCGCGAGGCTCCGGAACTCACCCGCTTTTTGAAGACGAAGTTCAAGGTGTGCGTCTCCTTTTACGCCTTTACCTAACCCGGTGACCACAATCTCACGATGAGCTTCCAGGATCGAATCAGCAGTTGCACACTTGCGCGTCCAGTACGATAGTACCGGGCCTCTGCATCGGTGTCTCCCTTTCACTCGACTCGCAACCATATGTGGAAGGGCTGATGCGGAAGTCGAAAATGCCCATGCTCAGGCGCTGGTGAGTCTTGATTATACCAGAGATTCCGTCGGTCTCACTCAGTCTGTGTGTAGACCTCTACGGAAAGATACCGCAAGAACAGTACTTTCTCGAACGATCCCGAGGATGTGTTTTTGCCCACTTATGAAACGTGGGTCGCCGCGATGGCGGCAAACCCCCCAGAAGGCTCCGCCGCTGAAGAGGAAGTGGGTACGTGGCCCCGTCGTGCGAGAGCCGCCTGAAAACTTGCTCATCCCGGTAATAGAGGCAGCGATTGCCCAGATCGAACAAGAGGTCGAACAGGCACGCGCAGCGATCAGTCACGTCGCCCAGCCCCTTCCGGAAGCAGGCCCTCAAGCCGAGGGCAACCACCGCCTTCAAGAAGCCGGGGAGGCTGCACTGGGTGAGTGAATCGCCCATTTCTGGTGGCGAGGATGGGCTAATAAATAATCAAATCTTTCGCTGTCGCTGCAAATAGAACAAGCCAAGATGATGTTGCAAGGATTCGACGAAGTCCGCGCTATCGGCAAACCCGGAGGCGAGGTGCCCGTGCCTGTTTAGAACTTTACCTGCCTGGAAATCGTCTCCGAAACCCCTGCTGTCTGTAGAGCACTGTTGTACGAGAACTTGACTGTATCTTTTTTCACCTGGCATGGCACGGCTTCTCAACGCCTATCGAAGTTGCCCCTCTCATGTCCATCATTCAGACCCTTGAGGTATTCTTCATCTGGGCCTCTCGATGTCGGGATGCCGAAACCGAAGACGAAGACGCGCTCCTCCGCGTTGTGTTCATCGCTGAAGCTGGCGAGAACAGATATGATAAACGCACGTCGTCATCCCTGACACTGTTCACTCCCGCGCAAGTCGTGCAGCTCACATACCTACTCCACACACAACGAGTAGGACCGGTGTGGTTTCGGCGTCCCCTCTTGGGGGTCCACCAGTTCTGCAGCCCTACATGAGCGCTGCGCATCAGAGCCTGAGTCGGACTCTTGGAGCACCGTCATACCGTCGCCAACGTGCCGCTCTCGACGAGACGAGTCCCCCGCGGCGCGAAGGTGCCCTGTGCGTTCCTCCGTGTGGAAGAAGACGAGGGTCGACGGCTTGGCGCGCTTCGCTGAGAGGGAGGCCTGCGAGGGAAGTTAAGCTGAAACCATGACAAGGTCCGTTATGTCCGGGCCGCATCGACCCGAACCCATATTTGAGATAGCGACTCTCAACAAACGTTGCAAGGCCGGGAGCGAAAAAAAGACGGTGAATGGTGCTCTCCTGACAACACCTGAGTGACAGCGGGCCAACAGGGCCAGGCTGTACGCCGTTGCGTGGATTGAGACGTGAATGCTCGTATGGCGTAAGTAGGTAGATGATACAGGCCGCGAACGTAGATCGTACAACAACACCCTCCCGATGCCACAAGGTGGCCAAGTCGTCTAGGTAATAATAGTAATGTGCAAAGCGCAAGGTATACATATCTGAGGTCCGAATGTCCGACTGGATTCAAGATTATACGCGCCTCCAGGCTAGACCAGACCAGACCAAACCAGACAGCACGGCGCTCAGCCGACGATCCGCACCACGCACGTCCCGCCGTCCGCGAGCACGCCCAGCGGCCCGACGACGCCCCGCCGGAACACCTCCGGCGCGCTCTCGAAGCCGAAGACCTTGCCCTTGTCCGGCGTGCCCTCGCCGTCGACGCACGGCGGCCGGAGCCACCCCGTCTCCGCCATGCGCACGACGGCGCCGAGCGAGTCCCGCACGTCCTCGCCCTCGAAGTCGACGTCGGCCGCGACGCTGACCCACGCGTAGCCGACGACCCGCTTCTCGCCCTTCGTCGTCGCCCGGCGGGTGAGCACCGCGGCAGTCGGCGGTTTCGGCGGGCTCGGGGCGGAGGTGGAGACGGAGCGGCGCAGGGAGCGGAGGCCGGAGCGGAGGTTGTCCTGCGCAGTCGGGATCGCCCGGTGAGGGGTGTCGCCGACGAGGGTCGTGAACTGCGCGTGCGAGATCGCCGGCTTCGGCTTCGGCTTTGAGGGCTTCGGCGTCTCTTGCGGGTCTGACGGAGGGCCCGAGTCCTGGTTGAGGTCGATCGAGTTATTTCGCGATACAAGGGAGACTGAGGAGCGTGAAGCAGAGGCGTTCCAGTCCATGGTGAGCAGCCGCTGAGAGACCTCCCAGACGGCGACACCGCCCACGGTGTCTATGATCATGTCGAAGGATTTGCCGTCTTCAGCCAGTTGTCGGAGGATCTCGACAGGTTCGCCGACGCAGATATCCTCTACGCCCCAGGCGTGGAGGCGTGACTCCAGCAAAGATCGTTTATTTCGTGCTGGCGGCGCGCCTTCCTTGCCCTTGCCCTTGTCGGACCGCGCCGATGGCCGCACCATATCAAGGGAGACCTTCCGCGCTTGGGGAGGGGGTTCGTCCGCATCGTCTTCCACGGCAGAGTCGGGCACTTGCACGCATATGCGGACGCCTCGTTTGCCTAGCATCTGCACCGCGAGCGCGCCGGCACCGTCGTGTCCGCGTAAAACAAGGGCACGCACTTCCGGCCGCGGTCCATCGCTAGGCGTTCGAGAGCCGTGAGGGGGGGACAGGACGTCGGCGCATGTGCGGATAGCGCGATGTGCGTAAACACCGGCCAAAGGTAGAAGGGCAAGTTCTTCTAGGGTGAGGGGAGGTGGCGCAAGAGGAGAGGATGTGTGTGGAAGAGGCTGGCCGTTGACAGGGAGAGATGAGCTGCGTAGATGTGCGCGTCGTCGTGGAGGGAAAAGTGTGGGTGTGCGCGAGCGAGGTTGAGGTGCTCGGTGCACGCGGTGGCGCTCGACGAGGACGAATTCAGAGAGCGCACCGCACTATAGATAACGTGTCAGTTTCGGACTCTTTCACATGAGGGAGGGAAGGTTGGCGCGATGATGCGAAGATGGCAATGGAATCGCAGCATGAGGCGCACCTTCTTGGGATCCAGAAGCCCGACCACCCACTCATTCCGCTTGCATACCTCATCCCTCACGGCCCATCCGCATTCAATCACCTTCCCCACGAAACTTCGCCCAGGAATGAATCCAGCCTTGCCGCCGCCAATGCCCTTGCCTCCGCCTATGCCACCCGTGCCGCTTAAGCCGGACTTCTCGTGAACAATCAAGGAGTCGAGCGCATCAAGTCCGACCGCGTGGACCTGCACCAGAACGTGTGACTCGGGGACGTAGGACGGTGGTGACATGTGGGCAGTGAAAGCGACGGGGAGCGGGAGGCCGCCTTGGAGGTGGACGGGGGTCGCGCTCTCCCGCTTTTTAGACTTGATGCTGAATGAGAAGGAGCGGCCGAGGGAGAAGGGAAGCTGTTTGCGGGGCTTCGCCGGTGATGATGAGAGAGCGGTCGCAGCAGCACCCGAGACGGTCGCGGCGACACCGCGGATGACCTCGATGGTCGCCATGCTGCTCTGCGCCAGGCCGGCGCGGACGAGATCGACATGGCCCTCTTGGGATGCCTTGCCTTTGGCGTTGGAGTAGCCGGCGTGGGGGAGAACGAGGCCGGTGTAGCCGTTGGCAGAGGTCGTCGGCTGGTCCGGGACGGGGTTGGGGAGGGTGTGGGTGGGGAGATGGGCGCCCGAGCCGGTGGACTTGAACACGGATGACGTCGTCGACAGGGAGCGCCTCTGGCCGCGGGCATACCGCTGCAGTCGGGCGTCGGGCGTGCTCTCCGAGTGCGTCGACTCGGACGGCGTCGGCTCCTCGTCGGGCACCTGCAGCGCGATCGCCTTCCCGAGCGGCGACGTGGGGAGCGAGTGCGGCGGGGTCTCCGGGATGGGCGTCGACGATCGGCTCGCCTCGGTGCTCGTGCTGCATTCCTCGCTCTCGTCCTCCTCCCACAGCGCGGACATGCGCCCCCGCGAGTGCCGCGACCGCTTGCTCCGCCCGTCCCCTTTCCCGGTGCGTCCGGGTCTCCGCGCGGTCGGCGCGTCGTCCACATGCTGTGCGGCCGGAGGTTGGTGGTTGGCGGGCAGTGTCCTCGAGCGTCGGCGGGGAGCCTCGGACGCGGCGGCGGGCATCCTTGGGGGCGCGAGCCACCGCACGTCCTGTGCCCAGTCTTCGTCCGTGTAGGTCATCTTCCTGCCGGACTGCTTCCCGACCGTGCTCCCTGATGAGGAGGAACGCACGGACTCCGAACCGGCAGATAACAGACGTGGACGAGGGCTCGACGCGATCGTGATGGTCTCGATAGCGTCCGCATGCTTGGTGCCGTTTTCTGAGCTTGCGGGGCTGGTCAGACGGGTGGAAGCCGGGTGGGACTGGGCAGAGAAGATGGAAGGGGCGTCGCCTTCCCCGCTTGTTGTCGAAGCGGTGGAAGAGATGGACGACTCCGAGGGCGTGCGCGGCGGCGAGCCGGAGTCGTCGTGCATATGCGACGGGGAGAGCTTGGAGGGGAAGGCGGATTTGGCGTGGAGAGGGAGGAGGGCGGAGGCAAGAGCCTGGGGCTCGAGCATCGCGGCCGACACCCGGGACATGCGGGGAGAAGAGACAAGGGACGAACGGGGGGTGTAGAAGATGTCGGTGCCCGTGTCGTCGTCGTCGTCGCCCTCGCTGCTGTCCTCGGCGTCGCCTTCGTGGCCGCGGCTGGAGGGGTCTCTGCTGGAGCGGGAGAGGCGGGAGGAGGTGTTCAAGGAAGGGACGCGGGAATGGGCGGGATCATCTGGCCCGCTCTTGAGTGATCTCGTCGAAGAGGATGACGCGATGGAGTGGATCAGAGGCCGCTTATGCTAATCCCTCCGGAGAGACGATAAGCCCTGGGTGATTTCAAACTGAATTAGCAGCTGCGGACGCTCACCGTGGACGAGAACCGGGCTCGCTGCGCGTCCGCTGTCGTCTGGCTGGTCACTGGGGAGGAGGGGTGCGAGGCGGAGAGCGGGTGAGATGGAGGGGAGAGGGAGGGAGTGGCGGACGAGTGGGGGGTCTCGGAGTCTGAGTTCGCGGGGGTTTCGCTGTCGATGCCAGAGTCGTCGAACTGGCCTGGGATCACTCGTGCGGATCGGTGTGCTCTGAATATCTCGTCGCGGGTGGAGTGGTAGTCGCGCTGGGAGGGGTGGTGGTAGGTCTGGGAGGGGCGGCCGAGAATGGACTGGAGGAGAGTGGGTTTGGGCATCGGGAGAGATGGCGACAAGAAGCGAAGCGGGCGTATATAAGAGTCGCGCTCGCTGGGAAGAGCGGCGGAGAGCTTATGCCATGCGTTCTCGAGGCCACGAGCGTCGAGCAGAGCACCGAGGCTGCCCCGGCTCCCACCCTCCCTCTAGCCGCCCGCTGCGTCAGAGCCCTCGGCGTCTCCTCAGTCCACCCCGAACAACCTCTGCTCGCTGCCTGCCCTGGGCTGCTCGCCGCTGGCGACTTGGACCGCGTCTTCATCGCGTCCAATGTGATCGAGCCACACTCTGTCCACCTCCGCACCAGTGGTCAGATCGCCCGTTTGATCACCGCCTCGGGCCCACGATCGGGTGGCTCGCGCACACCCGCGTGTGCATACATACATACTCTGCACGCGACGTTTGTTCATGCCGGTGCGCGTACCGTGTTCGTGGCCGCGTCTCGGCGACCACCACAAAAGATTTGACAAAACTAGTGTCCACCCAGGTCTGCCGGCTGAGAGCAGGACGGCGTACGCATGGGCTGCGACGTATGTGTCGCGAGGCGAGCAACGTCGTGCGGGTAACCTCGGTCAAACGTACGAACATGTACCCTTGTCGCAAGCTTAGCCTTCAGTCCGACCCGTGGCCGACACTCCCCCGCCGCTTCAGAGCAAAACGCAGTGATCTCGAGCGTCGCGTGTACATCCGTCCCGAGGCATACTTGCAAACTCTTTCCGTCAGAGTCGACGAACCCCTCACCGCTTCACTCCTCGATGCCCTCCTCCTCCTCCGCGATCATCCGCTCCGCCTCCAGCGCGGCCATGCACCCGCTTCCCGCGCTCGTGATCGCCTGCCGGTACCGCTTGTCCTGCACGTCCCCCGCCGCGAACACGCCCCGGACGCTCGTCTGCGTCGTCCCCGGCACGGTCACGATGTACCCGTCCGGGTCCGTCTGGAGCTGCCCGCGGACGAGCTGCGTCGCGGGCTCGTGCCCGATCGCGTAGAAGAGGCCGCTCACGGCGAGGTCCTTCTCCTCCCCCGTCTGCACGTTCCGCACCCGGAGGTTGTTCAGCAGGTCCCCGTCGCCCTGGCACTCCACCGCGACCGTGTTCCAGAGCACGGTGATCTTCGGGTGGGACATGAGCCGCTTCGCCATGATCTTGGACGCGCGCAGCTCCCCGCGCCGCACGAGCACGTACACGTGCGAGCCGTACTTCGTCAGGTCTGTCGCCCCCGCCGCCCCCATCCTCGCGTCAGCCGCAGACAGAAGGACGCGCGAACAGCGAGGAGCGCACTCACACGTCGCCTCCTCCGCGGCGGAGTCGCCGCCGCCGATGACCGCGAGCGGCCGGTTGCGGAAGATGGGCACCGCGCCGTCGCACACCGCGCAGGCCGAGATCCCGCTCTGCCAGTACGCCTCCTCGCCCCGGAGGTGGAGCCGCTTCGCGGACGCGCCGGTCGCGATGATGAGCGCGTCCGCCGTCTCCGGCTCCGCGTCCTCCTGGTACTCGCGCCAGTACCGGAACGGGCGCGCGGAGAGGTCCACGCGCGAGACCGTCTCGGTGATGATCCGCGTCCCGAACCGGAGCGACTGCGCGCGGAACTTGTCCATGAGCTCGGGCCCGAGGATCCCGGACGGGAATCCGGGGAAGTTCTCGACTGGCGGGGTGGGGAGGGGGTGCGGTCAGACCGCAGCAGCAGCAGGGGGACGCGCGACGCAGAGGATGGGGGAGCGGGAGGGGAGAGGGAAGGCGCGTGTGCTCACCGTCGGTCGTGGTCGTGAGCTGCCCGCCGGCGGCGAAGCCGTTAGCCATGAAGCCCTCGAAGAGGACCGGGTTGAGGTTCGCGCGCGCGAGGTAGATGGCGGCCGTGTGCCCCGCAGGGCCGAGCCTATGATCACCTCCATCGCCCGCTCAGCCGGGCGTGCGGCGGACAGCGAGGGCGGGGGGCGGACGTACCACTTTGGAGTGCATCTTCGTGCTCTGCGGCACGGTCGCGTCCGTGTGGGGCATCTTGGGGGCTGGAGGGGCTGTAGAGTAGTACTTTGCCGAAGCAGCCAGCGGCACTGCTCTGAAGAGAGCGCGGAAGTAGGGGGTGAAGGGCCTCAGCGTGGCAGCGACTTTGAGCGGAACGGTCCTGGGCACGACCTCGAACCGCGCGCTCTCGGTCAGACTGTCCCGGTCACGTGATGCCGTCCGATGACGCCGAGATGCATTGGGTCTCCCGTCGCGGTCAATAGGCGGTATCTGCCATCGTAGACCTCCAGCTTGACACGCAGAGCTCATCCCCACCACTGCCGCCTCCTGCCGCATCCCAGAGACCAATCTTAAACCTTGCGTCATTGGCTGGCATGGCACGCAACACAGGCACAGTACTATGCTTCAAGTGGTAGGTCACAGGGTTTGATGCACTGCAGCAGAACAGGCTCGTCTGAGCCAGGCTCTCCGAGAAGCTCCGGGGCTCAACCAGGCCATGTCCACAGAAAGCGAGACCGCAATGTTTTTTCATCAGTCGCCGTGGCCTAGAGCACACCTGCACAGTCGGGATACAACCTCGCTAAAAGGTAAATGTCGTCATCTGGTCTTCTGGCTCGACAACGCCTCTCTCGAGCTGCTCGGCGTGGGCAGCATCCAGGTACGGCAGGATCCCCTCAAAGGCCGCCCGCGCCTTGTATCTGCGAACATAGTACATAGTATCGCCCTCAGCGTCGCGCGACGGTCACATGCAACGAAACAACTCACTTCACGACGTCCTCCGGCCAGCTCCTCAGCGCACTCGCCATCCTCCCCGGCACGCCCGGCTCCCCCAGCACGTCCTCCACCCGCGTCTGGTGCACCCGGATGAGGAACACGACCGCGCCCGTCCTCGGCAGCCGCCGCAGCGTCTGCCGCTCCGTGCGGAGCATCACCGTCCTCGGGGTGGCCTGCACGGGCTCGCGCTCGGGCCCGTCGCGGAGGACGTGCTGCGCGCGCTCGTACTCGGAGACGTCCTCGCTCCCGTTCATCGTCGCCGCCCACGCGAGCTCGTCGGGGTCGATGGCGAGCAGCGAGCCCGGGGCGGGCGCGGGGACGCGTGCGGCGGGCTCCTGGACGACCTGGAACGAGTAGTTGGTGCGCACGACCGGCTTGTCGACGGGCAGGCGGCGGAAGAACCGCTCCATGCTCGGCTGAAGTCTCTCCTTGACTGTTCCAGAACGCGAGCTCAGATCTCAGAGGTCGCGACGAGGCTTGTCTGCAGAGGCTTACATTGGGGAACGTGACCCGAGGTGTGGATCTCGTCGAGGGGCATGCCGAGCTTGTCCTCGATTCTCCAAGACCCTGGTGCTCATGAGCCTCCTCGACCTGACCAGCAAAACAGCGGAACATCTTACCCGCTATGCACATCGCTCCTGCCTGCAGGTAGTACAGCCCATCTGTTCCTTCTATGAGGATGTCGATGTCTTCTTGAATTCTGTGAGAAATAAACATCTCAACTCAAGAGCTTGCCCAACGCGAGGTGCTTACAGCGATCGCGCGACTCTTAAAGGCTCTTCACAGTCTAGATCGTGTGTACGGCCCAGAGGAATGATGGAAATCTGTTTGATCCTTCCTTCGCCGTACCATCCGTTCTGACTGTCGTCGCCGGACGGCGGATGTCGTGCAACGCTGTACACATCTGGATGCCGACGTGACAGATACTCTGCGAGCTCGTACATCAGTTCCTCGGCTATACAGATGTCAGCTTCGCGCAAACGCATAGCCATCGTTGTGCGCACCTGCTGCTTGCCCGGACCTCACTATCCCTGGCTTCTCGCCGTTCACGCACACGAGACGGTCTCCGCGCGTCCGTATGCGATGCTCAACCACCCGATGAACGTGCGGGAAGCCGCGGTCGAGCTCGATCCACTCGTCCCAGGGCATGTTCCGAATGCCCATCGTGATGCTGCGAAGACGGATCAGCGCGCGCGCCCCCGTCGAACACATGCACACCGGCGACGGCACGCACTGGAACGCGCCCCGTTTGAACGGGCGGTACGGGACGGGCTCGACGGCGTCGAAGCGCGCATTGCTGGGCTCGAGCGCTGGGTAGTCGAACTCGACCGCGCTCCACTCTGCGCAGAACGCGGCCGGTCGGAGTCAGTACTTCAGTCACCGCGCGCCGCAGTGCTCAGCGCTCACCTCCGGGGGCACGCGCCGCGTTTCTGTGCGACGCCACGTCCTTGGACTTCGGGCCGACGGGGCCCGCGCCCTCGCCGCGCCGCGCGCACGCGCGGAGGAGCGCGTAGGCGGATAGCGCGGCGACGGAGCCCGCGAGGACGAGGCGATCCCAGCGTGCGGCGAGGAACGTTTCCGATACTGCAACATCGAGGTTCGTCATGCGATTGAAAAAGGGCGCAGATCCTCTCAAACGGACGTTCCGCCACAGGGGCAACTGCAACCGACGAGAACGGCGACGGTGACCTGGGGGTGGGTGGGGGGGAGAGATTGGGATCGATGTGGCCGGGCGAGCTCTGGGAAAGGAAAGGCCACAGCGTGCGAGCCGCGATGAGCGTCGACGATCCCCGGCCGCGGATCTGCGTGGCGCACGAAGGCGGCCGCACCGCCGCACGTACTTACACGAGGACTCACCGATTCACCGTCCGAGGGTAATCCGGAGTCCGCAGGGGTCGATCGTTGTGCGTTGTCCAGGCTGTGTCCCTGCAGGATTCAGGCTTCAGGCTTCAGGCTTTGCGCAGCGCCGTGGTTCTGGCCTGGTCAACGTTTCAACGCTGGGTGGGGAGGTATAGGGGAGATGGCCGAGAGATTGCGATCGACGGAGGATGAGCCGCGGGTTGAGTTTATTAGGTACTCGTGGATGTCGCATGTCAGGCACGGGACGTACTCTGCAGCGCCATCTAATACCGGCGTTGTGCATGCAGATTTTTCGATTGATCACCCTCGCTGTTCTTGGGGACCGTGAGCACGTGTAGCTTGTGCGTGAGATACGACAGTCGGAAGTGGACCGGAGAGGGACTCACGCTGCTTAAACGCGTGGGCTTGTTCATCGCGCGAAGACCAAGACGCTTGCCCTCTGTGGAATACGCGCGAAGACCACTCAGCCCACCTCGAGGAACGCCGAGCTGCTGGGTGGACGCACCAAGATCCGAGAGCGAGAGACGCTCGCTCTCGGCGCAAGTTCTGGCCCAAACCTTCCCATTTTCAGCGAGCGCCGGTCGGGCCGTCGGACCGCAACGTCATCTGCATATTCGCGCGCCGGTGTCCTCGAACGCGACCTACGTATACGTTTCTCGCGGCCGTCGCGCGTCATACGACCTCTGCCCGTCGCCGAGCACACGAACGGCGACCGCCTGCCCGATCCTGTCTTCACGAGTGCTCTTACCGGTGAGGAGGTGCGCCTGCACGAGCCTCGGACTCGTAGTGCTGTATGCATACTGGCCAACAGGCACGAGCTCGGGTCCCCGCTCTGCGTCTCGTCGCGCGCGCAGGTCGAGGACGAGCTCGACCGCCCGCGGAAGCTCGGTTCGGCTCGGCACGACGGCGACCGGCCGACCCCAAGCTGCGTCCCGCGCGACAGCAGCCCGCCGTCACGACCCACGACATCTGATTAAGTCCGTCTGTTCTTTTTCGTGGCGCGGTCGTCCAACGCCCCCCAAACCGGAGCCCACCGTGGATGCGCGCGGTCGTCAGTCCACCGTCGTCCTAGGCTCGATCATCCATCCGTTTTCGTCGTCCCTCCTCAAACGGCTGGTCGAACTGGTGGGGGTTTTGGCAGGCGCACCATAAAAGGAGAGCACGTGACGTGAGTGCCCTCCCCTCGCTCCACTCCCCCGCCCAAACGGGCTCGTTGGGGCACGCCGCTCCCCCAGGCATAACGGGTCGTGACGACGGCTGCCTCGGGAGGCGTCACGGAGGGCGCGCGACCCATCTCTCGCGCGCGACCAGCTTCGCGCGCGACAAGCCTCGCGCGCGCGACCAGTCCTCCGCGCACGCGTGCGCGCCGCCTCTGCCACGCGTCGACGCCCCCGTGCAGCTCCGAGGCCAAAGTCTGTGGATACGTGTTGTGCATGCATGTTACATCTTGAACGAAATGTGTATTACCAATGGTATACGTTTCCAAAGTGACTATCTAACGAATTTGTGGAAATTGGGGCCGGAATGATAACAGCTGACGAAGTGCGAGACGCAGGCGGGGCCTTTGCGGCTGAGGATACGCGAGGTGTAGACGGGGGAGGCATAACAGCGGAGGCTGCGCGAGGCTTCACTGTCCCTTGAGGACGCCAAATAGACGCCAGATCTCGCACGAACAGCTGGCGCAGAGAGTCGGGATGGGGCAGGTCAGACGCGCCGTTGAGCAGAGGAGGTGGGCGTGATGGGCGGAATATGTGGAGATTATACTCAAGGAAGTTTGAGTGAGCTTGCGCTTGCGAGATTGCGTGCCGGGGAATAGGTTCAGCTTCGACTAGTATCGGAACGTAACGGATCTTGCGCCGAGGTACTGGACGACGTTTTGGCAAAGGCTGAGATACGAGAGACACTTGCGTGGGGGAGGAGCGGAGAGGCAGCGACTGGAGAGGTACCTGCGATGGTGAGGATGGAGCACGGCCTTGTTTGCGAGCACAACCTGGTTGCGGGGCGCGGCCACGTCGCGGAGCGCGGCCACGTCTAGAAGCGCTTGGGGTAGTAGAGGGCTCGGCCTCAGGAAGTCCAATTTTGAGCACTGAACACATGCCGGCGAAGGCAGGAGCAGTCGACAGAGCAGGTCTACCAGTGTTAACGATGGACAACTCCAGGGTATGGTGGTGGTGGTGGTTGAGCGATGAACTGCAAGCTGACGACGTGTCCTGGCGCTCGCCATCTGGCGCTTTCGGCCGCTTCGTCTGACTTCCCCCAGGAGAACTGCTGCGAGCACGCTTAGGCTGTCCGTTGGGATTGGTGCTGGATGAGGCCATCTGCTCGCAAGTCTTTTCCGATGGATTTGAGGTGAGGAACATCTTCTCCAAGAGCGCCATAAGCTCGTTCCCATACAGATCCCAGTTCGGCCATCTGGTCTGAAGAGTCCGGCGCGCTTTGTCCGTGGGTAAGCATCCGTGAGATACCAGTTCTTCGATAAGCTTGTCGCCCAGGATTGCGGTCGAGCCAAGGACTGAGATCGGGGTATCGCGTTGGTGAACCATTGATCGCCATGCTATGAGCTTGCGCTGAGCCGCACGATCAGGTTCAGTTTTCTTCGGCATGCGAGACTGCTTCTCAGCTTTTGGATGAGAGGGACGAGATAGATCAAGTAGTGACGGATCACAGATGTCACAACAGGACACAGTGAGCTCTGACGGAATAGATGTCAGTGTAAGGCGCACATCTGCAGTGACAAGAAACGAAGGAGAGGTACTGACTGCTAGTATCAATGGGGCTCTCGAAAACCCTCCCGCATACCTTGCGCCGACAAGTAACACTCTGTACGAAAACAAGAAGACCCTCATCGTCACTGTCAAGATCGAGGGGTGGCTGCGGGCCGGATGGTATGGCATCATCCTTTGCGGAGCTTCCTCGATTGACACCGTGGTCGTGTGCATATGTCTGTACTAGCCTTGCATCCTTCTTCAGCTTGGGGTTCGGTGTAACAAGATTGACGCTATACCACTTGCGCTCGACTAGCAGGATGGCGACGCCAACTTCACCAGCACCTCTTGCGGTTCGTCCGGCCCTCTGCATCCAGGTGCTAAGCTTCTTGGGCTTCTTCAACTGAACCGTGCGTACGACGCGCGGGTTGTTGCTACCCTGGGCCAGTTGGAGAGCGCATTCAGCATCCGACACGGCAAAGAAGGGCCAAATCCTCTCACCATCCCGGCAGCTTCAGTACAGACCAGAACCCGGATGTTACCATCGCGGAACTGCGGCATTGCCGCGGCGCGGTAGTCCTGAGAGAGTTGTGCATTGAAGGGCCGGACACATTCCAGGTCTTCAATAATCATCGTGGCGACTTGGGTGGCAGTACCAAGAATACTACGCAACCTTTCATTGAGATGATCGACAACCTGGGAGCCTAGCTCAACATCATCGGCGAATATCTGGGTGATGGGAATGTCCGATGCGGAGGCGATTGTGTCGGGAATGATGAAATTGATGTCCTGCAGACTGTTCAGAGGGTACTCTAGAGCGCGTATGATGATCGAGATATTGGGGCGGTCGTTGCCCTCGTTGATCCAGCGAGCTCGATGAGACGATTGACCGAGGTGGAGTGAGGAGTGGATAGCTTTTCTGACACGGGGAGTTATGGTGGCGGAGACAGCAATAATGGGGGTGTTTGCCGGAAGAAAGGGGCGGATCTTGCCTAAAGTACCGTACTCTTTGCGAAAGTCGGCCCCCCAGTGAACGGTGCAGTGCGCTTCATCAATGAAGAGGGACACTATGTTACGAGTGAATCTGCGATTTCGTAAGAAGGTGTCGACGAAGGTCTTCGACTGAAGCATCTCCGGTGAGATAAGTATGATCTGGTGTTCCATATCGAAGATTTCCTGTTGAGCCGTACCATACAGGTTCAGTTATTTTATCACTACGACACTCAGACAACGGGACATGCCTTGATTATCTTAGGATCGTGGCATGCTTTGTTCTCGCCATTGATAGCAATCGCAGAGAGACCATAATCGGTCTTGAATGTGCGTGTCTGGAATGGAGCTGCAGTTAGACCCAGAACAAACAGGATGTGCTAACCCATACCATCTCGTCCTCTAATGTGAGCAATGGACATATCATCAAGGTCGCTCTGCGCTCAAATGACGGCCAGACGTGGGGTCCAGCGGCAATGGCGGTCTTCCCCGCGCCCGTGGGAGCTTGGACAATGATGTCAACGCCTTCGAGCTGTGCCCGGATGGCATTGACCTGGAAATCCTTCGGGTCGTTGGGCCAGCGGAACTTGTTGCGCAACATCTCGCGAAGTAGCTGGATGTCTTCACTCGAGAGAGGGCGACGAGATATGAGGTCTACAAGCGGCCCCTTGGATCGCATATAGCGAGAGCAGGGACCATGCACCATTGTCAGAGGTGTACAACACAGTGTACGAAGGTCGAGCTAGAGGTGATGAGGTATAGATGAGACTTGTGCGAGGTCGCGCGCAGATGGGCGCTTACAGCAAGGCTCACGCGTTCTCCCCTACGACATTGTCCGCTAACCTTCCCCCACAATGTCGTTTGGCAGTGAGTACACATGATGTCATAAATAGAAGCCTGGCTGATCATGATTGAGAACAGTCAGTTCTCTGACAGAGTGGGAACAAGATACACGCACTCAACCGGAAGCACCTTGTCCACTGTCCCACACAGCAGGTAACCAGTCGTCCAACTTCTGGTGCCACAATTAACTCCAGGAACAACGCAGGACATACTGACAATGCACACACCTCAGGCATGGTTTGGAACACGTGTCCCGGCCAACCACCACCACGCATACAGCCACCCCGACACGCCGGCATGAATGACCCATGGCGTGCAACCCCTTTGCCCTCAGTTGATGATGCTCCCAGCCCAGGAATGTCCATTCGGTTCGAGGTACCAATACGAGGACTAATGGTAGTGCAGGCTCTCCCGTCCATGAAGAAGAGTTTGCAACTCCACAGCTACGCCAAGGTGCGAGCATGACTCGGCGGTATAGACGTCTGGAAGACGCTATCGAAGCTCGTGTGCACACTGGACTTCTCGAAGCAGACCAACACATAAAGGATGCAGCTGCGAAGGAGGCGCAGTGTTACATCAACGTTCTCACTATGCTAGAGAAACAGGGTCTTACGTGGGGTGGCTTCATCCAGTGGATCTCCGGTGCAAATGGCCATGGAAAAGCTCGCTGGGATGGTTTCTTCTCTTGCCCAAACGATGTCGTCAATGTCCTGGACCTGTGGGTGAATCAGTCATCCGACATTGGGAGAAGAACGGTAGAAGAATGGGCCTTGGGCGTGGTCGCGCAAGTCGTTGAAGCAGAGGCTAAGGTAACAACGGAGAGCAACTTACTGCAGACCAGAACCCAGCCGTTCACGAACGAGCGCATTCTCTCCTTCGACCTTACAAGTCTCCACAACCGCATCTTCGGCATGTGCCCGGCGATGACCTCCCTCCTCACTCGCTTTGCGGAAACCCCTCGGCAGCACCAGACCGTAACGGCACGGAGTGAGGCTAGTCTGGACAACAACAAGGATGACCCATTAGTGATCCGTAAGAAACGAGTAAGTGCGCACATACCACTGGTCATAATTCCTGGTGCTGAACGTCGTTTACAGCGAATCGGGACAGTTCTCGTTGATCTGTTGGGAGAAAGAAGTCAGAAAAATAGCCTCATCAAGCACATCAACGCACTCTACTTCTATGCCACCGGGACATCGCGCCAGTCCATCTCAGTCGCATCAGCTCTCGGAATATGCAGCAGCTACACCACCATCGTTGGGAGCACAAAGGTACACCGCAGCTTCGACATGCCACCACCTGGCCTGGAAGAAGACGACGATATCACCCTTGCAGAGCTAGTCAACTCCGACGGTGTGGACGATATCGACCTCGACGAAGGCACTGTCCCAGACCAAGACGACACGGAGCCGGAGCCGGACGACGACCTCGTAGAACCGCAAGCACCACCACCATGGCCTGGGTCGACGATGCGCAGACAAATTGGGGAGAATGACTCACAGGAATCCGGTCCGTCAACAAGACCGCATGATACAATGGATATGGAGGACGCGGGCAATGCAATGGACACGGAGACGGCCGTGGATGCCGTGGATGTAGAAGTGGAGCACCAAGGGGAATGTGGCAGTCGGCCAGCAGTGAACCGCGAGAAGAAGGGCAAGCCAAGCAGACGAGGAAGACGTGAGAGGTGAGTAGTTGAGTGGAGGAGTACGGTCAGGAGATGACTCGAACACGCGCTTGCAGGCAGGTGAAGCCTGAGACGCCCGCGTCTCTCTGGCGGGGTGCGGGACTGCTCCGACGAATAGGCTACTCTTGCCGCTTGGCTGCTCGGAAATTGGCTCACACTTCCCTCGCTGGCTATGTCTATGACAACATCAACGTCGCGTTCAAGGTGTCCGAACAGGTTCTGGGGCATCAGGACACTCTTGAGAGCGGCACATGTGCTACCATCTTCTCGCTGTTTGACGCCTCGCCTGCCGACATGAAGACTGAAGATCTTGTTTCCTCAATCAAGACAGCCAGACCTCTGCAGATGGGCGACCTTCGCCTCACAACTGACGACCTGAAGCTCTTCGACAAGTCTATCACTCATGCTATATTACGTGTCATTGTTCACAGCGACCTCGCATTCTCCAAATTCCGTCAACGCGTCAATGCGACCCTTCCCCCGATGACCTCAAAATCCCTCTACACCAGACATCAATACACCCGCTTCCCACCATGAACATCGACGAGTCTAGCGTAACAGGCAATGCGTCGGTTCTAGACTATATTTTCCGCCGCGAGTTGAAGTTCAATTTCGGCGCAGCCAGGTTCCGCGAAGTCGTACGACTGGTCTTTGGCGACCAGCTCTCCCTCGCCCGCATCCGCACTCTCATCATGCACCGCATTGGCCACGACACACTTGCGACATCCCATGCCAATCTTGTTCCCGGCCCTGGCCTGTTCCATTACCAGCTTGCTCTCGTGCACGGTATACTTGAGACTCATTTCGGCGAGCCCAACCCTGAGTCTGGTGGAGAAGGTACCCTCAATCCGGCAAGTATCTCATTCTTCAACAGTGTACTCGGGCGCAAACCCATCTTCCTGTCCTCCCTGCCTCCCTATCGCACTTGTCGTGACCTCATCTTCACATCTCTCACTGCTGCCGTCCTGTCCTGTCTCAAAACACTCACGAACGTCGACGACCTTGAGCAGCTTGCATCAGAACTCACGTTCGAAGAGCTCGAAGCCCATGCATTGGAGATCCACCAACGCTTTGACATCAACACTGTGACCATCCTGCGCGAGGAGCGCAACGCGCAGGTCGAAGATCGCCTCGACGAACACAAGCGCGTACTCGAAGCTGCAGGCAAGAGCGACAAGGACGAACTTGATTCCCCGTTCAATCCCCTCGTCAATCTCAACACAGGAGACATGGTATATGAGAACACTGTCTTATTCCTCCGTGACGCCCTCCTTCTACGCGAGTTCGATGATGCTATCAGGGCTGGATGTTCCGGCCGAATTCTTCGCACTCTCAAAGTTCTCGCATTCGCATATCGAGGGCTTGGCCGCACAAAGTACGCTCATGAGGTGCTGCATCTCGTGCACGGACTCACCACGGTCTGGCCGGAACGTTTACGGTGAGTCACTGCCATGCTTCATTTTACCTTTGGCGCCTCACTCACTTAGTACTTCGCAGCGTGATCGTGCTCAAGAACTGGCTCGTGAACCCAACCAGGATGGAGAACGCATGGGTACCAGTTGATCTGTTGCAGGAGCATATGAATTTGATGATCAAGGTAAGTTTCTCTACGCTTTTTTGTTCCGCTACCCACAATCAAACGGCGCAGAGTATCTACAAAGCCCGTGGCAGCAACATGTCGTGGTCATGGTTCGAGATGATCTCACCATGCATCATCACCCTCCGCCATCTCGCGACGCAAATGAATGCATTCCTTGGAGACAAAACCGGTAACAAACACGCCTCCCCTGAGGCCTCTCGCGACGTTGCCTCGTTGCGGGAGTCTATGGAGACACATCGGATTTTTGTCGTTGAGAAGGGACGGGTGCTTACTGGGATGAAGAAGCCCGTGGTACCCAACGCCGTTGACGTTGGATTCGAAGCAACACCGGGCCCCCTCGAAGATTACAACAAGACGTTCGAACGGTTCCAGGTCCGCCTCCGCCGAGTGCCACTTCTCGACCTCCTCGCTCGCCGCACAGCAACCCCGGCTGCGTCTGCCTCGGAGGCCGTAGTACTACAGGTTCGTGCACCCGCCTTTTTCCTCGTGCGCCGCGCATCCTTACAAGCACACATGGCAGCCTTCGCAAGCAGTCAATGACGGCCTCGAGGACAACTTTGAAGACGGCCCATTGGGAGAATGTGATGCTGAGGGTCTGACTCCCGGTGAGCTCGATAGCGCAGCCGCCTTCGCGCAGGAAGAAGTACCGGATTCATTAGAGGACGCTCTCGAGTACGACTAGTAACTACTTATATACCATTCCCCTTCTCCGTCCGTCTGCGAGTACCCAGTGTGCCGCCTTCGCGGGCGATGCGGGCGATGTGGCAGAGGCGGCGCGCACGCGTGCGCGGAGGACTGGTCGCGCGCGCGAGGCTTGTCGCGCGCGAAGCTGGTCGCGCGCGAGAGATGGGTCGCGCGCCCTCCGTGACGCCTCCCGAGGCAGCCGTCGTCACGACCCGTTATGCCTGGGGGAGCGGCGTGCCCCAACGAGCCCGTTTGGGCGGGGGAGTGGAGCGAGGGGAGGGCACTCACGTCACGTGCTCTCCTTTTATGGTGCGCCTGCCAAAACCCCCACCAGTTCGACCAGCCGTTTGAGGAGGGACGACGAAAACGGATGGATGATCGAGCCTACCGTCGTCCACCACCGGACGCACAGCACGACACAGCACCCCGGCCACAGCGGTTGCGAACCGCACGCGGTGTACGTACGCGCGCGTTCCGCGTTCAGCTGGCTGACCAAGATCTTTCGGTCCACCGTACATGCGCAGGCGCGACGATTGATTCGAAGTCGACGCGCGCGGCGTGCGGACACATGTGGACGCGGCGCCTGCACCGTTCAGCGTGCCACGCGCCCGCCTGGAGGCCCGTGGAGCCCAAACCCGGCCGGTCGCTCCGTGCGCGCGCGAGCCAACTCGAACCCGCCGTCGAGTCTCGACGTCGCACCAACGTGCCGTGCCGTGACACTGGTCGACAATCCGCGGCGAACTCGCACCAGCTGACCGTCCCCGTGCCCTGGCTCCGTGCACGTCTCGCGCCGGATCCTCGCCTGACGTCGACGCGCAGCTCGACGGACGGTCGCCGTGGACGCGCGCGCGCGCGCCAGAACGGCGTGAAACGTCGCGCGATGCCGGGGCGGGTGCGCGAAGGGCGTCGGAACAGGCAAGGCAGGCCCGCAGCGCTCGACGCGCGCACACCCACCGAGAGACACGCCGGCGAGGCCGCTTCGCCGACGCCCCGGGGGGCCCGCCGCTCTGGTTCGTGCCTCGCCGTCCGCGCCCGTGTCGTGCAGATAGCCGGGTGCCACGACAGACTCCGCGGCTGGCCGGAAACCTTGCCATCGACATCGACGCGCGCATTCATTCAGTCGGAGAAGGAGGGCGCGCGGGAAGGCAGGCGGGCAGAATAAGTACACATTATCCGGGTAGGGTTAGCGTTCTATGGATAGCACTGGCACGGAAGGCGTCACCCCGGCTGATGGTAATCAAACGGGAACGCGGACGGAGGCAAAGGCCGCGGCTGGTGGGAGCGACGATGCTGAGAGGGGGGAGTGCGGGGTGAGAGGTGCGGATGGGTTGTACAGACAGGTATAGATGCGATGTGTGACGGCAGTCCAGGTCGTAGTCTGAGCGGAGCAGGGATGGGAGATAGACGACGGAGGGGTGCCGTATGTGGCGAGCATGTATTCTAGACAAAGACAGAGCGACGCCGGGAGGGCCGTGTCTAGATGCGAGTGTGGGTTCGGTGCGGTGCACGGTCTGTATGGCGACAGGAGCGGGCAGTGCGCGGGGAGCAGTCGAAGGAGGAGGGGGAGGAGCTGCGGACCCCTTGCAGGCGTTCGCCCGCGGGGAGACTCCCACTGCGCGCCGGCCAATTCGCTCTTTCCAATTGAGCGAAGCAGCTGGAACGCCCGGAGGACATACGGGGCCTGCCGAAAGAGCCCGCGGCGGCGGCGGCGAAGTGGCCTCCCTACCCCGGACTTCTCGTTCCCCACTCCCCAAGTGGGGCCCCGACGATCCCCTCCCTCCGCGCATGGCGGGGGATGCGACGGGCGAGGCAAGCGCGCCTCTCTGGACGTGCCTTTACATCCCGGTCGTTGGCCGAGTCCAGGCGGAGTATGATACAGTGGTGGTACAGACAGAGAGGGGTCGAGTGGGGGGTGATCGGAGGGGTGACAGCGCTCACAAGCTGTATGTAGTGGCGGTCGCCGTCGCCGCGAACATGTACGGCTGCGCCTCTGGAGGGACGGCCTGGTACGCGTTGCCGAACGGCTGGTACGCGGACTGCATGTGGTGCTTGAGGAAGGGCGAGTGCGAGGCTGGGCGACCTGCCTGGGAGAAGACAGACGCGGGGGAGGGGTGGCTGTGAGTGCCCTGGATGGACGCCAGATAGAACGGGTCCGTCGTGGTGAAGATCGAGGCGTTGGAGATCGAGGGCTCGTGGTGGGCGTGGTCGAGCGGGATCATGGTCACCGACAGGCTCGTTTTGCGTTGGCGGTAAGAGGGCGGGGAGGAGAGCTGGGGGCGGGCGAAGGCGGGCGGGGCCGGGGCCGGGGACGAAGGGGACGCAAGGAGCAGGTCCTCAACCATGCGCTCGTCCTCGTCCATCATCTCGTCCGGATCCTGCTGGTTCTCGTCGATAGAGCACCTCATTTTGGAGCCGGACGCAGAGGTGTGGCGGAGCCAGGCGGCCTGGGCGGGGTCGAGGGAGATGCTCGCGGAGGGCGAGCGGACGGGGGAGTTGAGGGGACCCGCGCGAGAGGAGGTCATGGGCTGGGCGAGGAGGGACTGGGCGAGCTGGGCCTGGGGAAGAGGGGCGGGTGCTTTGTGGTGAGCAGGGGCGCGGTGCGGGGGAGCGGGGGTGGCGGGGCACTCACGCGGAAGGCAGCGAGGTCGTTTGCCTCTTGACCGATGTGGCTCTGGCCGAAGGAGGAGATGAGGTCGTCGACGGAGACGTTCATGGCTGGGGGCGAGGGGGGTGCGGGGGAGAGGGCTGTGGGGAGATAGGGAGGGAAGGGAGCGTTCAAGTACTCGAGCCGATCCCTCGATGCTCGATCACGGCCCGGACCGGTTACCATACGCGGCCGCTCTGGCGCTCGCCCCCTCCGCCGGCTGGGCGTCCCCGGATCCGTCTCCTCCGTCTATGATGCCCTCCCCGAGCGCACGGCCCGTGAGCACACACCTCCGTGATAGATGGGCCCCCGCGTTCCAGGTTGCGAACCGCGCTGGCGCCTCTCTGCCCAGCTCCCCGCCGGCGCACGCTCACCAGACCCACCTCCGCCAGGACGAGGCCTCTTGCGAGCACATGCAGAAGCACATCGACAAGTCTCCGCCGCCTCGGGCGGTCGTGCGCACCCCACCGCGCGGCGCACGTCTGTCGATGGAGATCATTTGCACCTCCGAAGCGTCCTGGGCCCGGGCCGCCCACCCCGCCCCGTCCTTCCCCGTCGACCTTCCACCTCCGACGCGCCCTCGCCCGTGAGTCCAGACCGCGCTGCCAGCACCCTCGACTGGTCAGCCCCCCGCCCCGCGCGCACGTAAAGCGGACGACCCTCGCACGCACGCGCTCCGTGTCCAGCAACGGGTCGCGCACCCCGCGCGTTTCCCCGGACAAAGCCCGGCGTCCCGCATCACCCGCCGCCCGTCTCGGGCTCGGATGACTCTCGGTATGGCTCGCGACGTCCTGTTGTCCCAAACCGAGCGGTGATCAGAAGTCGGTCTCGACTCGACTCGACGTTCCTCGTCGCACGCGGCAGGTGTCTCAACTTAGCACTTACTTGACTCGTCAGTCCGGAGTCCAGACCTCAAGGCCTCATGGCCCCACGGCTCGCCCAACCACGTCCGTCGCCCTCCCCGCCAAGCGTCCTACCGCCATGACTCCTCTTTCCATCTTCGGGACTCGCAGCTCCTGCTGAATCCACGGACGCTCCCCTCTCGAACCTCGCGCTGGCTCTGCGCCCTGGACGCCGCCCCTTTTGGCACCGTGCGCGCGACCCCGGGCGGCTCGTGCGGCGTCCCATGGCTTCCCATCTCGGACCTGTGCCCGCTGTCGCATCCGCACCGCCGCCGTGCGTCGGAGTCCGAGCCGCAGGCTCGCGGCGTCGGCGGAGCTTCGCGGGGGCTCAACGTGTGGGAGACTTGTGGTCTGGCGTTGTGTCTCCGTACGTTGTCCGTATGTTGTCCGTATGTACGGGTGGCGCCGTGGCGGGTCCTCGCCTCGGGTGTCGGGTCTTGTGTTGCGCCTGCTCATCATCCGCACCTGTAAATGGTGCCTACATCTCCGTGTTCACAGACGCAGTTGGCGGAGGCGATCTCCGCTAGGATTTTGTTTGCTGTGAGCTCTTGGCTTGCGTCTCTCTTGTCCAAGCTCACCGACCTGCCGGAATATTCAGCGCTCACTCACAGCACTCGGTAGTGACTGCACACGCAGTAATTACTCTCTGTTAACTAGAGGGCGCCGGCCCGTGATTACAACGAACAATACTGGCACGACCGAGCATGGGGACGTTTGTGTGTGCACTCACCTTGTGGATCTCTCACAACGCGCTCTAGCCATCACGGCATTGGCACACAAGAATGTACAAAACGGACGGCAAGCCAGCAGCGTAGCATACAGGGCAGCATACAGGGCAGTGATCCGACACTCGACCGCACACACAACGTACACGACCAACAGAACGAACGTCCACATGCGAATCAGAAGAACTGCTTGAAGTCGTACGCCTGCTCCCCGTCCGTGCCCGCGGCCTTCTTGGACTTGGAGGAGACCGCGTTCGCGATCTTTTTGGGCGCGACGGGCTTCGCGGCTGCCTTTGTCGGCTTTTTCGTCGGCCTCCGCGCACGGCCGTCCTCGTCCGGCGAGCTCGTCGTCGCCTTCGCCTTCGCGCCCTTCGCCCCGGCCGCCGACCGCGCCTGCTTCGTCCCCTTCGGCTCCGCCGCGAACGCAACCCTCTTCGCGGGCCGCGCGGGGGCCTTCATCGCCACCGCCGCCCGTTTTCGCAAGCCCTTGCGCGGGCGGGGGCTCTCCTCCTCCTCCTCATCGTCTTCATCCATAATCTCGTCCTCTTCGTCCTCGTCCTCTTCGTCTTCCTCGTCCGCGCTCCCCTCTCCGTCCTCGTCCACCCCGACCTCGTCTTCGTCGGCCACCGCGCCCCCGTCCTCCTCGTCGCTCTCGAAGCCCCCGTCCTCCGCGTCCGCGCCGAAGTAGGACGCGTCGAGCACGACCTCGCGCGCGTCCCGCACGCCGCTCCGCAGCTTCACGATCCCCGCGACCTTGCGCAGCTCCTTGCGCGTCGCGAGCCGCGCGAGCACGGACGCGTTCTGCGCGTACGCGGCGGCGAGCGCCGCCTCCGTTTCCGTTTCCGTCTCCGTTCCGGTGTCCGCGTCCGCCCCTGCGGCGCTTGCGGAGGGAGGCGGCGGGGGTGGGGACGTGTACCGTGCGAGCTTGCCGTTGTGCCAGTCGCGGAGGACCATGCGGGCCGCGCTGGCGAGGTCCAGGTCGCCCTTCTGCACATCAACTGTGAGCACCCGGCCGTGGGATCGACGGCGAGAGAGAGAGGATGTCAAGACGGACCTTCTTCATGAACCTGTTCGCGCGGGCGAGGCACGCCAGGAAGGCGTTCGCGTCGCCCTCGGTGAAGATGGGCAGGTTGTAGAGCAGCATGAGGTCCTCGCGCGCCGCGCGGTCCACCAGCTCGGCCACTGTGCCCCGCCGTCAGCAGGAAAAAGCGGACGAGACGCGACGACTCACAGAGCGGATGGGGGTCCTTGACCCGCTCCATGTGCCCCCGGCAGCACGCGAGCATGTCCCGCGCCCGCGCCCGCGCCGCCTCCTCCGCACCCGCGTCCTCGTCCGCGTGCCACGCCCACCCCGGGGTGTCGACGATGCGGGCCTCGCGTCCGCCCTCGAGCGTCACCGAGACCTCCTGCGGGCCCGCGGTGGTCGTGGAGGTGTGCGGGGACGCCCTGGAGAGCGCGTACGTCTCCAGCGCGGTGCCCTTGGCGAGCGCGTTGGCGAACGACGACTTCCCCGCGTTCGTGCCGCCCACGAGCGCGACCACGAGCGGCCGGTCCGCGGGCGCGGCTTTGGCGTGCGCGGACAGGAGCGAGCGGAAGGCGTCGAGGCCCCAGGCGTCGTCGGCGGGCACGCGGGCCTTGCCCTTGCCCTTCCCTTTGGGCTTGCCCAAGGCGGGGGCATCCGCTGCGGCGGGGAGGCAGGCAGAGGCCGCTCTGAAGAGCAGCGTCGGGTGCTCCTTGCGCAGGAAGGCGGCCCAAGCCTCCACGGCCTCTCTAGGGCACGCATCTAGCACCGAGAGCGGACGGGTGAGCCCACCGCTCCAACCGTCCGATGGCGCGCGCACTCACCGACTTTGCTCAGCACGAGGACGAGGTGCTTCCCCGCGGCCTTGACGACCCCCTCCAGGTACTCGCTCCGCGCCGCGGCCGGGTCCCGTGCGTCGAGGACCTCGACGACGACGTCCGCGGCGTCGATCACGGCCTTGAGCGTCGGCAGGTCCCGGTTCACGAGCACCGGCACCTCGTCCTCGTCCTCTTCCTCATCCGCCCCTGCCGGTCCCACGGCAGCGTCCATCCGGGCGCGCGTGGCGAGCACCGCGCGGACGCCGTCGAACGCGGCGCCGGCGTCGCTCTCCGCGTCCGACCCCTCCTCGTCCCCGCCCTCGTCCGCCGCGTCGGTCGCCTGCGCCCCCCGCTTGTCGTCCTTGCGCCGCCGCTTCTCCTCCGCCGCCTGTCCCGCACGCATACACCCGCGTCAGCGCGCCGCTCGCAACGCTAGAGGGGGAAGCGCGAAGGCGACTCACAACACGCCGCTGCTCTGCGACCTCGGCCAGGATCTGGTCCTTGTACGGGAACGCGCTCGGGATGCCCGGGTCCTTCTTGTGCTCTGCGGGTTTGACGAGAGAGTTTCAGTAAACGAGCGCAAGGACTGTGTGTGTGCGCGCGCGCAACCGAGAGAGCGAGAGAGAGAGAGAGACAGAGAGAGAGCGACAAAGAGAGAGCGAGACGCACTGCTCTTCCACTGCGGGTTCTTCTTGGCCTCCCGCGTCTTCTTCCGCCGGCCCTCCTTGACCTTGTGCTTCAGCTTCTCGCGCTGGTTGATGCCCACCCGCCGGCTCGTCTCTGCGGAGTGAGTGTTTCGAAACGGTCAGCGTTCCCGTTTTCTTTTGCCCGCCCCCCTCGAGACGAATGCGTCTGTGCTCACTCTTTCGTATCCGCGGCATGTTGCGAGGGGGTGGTGGAAGGGAGGGGGGCGAGGGAGGGGGGCAAGGACGAGATGGAGCACGCGGGTCCCCTGCCGCCGACTTTTTGCGTCTGCAAGCGCCGAAAATGGAAATTCAGACGCTGGTGGCCGTCAGCTGCCAGAGTAAGAAAGAATAATATTGGCCGACAGCGACGCAGGCAGCCGTTTGGCCTGCGCACTGAGTGCAAGCGCGGTACATGGAGCAACAGAGGTGCTAAGCTGGTTGCCGCATCCAACGGCTATTCAAAACGCGTCGTCGCGCCGCCTGGTGGGTTTGTATCGGTTTCGTCGCTTGGCATGTACTGACAGCTATCGGATGACGGCATAGTGCATTACAATCGCAGCCCTAGCTGGTTCACAACATGGCACGAGAAACGCGAGTGACGATGTATAAAGGGACGACGAGGTAGTAAAACATATATCGATGTATGTGCAGGTGAATAATCATAGTGCTTAATGTACTTCGAGCCGACTTCTCTCTGCAGCCTACATCGTGGATATGGTAGGCTCTGGTACGCATCACCTTCTCTGTCTCGGGGCTGCGCGGCACGGAAGAACATGCATGACTACGGTGCTCCCCCCTCGGGCGGGAACCCACCGCACTACAAGAGATGTACAACATATACGTACTACTTCAACGAGGATGCGGCATAAACGCGCCACAACCAGGGGAGATATGTCCGTGTAGTGCATAACCGCGATGATGGATGAGGAGGGACCATAAAGGAAATCGACACGGCGGAGGGTGACTGACGTGTATGCGCGCAACCTTGCCTGCGCCGACGACAGCAACGCACGCGCCCCGTCCACGGCGTCGCGTGCTTGCCTCTAAGCGACCCAATGGGCGACCAGTCCCTGGTGGGGTGCACGAAGCGGCGAGCGGAATGTTGTCTAGTATCCGTAGCCTCGTCCGCCACCGCCGACCATGGCGACTGCGCTCTTGCCTGGTGGTGGGAGGCTGACGTTAACGCTGATAGGAGGACCACCAGCACCACCGCCAACAGCGTTGACGGTGCCGCCGACGCCGACGCCAACACCGAGCGACATACCATTTCCTGTTCCAGAAACTGGCAGCGGCACGGGTTGACCAACCGACGCAGCACCGACGAGGGCCGATAGGCGTGCAATTTCCTCTCGCGAAGCGACCAGCGCGGACGTCAGCCGCTCGTTCTCGTTCGTGAGGTACTCGACCTTGGCCTGCAGCTGCGAAAGCCACGCCTTCTTGCGCTGGCGACACTTGAGCGCGGCTGAGGGTACGCGTCAGTATAGACGCGACAACTGCCAAGAACAAGACGAAGGTTACCTTGCCGATTCCGCTCAAGGAAGTTCCTCCGCTTCTCCTCTTCCGTCTCAGGCTTCTTGGACTGGTTGGAGCCTCCCTTCTTTGACACTGGTGACGGTGGTGGAAGCTCATCGTCCTCCTCTTCCTCTTCCTCCCCGAGGCTCTCGGACTGGTTGCGCCTCCCACGCCCCGAGTTGGCGTTCGAACGCGTCCGCTTGGAGGAAGCGCCCTTGGCACTCGGGGGCGCCTGGGGGGCGAGCTCGGGACTGTCCTCGAGCATCGCGTCTTCGTACGTGCTCTTGCGCTTTGTGCCGCGCTTGCCGTTGGCGGGGCCGACGGCGTTTCCGTTTGTCTGGGCACTGGCAGCGGCGGCTTTTTCCTGCTCTCGCTTAGTAAGCTCCTGATGGGCCTGTGAAAGGAGGAAGAGGCCGTTGGTCGAGTTAGACGCCGCCTCAGAGGCACTGGTGACGTAGTTGGCGTTCGCATTCTGCTGGCCGTTCTCGCGACCGGCGTAGGCGGCGGTGTGGGACATGGACAGGGGCGAAGGGTTCGTGGGCGAGCTGTTGTGGTGGGGTGGGCCCGGGGGGAGTGCGCCGGTGATGGCAGAGAGGGTATTGGGGGTGATGGTGGCCACATTTGAGAGCGAAGGAGCGGCGTTGGAGTTCATGAGGTTGAGCCAGGCCGCGGTGCCAGGGGAGGGAGGAGGGAAGACGGAGCCGATGATGGGGGTGAGACCTGTTCCAGGCGTGAGGCCGGTGCGGGGAGTGAGGCCGGTGCGGAAGGTGGAGGGATCGAACGCGGTAAGGGTGTCGTTGGGGTTGTTGGACTGAGGGCCAGCGAGCATGGCGGGGGAGAGGGGACCTGACCTGAGGGAGTTGGAGAGGCCCGAGGAGGAGAAGCCCCATGTGTAGGCTGATGGGTCGGCGGGGGAGCCGATCGCGTCTATCGGGGGAAGAGTCGGCTTGCCGTCGTCGCGGTCCTGAGATTTTGAGGTGCGGGAGTCATCATTGCGGGAGGAGGGCTGGGAGGCGGAGGAACGAGTGGTGGACTCGGGGCTTTTCTGCTGGGTGCGGAGGGAGGAGTCGTTGGAGGGGCGGGCAAAGGACTGCTCGAAGGGGTTGGGTTCGAGGTCGAAGGTGCTGCGTTTTGGATTGGGGCGGGGCGATGGGCGGGGGCGTCGGGGTGGTGTGCGCGGGAGGGAGAGGGCGGGGAGGCGTCTGGGGGGATGACGTTGTCGGTGGGCGGGCTGGCGGCGAGGACTGGGTCGGTCATGACGTCCGTATGCAAGAGGGAAGCTGTCCGGGAGAGGATGACGACGAGAGGAGAGGTGCGTGGTGAAGTCACCGGTGGCCCTGGGCCTAATGACGACGCTGACGTCGTTATGTAGAACATCACCCCGAGCCAAACCCTTTTCACCACCCCCCGGCCACCCTCTCCTGGGGGCCCCTCCGAAACAACGTCATGGTGGATAAGGTTGTGCCGCTTCCCAGCCCGCCGCCGCGTCTAGACCCGCCCCCTCGCGCCCCGTCGCCCCCGCCCCCGCCGCCCCGTCGCCCTCGTCGCCGTCGCATCCACCCTCGCCCACTGCCCGTCTGGGTGGGACAGCGAGGGCAGGACGCGGGCGGGCGGGGGCGATGAGGATTTGGCGCATCCAGGCCATCTTCCCACCGGCGGACTCGTGTGATCGAGACGGGCGCCAGGCGCCCTGACAGCGATTTGCCCGCCCGACGAGCTCGGCCTCCGCCCTCCTGTCTGCACCGTCCCCGCCTGCACGAGCGACGAGCTGACGAGGGCGATCGCGCCCGTTCTCCGCCGTCCATCCCGCTGCGAGCTAGCTTCGATGGGGCGCGTCCGTGTCCGGGGCGAGGGGACGGCGGCCCGCCTGCCACGTGACGCTATCGGGCACGGCATTGCTGCCTCGCCATCAGCCATCCAGCTGATCTTCTTCGCCCGCCCCTGTCAGCCTCATATTCCAACTTCCGATGCTGAAAACATAGCCTCGCCTCTTTTGCCTCATACTTGCGCTCTCTGCGCCCTTTACCTCGCCCAAACGCAGTCCTATCTACTCAACGCTCGCCACCCACGTCGGCCTAGCTTTCGCCCTTCGCAGCGCCTTTTGTTCAAGCGAAGCCGTAAACTTCGACACCTCGTTCCTGTTCCTGGTCTTTGACTTACCGCCCCGGCCAAAGTCGTCTCAAACCTTGCTCCGCTTCCCGTCCTCCGTCCCAGCGTGCACGCTGTCGCGCAGTGCGCATTCACGACAGATGTCTTCTCCTCTCGACATATCGCCGCAGCCCCGTGCCGCCCATTCATGGCGTTCTCGGGGATCACGCACGGTTAGCCTCCTCGCAGCAAAACCCTTAATCTCAGCTGCTGATCCCCCGGGTCTCCCCGCGCTCGCGCTCAGTCCTTACTTGTCTGTCCATCCGGTTAAAGTCGCGGCGTCCAAAGAGCCGTGACGCATGGCCCCGTACTCAATGTCCATCCTGTCGGAACGCCCACATCGGACCCTGCAATCAGCGAGCGCATCATTACACGCACGTCCTCCCCGGTCTAGCCTCTCGCACGCAGCCGCGCCTGAGACGCGAAGAACGCGCGAGCAGAACCCGCAACGCAGCACGCTCTGAGAGCCCCGCCGCGAGGCGTGCAATTTGCCCGCACACGTGTCGCGTGTAGATTTCGCGCGTGTAGGGCGGCGCGGGCTGTCGGCCTCTCTAGATCTGGCTCTCGGTGGGAGATGCGCCCTTTGAGCGCGCTGGACGCGGATGGCCACGGGGAGGCACACGTGTGGCGACAGGGACGTTCTGTGTCTTGAGATGGGACACGACCATCAGACCTCAGCCGTCCGCGGTGTCGCGTTGCGCGCCCGGTGATCCCTGTGTGTGGACTTTGACCGCGCGAACGTACGTACGCATAACGGCTCCCGTCGTCGATCGTCTGGGCATGGGGTCCCGGAAGTCTTCTTGGTCTGTTGTCGGCAGCGTCGCCCCCGCTCGCTATTGGCCATGTCCGTTGCGGAGTTCGTGCACACTTCGAGGCGTCGGAGCGCCCGTGCGGGTGCGAGTCAGTAGTATATATGCTTGCGCCTTCCTGGCCGGGCAGCGGACTCGAACAGACTCGAACGTGCCCCTCAGCCTGCTCGCATTCCTTTTACTCGTGCTCGTTTCATTACGTACGAACCGCGATCGTTGTCAGAGATCAGTCCCTCTCATTTGTGTATGTTCCATCGAGCCTCTCCCGGCCTACCCCCCAATAAATCGTCTGGCAAACACATGACGGCAGACCCCTAAAAGCCTGGCTCGAAGTGTGTTCGAACCCGCCCATTATTAGCATTCCACCGTCGGGGGCCGCAAACACTTGTGTTACTGTATATACGAGTGTTTCGCCCGAACGGATGCCCACCGTCCGTGCCCGCGGCCTCCCCATGCGTAACCATGGTCGGAGGGGAAGAAGCAAACCCGAACGTTACACCTAGAACGGAGCGCTCGGGCCGACGGGATGAATTCCAGCTGCCTCGCGCGTCGAGATCCGTGAACGTTTGGGCCCGCGAGCCCGCTGCGATCTGCGGCGGCGCTCCGTCGACGGATTGGGTTCTGCCCACGTCACAGTCCCGTCCCGAGCGCGCGTCCGAGCGACTAGATGAGGCCCGCTGGGCACGCCATGCGCCCACGGCCGTCGAACTCAACACACGGAACTGAGAGCTGTTGACGAGTGTCGGTGTACCACACGCCCCGCCACCCGCGCGTTCGCCTCCGGGGTCGTGTTCACCAGAACGGCGCGCCCCGCTGCCTGACGTCGGTGTTGCGCCGAGGGCGCCAGCGTGACCACTTCGCTGTCTGCAACACTTGCGACCCCGACATCACCGGCTCGGGGCACACTCGCCGGCGACCGCACGCCTTCGAGGCATGCGTGCACTCGGTGGCGACACCAACGCCACGGGCGACCAGCTGGCGTAAGCTACCGTGATCGACGTGCACGGTGCAAGGCATGCATGCCATCGACGTATGTGTCATACATCGTAGCCAGTATTGCAAGCAGTCGGTGGCCCAAGTACCCGTATCGAAACAGCAGATGTCGCCCACGGGTAGACACCACGCGCGGATACTAAACATGACGTTGTCTGTATTCATGGGTTATGGGCTACAACAACCACGAAGGGTACAAGCAAAGCAATCCCGAACCAGATCACGCACGAGCTGGGAGGGGCGGAGTCTTGTTCTTGCAAGCGTTAGGGAACAAGCCTCTGCAGAACCTTGCCTGGTCGGGACAACAGGTGACACAAAGTAGCACATGTTCTGTGCGAAGGTTAGCGAGCATATGGCAATCGTCTTACCAAAGTGAGGACATCAGCAAAGTTGGTCTGCACTTGCGGTCGACGACTGGACGGTGAGCACTTGACACTCTGCTCTTGCATCATTTATTCGTCTTGTACTTGGACACATGTCATGTAGTCGTAGGGGGGTTACAAGATATTGCAGGTGATACGAAAAGCAAACTTGACAGTTGGGTTTTGTGCTATTGAAGGGGGAACGGAGTTCGGAGACAGAAAGAGGAACTTGAGGATACGTAAACTTGCGCAAGAATACCGCCGTGCCCTTTCTGCTTGCCACTTGTCCGCGCCTTGCCATCCACAGCGAGTGACACATTTTGGAGCCATCAAAGCAAAGTAACGATCAACACATGGGACAGTCAACGCACGGTTGCTTCACCAGCGGGAGTCGCTGTTCCCGTTCGTGGCCGCCGGAGCGTCGTAGTCCCGACCCCGGCCGGGGCTGCTGCCACGCGGGGGGCTGCGGGAGTAGCTCCTGCGCCGCCTGTACTCGGGCGAGTATCGCGACCGAGGAGGAGGACTGCGGCGGTCGCGCCAGTCCCTGCTGTCCCTGCCGTAGTGGTCCCGGTCCCGATCGTCCCGGTCGTAACGGCCTCTGTACGGTTCGCGGTCACGGCGATTCCTGTCGTCGTGACGGTCGCGAGGAACATAGTCGCGACTGCCCACCTCAGGCTCGCGGCGACGATGACCCATGTACTCGCCAGGAGTGGGAGCATGAGGACGGTCAGTAACCGAGTAGTCGACACGAATGCGGCGGCCATTCAACTCCTGCAAAAGCCGCTCAGAAGCTGCGCAAGATGAGGACAAGCAGCGGGACTCACCACTCCATTGAGTTCCTTGATGCATCGCGCCGCCTCGTCGACGGTAGACATCGTGATGAATCCGAACCCACGGGAGCGGTCGGACTATGACCGTATGAGCACAAGGGCTGGCGGGAGGGCAAAGCGAAACTCACCCTCTGGTCATACACAATGACAACCTTCTCGACGCGTCCAAAGCGGCTAAACTCGTCATCCAAATCCCTCTCGGTCGAACGGATGCTAAGTCCAAAGACACCGAGCACGTTAGAAGGGTTAGGCGCCTGCTTTGCCAAATTAGTCCGTACACGCCTCGAACATGCGGACAAGACATACAATTGGCGCTTGCGCTGGACGACGGGGAGGGGGCGACCTCCGGTAGCTTGAGGACCTCACTGGGCTACGCGAGCGCGACCGGCCGCGGGGAGGAGGCTGGTCAGGTCGCGAGACTCTGAGGGAGGTGCGGCGGACGCAGGAGGCGGATCATTGTTGTAGGCCTCGTTGTAAGGGTCTGCAGGGATGGCGGAGTCGGCGTACTGGGTTTTCCGAGGGAGAACAGACGTTGGGGTGAGTACACAACACCTGGAAAGGGAACAGAGAGGGATATGGGGGCGACGTGGCATACTCACCATGATGGTTGGAGTTGGCAGGAGTTTGCGCGTGTTTGGCGCACGCCCGCCGCCCGTTTCAGAGTCCGCGATGGGCGCCAAACATTATGTAATGTGCGGCTTTATTGGTGCCGATCGAGAACGCCCAGGCGCACTACATGCACCCTGAAGTTGTCTCGCATCCTCTTGACTGGGTTAGGAATCCATATGCGGCTGTGCTTCTAGCAGGCATGATTGAATGACATTCTCTCCCTCCTCCTACCGATTCTCATACATCTTGCGTATGTCGAAGCGACACCACTGCCCTCAACCAAACTTCCTTGCGTTCGCCTTTTCTAATTGTTCTCGAGTCTGTCGAGGCTCAAATCCGACAGGAACGGGAACATCGCATGACCACCCTCGTCCTTCACGTCGAGAAGGCCTTCCAGCCGGTCGACCGCGGCCGCAGTAGGCAGAGGTCGTCCTTCCTGCGCCATGCACTCCAAGAACCCCTTCAGATGGTAAGCCTCGCCCTGGTACGCATCGGCGATGCGTGGCACGCTTTCGCCGTCGCCGTCTTCTCTCGCCGTCAGACGGAGGAACGCCCATCCTTGGACCGGGTGAAGGTAGAACACCCAGAGCACCTTCGCGTCGCGGGGACCCATCTCGTCGAGAGCGGCACATTGGCGACGGTGCGCGTGCCCCAGGGGTCGTCGAGCCCCCGCGCGCAGCCTTGCAGGGCTGCAGGTTCGGTGATCCCCCGAATGGGGTAGTTGGGACGGTACGAGTCCTTCTTGTCGAGTCCGTACATCGGGAGCAAGTCTGTGAGGGATTGTACGACTTGCGCGGGAGTAAAGAGCGCCAGAGATGAAAAGGAGGGTTCGGAGTCCCACTTGTGCTTGCCGACATCGACGATGGTGAGCGCGGAGGGGCGCGTCTTCATCCCCGGTTCCGAAATGTTGTCGTCGAGGAGAGCCGGATGGAGGATGCCCTCGAGAGTCTTCAGCTCTGGAGGATAGTCGCGGACGAGGGAGAGAAGAGGGGCGTCTTCGACAGACGAGCAGCCGATGAGGTTGAGCACCCGAGTACGGGGCGCGGCGGCGAGGATTGTGACGATGTCGTCTACGACGGTGGAAGCGTTGTTGGAGACATCCAGCCAGTTGACCTCCGCGTCCCATCCAGAGAGCACCCGGAGAATTTGCTCGCGAGAAAGCTGGATGCCAGACAAGTCGACGAAGTTCGGGTGCTTCCTGTGCGTCTCCCGCAAGACCTCTTCGAGAAGGTCCATGGCGTTGTCTGGATAGGGAATAAACCCGCCGATAGCGTCCTTTACATGCTGAGCCCCGTCTGGAAGGCGACTAAGTTGAACGAGGTCGTCGATACACCCGGTTTCCACCGCTTTGCGCGCGGTGAGAGTGTGTGAGTCACTAGCACCGGACTCAGACGGTGGAACGTTTCCCGCAACGCCCTGGTCTCGCGAGGCAGGAGGGTCCGAGAAGCGCTCATAAGGCCATGCCTCTTGTAGGCGGCTGGATGGAATGAGCGGAACATTACGCAAAGGCCGCATGCAATTCCGAAGGTATTGGAGATGGGCATCTGTGAGATACCATTGTTTGAGCTCACTGCACAGAACTCGCAAACGGCTGAGCACTTACTTGAGCTGGGCTCCTCGCCAATGTCGTCCGTGGATCCAAGGACATCTTCATAGTATTGTACAAGATATCCGGGGGCATCCAGTACAGGCCCGTCGGCCACCATGAAACAATACTTCGGATTATAGGGATCGGTAACATCAATGATGGTGATACCGTCATTGTTGTCTTCGACAGCATTAGCGTTGTCCGGACGAGACAAGGGCAGACACTCACCGCCATCCCAGCAGCCCATGGGGGCGTCGAGATAACAGAATCCACTGGAATAGTATTCGCCTTGTTCACCCGTCTCGAGATTGGTCGACCAGGCGGTGGCGAACAGAGAGGTCGTGTATGGGCATGGGATATCGGGGATTGTGGGCTCTCTGTTACCGAAAGCACCGTACTTGCCGTCCAGGTTGCGGACCTCGGAGAGCAGAGCGGCCGCGTTCAGAGGTTGGCGAATGAGGTCGATGAAGCGGCGGGTAGCGTTGAGGGGGAGGGAACCATAGCACCATTGGTGGTGGATGGCAGCTATGCAGCGGCGGTTGCCAGGGTGGCCGGCTGGAGCACCGTGGGGGCGTACACGAGCGATGAGGAAAGCTTGGTGTCTCTGTCCCATGGCGGGCGAGGATGGCAAGGGGGACGAGGGGGGTAAGGGCCGGGATGCGCATACAGCGACTCGACTTTATACAATCCACCCCGGATCCTTTCTTCGATCCCGAGCAGTGGCCTGGGTGAGTTTGTCCTATTGTGGAAGAGGACGACGAGTCACAAATGCGCGCACTATCGTCCATCTCGGGAGTGTGCGGAAGCGTCGGCCCAGCCGCACCCACGAAGTCACAAAGGAGGAAGATGAAGTCATGTTCGCTGCCCATTTAGGGACGTTCGACATCACGGCACATACCGGGCCGCCGGGCCCACAATCGTGCCCAGGCTCCTAGGTGCTGCCGACACACCCCTGATTACAACGTCCTATGAGGCCTTGAGGGATGCGCTGCGTGCAGCGATTCGATCTTGGCCTTACATCCATTTCCGAGCTCTTGGGCCCATGGTGCCAGTATTCGGGCGCAAGTCATTTTCTCCTAATGCGACAGAGCATGATGAATACTAGCCTTCCGCCCTGAACATTCTTGTACACACCTCTGAGGGCCCGGGCCTGTTGGTCGAGAGTACACATAGACACAAAGGAGGAAAACGAAAAATTCATCGGCGGGTCCAAATACCCCATGTCTGACGCCGCATGTCAGGCCGTCCTCAGCGTCGCGCGCCCCCTCGATCCTTCTCACCGGGGTACGGAGTCGCAGGTGATGCTGTGCCTTATTTCCACTCTGCTGAGGTCAGACGAAGACATAACGATGTTATCGTTTGGAGATCTCACGTCAAATTTCATCGAGAATTGTTCACGGCGCATTCTTTTTATTTCCTCAGTCCTATGCGCTCCCGACAGAGCCGAGCGCGATTCATCCCCACAACCGCACATCGACGCTCTCGCCGAAATACCTGTGACCACGGACGGGGTGCTTCTCGAGGATACTCGCAATCTCAGCCATGTCCTCCGTGGTCATGTCCACCTTGGTCGCGCCCAGGTTCTCGAGCGTGCGCTCTTTCCTCCTGCAACGAACACACACGTTGAGCGCGACCGTATTGGGAAGGACAGAAGTCCCGAAGGAGACGTACGAGGATCCAGGGAGCGGGATGATCTTGTCGCCAAGCGAACCCACCCAGGCGATGCTGAGCTGGGCAGGCGTACACCCCTTCTTGCCAGCCATGGCCACCAAGGCTGCAACGAGAATCTGGTTGTGCTCAAAGTTCTGACGATGGAGCGTCAACCGCCGCCTAGACCGCCAAACTCATGGATGATACGAACCTCCCCCTTGAAGCGGTCGAGTCTAAGAAATCCGCCTATGCAGTAAATCAGTGTCGACGCCGGGTGATCATACAGAAAGGTTGGCGCACTGTTAAGGTCTTCGACGGTTTTGATGTTGCCAGTTGTGAGGCCATGGCCGAGGGGACTAATCAGGGACAGACGGTGAGAAACAGGAGCGCAACCTGGGAGGCATGTCGACTAACGAGTATGCGTTGATGGCGATGTCGAGCTCCGCTGCTACAGCGATGACTACAATGGGGTAAACGATAAAAACTTGATCTGGATTGGAATGCACATACCCTTTTTCGTCTCTTCTTCGTAAGACATGGGACTGATCTCGATCTCGGCCACGGAAATCGGGTACACCTGAGTTGAGCAAAAGGCTATGGTGTCAAGGCCTGGCGATGAAGTGAAGAAAACCGATGACATACCGCATGACCACGTCGCAGAGAAGCCGCGCCCACTTCGGAAAACCCCAGGTGATCGAATTTCCCTTCCTTGATCATCGCAGAGAGGTACCTCACGTGGTCCTCCACGGTGAACTCACGCATGAGGCGTGCCGGCTGAAAAAGGTCGATCTTCTTCGTCCCGCGAAGTGCGGTGATAGATCGCTCGACACTAGTCTTAAAGATTGTCTCTCTGCGCAGGCGTCGGGAATCCGATGATGTAAAACTTATGAGACACGCACAAGGTATGAGTCCCTTCCGACATCATCGAGAAGCCCCCCTTTGACGCAATGGTCAGCTGCATGTCCTTCGTATGCGCAGGAGATGTGACCGACCTTTACGGACAGGAATGTCCGATCCGCATATTCCGGGTACTTGTCATAAAAGCGGGCCAAAAGCTCCAGGTTGCCTATACCGTGACCCTCTCCATAAAAATCAGCTGTGGGGCGGCATAGGGTTAACGTAAGATGCACAGTGAGTGCGAGGGAATACTCGCCGCTATTCAGCATCATCTTCACGCCCGGAGGGAGTGAGTCGACACCACTCTTGATTGATTCAAAGGCTTGTTCATCCGGAACGTTCCCCCTCATACTGCATGTGTACATGTCAGAAAAGTGTCATCCATGCCTATATTGGTGTACATACGTCATGGTCATCAGTCCATGCTAGTGCATGTAAGTGTTCAGCAGAGAACGATAGGTATGGCGTGGTTCCACGTACTGCAACTTTAGCCACCACGACGTCAGCCGCCGTCCCGCCGAGTTTCGTGGTCTGGATCATGGTAGAGTTCCGCGCGGGTAGTTAGGCCGCCTTCGGGGACAGTACGGATGCTTTATACATGTGGGAAGAGACCTCGAGCCAGCAGGAGGATTCGAAATCGACCCACTGGGACCTCCGCCAGAGCGAGGGAAATGACTCAGCGCGGGGTCGGTGAGGGTCGGCGCAGCCTTCGCGTTGCACGCTGGACCCTTGATCACAGTCCGCCGTGTGGGTCTGCATCGGCTGCGTCTGCGATAGGCAGTACTAACACTGTGCGCCCCACCGCTGGTGAAAGTCACCCGTCACGTCACCCAGCCGTTCTGGGTGGCATTCACCTCGTGCCATGGTAGGAACCCCGAGGTTCGCATCTTTGGCGCTGGTTGGAAGGCGCCAGGTTCCCGGGTGAACGGAGTTGGTGATTGTGAGCTAGATGCTGCTCTGAATCACCATGGTATCATTTTCCGAGACATGGTGAATCCACCCATATGTGGTGTAGATAATGACAACGCATTTTTAACTCGTGAAGAGGGTGAAAATCTCGTCAGGGAAATGTCACTAGGATGCTTCACCATTGTGCTTACTACCACAATTACTAGTGCCTGATGGAGTTTAGTCTCGTGGATCAGCAATAGCGCACCGCAGATGAGACGGATATGCCAGAGTATCGTACGTGTACAGTACTAGCTGGTGATTTGAATGGCATAAGTCGGTCACCCAAAACTTGGTTGTGAGCTGAGTGTCGTTAGAACTAGTGGATCGCAATAATCACCGCAGTTCGAGTGACTTGCAACATTTCGGAATAGGCTGCTTATGTAAGAAGACCGCGCGCTCCACCCATCGTGAATAAGCCCAAGAAAGATGGTGATTCCTTGGATCTCAATTTTCACCTGTCACTTCACCCACCACCCACTTACTCCCCAGTTCGACGGTGATCCGTGGTAATCACCCGACATCTTCGACCGTACCACTCGTTTGTGGGCGCACAGTGTAAGCCATGGCATTTGCGACGGATGGGATGCCTTCTACACCAGATAGAGAAGGATTTGCACGAAACCGCACGCGGACGGTCTAATGCGCATGGTCCCAGAATCGAAGACCTCCTTACGCGGCAGTATCTTTGAGGGCCGTGTTCTAGAGCGCGCGATCACCTTCAACGAAGGAACACACCTTCAGCCAGAAGTTGAACCCATAGTCTGCGATTTTTCAGACTGCAGATTGTCTTATTGCCAGAAGACTTGCGCCTCCAGGATCGGAGGCTGGTAATGTAAGGCGTATCGTTTGGATGTGTGGTTGTGGCTCATGGTATGTCGAAGGCGATGGGAAGACAAAAGGATCAAAGCAGTAGTCAGAGAAGTTGCGTCGGCAGGCGCTTGCTGGCGCCCACGTGCACCGGCCGCCGTGGTCCATGATGGTCGCAGGTTGTAAGTATCGTCAATTCCTCAGCGATCATCTCCTGCCATAATCTACCTCACCCAATCTTCTCACATTGATGGCACACGCACGCCGTTGTTGATTCCACCCAACTGATCAGCGTTTCAACAGCGACAACTCGTACACCTCATTGCTAACTCGATGATACACGCTAATTTTGAGGTTGGTACCATTCTGCGCTCACGTATCTATTACCACTCGAGATCGTCGAGGCTAAAGTTCGGCAAGAAAGGGAACAAAACGCGGGGGTTGGCAACGTCCTTCACGTCAAAGTAATCGCCTTGCTCGTCTGGCAGGAGGTTGGTCATCCACGCGACGCCGAGTGGAGAGCTAGTGTAAGGGCACGGTATGTGTGGAATCTTGGGCGACAGGCTTAGGCGGCGGGCATACTGGCCATCTAGGCTGCAGACCTCAGCGAGCACGATTGCCACATTCTATGAAGCGGCGCGGGCAGTAATAGGGAAGGAGCTGTAGCAAAATTGGTCGCGTAAGGCGGCGATGCAACGACGATTGCCAGGGTGGCCTGCTGGCCTGTCATGATACTTTACACGGACGATGAGAAAGGCTTGGTGTTTTTGTCCCATAAGGGGCAAGGGGGACGAGGGATGGGTCAGTCGGCGTCACGGAAGGAGGAGGAGGGATCGTCGGTCCGCTCAGCCGCCGCGTCCGAGCGAGAGACGCTCATGCTTGTCCGCTCGCTGCCACCGTCTCACTCGCTTCTGGCACGGGCTGCCCTCGTCCCACCACGCCTGCGACACTCTCCCCACCCGCTCGCGAGTCATGCGCGCACACATGCCACCGCCGTCTCCGTCAACGGCTTTTCCCAGCTCAAACCCACCCGTTATGGCCAGCCACTCCCCAAGTCCCATCCGCACCTCATACGCGACCATGAAACCACGCCGGGGATCAAGCAATCAGAGTACGATAGGAGACGGAGGGAGCTGATGAAGGGACTGCCGGACGGGAGTGTCGTCGTGTGCGTGGCGGGCCAGGTGAAGTACATGAGTGGACGTGAGTGGGCTTGCCTCCTCCCGTCCGACACACGAGCTCACATACGACTTGCTCTGTGCCCCAGAGATCTTGTGAGTGTCATTCAATGACCACCTTCGTCTGTATGCTGAAGCTCCCCGCGTTCAGCTACAAGTTCCGCCAGTCGTCCGACTTCTGGTACCTCACCGGCTTCGACGAACCCGACGCCGCGCTTGTGCTCGAGAAGCGGCCGTCCAGCCCGCGCGGGTACTACATGTACATCTTCTCCACCGGTACGGACCCTATGAAGGAGAAGTGGGACGGGGCGAAGACTGCGCCCGACGACGTGATCAAGTTCTTCGGCGCGGACGAGGCGGAGCCCATCGCCGCGCTGCCCTGTGTGCTGAAGAGTGTCACCGCGATCGCGTCGGCCGTGTACATCGACGTGCCGAACCATTCCAAGAGGTCGCGCGCGGTGTCGCCAAAAACGTTGCTGAAGGTAAGCTTGCTCAGTCAGGTGTGTGCGGAGGGTGTGGACGTTGATCGGGTGCACCTGGGCAGTACCTTACCCCGGGCAGCATGTCGCGCACGGAGTACGACTCCATCCTGGACTCGTTGAGCGCGTCGAAACGTAAACCACTTGCACCTGAGATTGGCCGTCTGCGCGCGGTGAAGAGCGAGGCTGAGCAGGCGGTTATGCGGCAGGCGGCGGACATAAGCGCGAACGCGCACAACAAAGTGAGTGGCCGTCGTGTTTGCTGCTTCAGAAAGTGTAACGACAGTACCCGCAGACCATGAGGTTCACCGAGCCTGGTATTTCCGAACATGCCGTCGCCGCGCACTTCGAGTACCTCTGCGCCCGAGAAGGGTCGCAACGTCCCGCATACGTCCCCGTTGTAGCATCTGGGTATGTGGCCGATGCGTGTATGCCCCCATGCCATTCTACTCACCGTTATCTGCAGCCCCAACGCACTCATTATACACTACACATCAAATAATCAACTAATCGCGGACCACGAGATGGTCCTAATCGACGCAGGCTGCGAATACAACGGATACGCCTCAGACATCAGTACGTCCTCTCGCACCTTACCCGCGGACGCGCCCTCATGTCTATGCACCCCAGCTCGTACCTTCCCCGCCAACGGAAAATTCACCCCCGAGCAAGCCGCCCTATACACCGCCGTGCTCGAGGTCCAGAAGCACCTCATCACGCTCTGCACGGAGGAGGCCGACATGTCCATCATGCACCTCCACCGCGAGTCGTCGAGCAAGCTCCGCCGGGAGCTCGACCGGATAGGTTTTAACTTCCCGCTGGGCTCAGGCTCCTTGGACACGCTGTACCCCCATCTGGTGGGGCACCCGGTTGGGATTGGTGCGATGTGCTTTTCCCTAGTGTCCCGTCGTCGCTCGCTGACGTGACTCTCTGCAGACCTACACGAGTCTAGTCTGACGAACACTAACGCACCGGTGAAGGCGGGCATGGTCATCACCATTGAACCGGGTGAGCGGACTGCCTGCGATCTGTCTGGCTAGCGTTCATGGCGTTCCGTAGGCGTCTATGTGCCTCCTTTACCGGAGTTCCCCAAGCACTTCCACAACATCGGCATCCGGATAGAGGATGAGGTGGTGGTTGGCAAGAAACGCCCGGTGGTCCTAAGTGTCAACGCTCCTAAGGAGGTGAGGCTGATATGTGCGTTGTTGTGCGCTTGTGCTCACACGCCGTCTGCAGATTGCGGATATCGAAGGGTCTTGCCAGGGTGCACTAGGCCTTATGCCTTTCTGATGCTGCTGTTTTGTTCACTTGCTGCAATCATGCACACCGCTCTGAAGTGACGGTCGAGAACTTACGCTCGATGGATAATATCCGAAAGTATTGTGTGATGCAATGTACAGTGTGTCATCAAGCCTTCCTATGGTACGAAACAGATCCAGCCCTCTCTCATGAGTACTGCTTCTGGATGAACTTGGCGATAGTCTGCAGCTGTATGTTCGACGTCCCCTCGTAGATAGCGCCCTGCGAAAGACGGCACGAGGGTGAGAGCGGGAGAAGCGCGAGGTGGAGAACCAACGCACGATCTTCGAGTCACGCCAATACTTCTCGATCCCCGTCTCGCGCGTGAAGCCGACGCCCCCAGCCCACTCGATGGCCGCGCCAGAGACCTTCTGCGCGACCTGGCTCGCGGCGTACTTGGCGATCGCGGCCTCGCGCGCGAACTCGCGGCCCTCCTCCTTGCGGCGCGCGGCGTTGTAGGTGAGCATCCGCGCGGCCTCGAGCTGGACCGCGGCCTCGGCCTGCTGGAAGGCGAGCCCCTGGAAGCTGGCGACCGGCCGGCCGAACTGCGAGCGCTGGAAGGTGTAGGGCACCGCCTTGTCGAACGCGCCTTGGGCGAGGCCGAGCATCTGGGCGGCGATGCCGATGCGGCCCTCGTTGAGGATCTCGATGGCGATCTTGTAGCCCTTGCCCTCGCCGCCGAGGACGTTCGCGGCGGGGACGCGGAGGTCGTCGAAGGCGAGGGAGCAGGTGGAGGAGGCGCGGATGCCGAGCTTCTGCTCCTTCTTGGCGATTTGGATGCCCATGTCCTTGGTCGCGATGAAGCAGGTGATGCCCTTGTAGCCCTTGCTGGGATCAATCTGAAGGGACACGGGTTAGGGCGGCGAAGGAGAGGGAAAGAGGGAAAGAAGACATACGTTGGCGAAGATGAGGAAGAAGTCGGCCTCATATGAGTTGGTGATCCACATTTTCGTGCCGTTGATGATCCAGTCGTCACCGTCCTTCACCGCCCTTGTCTGCAGAGCAAACGCATCGGAACCTGAGGCCGGTTCTGACAAGCAGAAGGAGCCGAGCTGGGGAGGGATTGTTGAGCACATACGGCTGATACGACAAAGGCAAACACTCACCATGGACTCAGAGAGCCTAGGAAGCCACTCGTCCTGCTGCTCCTTGGTGCCGTACTTGCGGACAACGGTGTTCACGAGAGTATTATGAACGTCGCACATGACGGATACCGAGGGGTCGACGCGTGCGAGCTCCTCAATTGCAATGATTGCGGAAGTAAAGGAAGACTCGGCGCCGCCGTGGTCCGCGCTGGTCTCAATGCCCATAAGCTGAAGGGACAGAGAAGGTTGAGCATGGAGATGTAGTGAAGAGTCTGTACGGGGTAACGCACGCCCTGCTCAAAGAGCGCCTTGATGACACTGGGATCCATCCTCTCCTCCTCATCCATGGTACGGACTTTGGGTGCCACGACATCCTCCGCGAACCTCCTGACTGGAACCGAATGTGAGCCCTTTCGCGGGCACTCTGCAGAGCACCGTGTGCAACGCACCGGACTCGCGGAGCATCTCCTCCTCCTCCGTGAATGTGTCCAGTGACGTGGGCCTCAACTCGAATGCTACTACATGTGATTGAGAGAAGTGTCTGCAACATCGACATGAGTCCTTGCAAATACATGCATCTCATGGGTGTGTAGGACGAACCGCGTGGCAGCCACAGACTGAGGGAGTACCCTCTGGCGGAAAGAAGAAGAAGCAGGGGCGACAGCACGAGCAGCAGCGCGGAACATGGTCGAGAGTGGCCGGGGCGACGGGATGGAGGCAATGGGCCAACCTCGAAAGCCTGGGCGAGCTCTTGAACGCGCAGAACAGGCGCTCGCCCGGAGGGACCGTCCGCGGGGTAATCACATGCACCCAGGCCTCGGATCTCGGATCTGCCGCAAATCGTTGGCTGACGGTCTCTCAGCAAACGGGTTATATCGACGCTCAGAATACAGCGTGCATTCAAACAAAACGTGTAGCGTGTACAAACAAGTCCATGATATGGTGATAGCAATCCGTGATGTCCGTGTCCAAAGTCCTGATTTCGTAAAACTCATCGAGAGTAGGGAGCTGCAGATACACGGCACAGGTGAGCAAATGCATCCAGTGCGCAGCGCCCCCTGAACTCACCTCCAGGCTCAAAGCCCGCACGCGCTCGCCGACACCTCCTTCGCCGTCGCGTTGACCCGGCCGAGGGACCTCGCCTGGCCGTTCGTGAGCTTGTTCATCGCCGCGAACGCGATGTTGAAGCCATCGGCGGCGTGGTCGACGGCGAGGACGTTGATGCTCCGGTTCTCGTACGTGAGCCGCCAGCACGAGCCGCACGACGGCGAGTCCCAGAACGCGATCGCGACCGCGCCGCCGATGTTGGGGAAATGCCGGAGCGAGCCGAAGGTCGGGAACTTGGACTCCAGCCCGTGCGGCCCGTCCGAGCACGCCGTCATCGACAGGTTCCTCGACGCGTTGTCGTAGGTATGGTCGTACGAGACCGTCACCATCGACGCGGCAACCATGGCGTAGAGGGTGGCGAGGGCGAGGAAGAGCGACTTGAACTGCATCGTGGGAGTAGACTCGGGAGTTGGCAGAGGGTTGAAGAAGAGGGTGTGGAGGGAGTTCGTGAAGCAAAGAAGAGAAGACGGTTGAGAGCAAAAGAAAATGCTAGACGAAGACGAATGAGCTGCTGCTGAGGAGTTGTCTCCGGCTAGGCTGGCTTTTATACCTCGAGTTCTGCGGCTGGCAAAGATGGGTTGCGCCTCTGCGGCGGACATTCGGCAGGCATGCCGTGCCCGCCCACCACCCTGCTCCACGGTCAGCCCATCCATAAATAACCGGTCGCCTTCGGAGCACACGCATGTGCATGTGAGGCTGACCACATAACGCAGGCGCGATGGGCTGCACACTGCACAGGCGAGACCTGCGGGGGACTGCTGATATTTTCGCCTGGCTGCGACTCCGTCTTTGACAGGGTTGACTCGAGAGCATAGTACCACCCCGTTCTGGGTGGGTACGTTCTGACCTAGAACACCCTCCCAAATAATACGCACATCAAAGTTAGAAGAGTGACGAAGTGATGAAAGCAGAAAACGCCAACCTGCCTTCAGGAGATGTCAGCCCACTTGCCGGCATAGTCCAGCAGCTCGGCCTGACTGAACAATCGGTGCCAACAACCCACCCGCCGTCGTTGAGGCGGGCTGACAGAGAACGACGTACTTATAGTTGATACAAGTGCATATTATATGGGTGATGTACAGGTGTATGAGCACTGCGACAGAAGAACATGCGATGGACGAGCGGGATTGGAGTTGACTACGTACACTAGATGGCAAGAGCGAGTCCCTGACGGAAGTGCATTATAGGAGACACCAGATATGCGAGTGAGAGAGCGGGAGACGAGGAGAGCTGCGTGAGAGACAGAAAAAGCCATAGTAACACAATAAAGAACCCAGGAGCGCGGACCGACTTGTCCATCGAAACACTAGGGGTCCACCGCGCCCCCGCTCAGCGCCGCCCGCATCAACTCGAGCGCAGCGAGGTGGAACGGGAGGGCCGGATCCGAGGGCAGCCTCCATCGCACGCGCGAGAGCACGGCGAGATCGTGGAAACTGCGCACGATGTCGCCCATGAGGTCTTGTTGTGCGTCACCCGGAGATGAGGCACGGGCAGCGTAGGTTGAGCGGGGTGAGTGCGTGGTGAAGAGACGGAAGATGCGCGTGGTGGAAAGCGAGGTGTAGTCGGTCGACGACGGCGCGCTGACGACGCCGACCCACGCGGGTACACGAAGGCTCTCGGAGTCAGAGAGGGAAACGACTGAGTAGGATGAGTCGTCTTCTTCGAGATCTGGGATGAAGGGTGCTTCGAAAGAGCCGGGAATAAGTGGAAATGGGCCGCATTTGGTGGATCGATCGACTGTGATGGAGGGATAGAGGAGCGATTGAGAGGATGGGGCAAGATAGTACGCGGTGACAGATGCATCCGAGAAAACAGTGCGAGTGCGCGAAGACTTTGAGGAAGGAAAGGCAGCGGCTGGAATGGGAGTGCGATGTAGGATATCAAACGAGATATTGTCGGTAGGAGCAAGAAATGTCCATGAGTGTTCGTGATCCACGGCGAGTAGTGTGACGTGCACTGGGGGAGTGTCGTTAGAGGTGGTGACCACGGACTCTAGGTGTTCTACCCAGGCTGTGGAACGGTAACGTTAGTACATAGCACCAAGAACAATCAAGAAGTGACTCACCGTCAAGTTCAGAGTAATGCATCAACCCAAGCTTTGATATGACAATCCGCCATTCGATGTGGGCACGCTTGGATATGCCATGAACGAGATTCCAGACTTGCTGGACGACGAAGGCCTCGACATACTCATCAGGGGTCAACCAAGCTTTAAGCACGTGTGTTTCCCCTTCAGCGTCGATACATGCAGCAAGGATCCACCGTCCGCAGAACGACACTTGGTAGCCCACATGTAACAGCATATGCCGCCGAGTCACGTCGAGCGTTTGCGCTCCTGGGTCCAGAGAGAACGTAACTTTTGAATGCAGAGCGCCGTTTCTAGTTCTGACGAAAGATGAGGGAACCAAGGCGTAGGCTGGAGCTTCGAAGTGTCTAACAACCGGGGCGCCGTGAGTGAAGAACTTGCGGGACATGGTGCGGTTGACGGGGATTAGAATGCGGTCGTAGACGCTACCGACGAACGTGTCCAGCCGGCCCAAGTTGGCGGCGGGGTGAGAAAGGTTGCCAAAGACGACGTATTCGGGGACGAAGTGGACCAAGATGTCGTCGTCCGTATGCGCCTTGTAAAAGCGCCTGACGGCAGAGAGAATCTGTCGAAGGATGGTCGAAGATGACGAGATGATGGAAACAGGGGTGACAATGTAAAAGACCGCGTGAGGACCCCTTGGAGACATCTCCGATACCAAGCCCGCTGCAGAATCATGAATAATTATCACAAATGAGACGTTGAATCTGAACATACTGAGCGCCTTCCGCAATGCATCAAATCGGGTCGGAAAGGTGCCCTTCGCGCCGTTCTTGCAAACGCCAAGGGTATGTGCTCCGAAGCCCTTCGCCTGTCTCATGGTGAATAACGTTTCGATGCTAATGACCAAGGTACTTACGTGGTACGCTGCCGATACTCGGGCAAGCCAGTCCTCAACTTCAGCCCCGCGATCTTCGTCAGAACTTTCGAAGAAGACATATGCCGTCACGTCTTTGGGGCCGGCCCGGGGCGACAGTCCAAGCTTCTCCCAGAACCTGAGCGAAGGCGGCAGCACTTGCATCACTGCGTCACCCTTTGCAAGTGTGATCAACGGAGCTTCCAGATCGCTGATCGTCAGTCTGGCGTCGCCTTGACCCGAGCCTGCACAAAGATGAGTTTCAGCATCCTGCGCGTAGAACCGCCGACAGCACTGACCTCCACCGCACAATGTCTGCAGCTCTGTCATGGCGGCTCGGGACTGGTAGGGCCGGCCGAGGAAATTGCTGATGAACTGTGCGTCCGCTTGCCAGATCCTCGCAGGCAGGACCGGCGGGGTCGGGGATAGAGATGCATTTGCTCGCCACGCTTCCGCCCAGATGGGGTTCTCGACGACCTCATTCACGAGCACTTGCGCGGCCGCCTCTAGCGACTTGGACTTCTCCGAAGCGGCGCCAGGATCGCGGCGGGGGATACAGGTGTAGGGACCGAGATCGGTGGGGCATTTCCGGGAGCATTGTTGACGGCCACTCCCGGAGGCCGAAGAGGCGTGCACATCGGCAGCAAGTGCGCATGGTGGAAGTGGGTGTGCAGCAGGGTGGGGCCAAGCGGGAGGTACGACGGTGGCGGAGTCGACGGTCGGGGCGCTGCCACGGAGTCGTCTTCTTCCATCCAGACTTCGTCGTCGGATTCGTCGGAGTCGACCTCGACAGCAGGCGGGGAGCTACTCTGCCACTCCTCTGGTTCACGATATGAGTCCCATGGGGATTTCCTTGCTCCCGGCGTCCCTGGTCGACGCTTTTACGCTTGACTCCGATGAGCTTGCGGATAATGCCGATCTTGGGATCGGTGGCGGCGCGATACTTAGATTCCCAGCTACCGGGAAATGTGGGCCTAGACGAGATGAAGACCATGGGCTCCACGCGGTCTTGGTCCATAGGCGGAGTCGGCAGCGCGAACTTCCCTATGGCATATTTTCCGTCGGCTTCTCGATGGCTAGGCGCAAAAGGAATAGGGTCGAAGACACTAGGGGCGAGGGTGGCAAAGCTGAATTTCCGATTCGCGGGCGACTTGTCGGAATCAGCGAGGATGACCGAAGGCGTGGCAGGGGCAGAGTGTGATGACAACGTTCTGGAAGGTGATGGGGGTACCAGTTCTGGTGGGCCGTGGCTGTCAAGAATGACCTGCATGTCGACACTCGTCCTTGGCGTGAACGGCTCGACCAGCTGTACATTCCATGGTAATGGTTGAACTAGATGCGCCGAGGGAGGTCCTGGAGCTGGTACAGGGCCATCGACAGCAGTGACTGGCGCAAGCGCAAACACTGAAGGGAAATTGTCGGGAGGAGCGGTGTTGACAAGCGCGTGGGTGGCACGATAGGCTTCTGCGGTGCGGATGGCGCGTCGAAGAAGTCAAAGTCGTCTTCCGTGAAAACGCCAAATCCATCATCCATGTTGAAGGTGCTGACACCAGGGTCGCCCCTCTGGCACTGCCCATCGCCTCCATCCCCATTTCTCCCATTCCAAAACCCATGTCATAATCCTCGTTGACGTCCATGAAAGTACTCGGCGGCTGCACCCAACCATTTTCGAAGCTTTGAAAGGGATCAAAGCTTGCTGTATTGATTGGTGGCGGGATATCGACAGGCGCAGTAGTAACGACGCCCTCTTCAGCAGAGTTTGTAGGGTCGACGACTATACCTTCCGGCGAAGGGACATCCGCTGGCGCATCTGCATCTTGGAAGGAAAACAGAGAATCTCCGGAGTGCACCGAACTCGCCGAGGCGGGCGCGTCTTCAGCAGCTTCCACTTGTGTCGGAGGATTTGCGGTCTTCAAGTCGGCCAGGCCGTACGTCTGGATGGGGGGAAGCTCTGGTTTCGAGATGGTAGGTACTGGAGAAATTGAAGGTGGCGGCTGGCCAATTTCTTGGCCGCCCTTCATGCTAGCGAGGATTTCTTGCTCCTGCCTTTCTCGACGGATCGTTCTCTTTCCCGCTCGCGTTCTTTGACGACGAAGTCGACATAACCACTGACTTCGGACGCTACCCTCTTGACATCAGGAACATGGGGTATCTTGGCCAAGGAGAGCGTTCGGAATGCCCGCAAGAATCACCGGTGGTGCTTGCTCTCGCCAAAGTGGGTCGACGTTGGAAGGAGGGAGTCAAACGATCCCGCTCGGCTGATGGCAGAGGCACCTGGGGAGAGGTCGTCGTGGCACTTGCCGGCACCTCAGCTGACGGAGTCGCTGGTATGCCAAGCGGGAGGGACTGAGGTACGGGGGGAACCGGGGGAGGTGGAGATGCTTGCAGCTGGGTAGGGAGCTGGGGAATGTACGGGAGCGACGCACGAGCGTGCACCGCCGGAGAGTTGGGATGATAGGACACGCACAGCGTCGCCGGCCAAATGACAGGCATCCCTTTGTCTTCACCTTGCTTGTTCTGCACCGCGAGCCAGACCACAATGAAAGTCGGATCTTGGTGAGTGTTGGATCCCGGGGAGGGCCGCTTCCAATTTCCCGCACCTAGGCCGATGAGTACCTCGTCGAACTGTGCAGTGAGGGCTGCCGCAGGACCAGAGTAAGTGCTGAGATAATACGCCGGAACTCCATGTGGTAAGAGCAGGAGAGGGGTTCCGGCAGGTAATGGAAGGGACGATTGGAACGGAAGGTAGTAGGTCGGACGAAGGACGGGATGGACAACAAGTCTGACGTTGGAAGGTTCGTGCGCCGAGAGGGAGATGTGAACTTGTAGTTGACAGAAGATGTACGGACGGCTTCGGGCCTGGTTTTCCCATCCGGAGGCCCACTCGGAGCTGAAAGGAATGGTACCGAGGACGAATCCACCTTTTAGTCGTGCGACAGTTCTTCCGTGTGGGTGCAGCTTCGCAGCCTCCGCCACGTCGTCTATGAGCCTGTCACGAACAGCTTGGAGGAATAAAGAGAAGGGAATGCGTAACGGTATCCTGGGGAGCGTTTGGATGTGAGCCGGGGTATCCATGGAGCATGCGAGGTTGAGACATGATTCACAAGGCTTTCGCTGGATGGAACAGCTGAAAGAACATGGATAGATCCCAGAGGGCGAGAATGACACTGATTCGAGCACTACATAGACGGTCATGCACATATAACAGCAGTAGAGTTACGCATACACTCACAAGATAGTGCCTCTAGCTGCAGCTGCTCCAGTGCGGTCTGCACCGGACATAGTCGCGAGTTGGATCCAATGGCATATACATACAACGAGGATGATTCCTTTGAGACGTGAACGCACGGAAGGAGAGAGTCTATGACAGCCCGTCCTTCATTCCGACGGAGGATGTTTCTCCGGGCGAGCTCCAGTTGTTCGAGGGGATCCTGAGTGGCGGGGGAGCAAGTGAAAACGGAGTATATTATGAGGGGATCCTCTGGCAGAGGAAGTATGGATGCAAGAACACAAGAAGCGGGGGTGATGGTGGGGGCGATTTCAGATAGTACGGAGGAACCAGTGTTGTCCTGGGGTAGCTGTTGCGCTTTGGCTGCCATGGAGGGTGTACATGGGAAGGTGAAGATGATATGGAGCCAGTTGGGGGAAGAGGAAGTCTGAGAGTGTCAAGGGTGTGCCGAGCAAGACCAAGGACGGAGGTCGAGAGAGGAGGTCTAGCACATGGTGGGACGACAGAGAGCAGCATGCGGGCTTCGGAGGCCCCTCCGCTCGCATGCTGGACCCTGGTGCCGTACACCGCGGATTCGTCCGTATCGCGATTCACGGACAAACGATGACCAATTTATGTTCCGCGATTGCTCGGCGGCTCTCTGTTCAGATGAACTAAGCACTGGATACGATCGCTGCATTATTCGACGTGTAAAAGCCGACAAGTAAGCGGGCCAAGTGGCGAGACAGTGGCTTGGAATTTGGCAGAGACCGCACGTGGCAAACACCTTCCGAAAGCGGCTCTGTGCGCCCGGGCACAATGACGTCGCTCGCGCTTTCCTGGACAGCCCGGGGCTACGTATATATATATGCGCTACGAGCATTCGTTTCAGATGACCCGACTCTCTCTCTCTCAGACTCCGATTAAACCGAGAACCAAGGTGCGCGACTATGCAACTCGTGAGTTGAGTTCTCAACGCTGAAATTTGAAAGCCCTTGCCATCAAACGTCAGAATAATGACAAGCACAAACATCGATTTTGGGGATTATCTGGCACTCACCGCGTGTGCCTTCGAGTGGGTCGACAGCTATGACAGAAAGGATTGGGACAAGCTGCGAACATGCGTTGCCCCGACGTTGAGAGTAAGTTTCTCCTCTTCTCGTCGTCGCCATCCATCTGGGTATCACGTATTGACAGGCTCTCGTGCAGGTCGACTTTCGCTCCCTGTTCGGCAAACTCTGGGAGACGATGCCAGCCGACGACTTCGTTGCGATGATCTCGTCTCCCCAGGTGATCGGTGATCGTCAATTGCAGACGCAGCATTTCATCGGGGCCAGCAAGTGGACAAGAACGAGCGACACTGAGGTGACCGGTGTCCACCAGCTACGTGTCCCTCATCAGCGTTACACCGATGAGACGCACACCGCGGTCGCTGTCAAGGGTCACGCGCATGGCATTTCCACCAACTGGTACAAGAAAATCGACGGGGAGTGGAAGCTTGCTGGGGTCTGCCCCGAGGTTCGTTGGACGGAATACGACTTCGACAAGTTGTTTGCGCGTGGAGAAGGTGGTGCTTAGCTGTAGAGTGGTTTTGAACTGGATAGAGAGGTCTACTTGAGACATCTCGACGGTTTAGCTGTCACGTACCGCAGAAGAAGCATGAATGGGGCCCTTGGATCTGTCAGAGCGTGTCCACCGCCCATTCGCGGGGGGTGGACTGGCGCATCGTAAACATACACTCCGTCGTCACTGCCAGAAGATGCCAGTGGGCATAAGTTTGAAATTTGAAGCTTGAGTCGCGCTGATTTGGCGCCCCTAACCCAAGGTAGCGGCCAGAATCCTCTGAGTAACTCCGGATATGGACTTGTCGGCAGGATTTAGATGAACCTGCAGGTTGTGCTGCGACCCCCACCTCCTCCTCCCGATTGCCGTCCAAAATGCAGTCAGTCACCCGCCCTGCCTCCGCCTCCACCTCCACTCGCCAGACCAGCTCGCCGAACCCGAGAACCCAGTATCAGGTCAACACACAGACTAGAGTCTTCGACACCACTCAAGGCAGGCTCCTGTGCATCGCTGATATTCGTGGCCGCCTCTCTGCCCTCAATGACCTCGCGCGAGAAGCAAACGCGTCCGCCATTATCCACACCGGGGACTTTGGCTTCTTCGGTATGTAAACCCTCGGTCGCGACGCTCCTCATCCTCACGCGCCCGCAGAGGCCCCCAGTCTCGACAGGATAAACGACCGCACCCTCCGTCACCTCACTATGTATTCGCCCCTCATCCCTACGGCTCAGAGAAACCACCTCCTCGCACCTGAAAATCCCCCGCACGCGGTCCGTTCCACCGTCACCATCTCGCTTCTTTCCGAGTTCCCTCTACTCCTCTCCGGTCAAATCAAGCTCCAAGTGCCCGTTTACACCGTCTGGGGCGCGTGCGAGGACGTAATTGTGCTCGAGAAGTTCCGCTCGGGGCAGTACGAAATCGAGAACCTTCACGTCCTCGACGAGGCGACCACCCGCTGCCTCGACCTCGGCGGCGTCAAGCTGCGGCTCCTCGGGCTGGGTGGCGCGCTGGTGCCACACAAGATGTTCGACAACGGCGACGGGAACGCGACCATCGCGGGCGGGCAGGGCACTATGTGGACGACTGCGCTGCAGATCGGGGAGCTCGTCGACACCGCGCAACGCGTGTTCGATCCCACCGAGACGCGTCTCCTCGTCACGCACGCGAGTCCTGGGCGGGAGGGCATCATGAGCCAGCTCTCGTTGGTGCTCAAAGCGGACCTCACTGTTTCTGCGGGTCTCCATTTCCGGTATGCGTCTTCGTACAACGAATTCAGCGTGCAGTCGGACTTCGAGGGGCTGCGGCACAAGGTCCTGGCCGGGAAGGACGCCTTCGACAAGGTTTGGGAGAGCGTCAAGACGCAAGTGGATGCGGTCATCGACGAGCACCAGCGCGTCCTCTTGGACAAGGCCCTTTCCGTGGTCGAGAAGATACCTCCCCCACCGAACCAGCCCGGTCCTACTGGCCAGCCACACGGCGAAGACCCTGCATGGAAGAACTGTTGGAACTGGAACCTGTGCGACGCGGCGTACGGCTCGCTTGTCCTCGACGTCAAGGACGGGCGCGTCAGCGCCGAGCTCAAGAGCCAGGGCTTCAACTACGCCTACCGCCGCACCATCACGCCCTCCACTGTCACCGCGACATCCGATACCGCCGCTCCCTCGTTTTCCGCGCAGGGCACTGCCGCAGGGACCCCCAAGGGCGTCGGAACTACCGCAGCAACGCCGGTGGCCGCCGAGAAGCAGCTCCCGCCTCACCTCTCCGCCTCAAAATCCAAGCCGGGCACACCGCCTCCGCCAGCTTCTGGCAGGGAAACGCCGAAGCTCAACGGCGCGCCGAACCAGGCCGCGCTCGACAAGGCGGAGCGCGAGAAGGCGAAGCGGGAGCGCAAGAAGGAGCGCAAACAGCTCGAGCGCGCCGAACGCGAAGCCACTGGGGGAGGCAAGGATGACGCGACGTCGCCGACGCCGAACGCACGCGCGGAGATCGACCTGAGCAGTCCGCCGCCCAAGTCCGGCAAGGCGACCCCGGACGTCGCCGCGGCCGCGCCGGCTGCTGGGGCCAGCGGCGACGCGCGGGCCGACGACGGGGTGATGTCGCCCACGACGGAGAGCGGCGGCGCGCGCACTCCGACGAGCAAAAGGCCTGCGCGGAACCCGTGGACTATCTTCATGCGCATGCAGTTCCCCGCGAACGAGACCGAAGTCAGGGACTACTTCGGGGGCGCGAAGGACGGGGTGGGTGACCTCTTTGCACGATCGCCGCTCGAGCTTGATACTGACAAAATGGCGTGGGTCGATAGATCACTCGCGTGAACTATCCGGCGAACTTTGCGGGTCGCGGTCAGAAGATGTGCTACGTCGAGTTTGGTGACGAGGAGGGCATGAAGGCTGGCTTGGCGAGAAACGGCGAGGTGCGTGGAGACGGCTACTGGGGGTGCGGCCGACATCTGAAGCTCGTTGCAGAGTCTGAACGGGGGCACCCCGGAGTTGAAGCAGGCGACGGACAAGGAGTCGCGCACGGTGGAGAACGGCGGCCACAGAGGCGGTTTCACCGGGCGCGGCGGACGTGGACGCGGAGGCTTCGCCGCTCGTGGCTTCGCGTCTGCAGGTCTCACGCGCGGCGGCCCGCCTGGACGGATGAACGGCGAAGGCGGGTCCGCGGATGCGTAAAACCCTTGTGGACCAGTGGGGTATGACAAGGCACCCTGTCTCGCCGAGCCGGGATGTGGGGCTGCGGCGATGGGGCTTCCTTGGTGGGCTTTCGATCTGCGCCGCGGGCGATATGTTGTATGCACCCTCTCGAAAGTCCGTATGTTGTCTTCTTCCCTCGCGCTACCCTCCCAAGCTTCACGATATTGTCTCCAGCGCATCCGCCCGCTTCGTCCAGCACGGAGGGATGCCTTGGAACGACTCTTACGACACCTGCCGCCTTCCCCGCGATACATACGATCAACATAATGGTATTCCCTAGGTGTTCCTTGGCTAGATGCGAGTTGAGGCCTTGGGACTCGAATCTCCGCCCGGTTGGCGTGATCAGCGATGGTTCCACCGGTAGCTTTGCCGTGGATGGGTACTCATGTCTTCCAAACACTCCGGCCCTTTGCGACAACACGTATTGACTGCTGACGGACCCGAGGTTCGGGCTTTTGGAGCTGTAGCCGAGACGTGAATCACATGGGCCGCCGGTGCCCATTCATGTGGTGAACGCACTCGTGAATGAGTTGGCGTCAACATATGACGATGCCACAGATGAGATGAGAAGCGCAAAAACTCGCAGGATGAGGATGAATGGAGATAGCCCAAGTGGCCGACGTAGCTACAAGATGTACATGCTCATCAGTCCTGTTCCTTGACCGAAGATGTCCGGAACGCCATGAGCACCCCCTCGTACACTGCCCACCCTATGGCCGAGCTGAAGACTTTGCGCGATATGCGCAAAGTGGCGCCGTCAAAGAAGCCGGCCACCCCGCGTTGCTGAACCACAACGGTGTCAGCACACGACCCATCGCAGAACGGACTCGGGCGCCGCTCACCTGCCATACTGCCCGGATGGTGCTGCCAACCCCGCGATACTTGGCCTCCGACCGCACCTGCATCTTCGTCTTCAGCACGTCGAACGGCTGCGTGGCCAGAGTCGCGAGCGCTCCGGCGGACGCAGCGGACGCGGAGTTGATCGCGGTGGACATCGACATCGAGTGGGCGAAGGGCATGCCCGTCACCACCGTAGCGTCGGGGGAGGCGGGTATGGCGTGTGCTGGAAGAGACAACGTCACAACGACATCGGGGTACGAGGTGTGGTCACGTACATAGGGTGGACTTGATCTGTTCGTAGAACACGACGAATATGCCGGCGTATGGCGCGTCACGCAGCGAAGACGCTACCGCTCCACGGAATATTTCGGAAGGACCGGCGCGCATGAGGCCGATGAACGCCCCGGAGAGGGACGAGTACGAGTGGTAGGAGCTCTGAGTAGGCGTGAGGATGCCATCCCGCCAGCGAGAGAAGAACGGGGAAGGAAGGGAACAGCACGCACCTCATAGCGGGCCTTGATGACTGAGAATGGGTTCAGCACCAGGCCGACCGTCACCCTCGTGAGCGCGCCGGCCAACAAGTTGCCCTGCGCGGTGAGCTTTGGAAGAGTCGAAGTTGAATACGCGTCGGGGGTTCTTTGTGCGCGCAGGCGTGCGAAGTAGGGCGAGGTGGCGAGGAAGGCGCGGAACTGGTTGAGGCCGGTGAAGTACATGGCGACGCCAGGGACGTTCCGCAGAAGGGAGGCGGTTGTGCCGCGCCAGAGACCGACCAGGCCATCGTTCTGAACGATGTCCCGGGCGGTTCGGAAGATGAAGGTGGACTGTGGGGCGAGGGGGGAGAGTCGGAGCTTGTTGAGTTGGTCCGGTTGCTGGATGCGGGTCTTCAACAAGTCGACTGTGGCAGAGACGCGACTTAGGGCAGGGGAAATGAGGACGACGCGCAAAACGCACAGGGTTGAAGGATTATCGTTGAAGCAAACCCCGAAAGGGCACCTGGGTGTCGTACGACGATGAGCAGAGTGCAGAGTGCAGGGCAAGATCTGGGACGTGAACACACCTGACAGAAGGTGCTGGCTGACATTGCTCATATAGCCTCCGCAAGCCGTGCAGTCCTGAGAAGAGGCCGCTTCTCCGCAGACTCGGGAAGTGGCAGGGAACAGACGGGGGCGGGAGAAAGAGGACGGTGGGAGGACGGCATCGCGCTGGCGCTGGGGGTCGAAGTCATCGCCAGATTCCTCTCCGACCTTCTCGGATGACTGCGATCCGCTCCCGCCGACGTCAAATGAAGTTGTCCCGTGTCGATGAAAATCGCTGCTAAAATCCGTGTTATGACTCAGGTAATGCGCAAGGTTCTCGAGAACGAGACATGCCAAGACTTGGGAGAGCGCAGCCCGGCGAAAGCTTGTCATAATATTATGTTACATGAGCATACTGGAGCCATATGGCCATTATCGCGTGCTACACTAGGACCACCTCTTGCGCCTCCCTGTCGCTCATCCAACACAGGCCCCAGAGAGGCGCGCTCTCCGACGTGCGGAAGTACCCCACTCGTCGGAACTTAGTCTCGTCCTCGTTGCTGCTTGCGCGCGCGACGATCAGGCCCGCCGCATATTCCGTCGTCGTGTTCCACCGCAGCGGGACCGCCCACACCTCATGCACGTTCTCCACGCTGTCAGGGTACGCCGAGCCAATATGGATCAGCTCCAGCGGCGACTCCAGCATCGTCGACGGCCCCGCTTGCGCCGTACCGGGCATCGACCCGGGCATGCCGACCGACGGCTGCAGGTACACCTCGGGCATCGAGGACTCGGGGTTCCACGTTGCCGCCACGATCACCGCGCGCACGGTGAGCGTGCCGTCGATGACTTCGCCGAGCGGCAGGAGCTCGGTCAGGATCGTGGTCTCACACGCCATTACTTCGCACGACTCGGTGCCCTTCGCCGCGCCGTCGAGCCGGTCGTCGACCGTCTGCGCCATCACCCTCCCGTCGACCGATGCCCACGACCAGGAGGGTGCCCGGTACGCATCGGGCCGTCGCTGGCGCGTCCCGGAGTTCTTGTACCAGAGCAGGCCGTCCACGACGTTGTCCGCCCAGACCCCGGCGAGGTAGTCCGACTTGAGCGCGCGCTGGAAGAGCTCCGCGATCGGGGCGAACGCGAGCAACTTGTCCCCGGGGTCGGTGAGCGCGCGGTGGGTGTACTCTCCGATCGCCTCGTTCCAGGCGTAGTACAGCGTCTTCTTGTCTTCTTGGGACAACGGTTTGGACATATCGGCGTCGGCTTGGAACAGGAGATCCGGGAGGCGCCATAGGGTGCGGGGAGGGCAAACGGCGTTCCCGATGTTGACGACGGATGACTGGCACTGGAACTGGAGGGTGTGCGATGCGTAGAGCAGCACCCTCGGGGAGAGCAAACGTTCGACGAGGCACCATGCGCGTCGATTGACGGGCTCCGTCGAGCCATCGTACTGACGCCATGCGGGAGAGAGCCAGAACGAGCCAACTTGGTGATCCGGGAAGCGGAAGGGAAGAGGGATGTCGGGGGGCGATGAAAGGGGACGGTCTTGCAAGAAGCCTTCGCTGACACGCTTGGCGTTGGCCGCGACAAGGGTCAAGTACGCGTTCCTGAAGGTAGTTCGCATGATCGCAACTTCGCGGGCCTTGTCCTCCCTGGAATCTTGTAAGATGCATAGCGCGTCGACCCACAGATAGCGGAGTCCGAGCGAATGCGTGGACGAGATGGCGTCCTTGATCGTCTGGGGAAGGTCGTCGAGGTTGATCCCGAGCGTGTACGCTTCCACGTTCTCCGAGGTCGTGCAGTGCGCCTGGCCTTCTCCCCAGACGTAGCTGAGCACAGCGTATGGCGCCTTCTCTCCATAGCCGATGCGCAGCTTGGGATTCTGAGGATCAGAGCAGTCAACGACACGAGTCGGGAGGCTGACGCTGTGAGGGTTGGGGCATTGTTCGTGGGAACGAATGCAGTCGATGAGAACGTTGGTGGCCATGATATACGTTGGGGGCTGGCTGAGCTCCAGCACCTTGGGTCTCGCTGCGATTAGCGGAGTGGCAGGGTTTTCTATGTGGGAAACTTAGTTCGCGGACACCTCTCGCGGTCGAACAACGCTCACCGCGATCCGTGTACACATAGTAAGCAGAGTGAGGGGTGTCGTCTATCGTCAGCTTCAACGTCTGGACACCCTTTGGGGTGGCGCCGTTCCTGCTGGAGTCGATGCGGAAGCCAACCGTGTAGCGGAGGTCGTCCTGTAGTACGGCTTCGGTTCTCGTGGAAAGTAATAACTTACACCACTGACATCCCTGGGACGCGGAAGCTTCGACTTGAGCCCAGGTAGTAGCGGTCGAAAAATCCTTGAAGGACGTCTGGGAGATCCATGCTTGCTGGAAGGGTCCGGGGGCGAAGAGGCCTTGAGACCAGCAGTAGTCGCAGACCAAAGACCGTGGGGGGCTGTGGTTTGGTCACGACACACGTTTAAGTGCGTAAAAAAGAACGAACTCACCTGTAGACACCGTCAACACCGTCGTCCTTAGGCTTGGGCTGAATGGTAGGAGGGATTTCTGTTGTGGACGACTGGTTCCGGGAGGCGACCCTCGACGCGCCCTTCGGCTTCTTCAGGAGTCCTCGCACACGTCTCCATGCCGAGACACAGAGAGGAGAAAAGCAAGGCATGGTCGGGCGGAGCGGGCGTCGAGGTGGTCGCAACGAGGACGGGGGCGGGGACGAGCGCAGGAGAGGGAATATATATCATACACCACATGCGAGGCACGCGAGAAACACAATCGTCCTTCACTGCTGCATTTCCGCCACGAGACAGGTGAGACGGCATCGCGAGACGTGAAGATCGTGACGACCATTGTCGACGGTCGAGTGGAAGGAGATGAAGACCACGCTCGGGGTCGACAGTCGCCAGTGGCGCCCGCGGCTGTCCCGGTCCGGGAAATGCCCACGGATCATCAATTCACTCATAATCCACAAGGCCACAAGACATTCAATCCGTGTGTTCGAGTGGACCGACAGGTGTCACAGAGATGCTATTTTACGGCTCAGAACACGATACATACAATGCGGACCAAAAACCAGACCCTGAGCAAAATAGGACAAAAAAGGAGGGAAGTCAAGCAACTGATTCTCAACCGCTCAGGCTTGGACTGTGACGAGATGTATCGTATCAACGAAAGAAGCTTGCGGTGTTGACTCCGTCCCGTTCTCCTTACCGCCCGACGGTTTCTGCATAGTTGCAATTAGCTGAGCGACGCTCTCGGTGAGCGTTTGGACCTGTTGGTTGAGCTGGTTGACGGTCCCGGTAAGGTCATTCAGCGGCTATAAACAGAGATGAATCGGTGAGGGAAGGGTGTGCTTGCATTTGAGACCTACCGTGTGAGGAGTGTGAGAAGCTGACTCCACGAGACTTCGATAACGGGCTGGAGGTTCTCGGCTTCCGAACAGCGCAGCGCAGAGCTTTTCAAGGGATTTTTGACGACTTGCCGTCTACACACAACTGAAATTAGCACTATGTGTATATTAAACCAGGTTGCAACGTACCTTGCGCTGTACATCTTGGAAGACCCCGTCGGCGAAACGTCCGAGCTGCAGGTCGATATCGCGGCCTTGCAAACGCCAGTTCCTCATGAGATCGTGTATGCGCTTCTCGAAGGCGAGGTAGACCACCATGCAGGATATTGCTTGGTGTTCAATAGTAGCGAGCTCGTCGGAACGCAAGTTCTGGTGTTGGAGGAGGCCCTGTAGGGTACTGTGCAAGTTCTTCACCAGCAGGTGAAAAAGACTCATGACATGCTAGACGTCACGGAGTATATCAGTCCGCGATCCATGTCCAGATATGTTACAAGAGGGCCATACCAGCTCAACTCGTTCATCGGCGATGACCGCAGTGACCGCAGCCCTGTCTTCTAGGTAGTAGCTGAATTGGGCGAGATTGGCGCTCATGCGGCTGGTGTCTATCTGCCGATACTCCTCTTGGAGGCGGCGTAGTTGAGGAGGGGTGTTTGCGGTGGGTGAATCGACGATGTCTTCAACCAAGAGCAGAGGTCGGAGGTGCGTGAGGATATCAAATACGTGTTTCCATTGGTCCGAGGGGTTGAGGACGCTTCCCAACATAGTCTCGAGCTTGGAAGCTGTATTCGCAATCGCTCGATGGTACCTGAGCTGTATGAGTCACTTGTACGGGCACAGCGTGGCGTGGGTACACACCAAGCATTGTTGTTGTACCATCCACATGCGCAGCTGTTCCATCGAAGTGAGTGACATTGGACCGTGTATGACTGAGCGACTTACAATGCAATCCACTCAGGGATACTCCAACGTAAGGGACGTTGCGGCCTCGCGTTACCACTGCAAAATTCGTTCACTTCCCTCGCGGAAACGAAACCGCTGCCGTCGGCATCCATAATGTCCCCGACGGCCGAATGATCTGATTGACAGTCACCGTGTACTATGTGTAAGCATTGTCGAATTCATGCAAGCATGTATACTGACGCGTCATGCGATTGAAAAAGGACACGGTCCATGTGTCACGGTCCGTGGCGGGCGTAGTTTGCTCAAATTCTAGCCTTTGTTGGTAGAGGTTGTGTAGAGCTATCGTCACGTTCAGCTTTGTAACACCGGCAGAGTAGAGTTCTTTTCACCTCCAACGAAGGTCTGACACTTGACAGAAGCTGGCCATTTCTGATTAAAGGCGACAGGAGAAATTAGTGGATGAAGTGCATTACGCTGTCGACACGGTCCCCTTACATTCTCTGCAGAACGGTAAGCAACAAGAGCATCGAGGAGTTGTGAGCACTTACCTTTCCACATCGTTTGTATGTACTTGTCCTGTATCAGTTCGTGTGCGCCATGTCTAAGCTAACGAGAGGCGTGCGAGTGAACTCTCAAACCAAGTGCCATGCCATGCCGCCTCACCTCTTGAGAGATTTCGTGATGATATGAGTCCATTGTTATGCGGAGACCGTCCACTCGCGCCAAATACCGCTCCCTGTTGCGATGTTAAGATAACAACACTCAAATCACATGGGATACTTGCTCGTGGCCTTGAAGGATTTGGTCGAACTCGGTGCGAAGGACGACCTTCATGTTGTCGGTGATTCGTTCGTTGAGCTTGATCCCAAGTTCTTCGAGATATTGATCACTCTAAACGAGAGAGAAGTAAGACAACTGATCCATACTGCAATGCGCAACGCACTCTCACCTGAATGACGCCTGACGCACCGCCATGGGCCATGATCCACTCCTCGATGCCCTCTAGACGAGAATCGAACTTGTCGACGAGCTTGAAGATGTCACCGGACTTGTTCAGAACTTCGTCTAGGTGTGAGAGTGTCCTTGTCACGTTTGATGATACAGTGCTCAGTTGCTTGCCGTTGACCATGACGGAGAGGCGATCGAGGTCGCCGCGGTAGTTGCTGAAAGTGACGCGAAAGTGCTCGAGCTTCTCTCGGTGGTGTTCTGCGAAAAGAAATTTATCTGCAGGACAAAAACTAGTCAAATGGGCTTCGTCGAGTACCGGTGAGATGATGCTTACAGATTTTCTGCCATTGATTATGATACACGCTATGGGGGGTTAGCATGGTGATGTCGAACACAAGAAGCTGTGTCTCACTCCACGAACATCCCTGACACGAGGTTGTAAACACAGCGTCGTGCACAATCATGTAAATAAGCTCTCACCGAACTCATTAATCGTCGTCTTGAAATTATGACAGACAGATTGCATGTGAGATTCCACGTGAGAGAGCTGGTCGTGTGAGATCGACCCAAGAACATTGAGGTGGAAGACAGTGTTAATCTGGAGGATTGAAATGGGTTGGATCGATATCGTACAAGACGCAAAGAAAGCTTACCATATATGTATGTATGACGGCAATATGAGCATCGTTCTCATGCCGCTGTTTCTCAAGACCAACGACCTTCTAGGAACGTTCAATGAGGGTGAACGGGACCGGTAATGATCAATCCACAACTAACCTTCACCGCCCCCACCACAGCCTGTCAAGCGTAGGGAGGTTCAACGCAGATCCCCAGCACGAGATAAAAAGAGGAAGAACTTACTTCTGCCGCTGGGTGCAGCCCTGCGAAAACTTCAACATATTGGATGACGTGGCCTACGCCGTTCACTACATGCTCCGCGTACTTCGTCATCTCCCGAACCGTGTGGTTTTTGGCATCTAGTTGTGACAGAATATAAGACCAGGGTTGACTTGGGTGAGTAATAACAGCCCTACTTTTCAGCTCGTCGACGACCTGAGCGATGTCCTCTAGCTCTTGCTTCGCGAAATTCTCTAGGTCGTCTGTTCGCCGTTCGTTATGATGTGATAGGGAGAAAAACGAGATTGACTCACGGAGAGAGAAATGGGGCCCAGGAGCCTTCTCGACAGTTGCGTCGAGGGCGAGCTTCGTATCGTCCGCGGCCGCCGCTTTGGCATCCTGCAGAGTTGAGTTGAGGGAAGCAGTGGGTGCTGGCAAAGACGTCTTGTTTGCAGGAGGGTCGCTACTAGAACGACGGAACTTGATGAGGGTGGCTACACGCCGAGCCAGCTTCTTCCAGGAGCAAGTCATGGGGTGGATTGGTTGACCAGGCAGGTGTTGCTTGCCAGACTTTATGCGGAGGGCATAGTCGCAGTACCGGGCCTCGTTGCGCGAAGAAGGCCACTGGTACTGGCGGTGCGAGGACGGCACTCTTGATCAGCGACTCGTGGTTAGCGATGGACCCGCCCATCTTAGGCAGTCTGCAGTCCCGTGCACCATGTGCGTGCTCAAGATGGCATCCCTGAACCTACCCTTTCGATAAGTGGCCACCTCGCAGCAGCTGAGAGTTGAAAAGAACACTCACCACCCCACCCGCAAGCACGCGATATCCGCACTGCAGCAATGGCGTTCAAGCAGGCTGTCAACTGCGGCGGTCACTTGTGCGACCTACGGGACCGACATTAACATCTTCCCTACCGAGGACTGGACGGATCCCGACCCGAACCGCGGCACATCCGAGACGTATCCGAGACGAAACAAACGAGAGTACAACGCAAACCGTGTCTCTCTGTGTCAGCACCAATCGTGGTGCAGCCTGGAGTCTTCCGAGAGATGTCCGATATGAACAAGTGATACGATATATGAAGTCCGTACACATAGGCTAAACGATCGAATCACTGGTTCTTCTTCTCTTCCGCACTGAAGCCCTTCGGGATGTCGTTGGTCAGAGGCGACTGAATGCTTGAGAGCGCGGAAACGCCGAGGAAGACGACGGGATAAGGATAAGGAAGACAACGAGGAGAACGAGGATGAGCCCCGGCGTGAGGAGTTGGTAGCGCTTGAGGATGCCGCCGCTTGGGCTGGGGGCAACTTGCGCCTCCTCGAATGTCGACGAGCTCGACGACTGGCGGGGGTAGAGGACGGACCCGGCGAGCCAGAGTAGATCACGAGGTAGTTGGAGAAGACGGCTTCGATCTTGGAGAGCTCCTCAGACAGCCAGGACTCTGGAATTACGGCATAACGAGAGGTCTGAGAGGCGGGCGATGCATAGGACGGGCAGATCACTCACCGTGGCTGGCCATACTGTGCTTCCTCGATGCACCCACCTCGCCAGACTCCAGAGGGGGCAGGGAAATCGTGACAACGTGCTTTCCCTTCCCAGCATCGATATCAAGACGCTCAGCATCCGGTGAATGGCTCACTGCATGTGAGCCGCAGCGCTTGGAGAGCATGCTTGACATGTCGACGAAGGGGTTGGTGGAGGGGCCGTCGGACGGAACGTAAGGGAGATGCAAAGTCGAGGGGGCCTTCGACAATGCTTTCGCCGTGTGGCAGGAAGGGGCTAGAGCACGGAGGTCGGAAGCGTGAAGCTGCGAGACGAGGTCAGATAGCAGGGAACGAGGCGGGATCGTGGAACTCACCCCAGAGTGGTCCACCACGACGACAGCGTCATGCGTGCAAAGTCATCGTGGGTATAGAGGGCTTCTGCAAATGCGTGGGCGTTGGTCTTCGCGGCTTGGAGATGGCTGGGGCAGAGAGGGCGTTGGAACTGGAATGGGTCAGTCCCGAGGATGGCGGGGCGAGCAGGGATACATACTGATGAGACGACCAGACAAGGACAGGATGTGTGTTGGAGTACGCGGACACCGCTGCGGGGAGCAAGGCGCAGACGATAGCGAGAGCGCGGCCGGCCATAGGGAAGGTGGTGGACGAGGCCGAGATGAACGCGGGTCCGTTGTCCGTGCCCTCGAACGTCGCCACCTCCAAGCGCCTGCGGCAGTTGCCGCGTCCGCCACTCCACCTGAGTGTGGGCAGCACGCGTCTGTCCTCTCCTCCGCCGCCCGTCCTCCCCGTCCTCCCCAGCATCCTTCGTGCTGGCTTTGTTAAACCGTGATGTCTCAGGTGCAGGCCTCCATCCCCACGCAACCCCGCGCGAAGCAGCTTCGGGCATGTCTGCTCTGCTCGATCATTCAGACTCCTGCAGACTTCCGCAAACACGGCTGTCCGAATTGTGAGGAGCTCATGGGAGTACGTCCTACCCCCTCGCCATACCCTGGCGCTAGTGTATTGATTGGCTGCTTCTGCTTCAGATGAAGGGTTACCCTGATCGCATACAGTCATGTACCACCACCCACTTCGAGGGTGTCATCTCAGTCATCAACCCTGAGGATAGCTGGGTGGCCCGATGGCAGAGGACATGTGCGTGCTTGATCGTTCAGGCCCTCTTCTGCGCCTGACCCTTTCTATCAGCAAAATACGTGCGTGGTATGTACGCCGTTCGCGTCAAGGGGCGTGTTCCGGAGGACGTCGAAACCGAGCTCGAAAACCGCAACATCAAGTATCGGCCAAGAGATGGGACCGACCAGGATTAGGTTTTCGCCCCCAGCTCTCTTGCATTAATGTGTCGCCTCATCGCTCTGTCTCGTCTCTTCCACGTTCATGTATTCCTAGACCGCATCCCCCCAAATGTGATTTCTTGGTTGATCAAGCCTGCCATGCGTCTGTGTCCCTACCATCCCTGCGTTTTTGTTGGTGCACATTTCTAGCAATCCTAAAGCGCATCATCAAAACCCTGCTAGGTATTGGCAAAATGGGTATCCAGAGTGACAAGGACATAGTGTACAACATCTAATCTACACGGTGTAAACGATTGGAAAGTGGCCCTAGACGTTCCACCCCTTGCTAGGCGGTGGTAAGGGCCCTTTTGCAGGTATCTTGTCCGGAGCTGTGGGCTTCAATGGGGCGGATGTATTTATACTGGCGTGTTGACCTTGTCGAAGAACCAGGCGGGCATAAATCCGACACGATCGTCACCGGATACCACCTCTTGGACACCTACATCATCCAAGAGGCGAACGGTAGCGCCCTCTCTGGGTGAAAGGGTCACTCGCCACACCCGTCGCATGCCGCCCCCGTCGGCCTGGTTTTCAACCTGTAAGGTCGCTGCGATCTGCGAACGCAGACTCGAGATAAACTGCTGGCCCCAGTAAAGGCATATTTGAGGATCCCAGCCATGAGGCTTGCCACGAACTAGGCGCGGTAGCTGGACGGTCTTGAAGGACTGGGTAGTCGTGAGTCGACCAGCAGGTGTCCGAAAGCCTACGACGACTTCCTGGACAACGATGAGCACATGCCGTAGCCACAATAGAAGCCACAACAGGAACGCCGAGCAAAAATGACTGCATATAGAACCGGAGCATTTTCCTGCCATACGACCATGAGCTTTACACGCCTGCAAAAGCTTGCCGGAAGCACTTACTTCTCAAACCGCGCCTCATCTTCCGGCCCACGAATCGACATCGACGTCTTCAACTCGACGAATGTATCTGTTTGTCCTTTAAATCGATCTGAGGTAAGGTGAGTAAGATCCAACAGGTTGAACGGGGCAGGCCGCACCCCGGACGCAATCTACTTCGCCGCCAATAACAAGGCGGTTGTCCCCGAGCTTTGTTTTGACCACACTGCACCATTGCACGTTGGTGTCGACGTCGCCTCCCCATCCGACGGGCTGACCCTGTATTCGCTCTGGTACGCCTGGGCTCGACGATGTGCACCAAGACTCAAAAGAGTAGCCGTAGTATGTTTGCTGCCGTTGGCGCGGCGCGAGATTTTCCCTGCGCATACATCAGTTGAGAGGATGCGATCGCAAAGCCAAAGGAGCAGACGTACTTGTCGATCAACTTCGCATCCGTTGTATGCTCCTCAAGGTATAGCGTCCCGTTCACTAGCATAGCGTTCAGCTCGCATTTGTCGCGCTCTTCGTAAGGCGCTGTCAAGATTCTCGGGTGGGCGGCCTGTCAGACCCGCCTGAAAGTTGCGCATGGAAAGGGCATAGCGGTGCTCACTTGGTCATGACCCCTCGCCAGGTAACGACAGCGATGTCGTGAAGCCACTGTCTACCGCAGCCCGCACCCATGTTCGTGTCCGTCTTCTGCATGACGCAGTCAATCGCGCGTAAGAGTCCGTCCAGCCGTGTCTTTTCCTCGGGCCGCTTGATCCATCGGTCGTAGCCGTACTTGAGGTCTGCATTTGGCGGGGGATCGATGTAGTAGCGGAGGGCGGAGTCGGTGAGCTCGAGTGCCCGCTGAGGGTTGTAGGAGAAGGTTAGGAGCCCGGTGGGCTGCTGGAAAGGTACTGGGCGTGCGGTGTGGGGAAGGGCAGTCGACGGATACGGGAGCGAAGTGGCTTTGGGCGGCTGTGGGCGCGGTTTTCGCCGTGTGCTTCTCCGGGGTCGCGTTGGACGCTCTTTGATGGTGGGGGAGTGGTCGCGGACGACGAGGAGAGACGTCGTTTACTCATGGTGAGGTATTGGCCTGAAGGTCGGCTGACAGCACCATGAAGCCAATCCGTCGACAGTGCATAGCGCATGGGCGGCCGATTGAGCGCTCAAAGCACGTCTGAGATCTATGCTGCCACATACAAATCTGTCCCACGGGCGAGATCTCACAGCGATGGTCGTGCAAATGAACAGTCCCTCAGGCCTCAAGCAGGCCGCAATGTCACCATGCATCACCCGCCATTGGGGCTGGGCAGAGAGTGCGCTGCGGAAGGCGGGCCGGGTGGCGCGTGATTATGTATGTAGCGGAGGAGGCTGATTTGACCCGTCGGAGTCTGAGCTCCCTGACCCTGGTCGTCTCCCTGCTTTCACGCGCATCGCCCGTTGGCTTTAATCGCGCGAGCATCCGGTCCCTCCTCCTCGACACACTCTCCTTTGTTTCATGCTCTCCAACTGGGACAAGTATGGTCGTTTCAGCCTCGATCTTGCCTCTGCAGCGACCGCCGTCGGCTTCTCCACTGCAAGGCATGCACCAAGCTCGGCGTACGCCTCTCCATTTCCTTTCTCTCTCTTCTCCATCTCAAGTTCTCTCTATCAGTTCTCCGTCACTCGTGGAATAGCCTCCACAGCGGCCGGTTTCACTGGTACCGTCGTTGACTATGCTTTGTTTGGCGGAACCACTGGCGCAGGCGAGATCTTCGGCGGTGCGGTTTCTTCTGCTATCTCTGCTGTCGAGTTCGTTGCCCTTGCCCCATCTTACTCGGAGAATCCATTACCTCGACGTCCCTAATCGCCGCCCACTCCTCTCTGTCCATCCTAACCACCATCTTCCCTGGGAGCGACGAGGCAAGCTTTTCCCTTACCAGCTTCGTCGGTCTCGTTCGTCGTGAATGGAACGAACCCGCGGAAAGCGAGCATTGCCAGAACAGCGGTTTGGCGTCACGGAGGTCCTCAGAGCTCTCGCCGGGTTCGCTGCCCTCCAAGGCGTGACCAGCCACTGGCAGGAGAAGCGATGGTTCAAGTACATGAAGGAAGTCCCCGTACACGACGACGCTAGCACCTTCGCTCGCAGGAAAGGGTCGACTCCAGAGTCACCATCACGGGCGACACCATCTACCCCAGCCACTCCGGCCAAATTGTCACCGCGGACATCAACGAGGTTCCTGTCCCTGGGGGCTGGCCCACTCTCCAAGTCGCAGGCGTCACGAATGCATCAGGCCAGCGGCTTTCCACTCGACGCCATACGCGGCCCTCTGCGTCCATGGATGATCTCAAACAAACCCTCCGTCGTCTGTCCAAGCTCGTTCTTGCAGGCTATGGCGGACCGAGTCTTCTCTTCTTTGGCGTCTCTCTATCGCCCTGGGAGAAGGTGCAACAGAAGGAAGAGGTTAAGATCGCTGACGCCATTGATGCTTCAGAGAAGGAGGCCGCGGGCGAGACGGCCAGAGGCGCACCACAGATTCGAACCGGCCTGGTGGTACGGCGTATTCTTGGTGGGACGTCCTCATGGGTAAGCACGACCATGATATTTTCCTCAACTGGGCCAAGTCGCATTCGTCGACCCCGCAAGCCTCCCCGGAATCCGCTGTATGTCCTTCATGCATCAATATCGACTATATGCTCATGACTTGAGTACAGCCACATCCACCTCCCACCGCACATGTCAGCTCCGAATCGCACATGCCGCGGTTCTGGGTTTTGACAGACCACGTCCGTCAAGAAGTCGTCCTCGTCATTCGGGGACCATGAGCTTGAATGAGCTCGCTGTCGACCTCACGTGCGATCCTACTCCTTTCGTCCTCCCGAATGACCAGCCGCCACCTCGTCCCGCGCCGATTCACACTCTAATTCACGACCGCAACAACACCAGGTCCAGCTACGACGTGCAGGATGAGGAGCTGGAAAGCATACCTGGAACTTTCCTTTCCCCATGGATCTGTCCGTTCCGTTTCCGACGACTCCCTCGGCACCAAGATCCCGCAGGAATTCCGCACGTTCGGGGTCTTCTACGCCACTCCCCCGTTCACGCGTTTTGTCAGAGAGCATAGATGACAACGTCCATCTCGTGCACGGAGGAATGATCAGAATGACGCGCGCGATGGGGTCTCCTGGGAAACCTGTGCACGTAGCCGTTCGAGAAGCATTGCGCAGGAACAAGGGATACTGTGAGTTTTTGCACCGCACCCCATACGGCAGACACTAATGCTCATCTCGCAGCGCTTGTATTGTGCGGTCATAGTCTGGGTGCCGGGGTCGCTGCTCTTCTAGCGCTGGTGAGTATACTGCGAATGTCCGCTGTCGCTGGCTAACATGTGGAGTAGATGTGGGCCTCGACTGAGACATGTCTTACACAGAGGTCGTCGGGGCTACCCGTCAACCGTCGCGTCTCTGCCTACTGCTTTGCCCCTCCGTGCGCGGTCTCCCCACGGTTGAGTGCGAAGGCCGCGGCCTCCGGCTTGATCATGTCTTTCGTGTACGGCCACGACATTGTTTCTCGCTTGTCTTTAGGCAGCGTGCGCGATCTGACGCGCGGCGCTGCCTGGCTGTGCGCGGCGGAGAACCGCGAGGGTTCAGAGGAGGGATATTCCACTCTGACGAAGAGAGCGTTCAAGTGGAAAATCGGTCGCGGAGAGGAGGGAGATGAGGAATGGGTACGTCACTGCTGTCATCCTTCCGCGCATCCATCGCTGACGCAGGAGCGCAGTTCCTCGCCGTCAGGAAGACTCTCGAGGCGAACATGCAGATGGCCGACCTGTTCCCGCCCGGGCGCGTCTTTTGGGCCCTCCGCGACGGCGATCTGCACCGCAGCCATCGCATCGGGGCCGGCACCGGGCGGTCGTCCCCGAAGGACAAAGTGCGCCTCTTCGAGGTCTTGGACATCGAGCACGTCTTCGGGCAGATCATCTTTGCCCGGGACATGCTCAGCGCCCACCTCCCGCACCAGTACGACCAGGTCCTCCACGAGCTGCTGTAACACAAAACACACTACCGACTACTCGAGTTCGATGTTCGTGCCCACGTAACGGCGCGCTGTAGCATACCCGACGATCACCAATGTACTAGTACTCTGCGACATGCTGCTGGATAGACATGTATCCCTTATACACTCGTACACTCATGACTGCGTATGTTTGAATCTTTACTGTAGTTCCATACTTAGATGGGTAGTCCGGTTAGCCTCGCCCACAAAGATCGCTCTCACTTTACTCGCTCCTCACGCGTAATCTTGTAACGTTTATACACGAGCCTCCCTCAATACGCGCCCCAAGGTGTCTGCGAAGAGGATTTCGGAAGACGGGGCCGACCGCCATATCACTGCTAGATGCGAGCAATACACACGCGCAGTCGCCGATGATGCAGCACAGACGGGACAGGGGATGCGTGGTGAATACGAGCATTACGGCGGGAATAGTATACGATAAGTGCTAGCGGCATTACTCCTCGGAGAGGAAGCCAGATGCTTTTCGGCGGAACTTCGCCTGGTCCCGCAACCACTAGAACACGGTCAGCACAGGCCTCAAACGTCGACGCACGTGGGACGCACCTGTCTGTAGTCGTGCAGAGAGCCATCTTCTCTCCTGCAGGGCCGGGGGAAAGTCAGACTCGGACCGCACGCGCACGGCACGGCGGGGGGACGGACCGTAGTAGTCGGGCACGGGGTTGGTCGCGCTCTGGCGGGTGGGGTCCACGCGGTTCCGGACGATGTGCTCGTGGAACTGCTTGTCGCGCTTCTCGATGAGCTTCATGAGGCGACGGTGCGTCGTCCGCCAGATGTTCGAGCCGATGACGGGGCCGATGAGGTAGCCCAAGCCTGCGCACACGTGGTGGACGCGTTGGCCGGGGGGACGCGGAGAGAAGGGGGGAGGACGCACCTGCGCAGCCGAGGGTGGCGCCGCCGTACACGAACATGGGGTCGATGTTCTATCGGGGGTCCTGGTCAGCTCGTTTGAGAACAGCGGGGACGGACGCGCGCGCGCGACGCACGAATATGGGCTTGGTCGGGTCGGCTTCGATGGTGCCAAAGTACGCGATCCCGCCCATGAAGCCGGCGATGGTGGAGGGGATGGTGACGGCCTGCGGGGGCGGTGAGGCGGGGAGACATGGTGCAAGGGACGTGCGGACGGACTGACCATCTCCCATCTACGCTTCCGCTTGCGGATGGCGAGGTACTCCTGCCACGGAAGGGTTTCTGGTGCGTCGGGCGTGGGGTTGGCCTTAGAGGCCATGCCGCGACGCTTGAGGGTGTCTTGGGCACGGGCCCTGCATCTCTGGAGAGCCTGTGGCCGAGAGACGGACCTGGGGAGCTGTCGCAGCTGCAGACTGGACATGGTGGGGACGAGGGCGTGGAAGAGGCGAGCACCTGCAAAGACGTTGCGCGCGGAGTCGTGTCCGGCGGCAAGGAACAGTCACTTTGGCGCTGGGACTTTTCGGGACGGGCCGGCGCGGCCGGGAAGACGTCCGCACGAACTTGCAAGTTGCAATCAACTTGCGTTAATCCTGCGGCTCACAAAACAAATCCTCACTCTTTGCGTCTACTTCATTACAGCAGGCCGCATGAAGTCAAAGATCTAGCAGTACTTACTTCTGCGGTGCGAGCGCCCGAGCAGCTGCCAGATCCAGCAGGTTCCGTACGGTGACGCGTTTCCTTGACGCGTGCCTTAGCCACTAGTCTTGCCCAGCAATGGTATATACATAAGGAGTACGAGGCCGAGGCCGTACACCGGACACAGATCTACTTCGCCGACTCGTGTGGGTGACGGACTCGAGGCATGAGCGGCCCGTGTCGTCCGTTGTCCTCAACCCGGGCGTGAAAGAGATATCTGTTGCACGCTGACACATAAAGGACTTCCTCCGGCGAGAAGGCACTTTCATGTCCGGAGCGTCGATGCCTCGCACCTCGCCGCGCCCGTCGGACATCCAGTGCGCAGTGGTACGCAGATCACGGCATACCCTTCCGGAGAGGATATCTGCCGTATGTTGTGCGGGGCTCGGGGAAGATTTTGCTCATTCGTTGCCGGCGAGCTGATGCTGGACATTCACGTCGTATCCCTGTCATCATCATGGATTAACGACAGCACGCTGACGACGCTTGGCATGGGACACCTCCTCGCACGGTGTGTCGTCCTGCTCGAGGACCTCGACGCGGGCTTTACGCGGAGCACGCCGCGCGACGGCACGTCGACGGGCTTGCCAGACGGCGAGTCTAAGGAGAAAGTGAACGAGCAGCCGACCCGCTGGGGGCGGAAAAACGGCAGATGTCAGATGGAAACACGCTCAACTTGAGTGGGCTGCTGAACGCAGTGGATGGAGCGTGGCCTCGTTGTTTGCGTCCACCCGCAGTCCTTCCGTTCCCCGGCGGCGCCCGCGTGCTGACATTTGGCCAGAACCACGAACCTGCGCTGCCGCAAGCGGGGCGAATGGACGCGTGGATGAGGAACGCGTCGAAATGGCAGGCAGAGGGCTGTTCCGCAACTTCTTCCCATCTACGGACGAGGACAACGAAGGCTCGAAGGCGAGCTGGATGTTATTGAACTGCCACCTGCCACGGTCGCTTTTGGCAGGGTCCCTGGCAGGGTCGACCCTGTCTCCGCGCTGTCCTCGGTGCCCACGAGCACGTCAGGGTCGTCGATGCCGCTATCACCGCTATGGCCAAGAGTCGTACGTGCCGCCGCGGATAGAAGAGGATTGCTGGAGAGCAATGTGCGAAGCCGCTGGACGGGGCGACGGCCAAGAAGTTCGTGGATGCAATGCGGGACGAGGATTTGAGTGAGGCAGGGCCCCGAGCACAAGGAGGAGGAGGTCAGTCTTTATCGCGATGATCACCGCTGAGCAGCGTCCAGCGCGAGCAGCGCCGCGCATGATGGAGGGAGACGGTGCCTATAGCGGATAGCAGGAGTCTGAGGCGTGGGTGGGCGTGATCGGTCGGGTTTGGTGGACGCCAAGTGGAGGTTGCTTGAGGGTTAGAATACATGGTTCACGCACGTCCTTTCAGCGAACAAAGCGACGGCGACAGCCCGAATTTAAGGTGTCACCGAGCCGGTCCGTGGGCGATCGCCGTCGATCGAGGCATGTCGGCCGCTTCGAATAGCCGCGGTGGTTTTGCCCGACATCGGGCCTATGGAGACTATGCCGATGGGGCATGGCTGAGTGCGGCCCTCGGGGTCGGAGAGGTGCAGAAGAGGCGGGGGCGGCGGGCGTCCGCGCAGACGATGGTGGTGTAGGGCCAAAAGTCGGTCGCAGCCTGCGAGCGTGCGTCGCTCTCTGCCACTCGTCCAACTGTCTTTTCTCCCCGCGCGAAACGAGTTCTCGGCCGTGGCGGCGCGGACGGGCCCGAAGGGGGCCAGGCGCGGGCGGGCGCGGATTGGGCGAGCGCCGGGCGGGAAGAGGCCCGGCCAATGGCAGGCGCCCGCGGTGATGGCGGTCGCCGGGGTTGCCGCCAGCGCCGTCCTTCTTCTTCCCCGTCCTCCACCACAGCCCAGGCGTTCCCCCCCGCGCCCCCTCCGCTCCTTTCCTCCACCACCCCGAGCTCGCCATGGGTTGTGTCCAGTCCTCCGGCATCGACGATGAGGCCAAGGCCCGTGAGTCATCCCCCCGCACCGTCTCCCTTCTCCCCCGCCCGCCCGCTCACCCGCACCACAGGCAACGATGAGATTGAGAACCAGCTCAAGCGCGACCGCATGATGGCCAAGAACGAGATTAAGATGCTGCTTCTCGGTGCTGGAGAGTCGGGCAAGGTCCGTTCTCCCCTCATCATGCCCCCGCAACCGCTCCAACACTCAACTTCTGCTCCCAGTCTACTGTCCTCAAGCAGATGAAGCTCATCCACCATGGTGGCTACAACGAGCAGGAGCGGGACTCGTACAAGGAGATCATCTACTCCAACACCATCCAGTCTATGCGGTACGTCCCCTCCCTCGCTCTCGTCGCCCCAACCCCTCGTCCTCAAACGCCCCGTCCAGTGCTATTCTGGAGGCCATGCCCCATCTCGACATCCAGCTCGCGCCGCAAAACGACTCCCGCCGTGCGGTTGTCCTCTCCCTCCCTGGCCAGATTGAGGGTGATGTCCTCCCCCGTGACGTTGCGGACGCCATCCGTAGCCTCTGGAGAGATCCCGGTGTGAAGGAGGCCGTCTCCCGCTCCCGCGAGTTCCAGCTCAATGACTCCGCCGTCTACTACTTCAACGCCATGGACCGCATGTCCGCCCCCAATTACATGCCTACTGACCAGGACATCCTCCGCTCCCGTGTCAAGACGACGGGTATCACTGAGACCACATTCAAGGTCGGCGAGCTTACCTACAAGCTTTTCGATGTCGGTGGCCAGCGGTCCGAGCGTAAGAAGTGGATCCACTGCTTCGAAAACGTCACCGCCCTTGTTTTCCTCGTCTCCCTTTCCGAGTACGACCAGATGCTCTACGAGGACGAGAGCGTTGTATGTCCCCTTCACTCTCCTCGGCTTGCTGTGCCCTCACTGCTGCCCCTCTCTAGAACCGTATGCAGGAGGCGCTGACCCTCTTCGACTCCATCTGCAACTCACGATGGTTTGTCAAGACGTCGATCGTGAGTGTCGTGTCGACCAAGGAGGCTGACGACTTCCGATGGTCGGTGACTAATCCACACCCTTCTGCAGATTCTGTTCCTGAACAAGATTGATCTCTTCGCTGAGAAGCTTCCTCGGTCACCGCTGGGCGACTACTTCCCGGACTACAACGGTGGTGACGACTACGACGCAGCATGCAACTACCTTCTTCACCGATTCGTGTCCTTGAACCAGAGCGCAGCAACGAAGCAGATATACGCGCACTACACTTGTGCGACAGATACCCAGCAAATCAAGTGTACGTCTATTGGTCACTGTCTCTGGCCCGCACAGCGCTGATGTTTCCATCTGTGATGGATATCTTCCCTGCCTTCCACGTACCCACGTTGTGCCAATCCCCCGGACACTGCGTTGTCGTTTCGTCGTCCTCTCCGCGCCGGCGGCGTATGGCCCGTCCGTGGTCGGATCTCTGTCGGCGGCCGTGCAGTCGTCTTGAGCGCCATCCAGGACATCCTCCTCCAACTCCACCTGCGGGAGTGTGGCCTCCTGTAATGGGACCTCGGTTATTGCCTCGTGGTGTCTCTTTCTCTAGTGCATGCTGCATCTCTCCCGGCGTGGTCTCCCTCTACTAGTATTTTCCTCGTCTCCCCCCATGATGTGTCCCATGTGCTCGTGGAGAGCACCCTCCATTTCATCACGATCACCCTTGGCGCCGCCGGTGGGCGTTGTAATGGTTGCGTCGCGCTATGTGGCGCTGCACTGTCATCGCATATTGTACATAGTTGGAAACATACTTCTCGTCTGATACGTCCAGTTCATACCCACCACACGTCGCTCCTTACCAGCCCACATGCAGGCGTGATCTCGCACACGCACCAATCCCCGCTTTTCACCGGTCCACGACGCTTCCTCTTCCACCGCACCGTCGCCTTCTTTCCTTCTCCTTCGCTTGTGATTGTGCTCATGACTGGCTGTGTCGGGACGGGATGTTTTTGTAATTACCTACCCTTGTCATCTACCCTTAGTTTTGTTCTCGTCCGCCTCCGCCGGAGGACCGCTCCCCCGGCTGTGCGAATAGGGCCTCTCTGTAACCGTATGCACATAGCTTTTATGTGCACGCGACGGCTCTTCACGACCTATAATGTACTCCCTTGCCAACCGTCCCCGTCCGCCGCGCGCCCGAGTCCCACTGCGTCCCCTCTCCTCGTCTGACCGGGATCGTCCCCATGCCCCCATGCAGTCGGTGACGGGTGTCGCCATCGTCGTGGTGGGCACAGGCTAACTCCGGAGGTCCGAGAGCGTCGCGCGCGACGTTCGTCAACCGAGCGTGTGCGCGTCCGCCGGGCCAGCTCGAGCTGCCCGGGGTCCGCGCGCCGCGCAACCTGTAGGGCATCTGCCTCACCGCTGCCGCCGACACCCGCCGACCTCCAGCTGTGTTCATATGTAAGGTGGGCCGTGCAGCGGTAGCGCATTTCCCTGCAGCACCTCCGATCGACTATTTGTCGCACGCGGGCGCCGCCGGAGGCTCGGAGGAGACGTGGCCGAGCTGCGTCCAGTGCAGGCACACGCGAAGCTCCGCTCGCCCGGTTGCACGCCCGTTTACGCGAGGGGCCCGGCCCATCGGTGTGAAAGTGAAAACAAAACTGCTGCAGTCGCCCGCGGCTTGGCTACGCGCTTGCTGCGATCGCGCAGGGCCCAGGCGACCGTACGGCTGCAAGCGCGGACTCAGGACAGCTGTTCGCCCTGCGATCGACGGAAGGGGTTTTAAAGTGAAGATTCGTCTTCAAAGACTAGATGGGGAAGGATCGGTCCATGCATATGGGAAACAATGTCGCTCAGGCGAGCAAGTTGAACTCGGTACCTGCGCTAGGCCCTAAGCGCGCGTGCCCCCCCTGAGACAGGTTCCTGCAGTGAGATCGCCAATGTACTCGGCATTGGCGACTGTGGGTACCGTCACCCGCGGCTAGCACTGCGCAGCGATCCGTATGTCGTGTCCCGTGAAAACTAGGGTCAATGCGAAACTTCGTGCGTTGGACCGGACTCGAGTACACATATGTATCATACATAACGATAACGTGACAACACACCACCGCGACGCGTCCACGGCTCTCACGCCGGGGGCGAGAGCAGGCTGGAGATCCACCTCGAGAGGGCCGGCTTCTCTGCACACTGTTCGACGCCCGGTCAGCGGGCGGTCCGGGGAGCGACGCACGAAGCGCGCGGGGGACGGGCTCACCGTGGGGCACCGGTACGAGCTCTCGGCGCCGTCCGCGGAGCCGGGGCAGCGCTCGAAGCGGCGGCCCTCCCGCACGTCGTCGTTGAGCTCGCTCGCGCCGCAGTACCAGCAGCAGCGCGCGAGCTGGTCGCCGGCGAGCAGGACCTCGACCTCGTGCGCGTCGCGCTCGCCGCCCTCGGCGGCGTGCATGCGCTGCGTGCGGCCGGTGGCGCGCACGACGGGGGGCTCGGCGGCGAGGAGGGCGGCGAGGACGCCTTTGGAGGGGCCGAGGTTGCGCGGGTCGCGGTCGAGGTCGCTGTCGAGCCAGATCAGAGGACGGCCTTGGGGGGAGAGAGAGGCGGGGGCGGCGGCTGGAGTGGAGACGTTGAGGACGGCGTAGGTGCGGGAGGAGGCCATGCCGTATGCGCGAGAGAAGACGACGAGGAAGGTGTTGGGCTTGCGGGCATGGCGGGCGAGCGAAAGCTCGAAGCCACGGTTGGCCACTTCGGGGGATGTGAAGACGAGCATGAGGAGGAGAAGAAGGTCGTTGAGAACGGACGATTTGCGGATGATGAGGAGGAACTTAGAGAGAGAATGTCGTGTTCAGCGCTCCTGGCACAAATCGAATAATACGTGTCGTTGGATGCACTGCCCTTGTGATCGTGCACCCGCACGAGCCCGCCACAGAGGGCGCGGATGGGGCAGAAGAGGGGTGTCGCAGCACGGAGCACGTGCAGACAGAGCGCGCTCGATGCAAGCCGTGCTCGACCTTGCTCGACTCCCGTTTCACACCATCACTGTGCACCGCGCCCCAAAGCAGTTCCGGCCGTGCTCCCCGCCTTCTGTCTCATCGCTAAGGCCGCTCTCAACGCCGTCCGAGGTCCGAATCGCAATTGACGACGGCGCCGAACTCAGCCAACTTGCTGAGTCCGAGGACCTCTCTGGAGTCTGCACGCTCACAATGGGATCGACTGCAGTTTCTCGACTATCATGTGCACAGATACCCTTTTCGTTGTCCCCGCTCAAGATCACTGCAAAAAATTAAGCGAGTGCTTCTAATGATCCGACTTTCCCCTCTCCTTGCACCGTTCTAATGTACACTGAGTCCGTGCGGAGAGTCCCTCTTTCGGCGTCCTTGGGTCATGGGTTCGAATCATCCATCTCGTCAAACTGTACAGTCACCACAAGGCCTGGGACCCCGCTGCCAACACTCCTCGTTCTTGCTCGCACCGTAGGAAGATTTGCGAGTCTCAGAGCCTGCGATGAGGTCGCAACTGACAGCATATCACACTCCATCCACTGTGAGAGCCGTGGAGGCTGCACCGCTCACCGTACCTCCCCCGTACGCATACATACGGGCATGCAAGATCAACGCTGATTCTCCAGCTCCTTTTGCTTCTCTTTCGAGCTCCTCCTATTTCTCTAGCTGGTGGCTCCCCATTTTTTTCATACTGTTGGAAACACAGGCTTGACATTTTCTATCCTGCAGCTGTGCGGCTTTCTGCTCTCGAATATACTCACCGTGTTTTTGTCAACCCACCCGTCTACTCGTTCAATCTAACGACTCCCGACCGCACGATGCCTTCCATCGGCCGCGTTCTCGTCCTCGCCGTTCTCGGTTTTTCCTTCTCGGCCCGGGCCATTCCCGTCCCTGCGGCTTTCACTGGCGTCGAGGTACGCTATATCCCGTCGCTTGAGCGTGCAACACCGAGCCCTCAGCCCACTCGTTCCAGGTTTCTGGCACCGATGACACTGACCACGAGTCCGACGCCTTCGGGCTCGAGGATACTACCGAGGTCACGGACGAGGACGTCGACACCAGCGACTACGAAGTCGATGTGAGCTGCTGCCGCTTTCTGCCCCCACCTGCCTGATGGGATCATCTCAGTTCCAGGATGTCGACGAGTTAGAGCGCCGTGCTCTCGCTAAGACCAAGGCACCTGCAGGGCCCCCCGCGAAGGCTCCAGCCAAGACGAGTGCGAAGGCTCCGGTCAAGACGAGTGCGCACTGCGAAGGCTCCGGCGAAGACGACCACGAAGGCTCCTGCCGCTCCTGTCAAAACTTCCGCGGCTCCCACCAAGGCCAACGCATGCACGGCGAACAAGTTCAAGCGCACATACAAGCGGGAGCAACTTTTCTCCGATCTAGACTTGAAGAGGCGCGCCTCCGGCCAGGAGTCCGTTGGCTGGCACGGCACGAACAGCGACACTGCGGCGCTCCGGACCTCATAGGGCAGGCTCGTGACGCCGGCCGAGGCCTCCGGCTCCTTGGACCTCGCCAATTTCTCCTCAAACGGTGGCGCCACCGCCGCGAACGGACGTGGGGTGTACGTGTCCGACGACAAGGCCACGTGAGTGTCACCGGGGTCGTCTGCGCATACGGCTGCTGACGAGAACGTACACAGCGCCATCGCGTTCGCGAACAGCGACGCGAGGCAGAACAAGGGCACGTTGGCCGTGCTCTGCGCGATCTTCGCTAAGACCTCGTCGGGCTGGCGCACCCGGGGGACCCGCAAGGTGTCCCTCCCCTCGACCCTCGTTGGCAAGGGCGTGAAAGAGGCCTCGCGCGCACAGGACCTCAAGGAGGTCGCCCCCGACGTCACCGCCAACAACGTCGCCCGCCTCTCGCCCCCCGGCCTCAAATGCGCGTGCGCTCGTTGTGGTGCACCGGCTCGAGCACCCTTGCTGACGCCGATCGTGCACTTGCAGCCGGGTTCGCCAGCCAGATGGTGCTCCCCGTCGACCTTCTGGCCCAGTTCACGGCGCGGTGCGTGCCGGCGACCGCGGCGGCGCTCCCCGCCGGCTCGGGCACCTTCCCTGCGTTCGCATACGGCGGCACGGCGCTCCTCAAGTCGTGGGGCATCGCCCCCGCGCAGAATTGCAAGCCGTGAGGGCCCAGAGTGGTACAGAATGATGCAGTTTACAGTCCATCATGACGCAAATACTTACGGCGTTGGTGGTTATTGAGAGATGTGTTTCTCCTTCGTCCGTGCATGCCAGTGTGCTTAGCTAGCTCCCGTGTGTTTGCCGACAGGCCCCGGGGAGACGTCGCGATGTGCTGACATATTGACGTCTTGAACGGGTGGGATGCGTTGATGTTCGGGATCGACGGGCTAGTGATGGGTCGACGAACTTGGCAGTACTAATGTGGAAGGCGCACTCGGCTTTCCTCTCAGCGGAGTCGCCCATACTTCCTCCAGCTGCTCCTCGCCGTTGTTCTGGGCCACTTCTTCCGCGTACCACTCGACAGGAATGGTAGAGCCTTGAGCGACACGCGCGCAGAGACCCAGACGACGCTCATTGTCGAGTTCTCCAAGGTTCCTGTGCCCCCGTTCGCTGACATGGCTTTTTAATTAATACTTCTACTTAGATGACCCGTAATGATACAGACAGGAGCCCCCCGCGCGGGCGCGCCGACCTGGGCGCGCCATACTCAGCGGTCGGCCCGAAATCAAAATGACATCTCTACCAGTCCGCGATGTCGCTCGAGCGCACGGCGCCTCGCGGCGCGCACCCAGGGGAGGGCGTCACCACGTGCACGTACACTGCCTTCTCCGGGCAGGGACCGTCGGGACCGGCGAGGTAGGTCCCGGGCTTGCAGCCGTCGACGTGCACCATCTCGTGCGCCGCGACGTCGATCAAGATCTGCTGGGCCGGCTGCGGGAGGAGAGGCGGGTTAGCTGCGGCCGTGGGGACCTGCGTGCTAGGGAGGGAAAGGGCGGTGCGTGCGGGGGAGGGCACGCACGTGGATAGAGGTCCGGAAGACGTTCACGCGGCTCACGCTCGCGGACTGCGCGCGGCTGCTGCTGTGGTTGGAGGAGTGCGGGCCGTCGAGGAGCTCGCCGGCGGTGAAGAGCTCGCGGGAGTTGAGCGAGACGAGGAAGGAGACGGAGTAGAGCTTGGAGAGGTGGAACTGGAAGAAGAGGTGCACCGACTGACCGACGAGGTAGCAGATCATGTCGGCCATGGCCCATATGGACGTGAGCAGCCCGGTTTCGATAGTCACTGGGACAGTCGCGAGCCTGGTGAGCGTGGGGCGTGGGGAAGGAGGTCGGGATGGGCGTACGGGCGGTGATCTTGTTGATGGCGGAGTCGGTGTACTTCATGCCGGTCTTCCGTCTCCTCTGTCAGTCACCCGTGTCAGTGTCAAGTGGGAGGTTGACTTTGACGACGAAGACCCTTACGAGGTGGTAAACGAGGGTGCCCGTGATCAGGATATCACAGATCGCAGCGCTGACGAGCCAAACGATGACAATGGAGCGGAACTTGATGAAGTCGGGGATGTAAGGGATTTGGACGAAGGCGATCGCCGTGCCAATGCCGCCCACTTCGCGCTAGTTGTCAGCGGTGCAGAGAAACACACACTCCGCCCAGGAACGCACTCAGCTGCACGAAGGAGAGAAGGCCGATGATGCTCACGAGGAAGACATTCTTCGTGAGGACAAGCACACGCCAGCCGAAGAAGAATTGAACGAGCGAGGCGATGCAAGCTGTGAAGATAGGGTCTGAGTGGAAATCTAGGGCGGGTGGAATCAGTCTGGGGCCTGCCGACGACTGCGTCGCGACTTGCCCCAATGTGTCATGAGAAGCCCGTCTAAGTTTCCTGAGGAGGAGCCGCGGGTCAGCGCAGCTTACGTGACTATTGATCAATGACAATTCACCGAAGTTCACAATCAAAGTTATGTAAAGCGAGTGAAGGTCAAAGATAGAGTTCAGCGTATCCGCGAAGACCACGACGACGACCTAGGAGTATGATAGGTATGCAAAGCCAGGGCGTTAGACCGACGCCGGCGGTTTGACTTACGAAGGCCTTCATCCAGGTGCGGTCACTCCCGGGAGGAGGGGAAGTCAGTAAGACGGAGCAGAGGGTGAAAGTGCGGGTAGCTTACTTCGGGTAATGGGTGAAGTAGTGAAGTGTCTGGGTGATGAGGACGCCGTACAAGAAGAGATCCGCCGCGACAGAGAAGAAGTAAGGCCCAAAACTGGCATGGTGCACAACAAGTTAGCTTTGAAAACCAGTGAGCGGATGACACGTACTCCCTCGGCACGTTGAGCGTGGGCGCGGTTGTTGTCAACATAGTAGAGACCGAGGGATGCGGGATGAATGAAGATGGGAGGACCGGAAGAAGAGGAGGGCGAGCTGGTGTCCAGGGCTAATACCGTGAGGAGAAATTCCGGGGGACGCACTCCGGCTTGGTGATTTCATGTAGGACGATCGTCAAGCTAGGAGAGTGGATCTAGTGAAAGACAATCCGAGGCTCGATCGCTACCACGGACCCCTATGGGCAGCACCTGTGAGCAGCACTGGGGGGTGGAAAGGTGATCGTTGCCCAGCACACCTTGCACGTCCCGCTTTCGAAGGGATGGGAGGAAAGACAGACCGTCAACATGACCCCTTCATTTACGGCTCTGGGAGTCGTGCGGGCGGAGGAGCGAAGGCGAAGGCGCGGACGTGTACGAGATGAGTCGTGTCCCCCAAGGCGCGAGTACCTCATACCGGCCTAGTCGACTGGAGCCCGATATTAGGCGCGATCGTCCGCCAAGATCTGGGGATGCGTGGTTTCCCACATCAAGAGTTTGGCCTACGGACCATAGGCCTTGACAAGCTTGAGGCCTTGAGGTTTGGTGTGTCCGCGTCGACGGGAAGTTGGTCAAAGGTTGAAACGGAATTCAAGAGGCGCTGGAGGGCTCCCTCGCCTGACGGTGAAGTCGGCGCGGCGCCAGTCGTAGAGTACACCCACTGCACAAGCATGTCCCATCTGCTCGTTCGCTCGCGGGCGTGCGCACTGGTGCGTACTAGCCGTGAAGGAAGCGAACGCGTCATTGCCGAGGAGCTCATAGTTCCAGGATGCCAACCAACTATGCTTCGGCGCAAACGAGAAAGTACCGCTTCTCTCAGGCGACAACTTCTTAACCAAGATAAAAGTCGAGCCCCTGCGGTACTGTAAGTTATCCACCTTCTTCTAGAAGCATGGTCAATAAGTAACTCTGTAGCTCTTCTTCCCGTGGCAGCTGATCTCTGGAGAGCCGCAGACGGACGCTACAGGGCGTTCCAGAGCACCCCCGAGCAACGTTATCTCGCGGTGGGTTCCCTCCCGACTGTGAACTTCGCCAAACTCGAGGCTTATGCTCTCGCCCCCAGGACCGCGACTACAAACGGACCCGGGAGCTCCGCGACAGAGTTACGTCGTTCTTTGCTTTCGCCGACGCTGTGCGAGCGAAGCGGGCACGCGCAGTTGGACACGGGCGCGCCTCGCTCCACTTCTAGTACGTGACCCCCAACTTGGCCGATTCTCCGTCCCACTGAAGGGCACCCTGGTCAGCTCGCGCCCGGGGGAGCTCCCTCCCAAGCCGCGCTTGGCGAAGCTATGGCGACCCATAGCAGACGCACTGACGTCGAAGGAGTACAAAAGGGTGGGCAGCACGGGCACGTTCGACGACATGCACTCCTGGTCTGACATTCGTGCGAGGGCAGCGGGCGAATGAACTCCGAGACGCGGTCACGATGCTGCAGAAGGAAGCGATTGGGGACAGGGCGGAGAAGATGTTTCTCGTCGCCGGGCTCGCAACTGCGCCGGAGTGGCAGGGACACGGATACGCAACGGCGCTGCTGGAAGCGGTACTCGAGATGGTGAGTGGCTTTGCGGGGGGCTTGTTGGAGGCGACTGAGGCTTACGAAGCGCACCGACAGGCTGATCGAGAGGGAGATGCGGTGTGGCTAGCTACCACGGATGCAGCGGGGTTCTACGAAAGATTCGAGTTTGAGGTCGTAGCAGAAACGTGGGTCGCAAAGGACAACCCCGATTACCATGGGCCGCCTGTTCCCATTCGCATGGTGAGTGCGTTGGTACGCAGACTTGGGGGCGAACTTGACGAGGCATTGTAGATGATTAGGGAGGCGGGAAGACTCGCAGTATGATTGAACTCCGAAGCTTAGCACATGCAGAAGTCACTGTATTCCCGTTCATTCGTTGTATTTGCTGTTTCTTTGATGAGTGCTGAACGTATCTAGTGTTGCAACTGACGAGCGCGATAGTTCTCACTTGATTTTTCCCTCCTTGGACACGTGCTCTGTGCTGAAGTGAAGAGCAATCCAGAAGTACATTGCGGGCTGCCGCCCTGAACACACCCAAGTCCGTAGAATACACACGTTCAGTCTTTCTCTGCGTACGCGAGCAGATGCCGCTCGATCTCCGCCACGTCCATTACGCGCCACTGGCCCCGCGTCTTCGCGTCCTCTTCGTCACAGTCCGAGACAATCCCGATCTCGACCTCGTCCGGCTTGAAATCAGTCGCATGTACGGTCGAGATCGCCTCGATCGCCATCTACAGAACACGCGGTTAGGACGACGTTTGTGACGGGAGAGGGTACACAGGGATGAAGCGGAGGCTGAGAACGTACCTCGATGACCTCAGCGCGAGACAGCGTCTTACCCGCGCGCACCGCGTCGTCAGCACCTCTGCCCGAGTCCAGCTTCTTCCACTTCTTCTCAAGGTGGTTCATGGCCTCCTGCTGCTTCTGGCCCGCGGCCGTGGCATGGAAGCCGACAAAGTAGCCGGCGGGATCGAGCTTGAAACACTGAGGGCCGAACTCAGGGTCGGAACCGATGAGGATCATGGCTGGAGGCCGGGGTGAGGTCCCAATAGCGGCGTAAGGAGGGAAGAGAGCGCACCAATACCGAGAGGCCGCATGGCGGCGCGCTGGGTGTAGACTTGGTTGATGTTTGCCATGCGCCTCGCGAGTGCGTCCGGGGTAATCTCGTAGCCGTACTTGTAGCGAAAGTCGGCTGCTTCAGAACGTGCGCGCATCACCTGAGCTCGCGCGTCGGCTGAGCTCGAGCGGGGGCGTGAGCGCGGGGAGGACAACCGATGGCGATCGCGTACCAATGAGACCGGTCATGACACAACCAATGCTGGGGGTGATGCTGAAGAGATGCGTAACGGTGGACGGATCGAGCAGCTTGTCCTAGCGGTTCGCGTAATGGGATGAGGAATGCACTAGTGCCACCAAGGATAGAAGACGTACAGGAATTTTCTTCTGCGTAATCACGACAGCGGTATCCTTGCCACGCACAGAGATGGCAGTGTGTCCTGACCCAGAGATGGCCTTGAACGCGTATTCTGTATGGCCAAGTGAGATCCAGAGCACTGTCCAGAGCTGGTCGGGTACACGGACCTACTTGGTACAACCGACCTTCAGGTGAGAAGACGGTGAGGTATCTGGAAAGACGAGGGGTGAGCTCGCACGTGGGACGCAGTGTTCAGATGACATACCGGTCGTAAGAAGTCCTAGACATGGCGGATGGAGGAAGAGGAAGGGATTGCGACGCGGCTCAGGGTGCAGGACGCGCAAGCCACTGCGACGCGCGTAGCACAGATCGAGATTTGCCCATACCTCAGGGTTAGGGGCTATCTTGATCACGTGGGCTGCGAATGTTTGGCGGACCCTTCAAGAAGCCCTCGATTCTCGTCGCTCAGATCGCCTCGTTTCGCCTTCACTTCACGGAATCCGGAGATTTACGGGAGCAGAAGGACGAACGTGTCTCAGGTTGTGGGCTCTTTACGGTCTCGGGACGCTCGGAGACGTTAGACATCATGAAGGTGCCAGGTTCGCATAAAACTCCCACTGAAGTCATGTATATGCTGTCCTGAAATATGGTGCATGACGGCGTTTTATGTCACATTCAGCAAAAAGATTCAATGCAGTCCATTTAACGAACAGGATGCCGTCAAAATACCGAGTTCGAAGTTTTGGTATCACTCGATTTGGTGTCGCCGAGATGAAGGACAGTTTGCTACGACAGACCATTTCTTCGATGCGTCCGCGTTCGGCAAGACCGACGCCATCGCTGGTGCCTCCGAGGGCATAATCATGGGCAACCCTGCCGCAATGACAAGCACTTCAACGTACGTCTTGTCGCAGCTTTTGCCCCATAGGTGCTTATGTGCTCAACATGTCCAGACCCGCTCTCGTATCTCCCGAGCCTTCCACGAAGATTGTTGTCCGAAGCAGCATTGCGAATTGTATGAGGATTTGTCGTATCATAGATATTGCATAGCTATCGTTGTCAGCTCAAGCACGACCTTTCGATCTACTAATACATGCGGAAGCTCAACGTCGCTCAACAAGCGTGATGCGACTCGTAATGAAATCTCACGAGCTCGTCAAGGGTGCGCCATGTTGGGAACAGCTATACGATTTTGGTGTACCCGTTTAATAGATACCTGGAGAGAGCACAAGCAGCGAGAGTGATGCATAAGGGGTTTCCATGTCAAGATAAGCAACGTGGAAGAGCGAGAGCATGCGGGAGCAACACAAATATGCGATAACCGATGAAAATACCTTAGTCGAAGGTCATCTTCTTGCCCTGTGGTTCCCCGATGGCACCTGTGCGAGCACTACCACCACGGCCGCCCCCACGGCCACCCCGACCACCGCGTCCTCCACGGTCACCTCCGTAACCGCCACGGTCACCGCCGTAACCACCACGGCCACCACCACGACCACCGCGGTCACCACCAAATCCACGACCACGACCCCCGCCGCGACCGCCGCGGTCGCCGAAGCCGCCTCGCCCGCCGCGGTCGCCGAAGCCACCTCGCCCGCCACGGCCACCAAAGCCGCCCCGGCCACCAGCGTTATCGTCTCTCGGCTGCGAGTAGTCCAGACGAATGGCACGGCCGCCGATCTCGGTGCCCGCAAGGCCCTCGTACGCCTTCTTCGAGGCCTCGATGTCCGTGAACTCGACGTAGCCGAAGCCCTTCGGCTTACCGGTCTCGCGGTCCGTGGGGAGCCGGACGCTCTTGACGTCGCCGTACTCGCCGAAAGTCTCCCAGACGGCGTCCTCGGTCGTGTCCCAGGAGAGGTTGCCGACGAAGAGGACGGCAGAGGGCTCGCTGGGGGTGTCGCCGTACTTCTGCGCGCGGCTCTCGCGCACAGTGGACTTGTCCTTCTGCTCGGACTTGTCGACGTTGATCGGCCGGCCGTCGATCTCCTTGCCCGAGAGCTTGAGCGCGGCCTCGACGGCATCCGCGGTGGTGAACTCGACGTAGCCGAAGCCGCGCGAGCGGCTGGTGTTACGGTCCATCTGGACGCGGGCGGAGACGATCTCGCCGCACTCAGCGAACTCGGACGCGAGCCACTCGTTGTCGACGTTCCAGGAGAGCCGACCGACGAAAACCGTCTTGATTTCGTCAGTGGACTCGGCCGCATTGCCGTTGGCCACCTTGGCCTTTTTCGCGGGTGCGGCGGAGTCGTCCTCGGCTTTGCGCTTGCCTGGAACAAGCGTTAGGATGGGGCGTAACATTGAGAGGACAACACTCACCCTTGGCCGGGGCGGCAGTAGCATCGCCCATCTTCACGTCGCCATCAGCATCTTCCTCATCGGAATCCTCTTCAGAGTCCGAGTCCGAGTCGGACGCAGACTCTGCCTTCTTCGCAGCCTTTGCCGCAGGGGCCTTTTTCGGTGGGGGAGCCCCTTCGTCTTCTGAAGAACTGTCGGAGTCGCTGTTGTCACTCGACTCGGCCTTTTTCGCGGGGGCGGCTTTCGCGGGGGTGGGTTTTACAGGAGTAGCCTTCGCCGGGGCAGCCTTCTTCGCGGGGGCGGCCTGTTTCGTGGGGGCGACCTTTTTCGCAGCAGCGACCTTCGCGGGGGCCTCGTCCTCCGATGAGCTCTCGGACGACTCGTCTGAAGACCCTTTGGTCTTCTTGGGGGTTGCCTTCACCTGAGCAGCCTTGGACTTCTCCTCGGACTCCGAGTCGTCACCGCTCTCTTCTGAAGAACTCTCCTTCGCCTTGGCAGCCGCGGCCTGAACGTAGGATAATGAGGACATAACGATAGGCAGAGAATATGTGAGCGTACTTTGCCGTTGGTGGCAGGGGCATCACTATCCGAATCCGAATCCGAGTCTGAGCTTGGCTCCTTCGCTTTGGCTGCAGCCTTAACCTAGAAAAGAGAACACCTGTGAGATAAAAGCCTGCACAGACATAGACGGCAGGACGTACAGTGCCGTTGGCCTTGGTCTTAGGCTTTTCCTCCTCAGAGTCGGACGACTCGTCGCTGCTACTTTCAGCCTTCTTCGCCTTTACCGCCGTCTTCGCCTTTGCCTAAAACACCGCCGTAGCGTGAGCACGGTGTGCGTGAAATGCGCATGGAAGTAGAAGCGAACCTCCTTAGAGGCTTTGGCGAGGATCTCCTTGGAGGACATGGGAGTCTTCGTGATAGCCTTCGCGGGAGAGGAGGCCGCCTTCTTGACGGAAGTGGCCTTTGCGGCCTTTTTATCGGCCTTCTTGTCAGCAGCCTTGGCCATTGTGGGAGTGTAGGAGGGAGGGGGATGGGCGACGGGATGGCGGAGGGCAAGAGCGAGGAGAGACGCCGACCCCAAAATCCGCCAAATTTTGGGAAGCGCCGGGCGCCTCTGTGGGTAGCTGCCGCCCGCCCGGCCCCGGCTGCCGTGCCGCCTCCGCCTCGCGATCCTGGCTGGGATCGCTGAGGGCCTTTGCTCGACGCTGCGGCTGCAGTGCTCAACGTTAACCACACTCGCTCCCACTAAACCATGGAATTTGACGCGATAGTGCTTGGAACCGGGCTTTCCGAGTCGATTGCAGCTGCGTGAGCACCGTGCGTCCCTCCTCCGACCCTCCGCTCAAGGCTCCAACCAGTGCGCTTTCCAAGGTCGGCTACAGGGTCGCCCACATTGACACAAATGCCTATTACGGCGGCGACCAAGCCTCACTCACCCTCGACGAGCTCGTAGAGTGGGCCACTCTGCGAAGTCGAGAACACGACGCCTCCGCCGATCCCTCGTTCTCGTACTTCGCCCGTCAGCGTGCGCGTTACTCGTCCATCGCCCATTCTCCGTCCATCCCACCTCAGTCACGACAGTACTCCATCTCCCTCGCGCCGTCGATCGTTCCCTCTGTCGGTCCCCACATCGACTCTCTTATCGCGTCCGGCGTCTCTCGCTACGGCAGCTTCAAGCTCCTCGAGAAGGTCGCCGTCTACGATCGCCCGGGCTATGTCCAGAGCGTGCCCGGGAGCAAGGAGGACGTGTTCAAGAGCAAGGTCCTCTCCCTCGTCGACAAGCGCCGCCTCATGCGCTTCCTCATGTTCGCGGCCGGGGAGTTTGAAGGAAATAAGGAGCTCGAGGGCAAGGAACAGACCCCGTTCACCGACTTCCTACGTGAGGCCTTCTCTCTGAACGACAAGGCGGCTACCGCTATTGTGTATGCACTCGCTTTCTGTATGTCGTGTCAAGGTATGTTATCGCGGTGCCTGCCCGATGCTTCTTCCTCATCGTATCTATGTTGCATCACAGATCCCACCCTCCCCGCACTGCTGCGAATTCGCCAGTATCTCCGGTCTGCTGGGCGATATGGCGCGTCTCCCTTCCTGGTCGGCCACTACGGTGGCTTGGGGGAAACCGCACAGGGCTTCTGTCGCACCGCCGCCGTCAAGGGCGGCACCTACATCCTTGGACGGCGCATTGTCTCTATCTCCCAGCTTCCACCCTCCGACAATGCAGACCCGAATGAAACCGCATATCCGGGGTACAGCGTACGGCTAGAGGACCTCGATGAACTGGTCATATCCAAGGTCCTCGTATCATCCCCAGACTACCTCCCAGAGTCATTGCACAGTTCAGCCGGTTCAAGTCCTTCGTCGGAATCTGTCATTGCGCGCTGCATCGCGGTAGTCGACAAGCCGCTGATATTCACGCCCATGGATGCTTCTGAGGAACCTTCCGCACCGGATGCCGGAGACGATGCGGAGGAAGGTGAGGAGTCACCTGCCAGGGCTCCACCAGACTACGAAGTGGATACAGCCCTGTTGGTCTTCCCCCCTGGGTCTCTGGACGGGGGCTCCTCGACGTCGGCAGCACATGCTATTGTTACCGGAGAGGGTAGTATGTCTGCGCCTCGAGGGAAATGTGAGTTTACGCCAGCCGCATTCCCAGAATTTTAGATTCTGAGTACACTCTCAGGGATTGTCAACATTTCGCTCCCGCTCTCCTCATCATCAGCATTTACGTCGTCCGCGGAAGAGCTTATCAAGCCATATCTTGATGCTACGCTCAGTCTCACCGCACCACCATCGGCGGACGGAAGCGCGGCTGTCCCGCTTTTCACTGTGTTCTATTATCAACATGCAGTCAACGATACACCCAGCAGCTCCACAGAACTTACCGGGGTCGTACTCACTCCTCCATGCACACAAGATCTTGCCAGCATCGCCGATTCAGCAACACAGCATGCAGAGGGCATGTTCTGGACAGCGGTGGGGCAGCTCAAGGCAGCGGGAGTGAAGCGGGGAAAGGTACCCACGGGGAGGATGGCGACCGAAGAAGTCGAGGAGGAAGGACAGCCCGAGGAGATAGATGCACTGTGGCCCCCGCTGGACGCAGCTGACGAGGAGGCGATGGATGAATTCTAGGGATGCGGCTTGGATTGATGTAAACGCACTTGTACTTGTCTAATGGCCCATCTGCATGCACATCCGTGGACGGGGAGGCGTGCTTGGAGACCTGGCACGGACGTTGCGGGCCGCCGGGGTCGGCCGAACGCCCGAGCCGCGCAGACGTCACGGTCAAAGTGGCGGAGCAGCGCGGTGGGCAGCCCGCACCTCTCTCCGCCTACCGCGACGATGCACCCCTCCCTCCGTCTGGCGAATGTCCACAAGCCCATGATCCGCTTCCTGGGGAAGCGTCAGTGGCCCTCGCGTGCGCTCCCCTCCACCAATCGTTCTCCTGCGCTGCGCTGACTGTCAGCTACACCCTCCCACCCGATCACGCAGACCCCGAGCCTCAGCACGCGCACCCATTTGCGCCGCCTGAGCTTCAGCAGAAGTTCTCGGAGTTCGTCAAGAAGTTCCAGGGCGGCAGCACCAGCAGCGCGTCCTCATCTGCTGCGAAGAGCAAGAGCTCGGGCGGCCAGGTGTTCGAAGAGTTTTGGCAGGCCCCCGCGCGGTTCTGGAAGCGCGAGTTGCAGGAGTGGGAGGTCGATCTCGTCCAGGTGCGTCGCATTCTCTTACGCGCGCATAGGGCGTTTGCTGACATGTCGCTGGTGTTCGTAGAGCGGAGGGGCGTCGCGGCACGGGTGATATCGAGTGGTTCCAATAGATGCGCGTTCCGACGTGGATAATGCTTGCGTGAGCGGGTGGGGATGTGGTACTGCCGCTCGCTCACCGCGTTGATATTTCAAGTGCACTGCTCCACTGCGAGAAAGAGACCCGTACGGGATGTGCCCACATCCGGTCCATGGATACACTCCCCACAGATGATGGACATCGGCCAAGTATCATCGGTGTGGGAGAGGGTGCCGGAGCCCATGTGAGTGCGCGCCTCGGTCGACATACTGTGATTTCAAACGAGCTACATAGGATGCACTTTTGAAGGCCTCACGGCTACTATGGCATCAATCTTGCATCCCGTCCCACTGGTTCTTGACGGGTATTTATGCCTACGCCTTGCAAGGTTTCCTTTCTGGCAGAAGAAACCGTCACCTGCCGGCATGCGCAGTGTGGAGAGCGGCGAGTGCAGTCTGACTCGGCGCGCTCGTCCTATCGCGAACTCGTAGACTCGGGGCTCAGAATTTGTTCGATTCGCGCCAGAAGTTAGAACACCCGATCGTGACCGATTTCAACTTCGTGCTCTAGGATCCTTGCAGTGAAATACAAGGCAGGTAACGTATACGTTCACCAACTGGAGATATAACAGCCTGTCCGTATCATCTTGTCCCCACGAGGTCACCCATCAGATGGTCATCGACCGTCCGACCGCAAGTGAGAGTCTATTTTTACAGCGCGGGCACAAGTGACGAGGAGCGCAACCCGCGGCTAAACGAAGGTGAGTGCATCGTGGGCGCGTCGCCGATTGCTGATCAACGCATGGCGGGCCCACAAGGTGGCCGACGACGGTGTTCGTGGACCATTTGGGCGGCGGCAAGAACCCTGGGCAGCATATGGTCCCCGGCGCCTCGCCTCTACCATCCATGCCTGCGCACATAGACTGGCAGCTTCACCGGGAGTCCGTCCGGGCGCGTGCATCGCCTATGCCGTATCACCACTCTGCTCCGAACACTCGGAACCCGTATCCGGAGCCGCGCAGGGCATCTCCATCGAGTCTTCTTTCAGGTATCGCGTACGGGTACATAAGAGGTGCGCCCCGTCCACCCCACCTTCTCCACTTTCTATCGCTCGCTCGGACTCGCACACCGCGATAGAGACGCACTCGCGCCTGCCATGCCCTTCCGGCTCTCTGCCCTTGTGGCCCTCCTCGCGGCTTTACCCGCGGCCACCGTACTCGGTGGACAAATCCCGCTCGTCAACGGTGCGTATGGTGGGGTGCGCCCGCTGAACGCCGTCGATGCCATACTCGCCGACGTCACGCCCCTTGCGACCACCCCCGGCAAACTTCGGGTTGTCGAGAACAGCGGAGTCTGCGAAACCACCAAGGGTGTGTACCAGGCATCTGGTTACGGCGACCTCACTTCGAAAGAGAGCATTTGGTGCGTACCACTTTGTACTCTTTATGGTTTACCCGATATATAACTTTGCGACATTGCTAGGTTCTGGTTCTTCGAGTCTCGCAGTAACCCCGAAACCGCGCCACTTTCCATTTGGCTCAACGGCGGGGTAAGTTCCGATTAGAACGGACATATCGCCCCTCGACTAAACTCATGCACGTCGTATGTTCAGCCGGGAAGTTCTAGCATGATCGGTCTCTTTCAGGAGAATGGCCCTTGCAGGATCAACAATGACAGCGCCGACGTTTCGCTCAACCCTAATTCGTGGAATGAGGTGTCGAACATGTGAGTTCGCCTTGTCGTTGGTACATCTTTGCGGTGCTCGGCGCTGACGGATTTCCGCAGGCTTTACATCGACCAACCGGTCGGCGTCGGCTTCTCGCACGGGACCACAACTGTCGGCACGTCGGAAGAAGCTGCGTCGGACGTGTGGAAGTTCCTCCAGATCTTCTTTGCCGACTCCCGGTTCTCCAAGTATCAGAAGAACGACTTCGCGATTTGGACCGAGTCGTACGGCGGCCACTACGGTCCCACCTTCGCGGCATACTTCCTTTCGCAGAATAAGGCCATTGCGAACGGCACCGTCTCTGGTGTCCCCATTAACCTCAAGTTCCTCGGTGTCGGTGATGGTCTGACTGTATGCGTGTTTTTCGCACTGCCAATGCCTAGGCTAACTCATTCCTCGCTTAGGACCCACTCAACCAGTACCCTGGTTACATCTCTTACGCTGCCTCCAACCCGTATGCGATACCTCCTCGTGCCAACCGTTCGTACAGCTAACATCCTGATACAGCTACCACGCCCTCGTCTCGTCCTCCACTATCTCGAGCGCGAACAAGTCCTGGACGCGCTCCGGCGGCTGCCGCGACCAGATCACGTCCTGCTACAACACCGGGTCTGAGACGACGTGCTCGAACGCGCAGAGCTTCTGCAACAACGATATCCTCTCTCCGCTCGCGGGCAACTACGACGTCTACTACGTCCTCACCAAGAACCCGGACCCGTACCCGCCCGACATCACGGACTACCTCCAGTCCGCGGCGCTGATGAAGAAGATCGGGGCCGAGTCGACGTGGCAGGAGACGAGCGACGACGTGTACTCCAACTTCGCGGACACGGGCGACTGGATGCACAACTCGCGGCCGTACCTCGAGACCGTGATCGACGCCGGGGTGCGCACGATCGTGTACGACGGCGACGCGGTGCGTGGCTCGGTTCGGTTCGGTTGCGCTGCGCAGCCGGGATTGGGGGGTGTCGGAGCTGACGCGCGGACGGCCGGCAGGACTTCATCCTCAACTTCCACGGCGTCGAGGCGATGGTCGACGCGCTCCAGACGCAGTTCACGGACGAGTACGCGCAGCAGGAGTTCGCGAACTACACCGTCAAGGGCCAGTCGACCGGGGTCTTCAAGAACGCGGGCACGTTCTCGTACGTGCGCATCTTTGGAGCGTGAGTCGCACCTTTCCTGCCTTCTGTGCGTGGAACGTGTAGGGCTGACGGCGGATGCGACGGACAGTGGCCACGAGGTCCCTGCGTATACTCACGGGTCGCTGAGTGTTGGAGAGGCGGCGCTCCAGATGTTCTCGCAGATCATGAGCAACAGCTCGCTGAAATCGACGTGAGCCATATGGAGTCACGACATACATGTATCATAGCTGTCTCTGGATTGCAAACAAATTTAGACAAGATTCACCTGGAGATATCTAATAAAAGTGGTGGCGTCCACTACACAAAAATTGCTTCGATGCTGTAGTGCTTTGAGAAATATCGGGATATGGTGGGAAGGTGCATCGCAACACAAAGCAATCCCACCATATGCCTACAAACAGATGGAAGCACGGCGGATATAATCCACACAGTGAATTGATTGGCACACCAACGAGCGAAGTGGAAGACGACAATAACTTAATTCCAACAACGTCCCTCCCCAAGGTGAATTCAATTAATCGCTGTCGCTACTGCTGTCGTCTGCCTCCTTCTGCTCCTCCTCCTCGTCCGTGCTGCTCTCGTCATCGCTCTCCTCAGAGATTTTCTTGACAGAGCCCCCGCGCATGAGCGCCATCTGTCCGGCGAGCGAGTCCTCTTCGGGGTCCGAGATATCGTCGTCCGCGTTCGTCTCGTCCGTGGCGAGCACGGACGGGTCGTCGATCTTCAGGGTGATTTCCTGCACGGCCTCGTCGCCGACGAAGGTGTCGCTGAGCACGAAGACCTTCCAGGTGAAGAGCCCGACGTTCTGCGGCGCCTGGAACTGCATCTTGTATGCGCGGTAGTCGACCCCGCGCGCGGCATCCGCGACGGGCACATCCTGGATCTTCATCGGCGGCACGACGACCTTGTTCGACTTGACGTCCGCGAGGACGACCCACCACGACGGCTTCCGGTTCTGGGGACAGGTCAGCGAACCCAGCAAGCAAAGGTGATGGGACAGATGCTCACGGCTGGCCAGTACGGCGCGTGCGCCCAGGCGCCCTCCGGGTGACCCTCAGGCAGATCCTCGGCGTCCTTCTTGCCGACCAAGAACTCGCTGTCGCGCTTCTCGGTGTCCTTGTCCGACTTCGGGACCGCGACGGGCCGACCGTCCTTGTCGAACGGCGTGACGCGGAGCTTGACGACGAGGTTGACAAACGAGCTCGGGGTGACGAAGCGCTCGCCGATGACCTTGAAGGAGGCGTCGACAATGTCAGTCTGGCCGAGGCGGGCGAGCGCCTTCTGGGCGTCGGGGAGCGAGGCCGAGTCTGACTTGGAGAGCGAGGCGACAGCGGCGGAGAAATCGGGGAGCCCGGAGGCGTCTGACGGGGAGATACCGGGGATTTGGGCGGCCTTGGAGGACGACTGGCTGGGGAGGAGAGCTTGGGTGAGGTAGGCGTGTAGGCGCATTGCAGCGATGGTGGGGAGGAGCCAATTCCTTGACATTGTGATGTTGAGCATCGAGTTCAGGAGAACGGGTGTGTGTAGAAGGAGGTCTGCTTGCTCTGCAGAAACGAGCGATCAACAACTAGTTCTCCTGAGAACCGATGTCTCAACGTACCGGTCTGCAACGTGGTGTTGATGACGGGCAGGCGCAAGAGGTGGGTGTACAAGAGGATGAGTGCCCTTCTTCGGTTCTGCGACTTTTGCGAGGCGGCGTCCGCCAACTTGATAAGTTCATCCCACTTTGTACCCATTGTCTCCTTGATCTGTGTCTCTAGCCGCAAGAGTTCTGCATCCACCTTGCTGGCCTTGGACGAGAACTCCCACTCGAAAGACTTGCCAAGCGAGCTCGTCACATCATCCACGGTGGAGTCTTCAGTCAGGTTCTTGAAGAAGACGGCGGCGCTGCGGGCGTTGACACCATCCTTGGTCTTTTCGCGGTTGCCGAACCACCAGCGACCCTACAGAGAACGTGCTCGATGAAGGAGGATAACATACCGCCATCAAAGTTACTCACCACCATGGCCGGAAGTGCGCCACCGAATATGATGCCGTATACACCCAGTACCCAGATGTTGTTGCTGCTCTCAACAATCCACGGGGGAAGTGCAATACCCATAGAAACCTCCTGGCGTCCATCTGGGTTGTTGTACTTAATCCAGTTCTCCCGGATGGTCTCGTCGGTTAATCTTGTTTGCAACATGAGTCAGCCGTTACAGAAGGCGGGAAGTGCGCATGACTTACGACTTGTAAGCTTTGGTGAGCTCCACAAACTTCGCTTCTACCATTTCCATAGTCTGGTTTACTCCGAGCTTGACTTTGTCTGGATGGCTGGATGACAGGGGCGAGCTTAAAAATGAACGAGATGACGTGAGGAGAGTCGACGTACAATGTCTTTGAGAGCTTCTTGTAATGCGATTTGATTTCTTTGACCGTCGCACTCTACGGACACAAAACGAATAGGCATCAAATCATTTCGAGATGATCGCAAGACATACCTCGCCGATGCCGAGGATCTCGAAGGGATCATAGAGCTTGTTGTTGCTCTCGGTAGTTGCGACATGGTATGCGCAGAATGCTGCAATTGACCATCCAACGAGAATGATCACCGTCCTGAAAGAAGAACGGTCTGCATAATCAACTAACGTCGGGAAGAAATATGCTCACCTCCGACGTAGCTTGGGAGTCAATAGCGAGCCACGCTCATACTTGCGAATTCGCTTGCGCTGGTCCACACATTGTTGGCATTGGCATCCGGGCAACTGGGGAGATTCTAAGAAGGGTATCATGTTGAGCAAACGCAAGAATACGCGAGAAGCAACGGAGACGTACTGCCTCCAGAGAACGCTGCGAGAGTGTAGGGAACAAGGAAGATGGTGAGGAAGGTGAGGACGAAGTATGCGGCCATGTTGCCGGACTCGTCATATTTGTAGTTGGCCATGATGGCCGGCGGAGTGGCGGACGCGAGTGCAGAGGGCTAGAGTACAGAGAGGATGGAGCAGAGAGCAGAGAGGTGGGAGCGGAGAGAGGCAACGGGCGGTGGGCGGGGCAGACACGTCGGCTGCGAGCGCCTACGCGTTTAGCACCGGACGTGTCATTAGACGCCTGCAATGACGTCTCACGTGCGCTGTGCACGCGAGTCTTCGCCGCCTCCCCGTCCTGCCCTCAGGCCTCATCCCTGCGCCGCGGGGTCCACTGCCCGCCCAATGCGCGTGAAACTCGAGATTCTCGCGCCGCTTCCTCCTCTCAAGGCATGGTACAGCCCCAGTGCCCTCTCCACTGTCCGCGACCTCAAAAACTCCCTCTGCGCCGAGCTCCAGCCTCTCCAAGATGCCGGCATTCTTCCGGACGAACTCGTGCTTCTCCTCGACGACTTTGAGATACTTGACTCTAGCCAGATAGATGTGGTCCGAGATGGGGATCTTATAGTGTACGTTCCTCTCTCCCCATCTACACCGATTCTCATCGAAGACCTTGCGTATGGTAGCATCAAGAAGTCGTTTGCGAATTCACATCCCAAACGCAAAGCCGTATCTCAAGGTGAGCAACGCCATTCTTTTCAGCGTCGTATGCATGATGGGAGCCCCAACAGCCGATGGGCCTGCCCGTAAACGTACCAAGACCCAGGTCGAAACTCTGTCCCATGCGACGCGAAGACCCGCACCCACCACTCAGAAGGCTTTACGCCCGCCGTCTCCTTCCACCAAATCGTCTTCTTCGGACAGCTCCGACTCTGACTTGGATTCCGACTCAGAAAGCTCCTCACAATCGTCGGATTCCGAGGACTCGTCTTCCAGCTCCTCATCGTCCGAAGACTCTTCGTCTGAAAGTGACAGTTCGGAGTCGCTACGACCAACCACGCCTGCTTCCAAGAAGACGAAAGCGGCCGGCTCTGGGCAGCCGAAGGCCGCGACATCGTGAGTGCAACGAAACGCCTTTCCCGTTTTCCGTGCATTTACAAAGACGGCCCAGAACCTGCGAACAACCGCATGTCCCTCCGGGGTTCGGCAAGCCCTCCACACACAGCCGAAACATCCGGCGGCGGCGCAAGAAGATGGTCGAGCGCATCGCGTCCACTGTGGAGCCCGCGAGTGTGAACGACATCCCTCTCGGCCCACGTGCCCCGCCGGTAGCTGGTTCATCGAGCTCTGCTACCCCCATTGAAGCACAAGAGCTCTTCGTGCAAGGGTCGAGCAAAAAACAGACGAACGGCACCGATGGACAGACGGCCGAGGCCCCGTTGTTCATGATGGCGTCCTTGCAAAACAAGAACAAGCGGCGGGGGTTCAAGGCGGCGCTGTCGAAGGGCGTGCCGGCCAAGATCAACTTTTTGGAGGCCGAGGAAATGGAAATTCTGCAAAATGCCACTATGGAGTCGGACGCGATGGTCGTCGAGGCAACACTCCAAGTTGTGAGCCCTCCGCCGTCATCAAAAACGAAGTCGCATGTCCCGAGGCTAGTCCCGCCGTCTGAGAAGCAGGAGCTTGGGCAGATACCGTCGAATATGTTCGTTACCAGCGTCGACGTGGAGGAAGGGATGTGGCCGTTGAGACGCAAGAACAAGAAAAAGATGAAACCGAAGGCGCAAGATGTGTGGGAAGAGGAGGAGGGTCCGTCGTTCGCTAACGGGCTACCATACGACGACGATGCAGCCATGGTCATTGAACAAGCAGTCGTGGCGCGCGAAGCGGCCAAAGTCTCTTCGGATGCGCAAGCGTCGGAGTACGCGGCGGTCGCCACACACTGGGACTCACTCAGGAGGATCAACGGCAAGGAGCAACTGGTCGCTGGCGTCACTGTCGCCTGGAGGGTGCGTTTCACTGCTCGCTGTAACGGAACCCAAGTCTTATGTGTATGCAGGCCCTCGGGATTAACCAAGTAACCCTCACTCCCGAGATGCTCCTGCATGTCGGCCACGTAGAAGAATGCGCCGACAACGTGGTTGTTAAGATGGTGATGGATGCGGGTGCAGGCGCGGTCTCGTTTGGTGCGGTCTCGGAGGTCGACGAGCCCGTGGAAGAGGTCTTCGAATGGACAGACGTGCTTCAAGGGGATTGGCGACTGGTCACGATCGTCTGACGCTAGTACTATCCATACAACTACAATGCTATATTGCGGTCAACGCACATACATTCAAGAACGTAGCTGAAGAGTCATGATGACCGACCCTAAGATAAACGCACACACTCCGCGGGAGATAACCAGCCCCATTCCGCAATCGCCTTGTCCAGCTGTTCCATTAAATGCTCGACCACAGGCGAGCGGCCGCCACGCGGCGCGGTGCGAGAGGGTCTGAACGCGGCCTTCTTGGTGACACTCAACGGCGCCCACGGCGCCCAGTCACGCTGATAGAGTCGGAGTAGATTGTCCGTAGAGTCAACGGTGGAGAGCAGGATCTGGGCGGGCTTTGACGAACGCGCGGCGCGAGAACGCGACCGGCGGCGAGAGCGCGACCGGGTGCGAGGCTCGGGGGGCGGAGTGCTCGTCAGGACGCCCAGCGCGAGCTCGCGGGGCATAAAGTCGTCGTCGCAGGCGAGGGTCGACAGAGGGAGGTCTAGGTTGCCGGAGAAGCCGTCGATAAGTCGCTCAGGGGCCAGCGGCAGGCTTTGGAGATCGATGGCCGGCACAGAGTAGTGAAAGACGTGAGTACGCGAGCTCACGGCGTCGTTGAGTGTCGTCGAACGAATCTGGGGTGCCACAGGTTCTTCCAGGTCGGACCGGATAGAGTTGACAGATGTGGAGGCAGACCAGGCTGAAGACGGAGGTAGAGCGAAGTCGGAGACGGTGTGAGCGTGGCCCCGCGACATCTTGCTTGCTGAAGAATGCTGCTTGAATGAGGAGTCCGAGTCTGAGTCTGGGAAGGGCCCGATGCTGAGGTTGGCGTCGGCATAGACGGCCTGGCGGCGGAGCGCGAATTTGCGTGGAGTATGGGGGAACGAGGCGGAGCTACCATCGAGGGTGGCACGACGGCTGAGAGTCTGGACGCTTTCGCTGGAACTCTGGGAAGCGTTAAAGAACGGAGAGGCAGATCTAGAAGGGAGTGAATGCATAAACTGAGACGGGGCCGGGATGGCGGTGGTGTGTTGTCTGAGAAGGGCGGCTTCCTCAGCCAACTCCTGCTCGGGGAGCTCAGAAGGCTCGCCCATCTCGCAGGCGTCATCTTCGCCGTGCACGATAGCGGAAATCATACAGTCCTCCATTTTGGAAAAATGATCTGATTCTAGAAGGGCGAGGCCACGAAGCTTGTGTGTTGGCTTCGACACTGGAGAGAAGGACGCAGACTTGTTGGACGGATCGTGTACAAGCGTCAAGGACGGAGAGAAGGATTCTGGGTCCTGGGTCCTCCCCCCGTGGCAGGTGTTGGTGGGTCGAGAACAGAGAACAGAGCGACGATTTCCAGGCTCCTTGGGAATCAAGACGTGGATGTGAGCATGGGACGAGAGTTACGTACTAGGCGACTTACAGGGCTACTGGGAGACGAGAGAAGGCTGGGAGTGGGACTCTTGGGTGCATATAGGCTGTCGGTATCCGTGAGAGGGGAGTCGTAGGCTGAGAATTTCGTGCGTGCAAGCGACCTAGGGGTGTTTGAAGGAGAGGGGGGATGACGTGAACGACGAGCTTGACCTTTGGGGACGAGGTTGAAGCGGTGAGGAAGGGGAGACTTCTGGATGTCCTTGGTACGCATGGTTCTGGCATGAGTGCGGCCCCTATCCTGATCACCATTCTGTGTTGTGAAAGAGGAGATAGTGCAGGAGCTGCCGGTGAACGCGAGAGAGTGGGCACTGGTGCTGGGCTGGCTGAGGGAGTAGGAGTCGGCATCGGAGGGGAGGCCCATGCTGAGACTGTCCGCATAAGAGGTAAGTGGAGACAAGCCAGAGTCCATGTACGCCTGCATTGTAGTCCAGGTCGTCCAGCGCAGTGATGCTCAGATGTCTTGTTGAGGTCGGCCGCCTATCGTGGTTCGGAGAGAGCAGTGGTCGGGTGACGAGTCGACGCTGGCGTGCGGAGCAGTGGTCCTGACGTCACGCGTCGAGCCCGCCAAAGGCGCGGTGGGCGCGTTCCCCGCCTTTTCTCCTCCCTCCACCGTCCTCTGCCACCCAGCAGCGACGACACCTCCGTCGAGATGCTCGTCCTCGTCCTCGCCACTCTTTTCTGCGCGTCGATCGCGTCCTCACACCCGGTCCATCCCCGGTCTCCACCCTCCTTGCCCCACACCCCCGTCGCTCCCTTCTTCCAGCCACTCGGCCTCATCCTCGGTCTCGTCACCTTCCCTCTCTTGGCTGCGATCAAGTACACCTACCTCCGCTTCCGCAGAAGTCAAGCCATTCACCAACACGGACTCTCGTCTGCTATTCCCCTCCGTTCTTCAGTTACCCTCTCCGCCTCTCGCACCTCTCACTCTGCCCGGTGGTTTCGTCGGCTCTCTCAAGCCCTCCATCCTTACCTCGTTGGTTGTCTGGGATCTCCGGACTGGGAGGTCACCATCTCTTGCAGGCTTCACAGAACGCTCAGAAGAGAATACCTCGCTCGTCTTGCGGCAAAGTCTGCACTTCCTCCCAGTTCATGTAGGTCTTGCACTGTCAACTCCAGCACTCTCTATTCCTCCAACAACTCTCGCACCACTGCCTGTTCACACTATCACCGAGTCTTTCTCGTAGATAGAAGCGTTCGTCGCAGTCCGACATCCGCTGACTTCCTCGGCATTCCTGATTGCGCCATCCTTCACTCCCCCATCCAACTCCCTCCTCCCGCCCACCTTGAGCGCCGTCGATCTGGCTACTCAAGCCTCCCTGTCTCTCCTGTGCTACCTCCATTCCTCCAAACCATACAACCGTCTTCTAGCGAACCAGGCTCCCGCCTACCCCGCCTTCTCGTCAATGATATCTCCATTTCGTCCGCCCTCGGTCCGAGGTTGAAGACACATCCTCATCGTCTGCAGACTCATGTACGTTATTCTTTCCCGAATAATTCCAGCGTCGCACTTCACTTACAATTACCACAAGCCGTTCCTTTCCTCGCGCCTGGTCCACGACGCCACCGCGCTCGACGTGCAGCTAATCCGCCGGCATCGTCCCTTGCCCTTCTCAGAAAGCAGCGTGCGGTTTCCACCCGCTCCTCCGTACGGTCAACGGACGCAGTTTCTCTCGTTTCTCCGCGCTTGGGTTCTCCGGTCGTTGTCCACCCTCCATCGCGCCTAGCATACCCGTTCCAAAACCTGTCCATTCTCCTTTACTCCGGCCGGAGAGCTGGATCGTCTCCCCACGCGTCTGGAATGGCTGTTCCGAAGACTCCGATTCAAGCGTCGACTGCGATAAGGCACCACCACACATCTCGGGGACTATTCACAGTGTTAACAACAGCAGTCCCTTAGGCGATGAATCCGATTCCACCTCCGACTCGGCTCACCAAAGGTTCCCAAGCACACCGCCCAGTTTGCCGACCACTGGACTAAGCGAAAGCGAAGTGCTTGCGCTTTTGCTACCGCTAACGCTCGATTCTGCTGCCTCCAGCCCGGCCCTTACTCCTCCTCGGTTCCCTCAGTCGCCCCCTGGCTTGCCCGACTCTGGCACGACTCCGGGTCACGGAAGTAAAGAAGCTTGGAATCTCTCTGACCTGTCTGGCGATGACGGGAGGCTCGATATCGATGCGGTCTCGCGCGCTCTGGGATCGGGCTAGGTCTTGGCTTGGACAACGGCTCGTCGGACGACAATGATGGTATGCAATTCGCCGGCCCTTCTGCTTCGCCGTCTCCGGAGCCTTTGAAAGAGGAGACGGACGAGACTCGATTCCTCCGGTCCCCCAGCATGTGTCCTGGCAGCTGCGGTAGGAACGGGACGTGGGGGAAGCAGGTTCTGTCCTCCCCCATCGCAGGGATGGAGATGTACGTTCACGGCTTGCCGTTGTGGGTCATCCTGGAGGAGACGAAGAGCGAGGCGGAGTCGGTGTTCAATGCTGATATGCATGCACCGGTGTGTGCTTTGGGCGATGACAGCGGGATCGCGGAGGTTGCGGTTGAAATGGATAGCGGGATGGGACACTATGACACCGCGAAGGAGAACCTGGCGTTGTTGCGGTCGACGGTCGTGTCGACGACAAGCCGGTCAAGTGGCGGTTTCGATGAGAGCTTCCGAGAAGGTGACTCCAGGTAAGCTCCCGTTCCTCTACGTGCGAACCCCGCTTACCGTCGACGGTACAGTATTGGTGTCGCGTGGTAGTTGTGCGATCGTAAGATGTATTGTAGTGGTTGAACGTCACACGCTATATTGTCGTTGGTTATAATGTTGTACTTCATCGTCTCTGTAAAACTTTGACGGCCCCGAAACGACACGTTCGAAGGTCAAGTACTTGTGTTATGAAAGTTGAAGTCCTTTTGCATGAACCACAAACGCTCGTCAGGTCCAAAGTTATCAGATCACTCGGAGTCTTATTCTGAGCTGTCTAATACATGGACCTTACCCAAGCCCCTTCAGGCTTTTCCTGGGGCTTCGTGCACATCGTTGGTATCTTCATACTGAGAGTCCACAAAGCCGCGGACATGATTACACGGCCCCGGAGGCCGAACAGTACTACTATGACATGCATCCGAACCCTGCGTGACAATGTGCACTATACAGCGAGGTTTAATGGAATAAGAAGGGCCGGTGTCGGTTTCAAAATGATAGGAAACAAGGCCATGGGCTGAGAGGCTGCGCAATGCAGCCACAAAGCTCTGCATGAAGTAATAGGCGCCAACTTTGCCCATCTAGTATGTAAGCTAGCGGTGGGGACCGCGTCCGACGCGGCTTGTTCCCTGACCATTGCTGCATCATACATACTCGCCGTGGTCGAGTCCTACGTCAATTCCCTTTTGGTGTCTTGGGAGGATTGTGGTCCTGCTTAACATGCATCTTCGAAATCCATATCGGACCCCTCCGAACTTCGTTGCCCTGGCGGGAGCCTTTCCCGCTCTGAAACGACAGTATGTGGGCTTTTCTTCGTAACGTCCTGAGCTCTGGATCCTGTCCTGACGGCTTCCACAATAGCTTGGTAAAAACCGGAGACTCTTACAGCATCGACTATAAGGACGAGAATGCTCAGAGGCTCGTCCATACGCTGCGTCGCGCCGGCAAGAACGCATTGACCTATTGTTCTATAGACGACTGACGGAAGCCCTGCTGCACCGAGACTTCGGTTTGACCGTGAATATACCAGAAGGGAGACTGTGTCCTCCCGTAAGACGTCGTGCTGCAGGTTCCGTGGCGTCACTGACTTTCGTCTCAGGTTCCGAACAGGTAGGCGCGTTCCGCAAAATGCACCACTCGTCTTCGTTCACGGGCTGTCTCTAAGGTTGAACTATCTGCTTTGGCTCGAAGACGTGGTAAATGCCACCCATCTCGCCCTGGGGAGCGACGCGGAAACGCAGCCCATCATCAGAGGGCTCGACATGTGAGCTTCTGACACATTACCGCAGCGAGCGTCTTCGTCTTCACTAAGTAATCCGTCGTCGCAGAGGCACAGGGGCGTCCGCGATCTACCCTCTCCTCGGATGCCGGCTGAAGCCCAACTGGACGTTCGCGGCGACGGGTGAGTGCCACTCCACAGCCAATCGCAGACGCGGGATCCAGCTGACGAGGGGCACCAGACATCGACCCGCTGTCTCTCGAATGCGCGCGAGCGAACGTAAGCGCGAACGGACTGGAGCCGCGGATCGCCGTCGTGGCCGTCAACGCGGACGGTCCGATCCTCGGGGTGCTCGCGCAGGGTGAGCGGGGGAGCTCGGTGTTGTGGGATGCGCGCGCGAGCTCATGCTGCGGTGTGTGGGGACAGCGAGGAGCGGTACGACTTCACGATGTGCAACCCGCCGTTCTACGCGAGCCGCGAGGAGGTCTTGCAGTCCGCGGAGGCGAAGGAGTTCACGCCGAACGCGGTGCGTGGTAGGGGTGTGGGAGTGCGCATGGGCGTGGTGGTTACGGAGCGCACTCTGCAGGTCTGCACGGGGGCCGGCGTCGAGATGATCACCCCAGGCGGAGAAGCGGCGTTCGTCGGACGGATGGTGGAGGAGAGCGCGGGCTTGTCGGACAAGTGCACGTGGGTTTTCTCCTTCCATTCTGCCCCCCGTCTCTCGTCTGAGCGGGAGCCTGTGGGTATGACTTCTGACGTCCCGTGGGCACGCAGATGGTTCACGTCCATGCTCGGCAAGCGGGCGAGCCTGGCCCATGTAGTACAACTTCTCAGAGATAAACAGGTGAGCGGCCACGCTGGGTCGGGTGGGTCGAGCTCACGATCCCTCCCCCGAGCGCAGATCGACAACCACGCCGTCGCGGAGCTCGTCCAGGGCCACACGAAGCGGTGGGTCGTCGCGTGGTCGTGGGGCGCCGCGCGGCTCCCCGACGTGAGTGCTCGTGTGTTCCGGCTCTGACGGGGCTCTGGCTCTGAGCGCTCCCCCACTGCGACAGGCGATCGGACGGCTCGCGCAGCCGGGCCTGCAGGGCGTGCTGCCGCCGCGCAACTCGCTGCAGCAGGCGCTGCCGCAAGGCGCGGCGATGGCGAGCGTGCGCGCGGCGGTGCTCGACGTGCTGGCATCGGTCGAGGGGGCGTCTGTGGCGCCCTGGGGGAGCGAGGGCGGGGTGGACGTGCTCGTGCGCGCGAGCAGGAACACGTGGTCGAGGCGGCGAGGAGGAAGAGGCGGGACGCGGACGCGATGGGCGTCGAAGAGGGGACGGGGCGCAGGCACGGCTCGTTGTTCGTGTCAGGGTGGACGGGGCGACACCGACGATGTGGGTCGAATGGGTGGCGGGGGTGGATAGAGGGCTGTTTGAGGGGTTCGCGAGCCATGTGGAGAGGAAGGTGGTCGCCGCGCTGAAGGCGGGATGGGGTCGTAAATCAGAGGGAGGGCAAGTATCGATGTAGTACATTCAAGGATCATGGGCTTTCGATGCGGAGGCGGTTAGAGCCTGGCCGCGATGGGTGACAGTGGTGAGCTCGGGCTTGGGGTTGTCGAAACTTGCAGCCGTTCGAGGCGGCGCGCGTGTCGGGGGCTATGGGCGCGCTCTTGCGCGAATCGCGGTGGACGAAGACGTGGGTGTAGCCGCCGAGCACGGCGGGGGTGTCGGTGCCTTTGGCGAAAATGGCGACTTCGTATGTCACTGAGCTCGTTCCGAGTGCGGAGACGCGGAGGCAGAGGTCGAGGACGTCGGGGAAGGAAAGTGGGGCGAGGAAGCGGGCGTGCGAGGCGACGACGAGGCCGATAAGCGGTGAGGTCGAGGGAGAGAGGTGGGCATGGGTAATAAGGTAGGTGTTGACGATGGAGTCGAAGAGGTGGTAGTAGACCGAGTTGTTGATGTGTGAGTATTGGTCATTGTCTATCCTGTGGTGTGTATGAGATGGATGGTTGTGCTCTATACGCTGACAGGCTCACCAACGGGTTCGGTATTCGAGCGAGTACGGATATGCATCTCGTAGAGCCTGCGTGGCGCAGATAGGTCCGATGGTTGAGACATAGCGATGTTCTGTTGTGTATCTCTGGGCAGGGTGAGTCGATCTGGGCGAAAAGTCGTGGGTAGTACGGACACACAAGTTGGTCTGTCTAGTTGGCGGTATGGACACAAAGATAGGTGGCAACCGAGCCGGCAACACGATCGTGTGATGTCGGTGTCCGCGCGCCGATTGACGTGACGGCGCTGGCCACAGTACGTACTAGCTAGCCTAGTGATAGTGGGCTTGGCTCGCGTAGATACCGGGCATACAACACCGTGAATTCGCATATTCGTGAGCAGGCTGATCAGGCGGCGAGCGACGAGTGAGCATATTGGTGCTACACTGGCGGCCAAAAGTAATGCCCGGTCCGGCTTGGGCGTCTAGTGCGCGTCATAACTGACTCGTTTTCTATCCGTTCCCCATGATTCTTGTATGTACATGTAGAGACGTTTGAGATCAATCCACGGGTGCTTGTTTGGTGCGGATCGGCCAGGTATTGGGAGAGCTAGAAGGCCAACATGAAGAGTCACCCTGTCACACAGTGTCACACAAGCCAGGCAGCGAACGACAAAAATCATGATAGAAGCTAAACTAGAAGGACTGGTAACTAGTAGTGAGTGTGGTGACCCCGAGCAGCCTTGAGCTCTGCTACACGTGCGGGGAGGGAGTTGTACAAACTGTGTATGTAAGCGAGGTCAATCCGGTACCACTCCTCCTGCAGTGCCACCCAAAGTTGCTCCTGGTTTTGAGGAAGAGGGCTCCGCCGGCGCACTTGACGGTCTAGATAGTCCCAGACATGCTCAATGATGTTCATGTCAGGCGAAGAGGCTGGCCAGGGCATTGTGGTGATGTTGTTAGAGGTGAACCAGTGTTGTGCTCGACGTGATGTGTGTTTCGGATCGTTGTCTTGCACAAGAAAGATTTGACGGGGGGACATACCAAGGTCACGGAGAGTCCCTAGAAGGGACTCCTCCAAGACACCACAGTAGACTTCGGCATTCATTGTCCCCCTGATCCGGTGGAGGCGTCCAACGCCTTTCGAAGTGATACATCCCCACACCATCACACTCCCTCCACCGTGCTTGACTGCCTTTTTCACGTTCCGGTCCAGGAAAGCCTCCCCATCCCTCCTCCTGCAGTACTGCTTCCCGTCTGAGCCGAAGATGTTGAACTTGGACTCATCGGAGAAGATAACCAGGTCCCATCTTTCCTGCTCCCACTTCGCAAACTCCGTTGCCCACATCTTGCGCTGTCTCACATTGAGACAAGTAAGCAGGGGCTTCCGTCGCCGTACCCGTCCATGGAGACCGACCTCAGCGAGAGCACGGCGCATTGTTCGGTCGCTGATACGAGGGAAGTACTTGCGAGCAACGTCGGTCGCGTTTTGAGCATGACCTCGGGCGAGGGCAAGTTTAGCTTGCATCAAGTCTCCACTAGTGAGAACTCGAGGTCGTCCAGGTTTATGTGGTCGGAAATAAGGGTCTTGGGATTGCTCAATGAGTGCTGCATTGCGGGAGACTGTACGACGATCCATGCCGAGGATACGGCCGATTTGAGTGTAGGACTTGGGTGTACCGAGAGCAGGATTAAGGAAGTCACGAATACGAGCGAGTTTGGTAGGGGTGCAGACCACCATAGTGGGGAATAGAAGCTATAGATAGGGCGAAGATAAATCCAAAGTGTCGTGAGGTTTTGTGAAAGCGTCGTGGAGGAATGAGAGAATCAATGCAGGCAATGCGGCGCGAGTGTCCTGTCAGAATAGGCGCCCATCGCCTATCGCGCCCGTTTCTCACCCAGCTTCCCCCGCATTTGCACAAGTCAGGTATGAATCGTTTGCATTACAAGAGGTCTGTACTACGGGCCAACCAATATCTCGCTGGCCCCTCCCGATGCGCCTAGAGAAATAGGTGGCAGGGGGTGGGCATTATTTTTGGCCGCCAGTGTAGAGCGAAGCTTCACGACTAATTCGTCGTCGTCTGAAGAGGGGGCGGCTGGTAAGTTCTGCCTCAGTAAAAGGTTATCCGGACACATTTGCCATGGGTAGGGGGTTACCAATTGATCGAGCAGGTACTATATACGCAGCGGTCGTGGGATGAGCGCCAGAGAGGAGGCTGAGGGTGAGTTGGACCGACCTCTGCTTCATCAATCGTCTGATGAGATAAGTGAGAACGGAAGGATAAGTGGACGAAGACGGACACGAACGAGGATGATGGGACCGCTGAATGAGATCGGAGCAGTGAGCGAGGACCTGAAGTGTGAGGATGAAGGGACGAACCGGTTCATGTGTAGAGCGATGGAGGATGGACGGTCCTGGACGAAGAGAGAGACCTACTCACCGTAAATCTCAATCCCCCGCGCTTTACAGGCCCCCTCGGCTCGGAAAGGGCTCCGGTCGCGCCCCAGGTGGTCACGATGTGATGCACCGTGACCCACCGCGCGCGAGGTCGCGAGCAGGGATGTGGGCAATGTCGGACTCAGACTTGGTGTCGGTGGTGTGGGGGATAGTTGGCTGGCTGGTGGTGCCGCAGGAGCGAGGGGCAGCGAGGACGGCATGACCTTGGGGACGGCCTGCTGGTAGGACTGGAGGAGGGACATGGACGTCGTGGACGGTGGTGAGTCGTGACTCGCGCGCACACGCGCATGTGACGCCGATCGAGTGGCCCGTAGCAGGCTGCCGCCGAGTAGCAGCCCATACGCTCCTCTCGTCCGTCATCCACCGTTGTGCACCCTCTGCGTTCTGACTGCGTTGAAAGAGCCCTCGCGGGCCTCGCCATGGCCCGCAACATGTCTACGCCTACGCCCGGCCCTCCTCCGCTTTCTCAGGCTCCAGACAGCCCTCGCGAATCCGAGTCACCTCCTCCCCAGGGTGTGCAGGGTGACCTCGAGGTCGAGCTCCTCGGACTCGCCACCTCGCTCTACAACCTCGGGACCACTGTCGTCAACGACCTCACGAAAGAGAAGGACAAGCCCGGCGGGGTAGCGGGCAAGCCTGTTGGGCAAAGAGTGTCAGTCCTCCCTCTTAATTCAGCCACCACACCTCCTCCATCCACTAGCGTTATCTTGTTTCCGATCGCTCCTCCCTTGCCACCCTCGCTTTCGAATGATCCGGTTTGCGTACATCCCCGCCTCCACCCGTTTTTATTTTTACTCGCTCCAGCATTGACCCTCTCTCGTTGGGGTGCGTACAGAAACGACGTGATCCGCCACTTGGCCACCCTCGAGGGCATGTCGGAGCACATGCAGACCATGGTCCCCATGGACGTCCTCGTCGAGATCGACAACTCCCGAAATCCTATGACGCTCACCAAGGAGCGACTCGAGCGGGCGGCGACCGAGAATCAGTTCATGAACGGCAAAATCCACGCGATCGAGGTTCGCGCCGTCTCTCGTGCTATTTCCGACGCTGACCGCATGTAGTCATATAAGAAGGCCCTGGACGAGGCCTTGGTGCAGAATTTTCCGGAGCTTTCAGAGTACCTGACGGTTGAGACAGGAGACTCGGGAGTGAAGTTTGAAGAAGGCACGGCAGGGGCCAATCGCGGCATGATGGACGGTGTGGTGTAGGAGCAGGGAGAGATTGAGATCCAGCTGGAGCATCCGCGATACCGGCCGGCCGACGGCTGCCCTGGATCTATGGCCCTGGGCCTGGATGACGTCGCGCGCGGTGCGGGACGTGGTCTGTCTGTCGGAGCGGCAGGGGCATCGGGGACTGCACCGAGGCGAGCACTTGGTTGAGAGTGAGGTGGACGAGGATGGCTGACGATCTGTGAAGCTTTGAAGTATGTGCGACGATGTACTGTGTAGTGGATGGATCGAGCAAGTCCGTTTACATACTGGCGATGACCGCATCGATCTCGGCGAACACTTCATTCTCGGGGCGGGCGATCGGCGGGGCGGGCGTCGTGACGGGCCGGTGGCCGTTGCCATCCGGCGTCGCTGGGCGGCCTTGACGGCGCTCAACACCTTGTCCTCCTCCTCCTCCTCCTCTTCCTTCTGCCATCCATCCCACGCCTGCACGCGCCTTCTCCCAGGCCAGCCCAGGCCCCGTCCCGCCTGCTGTTCGCCTGCCGCTCCTTACCGCCTCCCCCGCTAATACCACTCTCGCCCACGACCGCCATGTCCAACTATCGCGATGCATATACCGCCCTCACCGCCGCATCCTCCCGCTCCCAGGTCGCCCAGGTCCTCAACTCCATTGCCGATGGTATGCCCCCACACCTGCTTCCCGCGTCCCTCGCTAACCCCGTCCAGCGCCCCCTCTTACGCTTGACGACGCGAACCGTAGAACCCTAATTCAGTCTATCCTCGCCGATCTCCCCCGCTCCTCGAGTCCCAAGAAGTCCAGGCTAACAACCAAAGGTCCGTCCTTCCTTTCCCTCCACACCCACCCCCACAAACCCTCTCTCCTTCCCGCGCCAGACGCCGCGCCGGCCCTGCTCGCCCTCAAGTCTCTTGGCAAGAACCCTGCCGGCTCAGAGGCCATCGCCACCCCCGTCAATCTTTCCGCCCTCCTCGCCTGCTACTCCTTCTACAAGGACTCTCCCGATGCCTCCAACGAAGCACTGCGCTGCATAGCAAACGCCATGCTCCTCGTGGACAGCGCCCGCTCTGCCTTCGTCGAAAAGACTGTAGGCGGGGGTGATTTTGCGGTTGAGCTCCTCGAGGTGCGCACCTGATCCTTCCGCCCCCTCCTCCCCTTGACGTTTCCCGCCCTTCCTGCGTTGCAGAAATCAACCACCCCGGAGCGCATATTCTCGCATCCCGCATCCTATTCCTCTCCACCGTCTCCCGTTCCGCTGCCCAGTCCTTTATCACGGCCATGGTCGAAGCCAAGTCCCCCAGTATCACGGATATAATCGGCTCCAAGTTGGATCTGCTCTCCAAAACCATCCTATCTGGCACGAAATTTGCACGTGAAGCAATGACCGATCTACTCAAGTTCGCATTTAATCTACTATTGCATTACCCTAGGGTCTGTCCTTCACTCTCCTGCCCTCGCCGCTCTGATGTTGATGAGACCTGACGCAGATTGTCAACGAGTCTAATAACAATGAAGTACCCGTAATGGGCGAGGCCTGGAGTGACCGGTTGGACGGGTGCGTCTCGTTCGCTCGTGGCATGCGCTTACGCTCATCTCTACCTTAGTATTCTCCCCCCATTACTCCGCACTTTTGGCACCCTTCCCCCGACCTTCCCCGCTCCGCTCGCGCCCCCTTGACCCATGTCATTCATGCCCTCATCACCATCCCCGTGTCTTCCGCTTTGAAACCCGTCTGGCTGCCTAGCCGGGTCTCTCCAATGGGCACACCTAAGCCTCCCGAATCCTCCGAGTCGTCTTCCAAGGCCTCTCGCTCGTCCAGCAGTCGCGGAAGCAGTCGTGCAGGCTCCCCTACGACTGGTCCGGGCAAGGACTCGAAGCCTGGCGCGTTCGATCGCGCCTGGTCAGCACTCGCTGCTGGACGGCGATCACTCTCGCTCTCCCGCCCGTCGTCGCCGTTGCCTTCGTCGAACATCGACGTCCTGCTGCGCGCCTACGACCTGCTCGACGTGTCGCTCAGCCACTATCTCCCGGACACCGTCGATCCCGACGAGGCGTCGGTGCGGGCGCGGTGCACGAAGGAGATGGACTCGCCATTGGATGATGTCATGACCCCGCTGGTGGTCCTGATCACTCGATTGTGCGCCGCCGACGAAGGGCCCCGCCGGAGAATGCGCGAGTGGCTCTTTCCCGACGACCTCGACCGGACCACGCTCCTCGAGAGCCGTGCGGATCTGCTGGGCCGTCTCCTTCGTCTCCTTCAGAGCACACATCACACCAAGCTCAAGAACAGCGTCGGCGAGCTCCTCTACGCTGCCTGCGACTCGGACGGTGAGTTCCGCATCCTTCGTTCATAGAGAGGGGCACCGATGCTGACTTTCGTGATCCAGCGAGCACACTGTCGTCATTCGCGGGCTATGGCAATGTTGCTGGCTTCCTGTTCAACAAGGGCATCATGTCAGCTCCCCCACCGCCGGCCGGCGGTAGTAGAGCTGCGGCGCCGGACATGACCCCGTCGGGGCAGCCGATCGACCCCATCACGGGCGCCGTGCAACGGGAGCACGTAGACATCGAGATGACGGAGGAGGAGAAGGAACGCGAGGCCGAGAAGCTGTTCGTGCTCTTTGATCGTCTCGAGAAGACGGGCGCGCTCCCGAAGGAGAACAATCCGATTCGGCATGCGATGCAGAAGGCGGCAGGTGGGCAAAAGTAGTTGCGCATGGAGTTGTTTCTGTCTCTTTGTGAAGTGAGTAACTGTTATCGCTGGCCAGCCGCGGCCATGCCCCGCATATACCTCGTCCGTTCGTTCGTTCTCCGCATAGCAAGTGTTTCCTGATGCATGATGTCTACGTCCCCCATTGTACATGTTTTCCCGTCGCATGCGTTCACGCACACACCGTATTCCGACGTATTGTACTATCTTATCCTATAATGTAACTCGCACCAGTTGACCCCGACGCGCGTGGTTGTACGGCGGACCCCACGTTTATCTATCTATCCATCTCTCTGCCCCCCACCTGTGCGCCCACGCACGTCAGGCATTGGAGGAAGACGTGGGCGCGTCCCCAGCCGGGTCGGCGACCAAGCGGGCGACGGGCACGAGGCGCGCGTCCTCGTCGTCCTCGGCGGCGAACGTGTACTCGCGCACCTCGACGTTGGCCCACGGCGCGTGGTCGTTGCGGCCATGGACGAGCCAGCGGAGGAAGTCGCCGTGGGCGACGAGCGCGATGCGCGGCTCGGGGCGCGCGCGGAGCCAGGCGCGGACCCAGCGTGCGCGCGCGGCGAGCGCGGCGGGGGAGGAGGCGTAGAAGCCGGCCTTGGACGTCCAGTCGGGCGTGAGCTGGGCGAAGTCCAGCCCGGCGTACTCGGGGTCGGCTTCGAGCGTCTCGCGCGGCTGGCGGGACGGGGCGTGTGAGCGTGCGTGAGGGAGGAAGGGAACGAGGAAGGAAGAGGGAGGAGGGGAAGGAGGGGAAGGAAGGCGGAGAAGGCGGACAGCGGGCGGAGAGGGAACGAGGACGGGACGCACGGAGCCGGTGTCGCACGGGAGATCGTTGGCCTCCTGCAGCTGGGGGAGGACGGCGACGGGGGTGCCCGCGGCCTCGAGCCGGGCGCGGAGGGTCGCGTAGCCGACGACGGTCGTCGAGAGCGTGCGGCGGAGGCCGCTCGTGACGAGCAGCGCCGCGTCCGCCTGGACGGTGTCGAGCGTGGCGGCGTGCAGCGACGCGGCCTGCGTGCGCCCGAGCGGGGTGAGCGGCGCGTCGGGGACTGCGGGGCGGCGGTCACTTGGGCAGCGGAGCGGGGGGAGAGACGGGACACGGACTGTACCAGTCGGAGGAAACGCTGTCGAGAAAGAGTGAGAGGCGTGTACGCTGAAGCTGACTGGCGGGACGGCGTACTTGTGCTCCGCCTCGGCGTGGCGGGTGAGGTAGATGCGCTTCTCGGTTGCGGGGGCCATCGTGTGCAGGAGGGAGCTCGTCGACGGCGGGAGAGGGCAGCTGCAACGCTGCAGTCTCGCTCACCGCGCGATCGATCACTCGGACCGCCTGCCCGGGAGCGATGTGCACACCAAACGCTCGAATTAGCGTCACTCGCAACGCAACGGCGACGAGAGTTCTTCCCGACTGAAAGCAAAATCATATGTTCCCCAAAACTATGCGATCTGTACAAATAAATACGAGATATAAAGCGCGTAAGGTACACTCTCGTCCGTCCATTCAATGCACATGGATAGCTTGCTGCAGGAGATCGTCCAGAATCTAGCAAACGTTTGTCAGCACACCATGGCTTCGTCGGTCTGGCTGACACTCGTACCTGATCCATTTCGTCCAGCTGCTGGAACGTCCCAGCGTATATGTTCCTGATGTCCGGGTGGAGGGTATCGAGGTCCACTGGCCTGCCGAACAGCATCTCTTCCACTGGGTCTAGACGCGAATGCTCCGGGATTTTCTGGTTCAGCGACGCCCGGCCTCTATCACCGCCATCATCTCCGTCAGGCCGAAGTTGTTCCTTGGAAAGACCAGCTTCGGCTTCTCCTCTCTGGCGCCGCCGCGTTCAGCATGCGCGGGGGCGAGGATGGCGTCGCCGTTCGGTACTCAGACACCGCCGACGCGTTCCGCTCGTGCGAGAGCCCGTAGTTAACTCGCGCCCGGCTGCTCGCCGTCGGCGTCGCCGTGTTCGCCCGCGAGTACTCCGACTCCCCAGGGCTCGCCGTGCGGTAGCTCGACATCCGCGACGCCGGCGGCGACATCACGCGCTGGATCGTGCCGACGGACCCAGACCGGCCGTGGTCCCGCGCGGTCGGCGTGGCCGAGCGCGAGCTGGACCCCTCTTGCATCGTCCCGTTCGCCGAGTACATCGAGTCCGTGCTGTGGCGTGGAGACGGCCCCGGGTCTTGGCCGGCCGCAGAGCTGGCCAGCGGGGCGCGCCCGGAGTCCTTCTCGTGCTTGAACTTGTTGAGCACCCGATCGATCCGGGCCCCAAGGCCGTCCTTGTGCGCAAGCACACCGTGCAGCAGGTCGTCCTTCGAGATGTCTGGTTTGAGCCCAGCTGGGCCGATCTCCCCGCGCCATTCCTCCTCGACGATGTCGCTGATGTCGTACGTCTCGCCGTCGGTATCCACGTACGAGTATCGCATCTTCTCGTCCACTTCGTAGCGGGAGCTGCGGAGCATAGCGTTCCCGGGCAGGAGCACGTCCAGACCCCGCGCAGAGTTGGCCTGGGTGGACAGCACGGCGCGCTGAGTGGCTCGTGTGGCGGCGCGCTGGGCGGCAATGATCTCCTTCGCGCTGCGTTTAGGGGAGTCGGGTTGAGTCGCGCCGTCCGAGTTCGTGCTGGAGCTCGCCACAGATTCCCGGAGCTGGTGCAACGCAAGATCGTCAAGTGGTGCCGATGACCGGTGGCGAGAAGAAGAGATGCGATACGCAACAGCGCGACGCAGGATGAACACTGGGTCATCTGGCCGGACGTCGTCTGCCGATCCGAGCATTTGCGCCGAGTCGATGGAACGTCGCTTGCTGTCGCTGAATCGCTTGTCGAATTGACGGTACGCAGGCGGCCTAGGATAGGCGTCGATGACTTTGCTCGACGGAGTGAGCTCGCGTTCTAGCAGGGTACGTCAGCATTCGAACGGAGACGGAGACGAGCTTGCAACGGAGCCTGTTACCTTTACCATTGAGCTCGACGGCCAGACAGTATCTGACGCGGGAAGAGCTCCTCCTCTTGGTCTGTTTGTCCTCCACCTCGTCGCCACCGTCGACGACACCCTCAGGAATGCCGAAGCGATCCAAACCTTGCTCGATGACCTCTGCAACCGTTATATTCTTCGGGAAGACAAAGACCTTCTTGCGCTGAGTTTGAGAGATCCCTGGAGAAGGCACTTGGCTGGCCTGGGGCCGATTGCGGAGCGTGTTCTTGAAGACGATGGCTTCGGTCTGTGGATCGAAGACCATGTCGTCCGGTAGGTCCTCAGGATTAACGACCAACTGCATGCCGAAGCGGAACGAAGGGGAGCTGAAGCGTTCCGGAGGGACGGTGTTGCCGCCAGCGGTAGAGACCGTGAGGAAGTGCCCGCGACCACGGCCATCGGAGTCACCATCAACGCTCTCAGCGAGCAGGGTCTCCTCACCCTCATCGCCGAAGCTGTCGTCTTCACGCCCACGGCGGTTGAGGTAGAACTTGACTTGAGAGTCGTCCGAGAAGTCGTTCATAGACAACTTCTTGATAGCGGGGTGCATCGACAAGTTGCTCGCTACCGAACTGATACTGCCCACGCTGGACCGCTTGACCTTGGGGATCTCCATGGCGGCCTCGACAAGTGACTCAAAGACAACGAGAGGCTTCTCTTCCGGATGAAGCGCGGCAGACGAACCTTCGACTTGCTTGATCGTGAGGAAGTAGTCCTTGTCGTCCTCCCCTGCGGGCAAGCGGAAGCGTTGAATGGCTTGGCGCACAAGATCGCTCGCGGTCGTAGAGTTATTGAGGAGTACGGTCTTGAATGTCGCCTCAGTCTGAAGGTGGTCGCCGGCGAAGACCCGAACGACACTAAGGTCGGGAAGCCCAACGCCTTGACCATCCATGCCGGTGGGAGAAAGAACGAGGGAACCGGGGCGAGGACGCGAGCCGGTTCCCGAGAGTCCCGACGTTGAGCTCGTAGAGGAGCTGAAAGACATGGAGCCTTGCAGAACCGCAGACGCGGATTGGAGGCCATACGAAGGCTGTGCTTCGGGGGGAGTCGCCGGAGAGCGGTTGAGGTATTGTTGGTACAGAGCCTGCTGCTGCTGATCACGTTGACGAAGCTGGGAAAGCTGGGCTTGCACCATGGGATCCTCAGATGAGCGTCCTTGGGCGGGCGGCGAATCGCTCCGTTGAGGAGACTCGGTCTGTTCGGATTGTACCATCCTCTTCGGATCGGTCGAGTTCTTCTGCTGCATGAGCATCGCCTGTTGCTGCTGCTGACGGGCGCTGGCGGTGGTCGGAGAGTTGCCTTCGGGTGTCATGGGTGACAAGCGCGAATGACCGGACTCCTCAGACTCACGGAGCGACTCGACGCTAGCGGAACTACCAGTCTCCGACTTGTCCTTGCCTTTGTCCTTCTTTTCCCGATCCCGCTTGAAGAGGCTGCTGAAGACTCCGCCACTCTTCTTCTTCTTGTCCTTATCCTTTCCGCCCTCATCGTCTGTCGTGTCTTGGCCGCGGTCTTTTCGCAACTTGCCGCCTCCAGATTTTCCGGTGCTTTCGCCGACTGAGGCGTTGGAGCCAACTCTAGCTCTGGGCGCATTGGGGTTGCCACTGATGTTGGCCTTCTTGCGTGCAGCTTCTTCAAGGGCTTCGATCTCTTCGCGCGTGCGCTTGCGTTCGTCGGATTGTTGCTGCATGATCGCACTGGGAAGTAACGGGCCGCTCGAAGAGGCTGCATTGAAGTCATCGGTACGCGCGACTGGTGGGGTCATCGACAGCTTGCGAGTTTCGGTGGCTTGCGCGGGGTCGAAGGTACGGCTAGGGGACGCTGGAGAGACCGGAGAGGACTCGCCTTGAACGACAAGCTTGTCCCTCACTGCTGGTTGTGTACGGAGGGGCTGAACAGCGGTCTGTTCAGGCCGACGAGAGGAGTCGCTGGCTTGAGGTTGAGTCAACAGTTGCTGCTGCTGGAGTCGCTCGCGCTGAAGCTCCTCGGCGGCGCCGTCTTCCCAGCTCATTCCGTCGTCTGGCTCCATGCCGGGCGTAGGGGTTTGCTCGCCACGCATCGCCTGACGCTCCTCCCACTCCTCTGCGAGGGCTGGGTCCTCATCATCATAGTCTTCATCGTCCCATTCCACATCCTCGTCCTCGTCCTCTTCCTCGTTCCAGATAGCGGGGGCATAGCGATGAACGCCAAATGCGTGATTGAAGGTGACACCCTTGGCAGGCTGGGAAGTCTGAGTGCCGGGAGTGGGAGACGGACTTGTAGCAGTGGCAGAGGCATTGCGGGAGGACACGAGCCGGTCCCGTTCGCGATCTTCGAGCGTCTCCGCTTGGGTGGCAGAGGCGAGCTACGGCCGGATGTCAGGGAACGTAACAAGGGGTGTGAGGAGAGACTTACGTCGACGTTGCGGTGCCTATTGAGCCTGGCAAGGCGTTCAAACGGAGTCTCGATGTTCTCCGCGGGAATGTAACCGACTTCCTGCGTCTTGAGGACGCGAACGAGCCACCAGTAGCTGTTGCTATCGTCCATTAGAAAAAGAGAGTCGCCCTTGACGACGTTCGCTTGACCATCACAGTGGCAGCGAAGCTTGGAGGGCGTAGACGAGGTCGAAGTCGATGGACTCGTTGGGTATCGAGAGGGAGGACGAAGCGTCATCCTCGAAGTCGAGGTCCCGGTCTTCGCCATCGGAATCGTCCTCGAGAACGGAGTGCTCTTCGTCCGAAGGGTAAGAGTTGTCGGCATGCATGTCGTGTTGCATTGGTCCAGAGTGGGTATGTGCAAGGAGCGGAGGGGCAAGAAAGGGCGACGGCGGACGGAGCAACTTGGGCACACCGTCGACACTGGAGCCCGTCCACAACCGCGACGCCCAAGTCCCGACACCTGGCTGTCACGCCTGTGATCACGGTCACTCCCCCGCGCCTCACATGCCGAAATGCCCACTTCGCCTCTGTTTGATTTCGTTCTCATGTATATGTAGCCCTTGTCATGTTAAAACGCAAAACGTAGCTTAAATGTGCTGCAATATCTGCATGCTGATTTTTGAGTGATAAAAGTGTGAGCACATCGAGATATTTGAGGAATGCCTTCTGTGTGGCTGTATCACGTGTCACCTGTACCTCACATCAATCAGGCCGGCTTAGCCCGTGGCACCGGGGGGGTGGCCCGGGTCAAGTAGACCTGAAACCGTGCTCCCCCGCACGTTTGAATAATTGGGTGACTTTCCGTAAGGAAATACGGAACTACGGACGCTCCGTAGTTCTCTAGACCACTCGAAAGGGCAGTTCCGCCGAGATGCCGACGAGAAAGTGATACCCGAGGATCTCACTGTGGCTGCTGGAATAACAAGCGCCCAAAAGTCTCAGGTGGAGGGGTCGGCACCCCCCTCGCAGAGCAAACAAGCCTCCCGAAAAGCTGTAGAGGTCTCCTGAAGGCCTATTTCGGACGGGAGGTAGTGATGTGGACCATTATTGGCGCTGACAAATCGACGACTGGGCCTCAACGGACCTCCATGGGGTCTGGCTAAGGTCTCCGCGCGGTGGAGGCATTCCGTTGACGCTGGATTGACGCCAGAGATCCCTCTCGTCGCTTAGCCTCGCTTAAAGCTCCGGAATTGCATTTACGGGTCTAGTAAGAGCGGTCTGGCTTACGGACCGTCATCCATTCGTCCAATAAACCCGAGCTGTTTCCCAACAGGGAAGTGCTCGAACGCCCTCCCAAGTCCTCCAGCCCATCACGTGTCCCCGTCCTCCAGATCTCCCATCAGTCCGCGTTATCTCTCCCGCCCCGCCGCGTTATCTCCCGCGCCCGCGCCGCGCGCCTCCCTGCCCCGCCACCCGTGCTCGCTGTGCCCGACAGTGAGCTCGCTGTCCCTGCACCCTGCCTCCCCCTCCTGTCCGTTTCTCTCCGTTCTTTTTGTAATCTACTTGTATTCAAAATGCGCACCTAATGGTACACATCAATAGCCACACCTGCCTGGGTGTGCTGCACTGAGCCCTCAAACCTCCCAAAATGCGTGCAATACAGAACATATACAAGCACTCAACTGACGGCCAATCCTGCATCAGATAGTCGTAGATGAGTCTATTATAAAATCGCAGGTGGATAGCTAGAGGGGTGCAGGTATGATGTCATATGTTATTTCAGAATGACATACCCCACAGTGATATGGATATACATATATCGTCTTTGTAAACCCAGAATCGTACCTAGAGTCATCAGAGTGTATTGCAAGAAGAATAAGTGAATAGACGATGTTTTGGTGAAGATATGACATATCTAAGAAGGGGGAGTTGGCTTGAAAATGCGGCCTTCATATGTTTTTGTGCAGACCTCTGATCACTTCGCATCTTCTTGCATTACGTTTACACGTATATGGAGAGCCCAGATCGTCGTTTTGGTGCTTATCGGTGAACGATTGAATACAGGCCATGGTATGTCATTATTCTATGACATAGAGTATAGCGAGATGGCATGTGCTCCGATTGTTATCCTGAAACGCGGAACAGAACGGGGTGTTCTTCTGCTCAACGATGCAGAAAGAATCTCAAAAAACGGTTGAGGTGTGGTCGAGATATGCCATATGAGCTTGAAGTGGGCAAAGTGGTCTAGGTGGTTCAAGGGCGTCCTCTGTTCCGCGTTTCAGGATAACAATCGGAGCACATGCCATCTCGCTATACTCTATGTCATAGAATAATGACATACCATGGCCTGTATTCAATCGTTCACCGATAAGCACCAAAACGACGATCTGGGCTCTCCATATACGTGTAAACGTAATGCAAGAAGATGCGAAGTGATCAGAGGTCTGCACAAAAACATATGAAGGCCGCATTTTCAAGCCAACTCCCCCTTCTGAGTATATGTCATATCTTCACCAAAACATCGTCTATCCACTTTATTCTTCTTGCAATACACTCTGATTGACCTCTAGGTACGATTCTGGGTGTACATAGAACGATATATGTATATGCCATATCACTGTGGGGTATGTCATTCTGAAATAACATATGACATCATACCTGCACCCCTCTAGCTATCCACCTGCGATTTTATAATAGAGCAGCTCTCATCTACGACTATCTGATGCAGAGATTGGCCGGTCAGTTGAGTGCTTGTATATGTTCCTGTATTGCACGCATTTTGGGAGGTTTGAGGGCTCAGTGCAGGCACACCCAGGCAGGTGTGGCTATTGGATTGTGTACCATTAGGTGCGCATTTTGAATACAAGTAGATTACAAAAAGAACGGAGAGAAACGGACAGGAGGGGGAGGCAGGGTGCAGGGACAGCGAGCTCACTGTCGGGCACAGCGAGCACGGGTGGCGGGGCAGGGAGGCGCGCGGCGCGGGCGCGGGAGATAACGCGGGCGGGGCGGGAGAGATAACGCGGACTGATGGGAGATCTGGAGGACGGGGACACGTGATGGGCTGGAGGACTTGGGAGGGCGTTCGAGCACTTCCCTGTTGGGAAACAGCTCGGGTTTATTGGACGAATTATTCAAACGTGCGGGGGAGCACGGTTTCAGGTCTACTTGACCCGGGCCACCCCCCCGGTGCCACGGGCTAAGCCGGCCTGATTGATGTGAGGTACAGGTGTCACGTGTGTGGTTGGACGCGCATTTTTGTTTCTACCGTCTGCACTCACTCTGCAGGATGCAGTTTAGAATAGCCCGCGTTGTTAGCACTGCGTAGCGAGGGCACGATATAGCTCGCTGCGCAATCCTAGCAGCGGGGGCACTACACATCGTGCCAGCTTCGGCTTCAGGCAGCGGTATGGGATGTATTAAGGCGCATCCACCACAAGCCGCGCGGCCGCCGACCCGTGCACCGAGACAGCGTAGTGAACAGGTATACCTGAAGTACTCACATGCACACCTGTGCGAGAGACTCTGTATGGCTTAATTGAATGGCCATACAGGTGCAAACTGAGGCATGAGAAGCTGTCTGTAGCACGGCAAGCGCTTGCGTTGGCTGGAGCGCCTGCAGAGTTCAACTACGCACGTGACTTAACCACCATTGGAGATATTTCACTCGTACATTGACCACATCCGCACCGAATGTTTTTATACTTTCAGAAGTGTTTGATACATGGTACGGTAGTACGAATATCACTTTACTAGCATCTGGAAGGGATTTGTGTTGAGATAAAGGCAAAACATGCAAAACAGACGATTTCGAGGATAGACGCTGTATCGCTGAATTTGTACTTGTTTTGCTCCCCGCTTCCACCCTACACATTAATTGCTCGCTTCGCTCGCAACTACATAGGAGCGCTGCAGGAGATTCTCAAGCCCACCGCCGCTGTCCTCGCTCGTCTACTCCGCCAGTTGGACGGCGCGCAATCCGACCCTCGGCATGGATATAGTCGGTGACCGAAGCTCAGCTCCGAGGCTGGCAATCGGTGCAATGATATCGTGCAAAGTAGTAGCTACAATACAGCACACCTGTAGGTACTGGTATGCGCGCACTCATGAATGTATCAACGACCCAAGCCGCACTGCAGCACGAGCTTGCGCGAGTCGATTTTGGTGATGGCCCCTCAGACCTTGAAGCCACGAGACTTTCGGCGACCACGGGCACGCTCGAACTGAGGCCACAGGTCAGGACGTCGTATAGGAAACATGGGGCCTCGAAACATACTTTGCGGCCCTTCGAGGCGGTGTAGGGCTTCTTGTGCTTGTGCGGACCCATACCGAAATGCTTGACGGCTTCACGAGTGTTCCTCTTGCCGCGGAGCAGGATGGTGTTCGACCCGGTGGGCGCACGGAGCGCGAGCTGGTCGAGGGTGATGATCTCACCACCTGCCTTCAGGATGCGCTCCTTCGCCGAAGTGGTGAACCGGAGAGCAGCGATCGTGAGCTTGGGGACCTCGAGCAGACGAACATCATCGGTGATAGTTCCGACGATGACGATCACTTTCGAGTCGCGATCGGTCGCGCTCTCAGTCTCCTTGACGATACGGGAGAGGGAAATGGGGGGGCGATTGGTTTTGGAGAGGAAAAGACGGTGGAGGATCGTCTGACCGAAGACAACGAATTGAGTACAACGCTGCAGGTGCAATGGCTCCAACCCCGCACCTTGTTAAACGCAGAGTCCGTACGCCTGGCGAGGAAACGGTAGAGCTGGGGTGCACCAAGGTTGGCATTTCGTAGTGCTTCGATGCCGATCGACGTACCTTTACCAGCAAGAGCAGGTATGGGTCTTCGCTCCCGGGGGAGGTACGGTTGCCCTTCTTTACGTGGTGCTTCTTGATGTCGATACCCTGGGGAACGGGTGGGAATTGAGAGGGTATATGAGGAGGACGGGCAGCAGGCCAAGCTCACCATCTTGCTCTTGCAGGAGATTGCGGTTCGCGTCGTCTGGGCTGGAGAGTTAGAGCGCTCACGGTGGCATGCGGTGGCTGAGAACTGTACATCACCTCGCCCTAAGGTTTGGCGCTCGTTCGGACTCCGAATCTCATGCGACCAGCGCGCCAAACATGCGCAAACGTCCCCCAAAGCCAACCGTCATGGTGAGCACGGTCCCGCCGCCCACCCAATGTCCCCATTCCGTGCTCACCTTCTTGGCCGCTGGCCTCTTTCATGTCGTAGTACGCCGACGCTGCCCCTGCCGCTGACCCCTACAACGAGGCCTACAAGGACCTCGACGACCCGCCACCAGCGTCTGCGGCGCCCGCCTCAGAGTCTCGGGACCGCGATCAACCTCCTCCCCGAGGTCGTTCGCGCTCGCGTAGTCCGGTGAGGTCGTCAAGCTATCGTAGGTCGCCCCCTCCGCGTCGTCCCCCTCAAGCGCCGGCTGTACGTCGTCTTCATAGTCTATGGCGTCTATGGACTAATTTGGCGAAGCAGGCGCCCAACCCCTCCAATGTACTGGGTATATTTGGACTTAGCATTCGTTCGACTGAAAGGGACTTGGATGAAGAGTTTAGTCGCTTTGGTCGTGTCGAGAAGGTTGTCGTCGTGTACGACCAGAGGGTGTGTTGTCATGATCTCTTTCGTGGTCTGGACTAACCTTGCCTCAGTCTGACCGCTCTCGTGGATTCGGATTCATCACCATGTCAACTGTCGACGAAGCAGCACGATGCATCAAAGAGCTCAACGGAGTCGTAAGCCCCGCTTATTTCATGTTTTGCGCAGCGTCTGAACGATCTTCGTAGGAGTTGAACGGTCGTCGCATTCGCGTCGACTACTCGGTTACTGACCGTCCTCATGCTCCCACTCCTGGAGAGTATATGGGACATCGTCGTCGTCGCGGTGGAGAGCCACCCTCAAGCGGCCGCGGGTACGACCGTTTTGATGACAGGGACCGCCGTGATCGTGAACCCTACAGGGGCCGCTACGACCGCGATCGGGACCACTACGGCAGGGACAACAGGGACTGGCGTGATCGTCGCAGCCCTCCCCCGAGGTCGCGGTACTCGCCCGAGTACAGACGGCGCAGGAGCCATTCCAGGAGCCCACCGCGCGGTGGCAGCCCGGGTCGGGGTCGGGACTATGATGCCCCCTCCAGCGCTATGGCTGCCAATGGGAACAGCGACTCTCGCTGGTGAAGCAACCGTGCGTTGATCGTCTCCATGTGTTCATAACTGCTGCTCTGCTTTGATGGCTCGGAACTGTGTCGCTCGGATGGCAAGGCCCAGACAGTGGCAAGTGGAAAGGGCGCAGCGGTCTGCTTCTGCAAGTTTACGTATCCTCAAGTCGTTCTTTCTCCGTCTCGGACTCCGTTATCTCCTCAATAGCACAAAACTGAACTGTCAAGTCTGCTTTCTATATCACCTTCAATATTCTGTACCTTGCTATGACTACATGATGTGTTTGCAAATGCAAGATGGATGAATAAAGCAAGACAAATGTGTTAAATCTTTTAACTACTGGGGTAGCCACTAACTGCAGTTTAAGCATTTATAGGTGATGATAAATTCATACCAGAGCCTGTTATCTACATGTGTAGATCTAAGTTCCACAACCAAGGGTGAGCAGACCTTCTGTCTAAAAGCTATCCACACCCTGTCTCACCTACCAGGGTGCCAAGATAAATGGAAGACTAGGCCTGGTTGCTGGCCAGTCACAAGACAGGAGGTACTGTAAATATGTCACTAAGCTCATGTACTCACCCATCCATTGACATTTAGATGTTTGAACATTGTTTCTTCTCCATACACCACTGGACTATATCTACTCACAATCTGTAAACTACTGCTTACCAGCCCAACCACCACCTGTTTAGACACCAACTACAAGGACCATGACTTACAAACACCTGCACCTCATGAGACTACAGTGGTTATTCACCAGGTGCATCTGTTGTGACAGCCTATCAGCAGGTGCAGATACATCTGGTGCCAGCTGGTTCAGTCACGCTCGACACCACCTTCCCCAAGCATGCTTGTGCACCGATACTGTCCTGAGATGTCCAGACATCAGTGTCTCAGGTGCTGCCACCTGAGCTCATGTCTCTCTTTTTTTCACACCACATCTTGTATATGATTAGTGATAAAATATATTTATTAGTAAGCTACTGCATAGGTGCACTAGTATGTAATACCACACCCTGCAACAACACAGAGGCAGAGGTAGAGGCAGTGATGAGGCAGAGGGCCAGGATAAGGTGGAGGAGGGTGATGTGGACAACGTGAATGTGGAAGACACAGAGGCAGGCAACACAAAGGCAAGCAAGACGGAGGTAAGGGATGTGAAGGCAGAGGAGAGCAATGAGGAGGGCTTGTGGGAGGATGTGGAGGGCCCAGATGAGGTGGAGCAGGTGGTGGGTGACATGGGTGAGGGTGTACAATGTAAAGAGGGAGGAGGTGTAGAGCAACAAGAGCAAGTAATGTGAGTAAAGGAGACAAAGATGGGAAGCACTATGCTGTGTCGTCCCTCTTATAAGTCTCGAGGCCATGGTGCATGAGTAGTGAGGTAACGGTGAGTCCATATGAGTCAGTACGAGTCATGGTGGCGGCATGTTAAGGTACGGGCGCGCAGAGTGCGCACGTGCCAGATTTTGGTGTACCAGCCGAATTTCGGCCACGCTGTGAGCAGGGCTCGGGCGTCTTGACTTCGGCGAAGTATTTCACCGAACTTCGGCCATCAGATTGGGTGATCTGAGACCATACGGACTCTTATGTACTCTACGTGCGTTCCACGGACGCCAGCTTACCTCCACCTGCACTATCGCTGTATTTGTTACCTCAATCAAAGGTTTGGACGAGTCTGGCACCAGTGCAATCGTGATATTGTCATTTTACATCTTTTTTGACTCCCCCCTACCTCTACACGAGGTCTACTGAATACTATGAGTCACAGGTCACCCCAACAAGACCATTTCGGCGCGTTGTCGTCGTCTGCAGCCCTCGATATGACTGCAGACGCAACACGCAGCCGTCCCTACACCCCAATTCCGTCTCGCCCTTCGAGCTCAACACTTGCACACGGCGAAACATCACATTCGCCACGTTCGCATGCTCCCAGCGACGACGACACAACATATCGCCCCTCTGCCCAAGTGTGCGATGCCAGAGTGCCTATCACAACGCCTCCGACGCCGACCCCTCAGGCCTCAACATCAACAGGAGTACGTGGATTCGGTGAGTATCCCATTGCCGCACCTTCCCCATGGCAAGATGCCTCCTACTCTACGTACCACAACTCGATTATGTTGAGTGCGCAGGCTGGGCCATCAGCAGACCCTCGACGGTTCGCTGAAGATCGCCTGCCGAGCGTGCGTACGCTGCACGCCCTGCCGTTGAAAATACCCAGGCGGAATTACTGCAACACTGCAACCGCCTGGTGTCAATTTTGGCGCGATTGGACACGTTCCACCGTGATCTTGGCGCCGAAATTCACGACACCATGTCATGTACGAACTGTGTTCTTGGAAACGCAACCAGCGTGCTGCTGGACGTCGACGGGGTAATCAGTAGAAATAAATTTATTGAATGACTGCCCTACCGAAGCCCAGCTATGATCGCGCACGAACTGGAATGTGAGCGAGAGCAGGTAGCACACGAGCAAGAGAATTGTGTGCTCCACTTCACGCTTCACGCTATGCATGAATAGGACCCACTGCAGCCAGCAAAACCAATCGCTGAGCAGCTGCCGTCCCAGATTGACGAAAGGAGCCATGCTACGTATGAGAGTGGCCGAACTTTGCATAGCTCTGTGATAGAAGGCTCTGCCTCTCATAAAAGTCGGCGAAGTGCGGCTGCACCCACACATAATGCTCCCGAACTGCTGCCTGACAGTGATAGCGAAGTTCGGAGACAACAGCCGCCAAATTTCGCTCTTGCTAGCCAGGATGCGCGACGATATGCACAACCGGAAGTTCCTGTACGTGCTCCCTCACCTGAGGGTCACTACCGTGACTATCGGTCCACGTATACGCAAATTCTGGATCAGCAACACGAGGACGCAAAGCAACAGCTGCGATTCGAAGCTGAGCAATCACGTCCAACGTATGACCACAATGCGGCAAGCAATGCATGGTTCGCAAAGGCATCGAGCACATTGTATGCTCCTGGCCTAAGTGCAAGCCGTGCACCGTACCCCGCAATCACAAGAAACCATGCGCCGAGTGGTTACTACTATCAGGAACAACCTGTGCAAGTAGTACCCTCTGCACATGCGTCTGCACCCACACCGAATTCACAATTGCCTGGCACGCAGCACCTTGATGTGCTGATGCGGCAAATTGTGGAGAACATCCGCTTTAAAGTCGGCGGACGCAGCATTCCGCTGCCTCAGGGTGCAAAGCAGCTGAAACCGGACATGCCAGACAAGTAGGGTGGTGAAGATGACCGCCAGAAATTTGTGCTCTAGCTGGATGGATTCCTGAATTGGCTCAGGGCATACAACTTGTGCGGCCCTGATGCCGATGAACATTGTTCGCGGCAAATTCGGCTATGCCTTGAAGGACGAGCAATTGACTGGTGGACCCAGTCAATAGACCGCCCTGGCGTGCCACATCTGTCCTTTGAAGAGATCATCTGCAAGATGCACACACACTTTGTGCACTCCAGTATGGCCGCAAAAGCAACCAAGGAATTCACAAAGTGTATGTACTCGCATCGGAAGGGTGTACTCACGTTTGCCTCAGATCTCCAACGCCGTGCAGGTGAAATGATCGAACACCCCACAGACTACGAGATGAAGCTCCGTCTGTTCCATGGGTTGCCCGAAAACATTCGCACTCACCTGGGTGTGAACGGAGCATCAACCCCAAGTACAACTCGTGGCTCGACATTGTCGAGAACACACAACAGCTTGAGGGGTCCCTGAGGGTGGTTAGTTCGGCGCCATGTACGGGAACGTATGGTGCGGCGTCCAGCACACCATCATCAAAGGATGACCGCAGCAGTCGTGAAGGCCACAAGCCGAACCACCAGCAGGATCGCCGTGATGGAGACTGCGGCCAAACACAATTGCACGACCACAGCCACCGAAATCACGGTAACAAGTCAGTGAGCCAAGGATCACGCCGAAATTTCTCAAATAATCGACGTGATCACTCAAGCTCAAAGCGTGAGCATTCCGCTGGAGCAGAAGGATGTCCATCTACTCCAGGTGTGAAAGCCGCCGAAAATGCGTGCTTTGCTTGCGGAAAGACAGGTCACTATATGCGTGATCCTGTGTGCCCCAAGTACAGCGAAACAATGAAGAGCGAGGGCCCGAAAACCACACGCTTCCACGCGCAGCGAATTGTCAGAGATGACGGCTGCAGCGAGGATGCGTGGGGTGGGTCACAATATGAGTTGGGCTCAGAATCCGATGGAGCAAAGCTCACTCCAGAGGGGGAAGATCTAGACTCTGAAGGATTGGAAATTGTACGCTCCTACGTGATGCGCACACTTCTGAACCTCCACTTTGGTGCCATGCGTACTACGCTGCACGCCAAATTTTCTGTGAATATTTGGCGTAAGACTAATACGCCTTCTACAGCACAGCCGGAACGATCTCCGGTGGACCAGGCGGCACTCTGTTGCCTGGTCAATATCAACGGACTTCAAGCATACACACTGTTCGACACAGGCAGTACAACCGACGCACTCACGCTGGATTTTGTGCACACTACCCGCGCAAAACGTATTGTTTTAGACGAGCAGATTGTACTGCAACTCGGGTGCTCAGGTAGCCAATCTAAGATCAACTACGGTGCTCGAGTACCTATGAAGCTAGGACCGATTGATGCCAAAGACATGTACTTTGACATTGTCAACCTAGATCGCTACGACTGCATCATTGGGACGCCGATTATGAATAAGTACGGCATAGAAGTGAGCTTCGCCAGCCGTACTATCAAAATCGGCGACCAGATCATTGAGGCGTTCGACTACGACCAGGATGAGAAGTACTGGGCAGGGCGTAAGACTACCTCTGCCAGACAATCACCCCGGAAAGCGAACAAGCCTAAGAGCAATTGACTATCGCTGTCAGCAACCACTACGATGCACCCCTAAAGCGACAGTCAAAGAGGTTGCAGATGACGAAGTTAATAAACAAGCGAACTAACACGCTTGCGCAGATAGTGTGCACATACTCAAGGACTTGAATGAAG